GGGGGGGGAGGGAGAGCGGGAGGCAGTGAGAATCGGTGAGTTGATCTCACCCCAAAAGAAGAAGCTTGTTCGTTTTTTTTTCCTTCTTGCTGCTCTCGTCCGCCTTCGCCTCGTCGTGGTGGGAAGCTGATACAGTGTGACCTGGTGGTCATTCGGCACTGTAGCGCCGCAGGTGTTTGATACATTAGTACGCCCACGCCCCCAGGCCCAAGTGAGGCGGGAGAGGAGGAGGGGGGGGAGGGAGCAAGCCTTATTAACCACTTCAGCCACACCTGGATACAAAAGGTCTTGGGGGGAGAGTACCGCGCTACAGTTACGGGAGAGAGACGCAAGCTTGTGCTCAGCAATCAAGCGGAACTTGAGCAAGGGAAATCAAGGGGCCGGCGCGATTTGCATCGTCAAGTGTGATGATGAGTCTAACCGTAGGCAAACAAACTGTCTGTAGATTTTACCAGGAGACCAGAGAGAAGGGGCCCGGCTGCTTCGGCATGACTGACTGATACTTGGCTGTCTATGTATACGGATTATCTTTCCAGCATACATAGTCAGAGCGTGCGACTGCCGCCATCTAGTTCCGTTCCAGAGAGGGGGGGGAGGGGAGCGGGCTCATTGGGGCGAGTTACATCGTGGATCCTTTCCGTATCATCATTCCAGGCAGCCACTTATTTATCGACCACAGCAAGACAAGGGCCAAGACCAGACAGACAGACTTTGCTTTTTGGTTCTTTGTACCGATGCAATGTGCATGCGTCGGTACTTGTAATGGAGGGCGGGGGTGTTTTTGTCTTGCCTTGCGCGCACAGAGCTGAGGCTACCTGGGATGTTTTATTACGCCGAGATGGAAGGAAAGTCAGAGTTGCACTGGTCCGGGTAAAGAAACGTGGCATTTTTTGTTTCTTTTTTTTTTTTCGTTCTTTTTCTGATTCCGTATAACTAGACAAGGGACGGCGTTTTGACGGGGGCTTCAGCATCGGCTGATTCAAACAACCAGTCTGGCAAGACGAATTGATACAAACTGCCAAGGTGCAAGAAAAGGCAATGTGAATAAGAACGAAACCATTTATTACTGGCAAACATTCATGGTATATTACAGAGTATATTAGTGCTATAGTTGCTGCATCATGCTCGCTGCAAAAGAAAGCCCCCCGAGCTGGCAGCCCTGCTTGTTTATAGGGGCGTGCATTAGCTGACTCGCTAACCTGCTGAAGCGCAGAGCCTGGACTTGGCAGTTGTGCTCTTTACAAGGCTAAATTAATTAATCGTCCTATGAATTTACCATTGCTCTCTCTCATTTATGCGGGGGAGGGCCTCTATTATTAATGTTTTGATCACTTCAAGTACCGAAGAGAAGCCTAAAGTCCATCCATCACTCTCTTAAAACGCAGCGGTCTGTCATCAGGGGAACAATAACTCCTTCATCTAGATAGGGCTGCCGTTTCTTCACCAGTCGAACTGTTTCTTAGCATAGTCGCTGCGGCGTCATGTATGTATGGAACTACACGGATTCATTGATAGTATCCGTACAAGACATGACTGCGGCAAGGGGAGGAACGGAGGGTCGGCGGAACACCAGTTGTCCTCCTTCACCTCCCCTGCCTGTCTCCGTCTCGCCCTCCCGCTTTGGGCGCCTCTGCCCGTTTGTGGTCGCAGGCCTCGAGGGCGAGCCCGCCGGCGATGCAACCAAGGACAGGGTGATGTGAGACGCTAATGTAGGCGAGTGCAAGCACCCACGAGCACATGAGGGACGGGGTGGCGACGCGAGCGATGCTGGCCGCTCCTGGGAGATAAGTTGATGAGAGAGTTCGCGGTGGCAGGGTAACTAGGAGATGCCGATGGCTCGAATCCATCCATGCTTGACCAAGGAGGGGCTGTCAAAACGGCTGATAGTCATTGATAGCTTGACAAGCAAAGCCGATCAGCTGTCATCGCTCAAAAGGTCGATTGCCTCGTAGGGCTTGCATGCTGCAGCCAAGTGTCGTCCATCAAGGTTCTCTCATGGAGCGCAGACCAATGCAATGCTCATTCTGTCTCTGTTTTGCGTTTGGATACTCGGCATCTGCCATTGTTGACTGGCTGCCTTGGGCCGTTTCACACACCCCTCGAAGCTCCCATGACGACAGCTAGTAATACCAGCACCAGACCAGGTCAATCAATGCCAGCCTCGCATCCACACGGCGTCTCTGGCTGCCACAGCCATAGTGGAAAAAGTGCCAAATCGCCGTCCAAGGCTGGCCCAGCTGAGGTACATCGCCGGCTGTATCTAGCCCTATCGGCCGCCCGTCCTGACTTCTCCTCGAGGAACATGATGACAAGTGTGGCGAGCGAGTCTCGATTCACGAATGTCCAAATCGAGGCACTTTCTCCTCCGCCCTGCTGAGGCTGTGTCGGCCGAACTGAGCTACATCGCTCCTCGGCCGAAAACGACGAGGTCAGCGAGCGCCACAGCGCGTGGGGTTCATAAGTACGGGCGCTGTATATTGTAATGATGCATATCTGTACTCCCGTCGTTATACCAAGGAGCAAAAGACTAAGTACTTTCTATATCAGGGTGTAGCATTATACAGTAATGGATAGTACTGTATTCGATCGAGGTGTCAGTCAGGCGAGGCCTGCAAGACAAGACTCTGTTTGAAAACTCGTCGAGTCGTGCCACGGCAGACCATTTTACTTTTGCACAGCAGCTATGCAACTGAACGGTTAGAAAGCATCCCGCTGGGCGCAATTTGTCCAGTCCGCGTCGTAGTGCATAATCAGGAATGGGAGGGCGTCTTGGTGGCGGCGTACTTGTCAGGCGAGGCTCTCGCTGCCCACTCACAGCGCTCACAGCCCAGCTGGATCGCCTTGGATCCCAAACCTACGTGCCACCTAGGACCACCTTGCCGTGTAGCACGCGAAACTGTCTGTGACGAAAGCGAGGCGACGACGAGGCGAGGCTGCGCACATGGTCAGAACGGTTGGGGAGACGAAAGTATGTAGCACAGCCAGCACAGCAACACGCACGGGGTGGGAACATTTGCGGTTGGTGTGTCCGACAGATGGAGGGAGGTGTAATTTGCAAAATAGACACCCCAACCCCGTTGCGCGACGCGATTTGCCCCTAGTTTGTAGTTTGCGAGGGCCGCTGCCATTTTCCTTTGCAATGCAATGCACCAATGCAAAATCAGGTCATTCAGCCAGGCTGGGCTGTGATCGGCCGACGGATGCTGTTGATGGTCGTTGTAGTGGATGGGTGCCATTGGGTGATTATTGGCACTTGCTAGTAAGTAACTAGGTAGAAATAGGTAGTGCCTCTGCCTCATCGCCTTGTTCGGCATTGGAAGGCAGGCAGCGTTGAAGGACTCCTCATTTTTTACCCGTTTCGGCGATAAAAGCCCTGGTATATGCTTACCAGTACTGATACATGTTGTTTCTGTTCCCCAGCCAGTTAGAATCGCCCCCAAGCTGGAGAATTAGAGATGCGAGAGCGACAATGCAGCATGTGGGGAGCAGCAAACAGGCAGCTTGTTACAGCCATAGTATCTACTTTGCAGGAAGTCGGCGAGTCAGAACCAAAGGGCCAACCAAAGGGCCAACCAAAGGGCCAAGTAGGGTGCTTTCTTACCTTGCCAGTCTTGCCTGCGAGCATCGCGAGCTAGATACTTAGCTGGTCTGATGGCTGGTGGTAATCCAGATTAGCCCCAACATTGGACCCAGAAGCTGGAAAAGCCCGACCGACATGGCGCTGACAGAGCTGCGATGTGCCTGGCCCAGTGGCCCAGATGGCGAGGGATGACTTACAGGTGGCGCGGCCGATGTTGGCTAGCGGCAAGATATGTGCTGATGCTGAGACAGCGCAATACTGTTTTGATATTGTTCGGTTGTTTTTTGTGTTTAATTTCGTTGTACTTCGGTTTCTCCTTTGGTTTCGCGAGTAATGCTCGGTGCTAGACGACAACTGTATGACGGACGGACGGGCAGATAGATGAGGACGCCTCGTTAACAAGACGCCCCTGTACGTACCAGTACAGCTGGCTGGCTGCCCCCAAATGCAGAAGGCCAAAGGTGGAAGGCAAGCCCAAACTCGCTCAGCTAAGGCGCCATAGATGCCGACAGCAAGCAACATGCCCCATGCCCAGCCAGGGCTGACGGTGGAGCCCCTATTACATGACCGGGCTCCTTGGTAGACCTTCTTGCGCCAAGGGCCTCCTAAATTAGTCCCGGTAGTGGCATTGCTGGTTGCTGCTTTGGCCAGTGGCAGGTCGAGGCTCTCCTCCAGTCAGTCTTCTGTCCAATCCCAGGCGAGGCCGCAGATGCCGGTCCCAGGCGGGCCAAGCCCAAGCACATCTTCTGGGCCAGGTTCTGGCGTCCCTGCACGGTCGCAGCCTCCTAGTTACCTACCTGGGCCGTAAAGTTAGTGTCCTGAAAAAGCCATGCATGCCAGCCCGTGTCAGCAGGTGCTGGACGACCACCGCTCCTGCGTGTTGAGACGAATCTGGCGCAACACTTGGTTATCAATCAGGAGTAGGAGGACAGGAGGAGGATGAGGGGTCGTACCCCGTGCGCGGATGACAAGATTGTGTGTGCGCACCCGTGGGAACGACACGTCCCGGCACTGACGGACTGACCTACCATCCGAGTCAACGCTGAGTGACTATCCGTAAAGCCGAGGGAGGCGAGCATTCACCTGGGCATGTCATCACTCGCCGCTGCGCTGGAACTGAGCCCTCCTCCCCAGCCAGGGCTACCAACCGCTCCGCTCCCCTCGACTAGGTTGTTCCCACCAAGGAGGGCCTTGTGCATTCGCTCGTTCGCTCGTCGGTCTGGCGCCGAGACGGACCTGCCCACAGCGCTGCTGTGGTGCTGGGGCTGGCTGGGGCTGGCTTGGCGAGAAGCGAGCAGCAAAGCAAGCATTACACAAGATATGCTAGCTGCATTCTGCTCCTGGTTTCCGAATGGGGGTCAGTTTATCCGTAATGCTGCCCGTGCCATGGTACCAGTACCAGTATGATACGATGTTGCCTATTAGGGCATTGTAATTACTGCGCAGCCCCTAGCTGTTGTTGCGTATTTTCAACTTGCCATTTTTCTTTGATTTCTTCTCAACTTGCCTTGAATCCCAAGTAGTCTGTTTTCTTGTTCCGATCCGTTGATGGCAGATGGGCAAAGATTGCGTGGTGTAGGCTATAGATTAGTCGAACCTACATAAATACATACATACATACATACATACATACATACATAGGTACGTAGTCGAGATGACTTCCCGCACTGTACGGAGCGACTTGTTTTTAGCCAGCTCCTCCTTCTTCTTCAGCGTAGGTACAGGCACCTTCTAGCGTGGAATACCTACCCGTACCTGCCTAGCACCGGCTACAGCGTCGGCTCCAGCGCCCCCGGGCACCCTGTCCCCTGTGACTGCCTCCCCCTTCCGCTAAGTCTCTCGTCCCACCCCGGCTTTCCCGCACCCAAGACCCAACGCGCTTATGCACACCCCCAGACCCCCCCTCCCAACTAGGGTCCTTCCATTCTCGCAGCGGCTCTTCCAATTGTGAACATCTCACGACCTCATTCTCTTCCTTTACTCCAACTTGCCTCCAACTGACTGACTGCGTCTACTGCCGGCATCACTCGATCCCCGGTTCCCCTGCTCGGCGTACCATCCTGCAATTGCAACCCCTACCTCTATCGCAATTCGTCCTCAAGCACCTGCACCATCTTGTTCTACCATCGCAAAACGGCACCCGCTGGCCGGCTCCCACTCCAGAGCCGCTGAGCCTCGTTTCTTGATTCGTCACGGAAGCTGTACGCCAACAGAGCCCTCCTGCAACAGACGGCGCACTCTCACCGTCCGTCGACAGCCTTGATGGTCGCTTAATACTGCCCCGTACCACGAAAGGATGCTCCTGCTTCTCTCCTGCATCAACCTCGTGAGACGATGAATACCGTGACCGCCGGTCTGCGCAGCTTCTCGCCGCCGTTCAAACCCCGTTTCGCAGATGCTCCTGCCGGCGGCGAGTGGACCTCCTACAAACATCACTCCGATTACCGCTCAAGTTATCTCAACGGCCACCGCCCAGACAGAGACATGGAGCCGCCCCAAAAGCCGGTCGGCAAGATGCCTACCTACGACACCAGCAACGGCTCGTCTCGCAGTCTCGGCCTCTCCAAGCTCTTTGAAAACGTCCCCATGAGCCACAAATCTTTTCTCGACCCGGAATACGAGGTTGAGATGCTCAGACATAAACGTGACGTCTTGCAATCCGTCGTCGACTCGCACGGTACTTGGTCTCCGCATCCAATTCGACCTGCTCTCTTCTAACTCGCCTCTAGATATCTCCCGCGGCGTCCCCGTTCTCTCCCATTTAGACGAGTGCCGCATGCTGCAATACATGTGCGAATGTCTCGAAGCCGCCTGCATGCTCAAAGGTGCGCCAATTCTCTTGCCGCGCATTTCACCTCTAACGTTGCCTAGGCATCGATGCCAACCAGCAGCTCCGAGCTTCTTCGGGCAGTGCTCCTGCCAGCTTCAGACCTTGGCTTTCACGTAACCTCACCAAGCAGGACCCCGTCTTTGCAAGCATCATCGCCGGAGCCAAGAACCTAGACGATCTCCCGCGTACTCTCAAGTGTCCCGTCCGCGGCTGTCGCCATTACGTTTATGGTTTCGCTACTAAGGAAGAGCTGGAGGCACACACGCGCACTCACTTGGTCGCTGGTGAGGAGCTTCTCCAAGACCAAGACGAAATCAATGCCCGCCGTACCACACAGTACCCCGGCAGACCCGAGATGGATCCCGTACAGCAACCTCGCACACCACCTGAGCAGCGCGAGCCCATCGACAGAGACTACGCTCGCGCCGATGGCATGGATGGCATTCAACCTCACGCCTTTATGCGCCCCAAGTCACCTACCTTGACTGGCACCACCCTCTCGCCCAATCCCGATGCGACCTATGGCGAAGCCCATCATCGCCACTTGCCCTCGGAACCTCACTTCTCCCCCCGGATGCGTCCGTCGGAACCAGAGTATCGACGCGAATCTATGCACCTGGATTCTCGTCGTGAGTCACAGCACGAGACATTACCACCTATAAGACAACTTGATCTGCCCTCCGAACAGGGCTCCCAGCAACACAGCTACATGTCGGCATCGCAGTCCCAGGCCCTCCCGACCCAACCCGGCCACCTACCGCGTATCGATTCGTTCGCCGGCTCCCTTCGCTCCGAAGCCCCCTCGTCTCCCCGGGTTCGTGCCCGAACTGATCGCGGCGCCGATGCTCAAACCTCGTTTAGTGGCCAGGATTCCTTACCCCCATTTTCCGCTCTGGACCCTGCCAGAAACACGAATCCTGCTCGCCTCGACCCAATTCGGCAGCAAGTCAAGACTGAATCTGTACAGATCAAGCCAGAGCCGAAACAACACCCCGAAGAGCCTTGCCCTCGTTGCACGGGCCAAGAAGCCGGCCCCTGCAGGTGCATCGTTCCCCTGAGAGACGACGACTCGCACTGGTACCGCGTCGACACATATCGAGGTACGATTGCCTCTGTCGCCAAGAGCCTGGTGCCCGGTTCCTCTATCGGCGAGCGGACTGCCCGACAAGGGAATCTGTTGGCCGGCCCCATTCGTCAAAATGCTGTGCGTAAGCTCCGCCGTGATGTCGACGAACACCTTCGATCTGTTCTGCGTTTCCCTGATAACATCCGTGGTGGTATCCGTGACACGACTGATTTTAACGACTCCTTCTGGCGCATGGGCGATCTGAGCCACGAGAAGAATATTATCGAGCAGATCGTTGCCACCAAAGACTGGAACATCTTCACGCCGCCGCCTGCCATTCTCTCCACCCTTCTCTACACCAACCTCAGAACACAGCAACCGTACGACATTATCCATGTTATTGGCACAACCGGCAAACTCTCTTCCAGTCGACGCGATGAGGAATTCACCAACCCGGCCCTCTTCCACGCCAAGCACTTGCTCCGCGAGGTCGCCTTTTACGGCCTCTCTGGCAGCAACCCCTTCATTAGCGCGCCTTTTGCAGAGAGACGCGGGCCACCCTTCCCGGAGGAGGCTCTTCGAGTCGATCAAGCCGAGGTCGTTGAAGCCTGCATGGCTACCTTCCTTCGCGCCTTTGAGGCCAGCTGCAGAGACGGCAAGGAGAAGACGCCAAAGCAGTGGATCGCCCTATTCTCGTCCCTTGTTATCTTTCATCTGTCTGGTGTCATGCTCGGCGGAGCTGCAAAGGCCTCCCTGGAACATCCAGTCAATGCTGATGACCACGCATTTGCCCTCGCGTTCTGGGACACCATCCGCAGCAGCTTTGATGTGCTGCTTGATCTTTTCTTTGATCTTGGCCCTATGCTTTTCGACAGAGTTTCTCAAGATTGGAATGAAGGCGACATTAGGGCATATGACATGACGGCCAAAGCTCTTCTGTATGGCGATTGGAAGAGCAAGGGCATTAACAATTCAGAAGAGTTTTTGTTGGCCCTCTCCTCCTTCACCTTTGAGGAGTCTATCGATTCCATGAGACAGGTGTCTAGGACACAGAGCCTGCACGGCGGGGCAAGAGGTCCTCGATCGGAAACCTCTCGATCGCATTATGAGCCTGTACCAAGAGCTTACACCGATCGAGGCGAGCCTGTGCCGAAAGCATACACTGATCGCGGAGCTCGAGTCTCTCGCCTGCAGACTGACTATAGAACTGGCAGCGCTGATTACAAGTCGCGGGACTATGGGTCAGTGTCAGCTCGCAGCGACTATGCTCACTCCGAGGCTGGTTCATCTAGGGTCCACGATTATCTCCGTGACGGACGGATAAACGATCGCACATGGAACCACTCTGTCCCCTCGCGCCGTTCATCACCAGGACCCACAGAAGCTGACTCGTTGTCCCCTACCGGCATCGTCTCCCCTGATGGACGGTCGCCAATGTCGATGGCTAATCTGATAGGCAAGGCTCTTCATGCACCGAGGCCACTAAGCCCGAGAAGCGAGGCGAGAAGCGAAGTGAGAAGTGAGGTGGGATACGGATATTCGAGACGTCATGATAACCGCATGGCTTCCCACGGCGTTGCATCTTTGGATCGCCGCCCGATGACCGGCTCATCTCACTCCGTCACTCCATCCCGCCGTGACAGCAGCGCGCCCGTTGCCATTCCCTCGGGACCGCCGAACATCAAGCCAACCTACCAACGGCCCCCACTGCGCCGCGTGTACTGCACTCATTGCAATGACTACCCCGAGGGTTTCCGTGGCGAGCACGAGCTGCGCCGTCACACACATGCGCGTCATGCGGCTCTGGTTCGCCGTTGGGTATGCCGAGAGCCTCCCAGGAGACATCCAAACCAACCTTGGACGTCGGTTCCCCTCAACACTTGCAAGTCGTGCATGGCTCAAAAGAGTTACGGAGCCTACTACAACGCCGCGGCGCACCTGCGTCGAGCGCACTTTCCGCCCACACGTAATGGAAAGTCTGCGAGTGACTGGCCCTCCATGTCTGTCCTCAAGGAATGGATGCAGGAAGTTTGCGTTGCTCCCGACTCGGCGAGCGAGGCCAAGGGCAAGGGGAAAGGCCGGGCCACTTCTGACGGGCAAATCGTCGACCTGGACAGTGATGACGAGATGGAGGATGTGAATGGGCAGGAGAGCGTGGAACCCGCCAACCACGCGAATACCGAAACTTCTCCCACAAACACCAGAACGAGCGACTCCCCAGACGAACCGGCAGGCGGGCAAAAGTGCCCGTACCCAGAGTGTGGAAGGGTGCTACGTGACCTTGCCGCGCACATGCTGACGCACCAGGCTGAGCGACCGGAAAAGTGTCCCGTCCCTTCGTGCGTGTACCACACCAAAGGCTTCGCGCGCAAGTATGACAAGAACCGCCATGCACTGACGCATTACCGCGGCACTCTGATCTGCCCTCTGTGCCCGACCAAGGGCGACAGTGTCGAGAGCGTCTTTAGCCGCGCCGACGTATTCAAGAGGCATCTCGCGTCGGTGCACAGCGTCGAAACCAGCACTGGCCCGCAGACGAACGGCGAAGAAGCCCCTGCCACCGCCGAGCTGTCGGCGTCCATGATGTCGCGTCCCGTAGCGGACCCCAAGACGCTGCAAAATGAGGGCCGCTGTTCCATCTGCGACGGGTACTACCCCTACGCCCAGGAATTCTACGAGCACCTGGATGAGTGCGTGCTGGCGGCGCTCGTGGCTCCCGAGTCGCTAGCGAACGCACAGCCTGGCCGAGCTTATGCCTCGATGCCGCCACCACCTCCTCCACGCACAGGCTCTCCGACATACTCGGTCGGCTCGGGCCGCTCGCAGACAACCCAGGGCAGCCGCCTGCAGCCCCCGGGGACTGCCATGTCGGTGCCATACGGCTACCGCCAGTACTCGGACCACGGCTCGCGGCCAGGCAGCGCGGCGTCAGCCCGCAGCTTCGACTCTGGGCGCCGGTCGGGCTTGATTCACGTGCATGCACACACGCAACTGCACGCTCCGCGGCCGATGGGTGTACCTCTGCCACCGCCATCCACGTGTGGCTCGTTTGACTCGGATTTGAATTAGGCACATTCTGAGTCGGTCTAAGCGACCGTGGGCTTGAGGGGATTGGCAATAGTAGTAGAGATCCCCTCTCAGCCATGCAGACTTGGGTTATTATTCCCAGCCACGTAAGCTGAGGGTATTATTTGTATATAGCTATGTGGAGGGAGGCGTTTGGAATTTGGGATTTCTGGGTGTTTTTGGATATTTTGGGATATACTCTATTTGTTCGGGTCTAGGAATCGAGGCGACGATTCTGTACATTTGGATAATAAATTTCTGCAAGACAAGTCATGCCACGAACATGTTGGGCGAATGTCTTGCGTACTAGTCACGTTCTTGCAAAGCAGCCATGTGGTCAGGTTACGTCTAAACTTTATCAAATTATGCCTATGTAGCAACCAACTAACTCCATTCCAAAAATGCACCGTAGATACAAGCCATGACCGTCAATGATGTAGCAAAAGAAATCAAGTAAAGGGGGTCAAAAGAACACTCGAAAGTCGTCGTCTCTATTTCTCAGACTCGTGAGCAATCTTTTCACCGAGGACTCCACGGTTATGGAGGCCGGGAGGGGCAGAGCGCTTGAAGTACTCGTGAATCTCTTGGGAAAACTCGCCGTCATCGCCCATGCCGTGGTCAGCGGCGTTGTTTTCCGTCTCCTTGGGACCGCGGGCCGCCTGGACATCCTCCCACTCCTTGCGCATGTCGGCAACCTTGGCCTTCCAGTCCTTTTCGGGGTCATACGACTTGGCGAGACCCATGAGGCGCTCCCAGACGGAAAGATGCTGGGGGTTGACGGCAACACCGTGGTACTCGTGGCCGCGGTTCTCGCGGATGTAGCGCCAGCGACGCTCCTGCTCCTTGAGATCGAGACCAGTGGTATCGGGAAGGAAGAGGTACGTCAGCAGCATACCGGCGAGACCGAACCAGGGCACGACGAGGAACTTGGTCTTGGTGTCGATGTAGTTGTAGAGGACCGAGGCCAGCAGGGCGCCAGCCTTGCCCATGCAGGCGGAGAAACCGTGGGCGGTGGCACGGATGGGGGTGGGAAAGACCTCGCCGGCGACGAGGAAAGTGACCGAGTTGGGACCGAACTGGTTGAAGAAGGAGGAGAGAAAGTACATGGCCTGGAAAGAGTGGATGCCGGCAGGGCTGGTATAGTAATCGTACTTGAAGGCGGGAATGACAAACATGAGGAAGCACATGAAGAAGCCAACCTGCTGCATCATCTTGCGACCATACATTTTGTTGTCAATGAGGAAAGAGGCCATGTAGTAACCGGCGAGAGAGACGACAATGTTGACCAAATTCCAGCTCCAAGAGGTGAGGAGGTTGGAGGGGTTGTGGGAGATGACGCTGATGAACTGACCCTGGAACAGCTTGTTTCCGTAGAAGAATACGTCATTGCAGAACCAGGCACCGGCGGTGGCGATGAGACGGCCACCGAAGTGGGTGAAGCAGTACTTGAGCGCCGTCACATCGTAGCCGGTGACTGCGGTGCGAGCCTTGGCAGCGGCGAGCTGCTTTGAGGGATTGGGCATCTTCCAGGTTCTGTAGTAGACAAGCCAGAGGGTACCGATGGCGGGGAAGGCAAAGGACAGGCGGAAAGCGTACTGGGCGGCGCTGTGGCTGTAAGGGGGGGAGCCGGAGCCAGAGTTGAAGATGACGAGAAGGACGATGAGCAGGACCTGGTTGACGAACTGGCCCCAACCCTGCATGAGGAAGGCCATGGTGACGCGGCGACCACGGTGCAGTCTGTCCTCCTTGGTGGAGAGGCGGCCGGCGGAGGAGACGTTTTCGAGGGACGAGGTGGCGGTGATGGGGTACTCACCACCAACGCCGAGGGAGTAGAAGAAGAGGGACCAGGCGTAGCAGATGACCCAGCCTTGGAGAGTCAGACCCCAAGAGGCAGTGAGCATGAGAAGGCCGATGAACATGATGATGGCGTCTTGGATGAGACCCCAACGACGACCAATCCAATCACCGATGACCTAGAATTCGTTAGCAATGCGTGGGATACGGGATACGCGCGAGTGTGCGTGGGTGAGGGTGAGGAGGGACGTACGCCGACAAAAACCTGACCAACCATGATACCGATAATCTCAAGGTAGGTGACGGCGGCGAGCCAGTTTTGGCTGCAGACTTGGTGCTTGCCCCAGCACTCGGGCCAGACCTGCTTGAAGAGAGGCTCGAGGTTACCAATGGAGAAGAGGACGTAGCCCTCAAGACCAAGGCCAGCACCGGGAATGACGGCATGGCGAAAGTACCAGCCAAGAGGGGAGAGAGGATCCTTCTTGACCATGGCGCCAATGGTGGCGAGCTCCTCCTTGGCAGCTTTTCGGTCGACGGCGTTGACGAACTTGAAGCGCTGGGCTAGAGGCAGATCGGCCCAGTAGACACCTTCGGGGGTGTACGAGTCGTCTGGGCGGGTGACATGGCTAAAGATGCGACGTTCTTCGGGGGTAGTACCAAGCATGGAATCGTCACCGCTGTCGCTGGCAGGAGGGCCATGGGGAACGGGGACCTCGCCGGCGATGGGATGGTGATGCTCGTGATGAGCGGGCTCGACCAGGTCGTGGGCCATGGCCTGCGGTGGTGGCGATGTAGATTGATTGACTGCAAGGAGAAGGTGAAGAAACGAAGAAAGATATGGATGGAAGAGATGGAGGATCAAGAGATCAAGGAAGCAAGAGCACTGGGTGCAATTGGTTGGTAGGAAAGACGAGGACGCAAACGGACGGTTGGTGGAAGGAATGAAGAAAGAGGATGAGAGACGAGAGGGCACTGTTATAACTACGGATAGGCGGACGTGGACCCTGGCTTTCTGGGAAGGAGAATCCACACGGAAATATGGAACTAGATAGGTAGGAAGCTAGGTACTGCCTAGGTTGTTGTTAAAAAAGAACTCCAAACTTTGCTGGAGTACTTTTACGAAACTAGAATGAAGAGTATAAGACTAGGTACAGTAGAGAGAATCTGTATGCAAGCAATATTTTCGGCCGCGCCGCTTTTAGAGGTGGCGCTAATCCCGGTCGCGGCAGGGGAGGTCTTGCAGGGGTGTGGCTGAGGGGAAGGGAGATGCACACAAACAAAGGAAGAAATGTTTCTGCAAGATTTGTAAAAAAAGATTCGTGGCGCAGCACAGTAAACCGGCAAAAAATCACCACCAAACAAACACAAAACAACGACCAAACAGACACAAGAAATCACCATTTCGCTATTCTTAGAACCTGACTTATTGACCGTCCCGGCAAAAAAAAACAAAAACAAAAAAAGAATAGAGTGCAGACTCTGACCTATCCAAAGTCTGCCGCATCGTGGCTCGCGACCGCCCGAACGGCTTAGAAGAGAGTGGCCAATCATAGGCCGCAAATCGACCACGCTCTCGATCTCTTCATCATGACAGGTCGCCAATGCCGACCCCACCTGGGTCGCTCCATCCTCCACCCTCCACACTTTTTTCGTGCAGATTCATGTATGCGGATAGCCGCAGACAAGTTGCTGCACACGACAGAATCTTTTCCACGCAGTGCAGCCACGAAACAGTTACGAATACCGAGAGTGCGAGTCAAGCAAGCCCTCGTCAGCCAGGCGGCCAGATCATCATCACCCTGGCTGCACGCACTGCAAACGCACATCACCGTCCACACATCCGTACTCTCGCATGCGATTTCTGCTCGGCCCTTTTCAATCGTAAAAGCAATATCAACTTGAAGAGCAGCGTCCTCGCAATTACTAACCAGTACTGTCCATACGAATGATTGATGCATGGCAACATCCGCCAGTAACACGTTCTCGTGTCTTGCCCACGACATCTCATTGGGCACCTGGCACTTACTTCTCAGACAATGAATTGTCAGCGCTGGCCGGCTAGGGCGGCGAATCTTGCAAGTCACTCACCCTGCCGATCCTCAGCGCCAGCATTGCGCTCGCCTCTACTCTATGCTTAATTCAGTCACCGAACCGGCCCGGCTGCGCAGCTGCCTGTTGCTGTTGCCCGTTGTTTCCGACCAGCGTCGTCTTTTCCATGCTCTCCTTGGTCCGACCGAATGGCCAGCTTGCTGCACTCCGGGAATGCTGACCGGACAAAAATACCTCGCAAAGGAAACTGCTCGCGTGACTGCAGCGCCACGTCGCAGTTATTCCATCCACTTGCCCATCTCTCGGCGGGCTTGGTTGCACTTGGCGGGCGGGCTGCAGCTGCAAGCATCATCGTGCCTCGACTGTGATGAGGCCGTCCCGGAGACCCCAGTCAGCGCAGTGGGCGAGGGGCGCCAAGGCTACCGACTCCCAACGTGGCGACATCCAGCGCCGCTTTATCACTTCACCCCATCTCGTACAAGGCCAAGCCCCAGAAAGTCGTACGCTTCCAGAACAGCGTCAACCTCTCTCTCCCTCCCACACCCTTCGCTCACTAGGTAGTTCAACTACACCATCAGTACCCTGCCCTACTTGCCTACCTACCTCAGCTCAGCCGCATCGTCATCTCTTTACCTCTATATCCCTACTTCACATCTCTTTCTTGTACTATAGCCCGTCTCATCTTTACGCCACCCGCACTTGCCACATCTATCTACCGACCCGTCGGCCATCCTCGCTGCATCACGGCAATCCGGCAACATGCATCGTAGAATATTGCATCATGCGTTACCGTACGGAGCACACACCAGCAACAGTCTCACGCATCCATCCACTTCAGCCTTTGTCTCACTGTCTATTTTTCCACCACATGCACTATGCATGCCTTCGCGCTGCGAACATGAAAGGGACCCTTCCACTGACTGATGCAACCTTCCCCAACTCCGCATCACCCCGCGCCTCTTCCCCAACCGCCAGAAACCCAAAACTCTGCCGGCCACTGACGAGACGCTGCATGCGCTAGTAAACCTTCTGACATGTGGCCTCGACGCTCATCTTGACAGGACAGCCACAAAAGCCAACTTACGATGACCATTCCGCAGCTGCCTAAGGTTCAGCCGACAAGGCTTCGCACAACTTCAACCGGGTATCGTACTATGTAACGTGCTATGTAACTGGACTCATGACCTGAATCCTGAATGTTACACCGCGTCTCGGCCGAGCCTTCCAGAGCGCGCCCCATCAGTATCGGTAAGCTTTGAGTGTTGCATGCAGGCTTGCAACGAAGGCTTTAGACAAGCAAAGAAAAAGTTGTAAACGTAACGTGCTATTCTAATTTCGCATGCTGACACACAAGGCTACACCACGGATTCTGCTGGTCATCTACACCGATGGGCACATAAGCCGCAGATAGCATCCAAATCTCAGTCTTTGTAGTGTTCACCACCGCAACCGACATGGTACCTCCATCCGCATAACGTGCCTTCATAACCACTCCCCACGTTTAATCTTGCGGCTGAATCTCCAAGATGTTGCCGTCCGGGTCCTGCACGTAGATGAACCGCCTGTTGATCTCGTTGAGCACCGCCTCGATCCCTCGCCGCTCCGCCTCCGGCAGCTGCGCGTACACCTCCGGCGCGAACCCCTGCGAAACCGCCAGCGGCCCCGTCGTCGGCGTGTCCTCCCCGACCCTCTTCAACATCCTCGCGCCGCCTCCTAGAACCCCCTCCAGCCGCCGCTGCGCCGCCTCCACGTCCGGCACCACCACCCCGAGGTGCCCGACCCCGTTGGCGCGCTCGCTCGGCGACACCACGTCCCGCCGCGGCACGTCCAGCCACAGCATCTCCAGCAGCCCCTGCGCGTTGTTCTTGTCGCGCAGCAGCTCCGCGGTGCTCTGGTAGCCGGTGCCGTTGCGCCCGCCCTGCGCGTGGCCGAGGTACGCGATGGACAGGCGCGGGCTGGCGCGCACGGTGAAGACGTGCCGCATGCCGAGCGCGGCGGTGTAGAAGGCGATGCTGGCGCTTAGGTTGCGCACGTTGAGGGAGACGTGGTTGAGGAAGTAGCCGGTCGTCGCGGGATCGGAGGGGGCGTCGCTGCCCAGGTCGATGGGCGGGAGGCCGGAGGCTTGCCGGACGTGCGTGGCGCAGCCGAGGACGAGGGACAGGTTGGCGAGGACGATGCTGAGCTTCATGCTGTAGGAGTGTTTGAGACTGCTTGAAGGATTGTGATTGTGATCTGGCGGAGTCATCTCACGAATGATCCGGGTAACCGCTTGATTTTATACCCATGCCGTGATGGCGAATTTACATCCTTGCCATGAGCAATGTCACGGTCAGGATCAGTCACAGCCCAACCTCGTCACTCGCGCTGCCTTGCTCGCGCGAGAAGCTGTCACCGCGCCATCGGCCTGTCCCCTGAACAAGACGCTGTCTACGCCGATCGCGTCTTGGAAGAGCCGGCGCTTGCCAGACTCGGCGAGACATGTTGGCGAGTCCAACGTCGACAGTGGTGCGGCGCTGCAGCCTCGTTTGGCGGCCGAGCTATCCATTGGCCAAAGTCCGACCGCCAAGGAGCCTAGTTGGGGACTCGTCACCGCTCTTCGCGCATTCCTCGCCCAAGCGCGAGGCGAGATGGGAAGTGGCGAGAGCGCTCTTCATGCTAATAATGAGAGAAGCGAGCTGACAGCGGTTTCCAACAAAAGTGTCGCTTCATGCTTACATCATGGAGACGGGCCGCGTACAGTAGAGAATGCAAATGCAACTAAAACCCCATTCATATTATTAAACAAGCGCGCTAAATAGCAGCATGTGACAAGACAGATAGACAAACAATTCAACAGCAACGTTGAGCGGCTGTTAGTAGAGTTGGTACAAAGAGCCTGCTGGGTATCCATGACTCGGAGCAATTGCGCGAAAATCCAAGAAAAGAAAAAGCCACCCCCGATGAAACGTGTTTACGCCGCAGCGGCTGGCACGGGGCTCGGCAACGCCTCCTGTGGCTGCTGCTGCTCCGACTGTTGCTCCGGCTGCTGCTCCGGCTCCGGCACAGGTAGCGGCCGCAGGGTCTTCCGCCCATTCGTCTTGTAGTAGAGCACAATGTCGTTGCCGCCCTTCCAGATGTGCGTGCGCAGCGTGGCCAGTGTCAGCGTGGGTTCCAGAAGCTGCTCGTTGCAATACAGCTCCAGGTACGCCTCGGGCTCCATCTGCGCGTCCGCGTCGTCGTCGTCGGGGCCAGGTGGCGGCTCGATGCGCTCTGCCACGTAACCCAGGATCTTCTTCACGCGCAGCATCCGGTTGGCATTGAGGCGGCTGCTGCCATCGGTCGCGACGGGCGGGAGGCCGTCAAGAGGGTGCAAGACAAAGGAGATCTTGACGGGCTCCTTGAAGGGTACCTGGTTCTGCAGGAGGAGATCGCCCAACCACATGGGAGCCTTTTGCTCAATGATGTCGGCGTCGCGACCGACGCTCTCGACGGTGCCTTGGTACACGTTGGAGCTTCCTCCTGACGTCTCCTCCTGGATGATGACCTTGGTGCCGGGTGGAAGCTTTAGCACTGGCGTATCGGCTGGGAGACTAGGCGTGACGCGCGTCTCAACTAGCTTGTCTGGCGACTCGGTGAGCTGTCTATCATAATCGTGGCGGATCTTCTGAATTATGCCATAGAAGCTATCATCCACTTCCTTTTCGTGGCTCGAAGATGATTCTGATTCCACGGCCTTTTCATCCACAACGACAGGCTTCTCCTGAATTGCTTGCGAGGCCGAGCGCCCCAACTTCTTGGAGCTAAAGGACATGCGGAACTTCTTGCCGAACGGTGTGCTGGGAGACTTAGGACCATCTGCTGGCTTCTCCTTTTCCTTTTCCTTGGGCTTCTCTGTATTGTCGGTTGAAGTCTTGCCCTCGGCAGTGTCCGGGGCTGGGGTCTTGACAGCTGCCGTGTTGTCAACAGGGGCAATACCGGCGGTGAAGTAATCGCCTTTGTCGGCAGATGGGCGGCCAGCCTGCGAAGCGCAGCTTGACTCAACGGCTACAGCAGGGGTGCCAGCTATGCCGATACCGGGCGTCACGGCAGGCTGTAGGCCGTCGGCGCGAGGAGTGGCCGCGTTGTCTGTTACTGCAAGATTAGCTAGCCCAGGGATAAGCGTCGGCGCACTCGAGGCGGCTGCAGCTATCTTCTTTTCCACCTCTTCATTAATCTTGTGGCGGTAGGCCTCATCTCGCTTGATTTCTTCATCAATGAGGTTGGCAAACAGATAACGCAGAATCCAGCGTCCAAGGCTGATTCGCTGATCTTCCCGGAATTCAATCTTCTCCCCCAGATCTAGCTCGTCGGCATAAACTTCTGCATCAAAGCAATTGTAGGGCTCCAAAATTACAGTAAGATTGCCCGAGCTCAGATCGACGGAGCACCACGGAGCGACGGCCGCTCTTGTGTTGAGGAGATCGGCAACATCCTCTAAATGCTGCTTTCCAAAGCTTTGGATGGGTTTGCACTAACACAATCAGTCAATTGGTCAGGAAAATACACCGTACAAAAAATACCTGTATGAGATCCCACAATAGCACGTCGCCAGCAGTGTCCAAAGTGAGCACCCGTTTTCTGTCGTTCAGAAGCTTGTGTTTCAAAAGACCAAATCGACCTTCAAGGGTCTCCTCCGGTACAGAGAAGATGGGCTTAATCTCAGACTCTGGCTCTGGCGGTGGGACAACGGAGGCTCTGCGGGAAGGGCCGTCATTGACAGTCTCTCCATCGGCGTGTGACCTTGGCAGAAACATGCCCATGGTGGATAATTTGAGAATAGAGTGCGGGTCAATTTCTTGTTTCGCGCCGTTGGTGTTGGGATGCGACGTTTGACGTGACTTGGCTGAAATGGCTGAAACGGATCGTCTGTGACGGTGGTCCTGTGGCAAATGTAGCTCTTGGTCTAGATCAAAATCGCGCCAGCGGTTAATGGACGACCTGTTTGTGGCTGTCCAGAAATAGCCATGGGAGGCCACAACCTTGGACACACCGATGTGCTCGTGAGCGAGAGCCAAGCTCAGCCCATTGTCGACCTCGTCAAAGCTGCCGCGGATGTCGGTCTTGGCCACCATGCCGTTTCGGTCCGAGCTGTAAAAGATGCCCAGCCGAGGGTCGTTTGAGAAGAGGGACCAGATACTCTCGTCATGCATGGTAAAGGTGTACATGCAACGGCCACCACGCACGCTCCAGAGCTTGATGGTCTTGTCTGCACTGGAGCTGAGGATGGTGTCGTCGGCATCGTCGATGAGGAGGGATCGAATGTTGCCGACATGTCCCATGAGCTTGGAAACCTCGGCACCGGAACGTGGGTCGTGAAGACGAATCGTCTTTTCTGGACCGCCACTGGCGACGATGCTGCGGCCGAGAGCGAGGGAATAGACAGAGCCTTTTTCGGGAATTTCTTCACCTTTGACGTCGATTTCCAGAGATTTACCCTTGCCGTTAAGATCCCACCAGCAAATCTTGCGGTCCAAACCCGCGGCAACAATCGTGTTGGAGGTGACGTCGGTGGTAGATGCAACGACACACTTGACGTAGTCGGCATGCTCGCCAATGATGTGCGCGACGCTGCTTTCTTCTGAGTGCGGGCGCCAGACCTTGACGGAAAGGTCAGAGGAGCCAGAGACGACGGCTGCGTTATTCTGTGCGAGGGCGATGGCGTTGATCCAGTGCATATGTGCCTGAGTCTGGGCGCGAAACTTGGAGGCATTGGTGGTGGTGGTGGAGGAGGAGGAGGAGGAGGAGGAGGAGGGTTTGGTCGACAGATCGAGGTCCCAGGCACAGACGATGCCGTCGCGGCCTCCGGAGTAGCTGTAATCGAGGTCAGAAAGGGTTCGTGGTGGGTCGATAGGGTATCCGAGATTCGTGTGCGTACAGGATGCCGTTGCTGGCGTCTACAGCCAGGCCGTTGACGCCGAGTCGGTGTCCGCCGGCCGAGGACTTGCCATTTTCCAGAACTGCGTGCGGGGAGGTTGGTTAGCAAAATACGAGGACGACGCGGCACAACACGCCTCCGTGACCGGGACGAACTCGGACTGTTGAGTGCGGAGGGCACGAGACGCGGGGCCGGGTCCGGGCTTACCATAGCTAATTCTCTGACGGGCCTTCTTGGCCATGGCCATGATGACGTGGTTGCGATGTGTTGTGAGCGGTTCGCTTCGCGGGGGGCGGGCACGAGGAGAGACAACGAGCAACCGGGATGTCAAATCATGGAGAGTCGAGGAGCTGGGATGCTGTGGGCAAGAGGCAGGCGACTGAAAGGAAGCGCAGAGCGTGGAGAGAAGCGCCCGCGTGGCATGGCTTGGCTGGAGAAGTTGGCTGGATGGCCTGGAGGAGTGAATGAAAGGGCTGGACTAACTAATGTTTGTGTTGAGGCGTGAGCGGAGTTGCAGGCCAAGCCACGATGGGCCTGAATTGGGGGGGGTATGGGAGGGTTTTTGGAGGACGGACTAGAGACTTGGAGGCTGGGGAACAGTAGCGGAGGCGCGGGGTTTGTTTTAGGGGCATTTAAAGCCTTAGCTATAGCACTTTAGGGCACTTTAGGTATCCGATTTCAGCCGACACCCGCTGTAGCTCCCTACAGTACAGCGCTAATTCCTTCCAAGACGGCCCTGACAGCCGCTAATTCACCCCCCCAACGTGGCTCATCCTCACCAGGCTGCCGGCTGGCTGACGCCTGCAGGAGTTAGTGACGTCGCAAAACGGATAACGTCCAACCATTTCCGACTGATTCTACGTCGCATAATTGATGGGTACCTATTCAGGTAGAATCGGGTTTGGTTTCGCTAATGATTTCCCTCGCATCCAGCTTAGCTATCCAAGTTTCGGTCCCCCCATCATAATTTATTATGCGCCAGCCACCCAGCCTGGTCCCCCCGCTGGCACGACTCGCTTGCCCTGGCTGGACGGACACCACTGCTCATGAACTACTGGGGTAGAGGCGTCAACACTTGGCCCTCACAACATCGACGCATACTGTCCTGACAAATCATCGCTTTTATTAATCGCCATGTATGAGAAACAAACACAAGCATACCCAACAAAACAAGCCCTGGCTGCCTCATTGCCGGTTGCCGTCCCTCAGCTCCAGCACCCCCGCCGTGGCTGTCGTGATAGACCACTAGCCACCAAGTGGCGTTGTTGACCTTGCTTGCAGTATCCGGTACCTGAACTTACTTTGCCAGATACCTTGTCGGTAAATGCCGTTTGGGAACTTGCGCCGTTCTATTTCTAGGCAGTCCAGTTCTCGCGTTTGCGGTGCGTACTTGCAGAAGAGCTTGCAGCGTCCAATCACCACCGCTGTTGCTCATCCATCGCTTTGTCGTCGTTCCTCTCGCTAAAAGCGCCATGTTTCGAAAGAGTAAAAACTATAGGAAAGAAGACTGTCGTAAAAATCCGCTTCTTTGGGGGTATATTATTCGTAGAGGTATGGTTTCCCAGCTGTTGAATCCGAGAGTCAACTTCCTTCCTCACCCCATGACAGTCTCACTCACCAGGCTGGTCGCATTACATGATAACGCAGCAGCAGCAGCAACACCCGTCAGCGCAGCATCCTTCCTCACACCATCGCGCTGATTTCCACTTCTTCTTGTCTTCGCACTGGGGGCAAATCTCCATGCTCTGCAGTCTGTCTTCGTCGCGTTTCTTACAGTTCTTGACGCTACACTTGGTGCTTCCCCGTGAGATTTCGTGCTTGCACTTGTACTCGAGAACTATGTGAGTACACATGACAGCGGTTGTCACGTATGGCACAGCGTCGTGTAAGAGGGAGCAGTAGATACGAAAGAACAGAAAGCCCGGAACGGATTCGAAAAGGACGGGGTGGAGGAGTAGGTTGGCAGAGGATGGTGTCGTAGGTAAGGGCTATTGAGGCGGCGATGAGAGCGGTTTCGGGTTCAAAGGATAATCGTATCTAGGACTGGAGGAAGAAGTGATGAAGCAGGAAAACCGCAAGAGGTGGCGAAATACAAGATGCCCCTTACAATGTTCAACAGCGCGACTGTCAATCGCGACCCTGCTGTCGCACTACGGCCATTCTTGCTCTCACGGGCCGGGCAGGAGCCACTTATTGGCTGTTGTCGAGGGAAGGCAGCCATACCAGGCTGGCTTGCATTTGTCAATCGCACGTCTCAACTCTTACTTGATGTGTACACTACAGTGACATATCGTGCTTACCATCATCCCCTGGTACCGAGACTGCCGCCCCCGGATTTTGGCAAGCGGCCAACATGGCACGGCTGCTTTCATGCTTTCCAAGTGAGGGCCGGAGAGAAAAGTTAAACGTGATATTGAAAGCGACAGAGGCCACCGATGACTGGCTATTCTCTGCCTCAAGTCGCTTCTCGTGCTGAACCCGCATGTCGCAGTGATTGGCTCAGAGGCCACGAGAGACGCTTGTACTGCTCAAAACGGCAAGACTCGCTGTACGCTGTGTACTATGTAGCTGCTGCATTAAAAAGGCAGATCTGAGGATTTATAGGTGCATGGCGAGGAGCTGTACTTGATTCTCATGTGAAAAGGCATATGCGAATTCGAGATTCGACTTTTCAGCTGCTGGGTGTCTATGTTGTACCTTTTTGCAAGTGTTTGCTCTCAGTCACGTACAACTTGAGTGGTGGTTGACTGGGACTCAATTAGACATTGATTTCCCTCCACTGGACTGCACAAGCGAATTTAAGAAGAAGAAAAAAACTAGGCTTCCGAAAATAAAGAATAAAGAATCACTCTCTGAAACAACAAGAATCAGATGATAGGCAGGTACTATGTAGACGCTTCCCGCAACCAATGATGCATATACCCGTTACCTACAGTAGCTACCCCACAAAAAGATACATCCAACCCAGAATCAGGCTATCAGCCAACCGAACCCGGCCGGCACATTATTTTTCCGACAGGCGGTCACATTGCCATTATCTGCAGGCGCAGGAAAAAAAATCTCCATCTCACCCACCCCACAGCAAACAGCCCACTCCCCCAGTCACTGCCCTCACCTTTTGCTTTTCGCAACTTTCATCATCACACGACGACGACCGATAATCCCCCCTCCCCCCCCGGCATCGCGAGACGCCTCTCCTCCGAATCGCCGACCTCATCCCTGACGGTTTTAAGCTTGCCTTTATCACAGTCACACTCGCATCCCACCCCGCAGCCATTAAACACAGTGCCTTCCTAATAGGTACCACCTGCTTTTGGACCTGGGCTGCTTTTGGTTGCAAGTCGCTGTTTGGCAAACCGACCCCTTCCCCTGTTGTTCGGGACATATATGACTAGAACTTATCGCGTGCTCCAAAGATTTTCGTCTCAATTCGTTTGTTTCGCCAATCTCGCTGTATACTCTATGGTGACCAGTGCTCGCGGACAGTTCCTCTGAACATCTTACTGCTGTGTGATCTTTTGTTTGCATGACATCCTCCTCAGTCGTACGACTATAGTTTTGCCGCTCAATTTTTATTCTTCGTCTTCCTGTCGCCCACAATATCCTCAATCGTACCCGTCTTTTCCGTCTTCGCACCCCTTGATTCGCCTCGTCCTTGCATCGCAATAATGGCCGAACCACAGCCAGACATTCAGAGTATCCTCGCGGCCCTTGGTGAGACCTACCGATGCCATCAAAGTACCTTGTGCTCATGCTGACCCGTGATTCTTTCTTTCTCTTTTCCTTCAGCCTCTCAACGACCTGCCGGTGCTACGCCTACACAGACACCTCCGGGCGCGCCTAGCCAATCGTACGCGCCCCCCCCAGGCGCCGCTCAACCCGCTGCTGCCGCCGGCTACGGCCCCCCCTCGCAGCAGGGCCTGCCTGCGCCCTCGGGCTCAGGCAGCGTCGACCTGAGCGCCATCCGTCCTGTTAACTCGGGCACCATGAGCTTCGACGACGTGCTATCCAAGGCCCGCGCCTTTGCCGCAGCCAAGGGCGTCGCCTCCTACGACCAGCCCCTCGTCTACGGCGCCGAGTCCAGAACCTCGGACCGATCATACAGACGCTCGCGATCGCGGTCGCCCCAGCGCAACCACCACAGCGATCGCCGTACTGGCCACCAAGGTCGCGAGTACGGCGGCCGCGACCGCTCCTGGTCCCCTCCTTCGCGCGGCAGACACTCCCCCCGAGGTGGCGGCAAGGGCCGCGACCGATCGCCCCTCCGCTCCGGAGGTGCTGGCGCCGACGAAAACTCTGAGACGATTCAGATCGAGTCGAGCCTGGTCGGCCTCATCATTGGCCGCAACGGCGAGAACCTGCGCAGGATCGAAGGCGAGTCCGGCTGTCGCGTGCAGTTCCTCTCGCCCACCGACGGCGGCCCCTTCCGCCAGTGCCGCATCACCGGCCCCGCGCCGCGTCGTGCCGAGGTCAAGGACGCCATCAACCGCATCATCGAGGACAGTGGCATGGGCGCGCTGAACCGCGCCGAGGAGAAGCCCAACGCAGGCGCCGGTGCTGGCGCACCCGGAGCCGGCGGCGCCCTGCGCGACGGCGAGGACCACATGCAGATCATGGTCCCCGACCGCACCGTCGGTCTCATCATCGGTCGCGGCGGTGAGACCATCCGCGACCTGCAGGAGCGCTCCGGGTGCCACATCAACATCGTGCACGAGTCCAAAAGCGTTAACGGTCTCCGCCCCGTCAACCTGATTGGCACCCCGTCGGCCACCGCACGAGCCAAGGATTTCATCCTCGAAATCGTCGACAGCGACAGCCGCACCGATGCACCACCTCCAAGCGCTCCTGGCGGCGGCGGCGGCGGCGGCGGCCCTCCTGGCGGCAGCAAACCTCCCCCCATGTCGCGCGGCGGCGGCGGCCAGTCCCGCGACTACAACCAGCACAGCAACCCGTATGACGGGCCGGGCAAGGTCACCGAGGCCATCTACGTGCCCTCCGACGCGGTCGGCATGATCATCGGCAAGGGCGGCGAGACGATCCGCGAGATCCAGGCCCAGGCCGAGTGCAAGATCAACGTCGCGCCGTCATCGGGCCCCGGGGAGGTGCAGCGCGAGATCTCGCTCATCGGCGCCCCCGACAGCATCGAGCGCGCCAAGCAACTAATTGACGAAAAGGTCGAGGCAATGGTATGTGACTGACTCGTCTCTTTTGTCTCCCGAAGTGTCATGTGGCCATTGCTAACAAACCGATTCTGTAGAAGCAAAAGAATGCCGGAGGCGGCGGCCGAGGCGGTCGTGATCGCCACGACGGCGGAGGTCGCGGCGGCCACCACGAGCGCGGACACGGCGGGGACCGCGGCGGAAACAACAGCTACGGACAGGCATCGTCTACAAACGCACCACCGCCGCAAGGCGCTTCAGAGGACGCCTCGGATCCATACGCACAGTGTAAGTCAAGAAACCCTGCGTGCTCTTCCACGGCAAGGCTTCTGGCATGGCAATACTAACCCGAGAATCGCAGATGGCGGCTATCAAAACTATGTGGCCCTCTGGTACCAGTCCTTGATGTACCAGCAACAACAGCAAGGCGGAGGAGCAGCGGAAGACGGCGCAGCGCCGAAATGAGCGTTGCCCGTGCCAACACTTTTCTTTTTTTTTTTTTTTTGCCGTTGCTGACCTTTGCCTCCGTACATGATTTGAATCCCGTTCGCCCAGCTTGCATCTAGAGGGACAACTTTCCTTGCCGAACCAGTTGTGTCCCGCCCGGGAGCTGGAACCAAAAGCCTCTGCTCTGACCTTGATTGATACCACTCCAATACGTTTGCTGCTTGCATTCTAGGACCCGCCGGACGTACTATTTTCTTTATATACCTCCTGGGATGTTGTACATCAAAACCCTCGTTTCGGCGCATCTCCATTCAATCCCGTTTCTCCGACGGGCTTGCCATGCAGAGAGTGCTGCGCTTGGCCGCCTTCCTCTTTTACCAGCCGGAGCTGGAGCCGGCGCGCTCGCTTCGTCCATCGTCGATATTGCATTTACCGTACGTCCTTGACGTTTTGTTTGATGTCGATTTTTCCTCCAGCTGTTTGGGGTGCGCCATCGACGATGTTCCCCGTCATGGCATGATCGCTGCATCTACTCTCCCTGCCTCGCTGCATCCGGGGTAATCCTTGTTTTGGAGCCTGACTTATTGTCACCTCCGTGTGGCGTTTGACTTTTCTTTCTTTTTGCATCCCGGGGAAAGTGACGTACACTAGCACAGATGATTGTGCAGTTTTTGACTGGTGCTGTGACCTCGCAAAGGTTGTCGAGTTACGCGCGTATATGACCTCTACCTGGGAAATCGCTCGCGACACGGAGAGTGCGTGGCTAACAAGATTTCTTGTCTACCTCCGTTTCTTATAGTCCCCGTATGCCTCTTCCCGACTTCTTATATGTGTTTGAGTTGTTGCTGGATGAAAAGGAGGGGGAAAAGGGGCGAGGAAGAATTCGCTTAGGGGGTGAAGACTTGAAATGCATGAATGCATCAGAAGGTCAAGAAGAATAAGAAGAAAAGCAAATAATACAACCAAACGTCTGTAATACCCAACCCCGCATTGAAATTGTTGATTGATATGCGCAAATCGCCACAACCCCTGCTTCCCCAATTGCCGTGACTCGCGCCTGATGCGACTGAGGTTGGCATCCTCCGCTGGACCCTTGCTGGCCACACACCACGACACGTCCTGGTAGAATAACTATTCGTATTTTCTAAGCCTTCCTTGTCGGCGGCTCTGGTATCCCGGCGTTCCGCTGCATGGGTTAGTAGAAGGACACGCCACGAAGGAGCCTTGCAGACTGCCGGCATGAAAGAAGTGCATGCATGCATGCGCATTCATCCCACCCCGCCACAGGCCACCTCCTCTAGTGCATACTGTATGTACTTCGTAATAATAATAACAACTCAAACACATATTTCCTCATCGAACAAGGAAGGAAAAAAAGCCGTTGAGGCTTGCAGCGACGGTGGTGGCCGGAGTGGGTTGCTGTCAGCGGGGGCGAAGCAGGCGGTTGCTGCTCAATAAAACCGTTTTCTCCAATTCCATGTAGCAAAAGCAGGGCAAAAGACTACACGCCACGAGACAATCCGGCGTGAATTTCAAGCTGTTATGCTTTGTAGGGCTTCCATTGGCCCATTCATCGTCTTCCGCGGGCGTTGTCGGCCAAAAAGCATGGGACAAGTTCTCCCCTTGCCAAAGACAGATAACCAGGAGCAAGGATAGTATCCCGTGATGCTTTGATTCGGTAGTTGCGGATAAAACATCATGCTCTGAGCAAGCCATCCTCGTAAGAAGATGTGCTTCCACCTATCATGGTCGTCGTCATCTATATTTCCAGCGCTTGATCAGGCACTCGCCGCACTTCCATTTCAAAACGGCGTGGGGTGGCGCGTTCGAAGGTTTATTCGGATGGATACCATCTCTCCTCTACTAGCTGTGCATGGCGGACCTTAACTCTGCTCAGCACTAATTGAGGCAGAGGTCCGTCCCGTCCCAGCCATGTTCCCTTTGTGTTGGCTGTTCGCAAAAGCAGTTGATTGACTGTGCAGGTGTACACGAAGGCGAACACCTCATATTCAGCCATGGCGCCGAGCTCTCATGAACGTATTTCTGGAGATTGCCGTAGCTGAATGGCGTCACGCTATCCAGGGCTTCATCTTGCAGGCCACATTGGCTTCGGACAAGTCCCGCGAGCCGCCACGAGAGGCTTGTTCTTGACCGTGGTGTCTAGCTCATAGGATCAGAGGAATACATCTTCTCCTGGTGAGGTTAGTCGATGCGCCTAGCTTCAGCCACCCATACTCGAGAATCGACGAATCGCTTGCTATAGTTCGGGGGCCGTCAGTTGACATCCTGACCTGGTGGCGTTACTAACAACAATAAGCGATGCTCAGAGCTGTAGCTTTCTTCCTGCTGTTTATCCCCATGCGTAGCATCAGATACCCGCTCACTTCGAACAGCTTCTTTGACCTCGTAAATCGTGCCAACCAGCGTTCGTATATTTCCTAGTGTAAGAGACTCAACCCTTCGGTTCTTGTCTTCAGCTTGTACTTACCCATGAGCCGCAAGTAAGCTCCAGACTAGCATCGACTAGGGAAGCGAAAGCCCAAAGTCGTGTCGTGCGGTTATACTCAGGAACTTAGTGTATTACTGACCTGCTCACGAGCCAGTTGCGAATGCTGCTGTGATGACTACTTTCGTAAAAAATCGACCATCATGGCCAATCGCGATGGCTTGCTGAAGCCGGCTGCGTTTGGTGACATGGACCAAGGCTCGGGCGCCACCACGCTTTCAATAATGACAGGTCGCGTCGCACAACCAAGACCTGTGTGGCATCGCCGTTGCTGGTAGCACGACAGGCCCTGTCGGGTAGGGGCCAGAGGAGAAGAAATCTCATGCAGAACGCATATGCACGAGGCAATGGACTGTATTTTTTAGGGAGTCAGCGAGAAGCCGTAGGAGTACAGAGTACAGAATCTCGTTTAGCTGGAAGGTAACGAATATGCGCCCTGTTGAATTTTGGCTTGATAACGTCTGCAAAGCGCGGCATGAAACGAAGCAAGCAGCGACAGGCCCGGCCAACGGTGTCGGCGATTGCACTGATTGGAAGTTCGAAATCCACCACGTTGCAGCACGCCAGCTTCTGTGGCCTCTACATAAACGCATGCGACGTATCTTATTCTAGCAGTGGCGGTGGCCTATGAGAGATGCTGAAAAAACCGGCAACGAATCCGCGGTGGTCATGGTGGAGGGCGACAGTGGTTCTGCAAGCCGCTGGTGGCTTGTCCGCCTGTATGATGTAGTGTAATTCATTATCCAACAGGACACATGGGACATGCACAGGTTGAACTTCTGCCGCCTATCATGGTGAAGACGCCGGGTGTCGCCGAATTGACACCAGCCTCGGGGAGCAAAGATGGCTCAGTCAGGGTTTTCGTATTTTTGTAGGAATAGCGAAACCCTTTGCGTGGTGTAGTGCGCCAACAACCGGTACACAAGACCAAGGCGAGTGCAGCAAAAGAAGGCGGCTGAGACATGGATACCATGTGGGCAGAAGGTTGGAGAAGAACAGGTAAGGAGTCAACGGTAGCAAAGAAAAAATGTACTTCCACAAGGCCGCTGCTGATAATACTTGTTTTTCTTCCTTCGCGAGGGTGTGGCCGTCCGCAGTATCACTGCCAGCATGTACGGAGATACATGCATGGGGTGACGATGGACAAATGGGCAAATTGGCGTGCTGGTAGGGTGGCGCGCACCCCTCTCGTCTCTTTTCTCCACGAACGATCAACTGCAGTCTGCGTGTCTCATCGACAAGTGGGCAGGCAGAACAGGTGCGAGCCTTGCTGATGAAAAATGGTCTGATTGTTCGACATTCGAAAGCGGCAGCTTAATTGGTAGACTGGTAAAGGATGTCGCAAGACGCCAGCATGCGACTCGGTAACTAATTTGCTGTGTTTGCCAGAGTGTGTAAGCCCATCGTAAAAGGCATCAATGAATGGCAAGGGCGGGCAGTCGGGCAGGAAATTGTGCGCCTTTGTGCGTCGTAATAATAAAGGCTAGGGCACAAAGTCAGCAGGCCAACGTGTGGACGTGTACAATGGCATCGGTGGCACGCGATGCACAGCAGCAAGCTGGCGGAGAGCGGCAGCAGGAGTAGATTTTCGTCCCGAGTCGTTCACCGGGCAAGCAAAAGGCCGTGGGACAACCCTTGTAGGCCAAGAAGTGGCCGCTGTTGTGGATGGGCCGGGATAGGAAGCCAACGTGGGCTTGGTGGCGGCCGTGTAGGAGCGGCCCAGAGTGATATTAGGATATTATTAGTGTCGACGGCGGCGTGATGTCGACTTGCCAAGTGAGTTGCGAGGCACAAATCGCGGGCAAGGTGAGCTGGAAGCGTAGAAGTACCCATCAGGACGACCCATAGTTTGAAAACGGCCAGAAGTCGAGCTGCGCGTGCGGGAGGGATACGAGCGTTCGTGGATGTGCAACGGCGGACAAGCAACCAGGGTAGCGTATAATGTAGTGAGAGTTGTTGGCTGACGGGTTGATTGATGTGGATTTTCCCTTTCTAAAGCGAGACGCCCATCGACACTGGATGATATCCAGGATGGTGCGGAAGGCGTGAGTAAGGTGACACTGTCAGTATATACTTGGCAACGGAGCAGCAGCCTCTTTGCATGCAGACTTGTCAACGGTCAACGGCAGGATATGACAAGAGACGCTGTCTTGTTGTCGCCACGGCGGCTGCTGTGCGGCTTTGGTCGTGACACAAACGGGGGAGGCTTGCTGCAGCATCATGTAAGCGGGAATGCAGGCGGCCGAAGGAGGTGCTAGACAAACGAGACACGGTACACGGCAGCACGAAGCACAAAGCGGTTCGAGTTGTTTGAGAGGCGTGCGGCCGGGGACGAGGAGTTGGCAGATGACAACGGCGAAGGAATGACGGGGCGAGGATGAGGCGAGGCATAGTTAGACAAGGAGGAGAATGCGTGATGCTGGTATAAGGTACATGCAGTGTGGTGATGCTGGAAGTAGAGGTGGGCATGCGTGCTGATGTACAGGAATTTGGTGCGATTTTGAATTGCAAAGGTTACTGGTCAGAGAATGCTGGCCTTGGTAGGATCAGTGGGCTCGGTAGACTTCAGTGGGCCCCTGAGCGGGAAGGTCAGCGGGCGGTGCCACCGGGGCCTGGAAGGTGAAGCTGCCAGAACCAGACCACAAGCAGCATGGAACAGAGTTTTAGTACCTCATACCAAGGTACCCTGGCGTTGGCGTACCTATTTTAGCGTCGTCGACGTTGGAGACGACCTGCAATTACAGGCACCCTAGTGCTAAAGTCCCCTAAAGGATGCGAGTACGGGTACCTCCTTCCATACCACCCCCTTCTTGTCCACTCTTCTGTCTCTCCTCCTGTTGTGCATCGCCACGCCCTCTCTCAGGTAAGGTAGCTTTACCTGCCGTCCTACCTCGTGCCTCCCTCCTCTTCCCGTCTCCATCATCACCACGTCCCTCAGATTCATTTTCCTTCTGAGTTTCTATCGTCCCCTATTCGCCATTGACACGACCCGTTTTCCACCGTTCTCGAATCGCCGCCCAGCCCATGCTCGTGTGACCCTGGTCGGCCTTATAAAACCCTTGCCTACTACTAAGTTACAAGACATCCAAGTCTGAGCAGTCACTCCTCATCAGCGACACCACCAGCGTTCATCATTACCTACCATTCGCCTTGGGCCATCTCCCCCACCAACAATTTAAACATTCCATCCTCCTCTGGTCCTCTCGCTCTTCTCGCTCTCGCAGACACTTCAGACACACATGATTCTCGCCGGCTCTGGTCTCTGCCAAGGTTGACACTGCCCTGTCTATTCTCTTGGAATCCCTCCGCCCTCCACGCCGCACTTCATTCCGTCGACTGTTATCTCCAACCGCCATCGGACTCGGGGACCTTTTACCCCCTCATCGCCTCCTTCAACCTTTTTTCAATCACTCTCCGTTTCGCCATCCTGCCATTGGAAACTCAATCATACCAGCATCTCGCCCCCACCGACTGAATCCTATCCTCGGCCCTGTCGCACGGTTCAACCCGAAACTGACTACTGCTGTATCCCGTCAAAATCCTAAACCCGGTACATGTGTCTCGCGCCTGTCGAGCCGTCTTGCACAAAACTCGATTAAATTCGCCATCCCCGACAGCACCCTCGGTGGCAATCACATCTCGCCATCATGTGTCGAATGGTGGTATTTGCAGGCACTTGTACCAAATGTGGTGAAGCTCAAACCTGGGAGGAACTCTCACAGGCCCTGTCCTGCCTGGAAGCGAAGAACAACGGCGGCATGGGCGACTGTTCAACGGGCGTCGACATTGAGCAACATAAATTCGATCAGGAATGCGATCGCTGCACCCAAGAAGACGAGGGCCTCGGCGGCGTCGGCCTCTACGAATCACCTCAAAGAACAGAGACCAAGCGAAGCGCCACACAAGATACGACTTCATCAAATTCGTCCAAAAGACAACGAACGTGAGCCGAACCACGCATTGTAGCGATACTGCCGTCCATCCTCAAAATATACAAGCAATAAACCCGCATGGCTTGGGGCACAAAGCCCGCTAAGCTGTGCGCGTGAGCGGACCTCTACCATTTCAACGACTTTAATGACTCTTTTGTACCTCGGAAAAAACAAGCATTGGTGTCTGTGATGCATTATTTTGGATTTCACGAATTTTCTTCTGCCTCCTCTCGGACGCAGCCTATGGACAATGTCAGATAGGCACGGCGGAGTTTTGCGTCTTTTTTCTATTTGCATTGTTTGGGCTGCTTTTTGCTGCGATTTGGGCGACGCATCCAGGATGACCTTCGTTTTCATTAGTGTTTGTTTCTTAACTGGCATTTTCAATCGGCTTAGTACTCGTTTGAGAAGTGGCCACCAAGAGGATTCATCACGAATTTTACATGGGATTGTGATTCTGCTTGTTAGAGAACAGGTTGCTATTCTGGGACATGCGCTGTGGCGTAAGCCAATTCACAATATCTCACTGTATATTTACCTTAATTCACGGGCATTTGTTCTCCTACAGAGTCTTCCACCTAGAAACCGGATGTGCGAGTCACTGTTTCCGTTTCCCCGCAGGGTCTAGGACTGTTAATCAACACCGCAAGGACTTGATGTATGTTTCAAATGGTGATATATTTCATCATGTCAAAAACATGGACTCTTCCGTTGTGCCACTATTTTACAACGACCCCTGCCGTCTATGCATGTGCTGGGCAAATAAGTACTGATCTATCCATCTTGTGGTGCGCTACCTTCCCCCCCCATCGCGACCAGCCATGTGTGTTGCGTGTTCGCCCCTCACTACACAGTCATGCAAATATACAAATCGTCATACAGTATTTACTTCTTCCCGTTCTTCTTTGATTTTTTCGACTTGCTGCCGGAGGAGGCGGCGGTTGTCGGCTTCGGCTGCTCTGCCTTTGGCCGCTCAGCTTTCGCCTTGTCCTCGACCCATGCGCTTGGCACTGCTGGCTGCCCGACCGCTGCCGGCGACTCGTCCATCTTTTGCAGCTCCGCTTGCGAAGTCTTGGCCTCGGGCAACTTTATGGTGCTCTTGCCCGCCTTGCCACCGACCGGCACCGCCGGCTCATGCGCGCCACCGTTTCTCTTGGGGCTGCTGCCTCCCTCTGTCGCCTCGCGGCTCGACGAGGACGCGGCCGCGAGGGCAGCCTGGAGCGCCGTGCTTGCTTCCGGCGTCTGGGGACGCTCGGCGTGTCTGTCCTTGGTCTCGGTGACTCTGTCCTTGGTCTCGGTGACTCTGTCCTTGGTCTCGGTGACCTCCTCGGGCTTCTTGTCGGCACGCTTGGTTGATGCGGCGACAGACTTCTCGGCTGCCTTTGTGGTCCTCTCGGCTTCTTTGTCCGTCCGGGCCGTGGCTGCTTGCAAAATTTGGGCAACGGGGTCGGACAGCTTGGTCATGCTCTTTCGGCCGGCCTTGATCTCAACCTCTTTAGCGCCGCCAGCTGCGTTGGCCTTGAGTTGTTTGACGGCGGCTTTGTCCTGTTCGACCGCGCCGTGCGCGTCAGCCATGATATCTTCAGTCTTGGATTGAGCCTGCTCGGCGACAACATGGCTTTGCTCAGTGATATTTTTTGCCTTGGATGAAATATTTCCCAATGTCGATTGTGCATCCTCGGATGTAGCGTGGGTTGTCTGTTGAACAGGTTCGAGAGTCTCATGTCCGTTTCTCTTGATATCACCCACCAAGATATAAGCTTCCTCGGAAATTGACTTTTCATCATCTACTATACTGATGTTGTTGATAACCGTCTCTGAGCTGATGTCCGCTTTTCTGTTGGCAAGGCTCCCGTCGTGACTCTCGATGGCAAGCCTAGCAGCCAGCTCGTCTCCGTACCAGGACTCTTCGACAACGCGCCAGTATCGCTCTGGGTGGGACATGGGGATGGCAACATGCGTGGCGTCCTCGAAGCGCTCCAAGCGCACGTGGAATCCGGCCTCGGCAGCCAGGCCCGCCTCGTATTCGACATCGGTCGGCGGAATCATCTTATCCGCGGTTCCATACAGGTACGTACGGCGGACTTCGAATTCTTGGAATCGGGGATTTCGTATCGTTCGCGAATTGACGTTTTGTCTCGGCTGAAGCACCGGAACAACGCGATAGAAGAGCCAAACGCAGAAGAGCAGGGCATGAACCGCGGGCGAGGACCAACGCGGCAGAATCTGCATGATGGCCCTGGCCGTGTTGCGCCACTTAAAGGTCCCAGGGCAGGAGTCGAAGATGAAGACGTGTTGCGGCAGAACGAAACTCCCGCCAAGCGAACGCTTGAGGGCGTTGTAGAGGAACAGGGTGGTGCTGATGCCTCCGTTGGAGAAGGCATGGATGAGCACTCGCGGTGTCGTGGATTTCCCAGTCAAGACGCTGCTGTCATCTTTCTTGAGCCACTCTCTGGATTCGGCGTCGACGACCTCCTTCAAGATGGGTACTGCCGGGCGGATTTGCGTCCACGCCAAGAAGGGCATCACGACGTGAGTAAATGGACACTGTGCGACGAGAATCCGTGAAGTCGGGAAAATGACGCGATATCCTTGAACATATTTCGCAATATGATTTTCTCTCGCACCCATCCACGTCGACATCAAGATGAGCTCCGGTTCAGCTCGCGCGTTGCCACTCCCGGACCCGATTGTGGTTGTCGTCGGCTCATAGTAGGTTACCGTCGGGCTCAGCCGCTTCATGAATCCCAGGGGATTCGCAGGCTGCGCGCCATCAAGACTGCCGAAAGACATGATTGATCTTCTTTGAAGTGTGGCGACGGCTCGAAGCTTCAGTGGGTTTTCTTAACCGTTCCCGTGTCAGCTTAGCTATTGAGCAAATAGCCGAGAACGGTACACCAATGCAAAACACCACGAGGCAAGGGGGGGCTCGACCTATATGAACCAGCCAGAAAATCAACCTAGCAAGACTTCAAAATACGGTCCAGACAAGATCCTGGAAGCTTCAATCGAAATAGAAGCTGATGGCATGACATGCGTGGTGGCGAGCTACAATGCAGTAGCCGAGGCACAGGGATCGGTCGGCTGTGGGGCAAACGGCACTTCAGATTTGCGGGTTACCGAGTTGACTTGCCCTGGGCCAACTGTAATTTATCAAGCCATCTCTTGAACAAGGCAGGGATATCGCGGCGATAGCATCTGGCATCAAGGCAAGGGTAAAACGGCGCTTCTATGCGTCGAAGCCTAGCCTAGACGTACTGGTAGAGACATCCTGTATCGTGGCCTAGATTCGCACATCCGACCTGCATCCCTGGGCTATAATGGTCAGATCATATAAGAACATTCAACAGGCACCCACCATGACTACAGAGTGGCCTATTGTCTTGCATCTTGGTAATAGCAATATATTTTCAAATACCCTGCAACAGAGATGGTAGAGGCTATCCAGCTCTCGTTCCATGCGTCACACGGGCTTCGGCAACGTAAACGCCAAGCTGAGCCAATGTAAAACAGGAGCATAATTGGACACTGACCGTTCGCAGTCCGCCATAAAGTGTCGCCATATTATACTCCCAGGTTTGGCAAACGAGAGCTCAAGTGGATATCTGGGCGAATTTGTGTGTCAGAATCTTGGCATTCGTCACCGTGTCTGGTAAGCTTGCCCTAGCATTGAAGCGGGATTGCTCCGACGCTTCCCCTTTAGGCCGGTGTTCAGATTGACGGTGCACCATTTCGCTTGCCTCTATCAATCTCGGAGTCGACGACGTGATACAGAAGTGGAAACCGCGAACCCGGTGCGGCTTCAAACGTTTGAACTTGGCTTCATGGGTAGCTGGACAACATCACTCCACGCTTCAAAGGCCGAGTCGTTGCGAGGGTTGTCGGCTAATCAAATCAATTGATGTTGATGATTGCTGAATTGGCTCCAGAGAGGGGCCGTTCGTCTATTGCTAGATGTGAACTTTTTCCTCGCATCGCCATCGTGTGCGGAGATGCTGGTGTCGATTGGACCACCTGTTGTGCAAGGTCAGTTTGGCGGATGTATTCCGAAGTTCTCTTCAATATCAAACATAGGCACCAGGCAAATTTGGCAAGAACGGGATGGTTTTCGATGGTTTCCCGGCCAAAGTTTGTCTCTTTTGTCATCTGGAAACAGAAGTCGCGTCGGACTGACTGCTCACTGCTTGCCAGCTGGCAAACGTCGCGGCCAGCTGCCGGCCAAACACCAGCCACCAGGAGGTACACGTAAACAGAGAGGCGAGATGAAGAGGCGAGGCAGGACAGGACAGGGCAGGACAGGGCAGGCAAGGCAAAGCGTGCCAAACAATCAGTTCCTTCTCTCTATCTACATAAATTAACAACACCGCCCTGCCTGTCTGTTCTGCTTGCTGTTCCCACCACAACATCCATTGGATAACAGCACACATTCAATTCACTTCATTTCAAATCATTACAATACTTTTGCGAGCGTCGGTAGCATATCTTGCCTCGCTCAGCTCCGTATATTTGTTCATTCCGTCAAACCGCGAGTCACCGAAACTTGTACCCGACAGCCACCATGAAAGCAAGCATCGTCATATCCCTACTGGCTGCAGCCGTCAGCGGCATCAAGGAGCAACGCCATGCTCGTGACTGGGATCTTGCCCAGCCCATGAATGGCATCACCTTTGAACGGGTCAAGGCTTTCTCCACGCCCAGGCCTGATCGTCCAACCCCGCGCTTCTCTCGCCTCAAACACGTCGGGGGCAGAAAGGGAAAGCATGGCATGACTTCTGCCCTTGGTCGTGCGCTTCGCTCCACTCCCGGCACAGTCAAACAAAATTTTCAGAACATTTCTTCGGTGGGTGCCTATGCCACCCAGTACGCTATTCAGTGCGGCTGGGATGGAAAGCCGGTCTGGCTGCTCTTCGACACCGGCAGCTCCGACACTTGGGCAGCCAAGTCGGACTTTGACTGCGTCAATAGCGTCGGCAATTCCTTTGACCAGTCCGCCTGTGGCTTTGGTACATCACTGATTGACGGCTTTGGCCAGGGCGCCATTGACGAGCTGCACTTTTTCCTCAAATACGGCTCTGGTGAGAAGATCTCTGGTCCTATGGGCTATTCTGACCTCAGCTGTGGCGGAGTTTTGGTCTCGAAGCAGCAGGTCGGTCTCGCAAACAGTACTTATTGGCGCGGCAACAATGCCACTGTCGGAATCCTCGGCCTTGCTTACCCATCCATTACCAGCGCCTACTATGGTGCCATCGGAGACGAAGCCTCGTGGAACGCCATCACATATACACCCTTCCTTACCAATGCAATTATTCAAGGCGGCCTCGATCCTGTCTTTAGCGTGGCCCTTTCCAAGAATGCTTCCGACGGCGTGCTTGCCTGGGGTGGCCTTCCTCCCATTGACTGGGTGCGGGGCGCTTCTGCCTCGACCGATCTTATTGTGGTAAGCACACTGTGCTTTGTACTTGATGCAATTCGACCTTGTTCTCTGACGCGCGATAGGCAAATCTTATCGACCAAGCGGAAACTGCATGGAAGTATTCGTTTTACACTATCATCCCAGATGGCGTGCGCTGGGGCCAGACCACGGACACGACCAGATATCCTTTCATCGTCGACACCGGTACCACCATGATGTACCTTCCTCCTCGTAAGTTGACTGTTGACTCAAGGCAAAAGTAAAAGAATGCTGACCTGAAGAAGCTCTGGCCGAAGCCATTGCCATGTCGTTCCAGCCTCGCGCCGTTTACCTATACCAATGGGGCATGTACTTTGCGCCATGCACGTCAATCCCGCCTAGTTTTGCCATTAAGATCTCTGGCGTTGACTTTTGGGTCAACCCTGCAGACATGATTTACCAAGACCTGGTTGATCCGCTGACTGGGTACTGCGCCATCGCCGTGGCAAGCGGCGGGCAGGGACCCTACATTTTGGGCGACGCATTTTTGCAGAATGTCGTTGCCGTCTTTGACGTGGGAGCGGCTGAGATGCGCTTCTACTCACGATAAAGAGCCGAGAGGATGGCGGGCACACAGTGGTGGCAGATTATGGCATGTGGTATCGAAGGTATAATATATTGGCCGCTGTGTTGCGACGAAGAGGTTTTATTAGTAGTTATGTTTTTGTTAGATGTGTGAGTTTTAGAAATCAAATTTTTTGCTGGACGCGAAGAGTATGACGTATTTGAGTGAAATAGGCGACAACTCCAGAGAATGTAGGATATGTAGGTGCGCGATGTAGCATGCACCCAATTCGCTCTCATGCTCAGGTACCGAAGTTAGCCAATTAACTACCTGTTTTACTGTGAGCTCATGGGCGGCTCGCGTCAATTCAAGACAAGTTGACCCGCTTACGGAAAAGGGCTACACGTTGCACCTACAAGTAAAGACTCTGCAAAGCAAGGAGCCGGGCCATTGCATGCAATCCTCGTGTTGACTTTAAGGAAAATCAAGCGAGCATACGATACCTGCAAAGTGGCTAGCATCTACCAGTGCCTTTTGGTTTCGGGTAACAAGCGCCAACCGTGATCGCGACAGAATGATCGGAGTGTCTGCCGGGCCGCCGATGCCTACGGGCCGAGCCAGAGTGAACACCTACAGCATCAGCAAGGTCAGTCCCGATTGCCCAGGGGTTCGTTTCCCGGGCGGCGTTTCTTTCCTTGTGTTTTCTGTTTTCAAGAGCAATGGCTGGCCGCCCTTTTAGTCAAGTGACGGGGGTTTGGTAACAGGAAGCGGTGAGCGAATGCGATTTTGTGTGTTGATGCCCAAGTGGGAAAAATAGCGATATTTTTGGCACACGAATCGGATCGACAAGGCCATCGATGGGTGCGGTGAGTTGAGCTTCGAAGCATGAAGTCAAATAAAGTGGGCGACTGGTCTCGCCAGCAAGCGCTGTGGGAAGATCAATTGATGGCGAGGGAATCTGTGCCGTCGAGAGCCGCGCCTCGAGAGAGAAGCCACCCTCCAAAGGGGCGGCGACGGCGCACCGCAGCTGGGGCGGTACGATGACAGCCAGCATCTCGGACAGACCCGGGACGGGGGAGGGGAGGCAACGCATGGCTGCTGCAGGTGGAGCGCAGCCGAGACCTTTTGGCCGGGTCTGGGCTGCGGTGCCTTGCAGGGCCGGCTGCGGCTGCGGGCGTCATGAGACCAAACCCTCTTTTCCGAACCGACGCCCGTTGGTATTTGGCGTGCGTTGTTGGGGGTTAGTCGTGGTCGGGCCATGCTCGGGATTGGAGACGGAGAAGTTGCCCTTATTGTGTTTTTTTATTGTGTTTGTCCCCGGGTCTGCCTGCCATTGGGATCTAGGCCCGCGCTTGTGTGAGGGAGGGGAATTGTGCTGTCACGACGGTGAGTCGGGGGAGAAGGACAAGATCTTGCAGACGAGTCGGTGGATTACGAGATAAGAATGCGTGGAGAAGGTCGACCGACGACTAGGCTGCGACGGGTAGCCGGTGACGAGGATGAAGAAGGTGACTGGGTCGACGGATGATGAAGCCATAAACAGAAGCCATAATGGCGGAGAAGGAAAGTTGCTTCTTGTGCGTCTGTTTGGTTGTCCGTTTGCCTTTTGGCCAGCGTTTGCCGTGAAGGCTTCCAGATGCGGGGCATTTGGAGACAGCTGCCGGATGGACAGCTGCGAGTTTCCATTTGAGGCGCCTGCAGGCCAAGGTCCCAGTACCCCTTGTGGCGGCGCACGAGGTCTACGTTGTTTTTGCAAACAGGGGACTATACTCTGTGTTCAACCCTCGCCTGACTATTTTCTGCTTGATCTGCTGCCGGGAGTTGAACAAGGAAAAGCCGAGTCTTGGCTCTGGCATCATGTCTGGCAGAAATCGAAGCATTCTGGTTCAAGAACAGAGGCAGGTACAGCCACGGCACCCCCCATCTTCGGGTGTCTTCAGCGGTCGAGGTGCCTACCGGCCCACTGAACGGCCCCCCGGAAGCCCCAGAAAAAAAAGCTAAACCGAGCGTCCGCTTCCGCCTCACGCGATCGATTCCTCTTTCACAAAGCCGCTTGCCCGCCATTGTTTCTTCTCCTTCTCCTTCTTCTTCTTCGTCGTCTCGTGCCTCTCTTTTCTTCCTTCACTGTTTTCCCCTTTCCTATTCTGATTTCTTCTCTTCTTATTCCTCCCATTTCAATTCCCATCCCGTTATCTCTCCACCACCCATCCTCCGTCTTCGTAGCCGTCCGTTTGCCCGCCAATACCAGCAGTACAACCATACACCACCAACCAAAACCCTCTATGTCTCTACGCCGCCCAATCGCCCCTTTACATACACCACTGCTTCCCACCATTCTTCGATAGACGCCTCTGCCCACCATGCCGGGAAAAGCTAACGGTGTCGGCGTCCAGGTCGAGGACACCAAGATATGTGTCGTCATGGTGGGACTGCCCGCCAGAGGCAAAAGCTATATTGCACAGATTGGTGAGTGATGGCAACCCGGTATGCTCGCCAAGGAATGCTTCATGCCGAGACTGCAACCCTTCCCTCGGCTGTGACGCAAAAGAACATTGCCGAGATCTTGCCTTCTCATCAAACGCCGTTTTCCTCCCCCACGCGCGCTAACACAACCCCTCCAGCCCAACGCTACCTCCAGTGGCTCTCCATCCCGGCCCAGACCTTCAACGTCGGCAACTACCGGCGCAACGACGCGCCCCATCCCACCGCCGACTTCTTCGACTTCAACAATGCCGAGGGTGAGCGCAAGCGCCGCGCCGCCGCCGAGGCTGCCGTCGCCGACATGCTGCGCTGGTTCCGCTCCGGCGGCGTCGTCGGCATTCTCGACGCTACCAATTCCACAAAGGACCGCCGTAAATGGGTGCACGAGATCTGCGATGCCAACGGGGTCGAGGTCCTCTTCGTCGAGAGTGTCTGCGACCAGGAGGACGTCATCATGGCCAACATACTCGACGTCAAGACCTCCAGCCCCGACTACAAGGACCAGGACCCCGAGGAGGCTGCCAACGACTTTCGCCGTCGCATCAGCCAGTACGAAAAGGTGTACAAGACCATCGACGGCGACGGTGACGAGGGCGACTACACATATCTCAAGATTATGAACATTGGCAAGCAGGTCATCATCAACCGCATCCAGGACTATCTGCAAAGTCGCATCGTATATTACCTCATGAACTTGCACATCCGCCCCCGCTCTGTCTGGCTCTCCAGAGTACGTCTCTCCGCGTCGGCTACCCATGATCGCAACATCACTAATCATACTCTAAAGCACGGCGAATCACTGTATAACCTCGACGGTCGAATCGGCGGCGATACCATGCTCTCGCCCCGCGGCGAACTATACGCGAAGAAGCTACCCGAGCTCGTCCGCGAGTCTGTAGGAGTAGGCAGCCCCCGATCCCCCAACAGACATCCGACAGTGTTACCATGCCCATTGCCCACACAACACAACTAACAACCCACCTCAGGACGACCGCTCTCTTACGGTCTGGACGTCGACCCTCAAGCGTACCATTGCCACCGCGCGCTGGCTCCCCGCACACTACAACCAGCTGCAGTGGAAGGCGCTCGACGAGCTCGACTCGGGCGTCTGCGACGGCCTCACGTACCAGGAGATTAAGGACAGCTACCCGGACGACTTTGTGGCACGCGACGACGACAAGTACAACTACCGGTACCCTGCCGGCGAGTCATACCGCGACGTCGTCATCCGCCTCGAGCCCATCATCATGGAGCTCGAGCGCAGCGAGGACATCCTCATCGTCACCCACCAGGCGGTGCTACGCTGCATCTACGCATACTTCATGAAGAAGGACCAGGCCAAGAGCCCCTGGATGAACGTGCCCTTACATACCCTCATCAAGCTCACCCCGCGCGCCTACGGCACCGAGGAGATTCGCTACGAGGCCAACATTCCCGCTGTCAGCACCTGGCGCGGCAAGGGCAGTACCGCCAAGCACGAGGCCCCGACTGGCGATACCATGTAGCCGGGAGAGCGTGAATCGGGGGCCATGCAAAACGACGGCAACAAGTGACGGAAACTGGGATTCTTTCTTTTTTGTTAAACATGCATTCGGTGTTGGAATTCTTTTTTACGGATACAATGGCTCCATAGCAATATCACAAACTACTCTCACACTGTTTCAAGAGGTGGACAAGCCTTACACCCGTCAGTCGACTGCAATGCACTACACCGTCTCTTTCCCATGTATGAGTCCGTGCTGTCATACCAACAACAGCCCGCGTGCGTGATTCAGTCTCCGTCGCGGCATCCTATAACTCGACTTCTTCCCCTCGCCCATATCCTTTCCCCCTCACTTTTCTTTTCTCGACCCCACGCTCAGTAACTCTTCATTCACTTGGCAGACGCAAGACTGAACAAAAACGAAGCCTCGGGCCTCCCCCCCCCCCCCCAGGCGGCGGCGCCACTCGTCCTCGCGCCGGCGGTGTACACCGTGCTGCGACCCTAGGAGGACTCCGCGCGCGACGACGCCGTCGGCGGCGGGCGGGTGCTGGGAGAAGTCTCGGATGCTCAGCCGCTGCCGCCTGCTCCATCACCACCACAGCAGACGCCGGCGGCGGCGGCGGCACCCCCCGGGCCGGTCGAGCCCCCCAGCCGGCCCATCTCCATGCGCGTCGTGCTCCTCTCGCCCGGGGCGGCGGCGCCTCCCGAGTGGATCGTCGAGGACCTGCACTACGCGGCGCCGCCCGGCACCATGGCGCGCATCCGGACCGACGTCCGCAACGTGCTCTCCCGGCACGGCCTGGGCAACGGCGACCCGGACCTCCCGGACCGGGGCTTCCTGCGCATCACTAGCGGTCCCGAGCCGCCCGGCGTGCATGTCCTGACGGACGGTGGCGGTGGTGGTGGTGGGGGGGGCGTCCGAGTGATGCTCTCACGGCCGGTGGTGTGGCAGCGGCGCGCGGACGGAGCGGAGAGGCTGGGAGCGGAGGTCGAGGAGGCGGCGAGGATGGGCGACTGGTTGGTGTTTGAGCTCTGCTTGCCGATGACGCCGCCGCAGCAGCAGGGGCAGTAGGATCAGCAGCAGCAGGAAGAGCAGCGAGAGCAGCGAGAGCAGCGAGAGCAGCGAGAGCAGCAAGAAAACCAGAGGGAGGAGCACACGGAGGAGTAATAGCAGTGTGATCCGGAGGGGGCGTAGAGAGAGATGATGATTGCCGGCTGGGGCAGTCAGACGAGCGGGTTACTTCGTCGCAAACCATCAACTGCACGAGCTGCATCAGGCCGTTATCGTCATGTGGTACCAGTTGAATAGACCTGGAGGGGCTGACCATTTTTGCTCCATTTTGTATCGAGTGGCTTGCTGTCCAACTATTGCTTCTTATAACTTTACTACAAACCGAGGGTAGAGAATTTAGGTTTTGTTTTTATTTCCAAGAATGAAATCTCGGATCATCTCCAAGTTCGCAGAATAACATTACTTGTACACATAGATATCCAGCGAAAATGGTCAATTCTTGTAATATCGTACAAGTAACTACTGTAAAATACCAAATTGGGCCAACAAAAGCATCAGACAAACAAGATAAAATCAAAAAATAACTCGGGGGGTTATGAAGACAAGATGATCAACGCCGATTACCCAGAAAAAAATATAAGTAAGCCAGATAGTATAAGAAACGTGTAAGTCGACCGTTGAACCACTGGCTGAAAAAAAAAACAAGAAAAAAAACGCTTCTATTCCGACACTGTCTCGCTTCTTTCTTGCTCCTCTCAAGACAGGATGCCCTCTTCTTTTTCTGCCTCGCGTCCATGGTCCTGCGGTCCTTAGTAGCCCGCACTCATTATTCCGCAAGACATGCATCCGCCGCCGCCTTCTTTTGTACTCATTGACCCCGACCGTCATCCGCCTCAGCCGTCTCGCAGACCCTCCTCGTTGAAGAATAACTTCAACAATCAGTCGACGACAGGTAGCAGTATCTTGGGATGCAGCATGGACAATTTCTGGTCGGAGCCTTTCCTCCACCAACTCCCATTGCTTTTTTTACACCCAGGAATAAGAAAATATGAGAAAACAGCCGAGGAACACGAGACTTTCCAAGGATGCTTTCGTTCTTCCCGCCAATTCGAAGATATTTCTCTTCTTCTCCACCTTGTCCATTGTCAAACAAAATCAACCCGAACCCCAGGCTAGAATCATTCCGCAAAGCAAGAAATCAACCCAAAAAAGGAGGCCGCCGCCATGCTGTAAGTCGCGCCAAGAACAAAAATGAAAGGTGACAAGACAGAAAACCGTCAATGCAATATGCGAGTGTAAAACAACAAGGCACACTGCCGGTGCCACATCATTATTCTCATGACGGGTTTGCCTTGACACGTTTGGGCATGCGTGGAGTAGCTGGCTTGTTCCTGTTGGCCGTGCCGTTGACTTGGGCTCCTGGCGTTCCCGCCCCGGGCCCGTCCTCCTCGATCTTGACGGCTGAGGGACGTCTGCGCTTGTTAGAGGCCGGCGAGGTGTTAGCACTCGGCCCGCTCGAGCTGGTCCCTTGCTGGCTCTGCTGTAGCTGCATGCCAGGCGCCTGAATCTGACCAGGAGCTGGGCTACCCATGTGGGGGGAGCCCGGGAGGTTCATGTTGGCCGCAGCCGGACTGGCTCCCATGTTAAACTGGCTGAAGCTGGGTGTTCTCGGGGCACCTTGGGGCACTTGGCCGTTCATTTGCCCAGGGCCCGCGTTGATAAAGGTCGATACATATTGATCCAGAGCAGCATAGGGACCAAGGCCAGGGTTGCTGTGGGTAAAGTTGAACAGTGGGTTCATCTGGCCCATGACTTCCACGATTTCCAGGAACTGGTAGACGGCTTCGGTGACACCCTGACGGTTGACGGCTGAATCGGGCAAATCGTTAAGGACCTTGGGAGGCTCCCTCTGCGGCGACTTGAGCTGCTTTCCCTTTCCCTTCTTGGACATTTCGGGAGACTGCTTGCTGTCGGTCGAGTTAACCTTGTGCCACTCCTTCATCCAGACGTGCGCCGGCTTGGCAGCATCGATAACCTGCTTTCGCGCGACGAACTCTTCGTGGCTGGTGGCCAAGAACTCGAACAGCTCAAACTTTTGTTCACTGTCAAATAGGACTCGCAGGCTTCCACTGGATACAAGGTGCGAGCCCGTCTCGAACCAATAGATGAAGCTGGCTCTGGGGTTCTCGATGTGGTAAGCATCACCAGGCAGGGGTCTGTCGGCAGTTCCTTGTCCCAGAGTGAGCTGCATGGACTTGACGCCGCTACCGAAGTGGGTGTGAAAGTATCGGGCAATGGCTGGGAAGGAAATGTCGTATTGGCGGGGGCCAGTGTCTTCGCCCTCGGCGCTCGTATGGAGGGTGTGGCGGAAGATGGCTGTTCTTGAGAAGAAACGGCCGACTAGGTCGTTCCAATAGCTCAGGTCATCTCGATTGCGGGCTCCAGGATAGCCGCTCAACTGCTCACTCAGCTGGGAGAGCCTCATCAGGCACTGAGCCTTGAGGTGTTCCCTACGCTGCTGCTGTAACATGCTGTTGTTCATGGCTAGCTGCTGGGCGGTGGCGGCGTTCATGTGTTGTGCCAGCATGGGATGCTGCTGAGGCTGCGGCTGCTGCTGGGGTTGATGACCTGACTGCTGTTGCTGACCCTGCGGTGGTTGGCCAGGATTTTGCTGTTGCTGACCCTGCGGCGTTTGCGCGACGTTTGGTCCAGGTGCAGGCGTCTGCTGCGGCGTATGCTGGCCAGTCGGGGCAGGGGTGCCGGCCTGCGAGCCCTGCGCGGGCGTTTGCTGTCGCTGCTGCGCTTGTCCAGCCGCTTGCTGCTGCGCTTGCTGCTGCGCCTGGACTTGGGCTTGCTGACCAGGTTGGCCCTGGCCTGGGGGCTGTTGACCCGGTTGGCCTTGTTGTTGACCCTGCTGGTTCTGTTGCCCTTGTGGACCTTGCTGCTGCCCTTGCTGGGCGGCCATCTGTGCCTGTGCATTGGGGCCGACTTGTTGTTGCTGCTGTGCCTGGGCAGCCTGGGCGGCCTGGGCGGCTTGGGCGGCCTGGGCCTGCTGTTGTTGTTGCAGGTGCTGCAACGCTTGTGCATTCATCTGCATCTGCTGGGCGTTCGGCCCGCCCTGTTGCATCTGGTTTTGCGCGGCGTGTTGTTGTTGCAGAGCCAATTGCTGGGCCATCATAGCAGCATGAGCCTGAGGGTGCTGCATCTATTGAAAAGTAAGCATGTGGTAACAAGGCAAGTGCAGTCGCAAATGCTTACAGCGTTGATTCGACCACCCTGTCGCAGCTGCTGCATCTGCTGTGCCGTCAACTGTATATTCATGGGCATGCCGTTGGCAGCCATGCCGTTGGCGGCCATCTGATTGGGCGCCATGCCACCATTCTGGGCCATGGCCTGTTGAGCCATCAAAGCCTGCCGTTGTTGCTGGACGTATACTTGCTGCTGACGCATTTGGGCAACTGCTTGTGGATTAGTGACTGGATGGGGGAAAGAAGATTGGCAGTTAGCACGGCTCCGAGAAATGGCAACAAGGAAACGGCGCGGCTCACATTGGGACTGCATTTGCTGCTGGTAGGCTTGCTGCTGAGCAGGGCTCATATGCTGGAAGGTGGCTTGGAGGTTATGGCCTCCGCTGTGTTGTTGCATGGCCGCCATCATGGCAGGATTCATCCCCGGGTTGCCCGCGGCCATCGGGTTGCCCGCGAACTGATGAGGCATGCCACCACCAGGCGTGCCTGGTTGTCCACCATTCGCATTCATACCGGGACCCATGGGATGACCAGCAACACCCGGGTGTCCCATGTTGGCGGGATGGCCCTGGAAGTTGGGGCCCATACTCGTGGCCATCATAGCGTGACGAGCAGGTCGGCTATCCACAGGGAGCGGATATCGACGAATGTGCTAGATGCTATTGCATGCACATGCGTCAATGGAAAGAGGTCCGAGGCAAGTGTAGGGCGCAAGCGATGCGTGGGGTCGTCGTCTAGACAATGAATGCGTTGCGTGCAAGATGGGTGGCGATGAGATGAGGCTGTCGTCGCGTTGGCTTCGGCGTACGTCGCGGGTTCCGAGCGCTTGAGTCGTGGCTGGGGATGCGACCGAACGGGGCAAGGAGAGAAAACAAGGCGGCGAGGTCGTGGTCGGGTGAAATCAAAGCTAGTAGTCGTAGATGAAGAGAGCGAAGTCGCGACGATGGGTCCGAAAGCGATGATGGGACAGCGCGAGTGCGGGTGCGTGACAAATGGCGTGACGGTGATACCCAGAGCCGGCGCCACTGGAGCAAGCCTGAGGCCAAAGGACCACGAGGGTGCGCGCGTGCGGATAGCGAGGATGGAGCGAGGGTCCGAGAGCGGCCAGTGAAGAATGAATTAGGAGTAGAAGAACGATGAGGAGGAGGAGGCAAAGAGGCGTGAAGAAAGAATAAGGATGCCGAGGGGAGAGCGCGGCAACCGCGAGAAGCCAGGGCCGGCGATAGGATGGAGCGGGAGGATGGATGTTGGCTTGCTGGCGATGGGCGCGAGTCTGGCAGCTAAGAAAGCTAAGATGTATGAGAGGGGGGCGAAGGAAACAGCCAGTAATCCGCGAAAAAAAAGGCTGGGCTGGCCGTAGTTTGGGGGGTGGCCAGACAAGTACCCGCGCTGGCTGACGCGCTAATAGGTACGCTGAAGAGGCCCCGGGCGGGTTTGCTTGATGCTGATGTGAAAAACGGTACGGGATTAACTGAGGAGTAAAGGAAGATGAGAAGCGAGAGAAGAGAAGCAGAGACAGAAAAGCAAGAGCGAATAGAAATTGTGTGGTGTGCCTCTTTGACGTGTAATGTATTGGTAGAAGCAAGATTTTTTGTCGCCGGATGGCCAGAAGACTGGAAGGAAAAAAAACCCCCGAGTCGCCCTGCTTGCTCACTGGCTGAGCCTTCTGTGACGGGTGAGGCGAGGAGGGTTGGGCGTCTCTGTCTGTCGGGGGAATGAAGAATTAAACAGGCCACTATATTATTTAAGCAGTTATCTGCACAATCAGGTGCTGGTAATAATTAACTGGCCAACTAACATCAAGCATCAAAGCATCACGCATCGCACCACACTAACTAACTGCATCAACGGCGCATTACGATTTATTCCAAGACAGGTGAGATGATGGGACAGTTGGCGGCGCCTGACTGGCGTGGGCGCCCGCCCAATCTCTTCCTCTGTGTTTTTCTGGGTGCGTCTTCTCTCTTTCTCTCACTGTTCCTGTCCTCTCACTCTCTCTGATTCTGATCTCTCGGCCCTGCCGCCCAAAACGAGGCGGGGATATGCATCAACCGAAGCTCCCGACTCTGTGGCACACAAGTACCTTGTCGCACATGGCCCTCGTTCTCCCCAACCAGACAGCAGAGCAGAAAATTTCTAGTCCGCCCGCGCGCGTGTGGCTGGGACCCCATGTCAAGGCCCGCCCCGATAACAGCACTAGCCCCGAGCTAGTCGTCGCTGTACCGGTGTCATTCTTGTATCAGGTTGCGCTTCCACCACCCCTATCAGTTTACGCAAGGCCGGACAATGGAAGCGTTGCAGTATATATCAGTGACAAAAATGATGAAATACGATTCGAATATATGCCTTGAGTTACCTGCTTTTTTTCTGCAATATTTTAGCTCACCGCATCACCAAATTGCCGCCCGTTTCATATCCTTTCATGACTTCAACGCCACTCTGCCTTTCTTGGGGGTCACCAGCGCTAACGCTCTAACAGGTCTAGAATTATTCCCACTGAAAGTGGCCGCTCACGTGATAATAAACAGTGCCCAATGAATTAATGCACTGTATTTTACACTGTCATTGATTAACCTCGAAACTTTTTTTTTTCCTGCTTGACGATCATTCATGAGCAGGACCTCACCCCTCGACAACCTCCCCAACGGCACCCTTCCCGGTTGAAGCTGGTCTTTTCCGAGTATGGATCGTTGAATTATGGGATACTGCAGCTCTTTGCATCAGAAATTCAATTCCTGTAGCACAGCAGCGCGAAAAAGTGCGCGTGCAAGCTCGGGTAATATTTTCTGGCGACAAGGCGCAGCTTGGGGTCGAGACGAGTTCCTCTCTCGCAACGTGGCGTGTACTTACGCTTCTGCTTAGTACATACTAACAGTTTCTTTGGTAAGCTCTTGCCCCGTCCGCTCTGCAACCTCGTCTCTGCCGCGAACCGCATCCCGCCATCGAATGATGACAACATACCTTTTCTTCTTTTCTTTTCTGAATCGACCATGAAGAGACTTTCGGGTCCCCTTCGCAAGGGACCTGTTACTTGCCAGTATTTCCTGTCTGACTATCATTCTCGGGTTGCCTTTCGAGGCTGCAAGACTTTGCAACCCACATTGAGCCGTTTTGTTAACAAAAAAGTCTGACAGATACCATTTCCTACGATGCGACGATGAATGATTGATACTATTTGCAACCCACCACGACTGTGAGCATGCACTAACGTAAGTTTGTTGTTGGTTTTTTCGCTTCGCTGCCTTTCACTTTCAACATGGTGTATCGTGATGAAATTTCCCATTTATTCGCAGTTTCCACTCGAGTCCCATAGAGCCAATTTGGGACAGATGAGGGCTTATTCTTCCTTGGATGTCTGATCTACACTTTCTTCAATTTTTCCTTCATACCTCGCGATCTTGTTGCCAAGTGCTCAGCTAACACGCGAAAAGTCTGCAGGACCCGCCAGTACATTACGACCCATATCAAACCCGTGTCTTGTCCATATCATATCTATATCAATATATCCTTACTCAAATTATGCGCTCCACTTCCAACATTGTGACATGAATCTCAAGCCGATGTCGCAGACACGACATGACGCGCTGCAACTCGTAGGTCGTGTTCGCCCTTCGCCAGGTCGTCTCTCGCAAAGAGGACGGCATACAAATTAGTCACGCCACATTCATGAGTTTGTCCAGCGATATCACAAATACCTACCGCGTGCATCGCTTTTTCTTATCGAAGAGCATTACACTTCTAAGGACTAGGGCCGGTACTCCGTGTCGGGGTTCTCTCGATACTATGAGCACCACAGAGCGCATTTGTGATGTTGTCACGAAAGCTTCACCTTCCACTCAAGTTCAAACATACACCGTTTGGACATTCGCATCAGCATTGTCGCATGAAACAAAGACAGATAACAACATAAAATCCAGTATTGGACTATTTACCCAAGTCACGTTCACATTGCGCCAGACTTCATGACTAGAATCTAGACATTACCGCCTACCCTATACCTAAAAACGCCCAACCCTACCCTCCCCAAGCCAATCCAACGCCAACTTCGTAAACGTACACACCATGCACTACCATGGCATACCAGAGCACAGCCTTTGAGCTGCACTCACACCACACGCACCTCCTCGTCCCTCCGTACGCGTCCGCCCACTAGGCCGCGCCTGTTCCTGCCAGTGCGGCCGCGGCCGAGCCAGTTGAGCTTGAGCATGCGGCACAGCTCCGCCATCTTCCTATCGCCGTCGGCCTCCGTCTCGGCCTCGGCGCCGCCGGCCACGCCGCCGGCCACCAGGCTCGCCAGCACGCTCACGCACTGCAGCATGCGCCCGACCATGTCCGTCACCTGCTTCGAGTCCTCCACGTTTTGCTCGCGCACGCTACTGAGCACCGGCACCTGCGCGCTCGATGGAGTGAAGGGCCGCAGCACGCCCGCGCCGCCGCTGCCGTTGCTCCCGTAGGACACGTTGCTGACGGCGCGGCTGCGCCCGCCGGACGCCGCGGAGCCCCGGTCGTCGCCGAGGAGCGTGGTGCTGTTGGAATTGTAGGAGCCCACGGACAGCTCGTGCGACATGGAGGTACCGGGGCGCATGAGGGGCGGAAAGTACTCGGGTGGCGAGGTAGACATGGCTGCTGAGTCTGACGGGGAGGACAAGGCCATGTTGGCAAAGGAAGACGGCAAGAACTCTAGGGACAGGCGTGAGAATATGGTCTTGAGCGTCTCGTAGCGCGGCAGTATGACGGTGTCGCGGTAGGCGGCTAGCACAAGTCTTCGTATGTCAAAAGTCACGGTTGGTGGCGTTGGCTTCACATTGTCGTCCGAGGTTGTGGACAACGAACCCCAAAAGTCGCGGGCTTGGTCGTAGTTTAGGATAGTACCGCGGCCAGCCACTTCTAGCTCGAGAGGTACAAAAACGGCCTGTAGATACGGCAGAATGGAGGTGAATGTGAAGAGCCACAGCTCGACAAGTGTCGGAATGAACCTGTCCTCCCCTGCCTGGCGAAGTGTGTGGTCTAACGAAGAGAACCCCTTGGCAAGAAGCTCTCGCAAGTCGTCGAGCATGCTCAACGGTGATCTCTTGTGGACGCAGTATTGAATGTGCAAATGCACGATGCGATTAATGTCTTCTACAGGCAAGCGCAAATCCTCACCCTGGAACACGACTGACAAGAGCGATTTCAGGTATGGCCAAGCTTCGTCCAAAGATGAGGGAATGTTGAGACCCAGTCGTGCAGACTCGGACGTGTCGTAGATGGTGCTCTGCTGCGATAACGACGGGAACGGGACCGTGCCGGAGATGTCCGCAGAAAGGTTCAGAGACGACTCGTTGTCTTGACGGCTATCGGAGCGCTCGCCATGTTTCTTGTCCTTCCTCGCCTTGGAGAAGCCAGACGTCGAGAGACCCACGCTGGAGGGCAGGTGGAAGTTGTATAAGCTGCTGGGCGCGTTGGGATCCGTGGGCCGCGAGTTGCTGGCAGCAGAGGATAGCGGCAGGTGATACTCATCCTTGAGCTTCTGCTTCTGCCGGGAGAGAAAGTGGTGTCGCTTCTCCTTGCCCGCCTTCTCCTCCACGTTGGCCGACTCCGCCGGTCGGATCGTAGCCGAGGACGAGTTGGTTAGGCTATACAAGGAATGCGCCGACGAGTCGGCCAGGCTGGTCGTGCTAAAGTTGCCGCGCTGGAGCGCGGACAGGGCGGAGCCGATCTTGCTGGGGCTCGGGAGGGCCTTGTCCTTGCCGTCGGCCTTGGCGGCGCTCATCTTGACGGGCCGCGAGAAGAGCTTGGCCTTGGCCTTTTCCGACTTGGAGAGCGGCTTCTCGGTGTAGGCGGCGGGTATGGGCGGCGGCAGCGGGAGGACGGGCTGGGGCGAATTGGCGTCGCGCGGCGAGTTGTGGCCGGACCGCGGGAACACGACGTTGGCGGCGGTGGTGGCCGCGGACGCCGCCGCGGTACTAATGTGCAGGCCGCCCAGGGGTCCGAAGCCGCTGTCTCGCGGCGCGCTGGCCTCGGTCAGGCTTAAAGTGGGCGGGGTGGTGGTCGGAACGCGGCTGCCGCTTCCCCTCCGGGGCCCGTCGTTGACCTCGCCGGGAACCGGCACCGTCTGAGAGCGTTGACGGCTGTGCATGGTGTTTTGATGGGACATGACGGCGGCCTGGGCGGCGATCTGGCTCGCGGATAAGGCGGCGCTCTGCCCCTGCCCTTGCCCCTGCGGCTGCGACATGCCGACTTGCGACAGGTTGGAGGTGGTCGTCGACGGCAGGGACGGCTCAAACATGCCCTGGGTGGCCGAGTGCTTGCGGGACTCCCCCTTGTGCAGGGTGGACGGCGAGCCGTGGGTGACGACGCGCGGGGAGCCCGGGTTGGGGCGGGAGAAGGAGAAGCTGTGCAGGCTGGAGCTGCTGTTGTTGGGGTGGGAGGTGAACTGGGCGTATATGGGCGTGGCGGGCGAGGCGACGCGTTGGCGCGACTTGCCGACGTTGATCGAGGGAGTGCCGCCGCCGGTGGTGGCGGTTGTAGTGTTCGCGGAAGAGGAAGAAGAGGATATCGCCGCAGCCGCAGCGGCGGCGATGCTGCTGCTTGCGGCACCTTCCTCGGAGGACTCGAGCCGCAGAGGCGGAGGCGGGCGGCGGGAGAGCGACGTCGGGCGGGGCTGCTTGCCGTGAAGGGCGGCGCTGGCAGCCGCAGCTGAGGACGTGGATAAGGAGGACGGCGATGCAGCGGTGGCTGCGGCCGCAGAGGACGTGAGCGGCGAGAAGCTGCCGGGGGCGCGCTGCCCTTGTTGTCGGCTGGACGAGGGCGCCCCAGATCCCTGCGCAGGCTGCATCGTCGCAGGAATATGGAAGATTCGGGTTATATCGAACTTGGTGACAGCTGGCGTGGAGGGCACCGGTTACATCTTGGAGCGGGCAGTGGCGGCCATGGGAAGATGGGCGCGCACGGCACTGGGATTCGAGAAGGGAAGGTTGGTTAGGCCGAGGCGACTTTCTGGTGAGCGAGACAGTGAGGCTGCAGGGCTTCGTCGGCGGGGGCTGCAGAGGCCGATCGAGATGCTCGGACGGAGGAAGACGGGGGCGTCCGACGTCGATTGACGCGGCTTGGCAGATGGTGTTGCGAGAAAGGACAGGTAGATGCTTGCAGAAGGGGTTGAATGATGATGTACGGGGAGAAGAGGAGCAATGAGGCAAACAGAGCAGCGTCAGTACGAGCCCGAGGCTCTAGCTCAACCTTGGCGCGATGACTTGGAGGCCTGGCCCAGCTGTGCCAGGGAGCCCTGAGAGCCCCCGCTTAGATCCTGGAGAAGAGTCTATGAGCTTAGATGCGGCGCAATTTGCGCTGGATGTTAATGAAAACTATAGAAGCCGTATAATAAGCAAAAGTATAAATTCCCATAACTATTAGACTATCCCAGCAAGCAGGCATGGCCCTGATCTCTCATTTCTCAACCCTGAAGCTTGTGCATTGAACAGCCCAGGCGCGTATTAGCTTCACTTTTAGAGGGGGAGCTTGGGCCTCGCTGGGGCCTTTTTGTCACGAACCCCGCGCTGCCCAAGCAAGGCCAAACAGGGATCCAAGTTTTAAAAAAAAAATCACCACTCAGCTACTCTCGGAATCTTGAACAAAATTTCCCCAAGACAAAAAAACGCTCGCGAGTTTCAAACAATCAACCCTCTTCCAAAGCCCACATCGTTCGATAAGCAAACATGTCTCAACCAACTACTAACACCGCCACCGCTTCCCTCACGGCCGAGTACGCTTCCCCCGCCAACGACGCCTTCACCGTCGCCACCGCGCTACCTTCTACCGACACCAACAAGACGAGCTACCTCGCGGTGCTGCGGGCTGCCGTCGTCGATGCGCAGGCTACCATAAACAAGGAGCTCACGGCGCGCATGGATGAGGACAAGGCGCGGGACGCGGGGGCTGCCGCCGTCGACGACGCCAAGGAGGAGGAGAATTACGGCGAGGAGGTGCAGGAAGAGGAGGATTGAAAGCGTAAAACCATACACTTTTCAGACGGACAAAAAGATAAGATAAGATGCGAAAGACGATGGTTTGGAATAGCTATGACTATGCTATAGAGAAAAAGAAGAAGAAACAGGCACAGAAGCGACGAAAAAAAAGCATATGGTACACAAACGGCGCCATAGGGGGGGTATTTGCAGGCATGGACAGGACAACGACAACATCCCATCAACGGGCCCTCCTCTTTCTCTCCGACACAAACCAAAACGCACGATTCGCACCAGACATTACACACCTACGAGTGCCGCGCCGCCCAGCTCGGCGTCTTCGGCCGCTGGTCGCCCCCGACGCTGCTCAGACACCCCCAGTGCACCACCGTGTTGTCCGGCATGACCGCCACCACGCTGCCGCCGACACGCATGCCGCCGCCCAGACGCCGATGGCAGACCACGCACAGCCGCTCGTCCGTGATGGCCACGTGCCTGTTGCGTCCCGCTGCCGCGCCGTTGCTGCTGCCGACGTGCAGCTCCGCGGCGACGGCGATGCCCTCGGCCTTGCGCAGCGCCGCCACCACACGCGCCTCGGCGACCATGCTATTGGCCGACCGGATCCGTCCGCAAAAGTATGACTCGAGCGCGCGCACTGGCAGGTCGTCGGGGATGAGGCTGAGCGACGAGGCGGCGGGTAGTCGTGCCCCGTGCTTGGAGAGAAGATCGAGGGCGGGCTCTAGCTGCGGCTTGTGTGGGGATGAAGGTTGGAGATAGAGCGAGAGGAGCGTGTGGTAGATGGATGGTGTGTCTTCCTCATCTTCATCGCCGTCTTCTGATGTATCGTTGGCCGACGGAGTGGGAGCCTGTCGCTGAATACGGTTGCAGTATCTAAACAAAGTCAGCAAACCTACGTACACACGCCTTGAGAAAAGAATTAGCATACTCTTCTGCCTTGGCATAGTGTTGCATCTTGAAGACAAAGATCTCCAAGGCCTGCTTGTGCTGGCCCATGTTGCTTAGCACCACAGCCTGTGCTTCGTAGAATGACGGATCTAATTGACTTGTTAGCACCAGACGGTTATCATCTTCTGGTTGCTCTCATACCATTTCTTGGAATCGTGGAAAACGCCTTGCCTAGGCTGTACACCGGATTAGGCGCCTGTAGGAACTTGATGAAGCGCTCCATCAGCGACTCCCACTCCCCGTCGCTGCGCTTCGTCCCCTCCAGCGCCGCAATGTACAGCTCCACGAGCCTGTTGTGCAGCTCCGGAGTCGAGTCCTCCAGCTCCATGACCACGTGCTCCAGGTACTGCCGCTCCAGCGCCGTGTCCATGGTCCGCAGGAAGGCCGCTACACGCTCCCGCGGCAGCGTCTCGGCGTTTTCCGTGTCGCCCGTGAAAATCTCCATCGCAAACGCCGGGTTCACGCGCAGTGCCCAACCAGCGTGCTCGAGTATCAGGTCAATCTCGGACGGCGGCATGTTCTGCAGGTACTGGATGGTGCGGTTAGGACCGTGTAGTAGCTCCGGCGCGCGCTCGTCGGGCTTGGCCGCGGCACCGAACCGGACGAGCAGCGCCAGCGCCTCCCGGTGCAGCCGCTTGCCGTAAAAAAAGTCGATGAGCTCGTTGTAGCGATCTTGCTCCACGAGCTTCTCGTTGACCACATCCGGGTCGCAAAAGTTGGGGATGCGAAACAGCGAGCTGGCCAGCGACGGCTGCGAGAGCATGTAGGCGCGGAAGAGCGTCGTGTCGACAAGGCGGAACGTGCCCTGGAGCTTTTCTTGAAGTTGCGCTTCGGTCTCGTTCTGACCCATTCGGAGGAATCGGTCCGTAGCATCCTCGCCCGGGGCCGCGTCTCTAGGTTTGAGGAGTCCGGTAGCTGGGTCAATGACACGCTGCAAGCGTGCACGTGTTCCGGCCAGGTATCCATTCAGCTCAAGGACAGCCTTCATCAAGTCTTTACCTTCAAGAGGCCTGTCTGCTGCCGCTGCCGTGGAGTCTGCGGAGTCCTTCTCATCTGCGGCATCGGAAGCCTCCCTCTTCACAGACATGATCGACCCTGTATCGGTCGCCGTCTTACGCTGGGACCCCATAAAATAGCCCGCGAAACGGCCGACTGCAGAAGTGCTCTCACCGGCGTCCTCGGAGTTCCGCTGCGTTTCGACACTGGCCTGGGGTGCGGTGTCGTCGGTATCGCCAGACTTCTTGGCCTCCTCCTTGCCAGCCCATTTGGAGAGCTCACCCGATATGACGGGAGGATACAAGGCCAACACCCGCTCTGGTGGTGCGTGGACATCGTCCTCGTTGAACAAGTCCATTGCCTTGCGATACTTCTTCTCTCCAAAGAGAATCTCGGCTTTTTGCATCTTGATCTCTCGTAAGGTCTCCATCTTGCTCTTCAGCAGCGCATCCTCCAGTAAATTGAGGATGCTGATTGCCTCGTCATAATTACCAGCATCAACCAGTTCCTTGACTTGCGAATCGTAGTCCGTGGCACCCATTTTCCACACGCATCGTTCACTAGAGATGTGGAAGCCCTTGCCGGCGTGCGCAAGACTTACGTTTGGGGGCGGAAAGTACAACTGCGCAGCACCAGGAAGCGATATCGTCTGCACGAGAGAAAGGGTGTCTGGATTTCGCACTTCGAGTGAGCCTTTTGCTGGTGGCTGAAGGGCCACGATATATGGGTACGAATAGCCGATAGACTCTGGTGCGGTTGCCCAAGGAATTTGCCGCTGATTTAGGGGCTTGCCCGTATCGTCAATGAACATGGTATTGATGTCCTTTGCGAGGAGGACTTGGCCATCTGCCAATTTGGATGCCAGGGGCTTCGGCATATATCCGCCCAGGCCCATGTATCCCATACCGGCACTGCTGACGGCGCCGAAGCGGCTGCTCTGTCCGGCCGCGCCGACCGCTCCTGGACCGGTGATGTCCTCCACCTCGTGCGTGAGGGCGTCAACCATGACGTATCCGCCATTCATGCCGCATACGACCTTGGTAGCGCTGGCCCACGTCACGCTGCGGATCGACTCAGCAAGGACCACCTCGGCGCTGTCGCCGCCGAGCTCGCACTCGTGCCAGCTCCAGAGCAGCAGACGCCTCTTGACGGAGACGGCCAGCCGAGAGATGATCTCGGGGATGCCCGTGTCCGGGTCCTTGACTATGTTTGACGTGACGGCAAAGCCCGACGCATTCTTGGTCTTGTCGAGGGTGTCGACGAGCTCGTAGGTCTGCAGGTCGTGCAGCGACACGTGGTAGTTGGAGAGCGAGACGATGGTGTTGGCCTCCTTGATGATGGCGAGCTGCTCGATGGCGCGCGTGGAGAAGCGTTCGACCTCGCGCAAGAGGTCCGTCGGCCGGGAGGAGCCGCGTGAGGATGGGCGCGGCGGCTGGCGGTCGCCGCTGTTCCGAGGTAGGCTGCTGGAGTTGGAGTTGCTGGCGGCATGTCCGTTTTCGATGATGGTAGCAGGGGCGGGGGCGGGGGCGGGGACGGGCTCGTTGAGTCTGTATATTCGAAGCGCACCGGTGTTGAGGCCGACGAGGATGCGATCGCCTGTGAAGCAGGAGGGGTCATTAGTTACCCGTAGATCTGGAAGACGGGTGCCTGGTCGGCTTGTGGTGACGTCGCCGATGAAGGGCTGGGCGGCCACAACATGGTCGCTTCTGAGTCCTCCGGGTACGCACCATGTGCAAGAATCGTCTCTATCTTGGATTTGTCGCGCGGCCGCAGCTCAATGATTGGCCGCGCGGTAAAGGCAGAGAGCATGACGGGCGGGAGGGCAAGCTCCGAAGCTGGGTCAGCCTGGGCTACCTCGGGTCGACGGGCATGGGTATGCAGGGGGAAAGGAGGTATATAGCTGACAAAGCCTCTCAGATAGGCGATGGATTCGAAAAATTCGAGGTTCAAGGAACGAGGGTGTTGCACTTCCGTCTTGTCTCGCGAAGGATCGGTTTGTCGAGGTTGAATGTCTCAGCACGACAGTAAGTCGACGTCGGGTGCCACTAACGTTAGTTACCTAGTTAGTCAGTCTGTCTGTCGCAGTAGCATCCATCCTCCCCAACATCATTGTCCACAAGCCTACCTATGTATGTAATATGGAATTAATTAAGCCTCCACCCCACAACATCCAGGAGTGAGTTTTGGCAGCGACAAAACAACACTCTTCTGAAGCAAGTTCAATGCCAGGTTTCCACATAGGAAAAATGGTGTTTAGACAGGATCATGGTCTTCCCCAATGCCCATAGACCTTGGTGGTAAGATGGCCAGCCATGTCCTTCACCAGAGCCCGCTAGACCAGCTCCGGGACGAAAGAAACAGAAACGAATGAATGGAAGCTCAACAAGAAATAAAGATACAAGAGAAAATATGTCTTCTGATTTGAACCAGGGGGACTTCTCAACACGTTCTATTCGAACCAATATGCCGGAAAGCATACTGCAGCTTGCAGTGCTCCAACCTGGGCTCACATCACATGAAATGATGGCCAACTTTTCATTAAAATGTTTGATGTCTTGATTGAAACTGTGCCGGCAATTTTCAATCAAGAACTGCTTCCATGGTTCCATGGCTATGACAACTGAGTCTCTACACCGTCACGCAGCCTGCCTTGTAGCCTTCGCCAGCGGTAGATATTTCACTTAGACCAACACAAAGACTACAGATGCTTTATTAAAAAGAGCAAAACTTGAATATCATTACTATACACTCGAACAGATGCAAAGCTTCTTGCATCCAGTGCTGATATGACTCTGCCGAATGATGATGCTATGTTGACATTTTTGCAGTTTGATTATTTATTTGGAAAGGCCGTAATAGGGCGTAGAGAAGGTATGAGCACCTGACTGCCATCGCATGCTATCAGGGTCGTTATTATCAGTCGTTGCTGTCAGAGTCGTCGTTGTCAGAGTCGTTGTTGTCAGAGTCGTTGTTGTCAGAGTCGTTGTTGTCAGATGCAAGGTTGTTAGAGGCCATGTTGCAAGGGACGTTGTGATCAGAGCCATCATTTTCATAGGGCTCAAAACCATTTGCCTGCCGATGCTTCCACGCACTGTGCCACGGGCAGAAATGGTAACGGCACCACGGAGGATCGCGCACGCACGCAGTACCCAGCATCTCCTTCCACTGGCAATCCGTCTTCCGTAACTCGAAAAAAGCTGACCGATGCGGAACGCAATCTGGGTTGATGTAGGGCTGCACTACGCCCAAGTAAGAGATCGAGTTGTGTCCTCTATTGTCGCAGAAATTTGGATCGGCGCCACAGAAAAGCAACAAGCGACACATGTCCTTGGTGCTCTGCTCGTCAGGGCGTAGCTGGGATGCTGCGATCATAATGGGAGTCTCCCCTTTGTGATTGCCATGGTTTACATCCGCACCGTTATAGAGCAGAAACTTAACCATCGCAAGTTTTTGTAGCTTGACCGCTACCATGAGTGGCGTATCTGATGCATATTCTCCCCTCCATGACGGGTTAAGCACGACTGGCTCGCTGTTCATGACTGTATGTATGTACTCATCTCTGTACCTTGCGTGGTATTCACCGTAGATCGAATCACAATTGATAACAGGTCCTCGTCTGGTAGCTTGGCGTCTGGTGGCTCGTCGTCTGTCAGTTCGTTGTCTGATGGCTTCTTGTCTGATGGCTTCTTGTCTAATGGCTTCTTGTCTGATGGTATCCACAAGAAGCTTCAAGAAAGGTATCGAGCTGAAGGATGGTTCGTAATTGAGCAGGGTTGCTGGTATGCTGACCCCGCGCTGAGTGTGGGCTTTAATAAGGCATTTGGCGGCTGTAAGCCTCCCATGCTTGAGAGCTAGCTCCAATGGTGTTTCCTCGCCCGGAGGGCCTTCTAACTTGGCACCCTTGGAGAGAAGTAGTCTGACAAGTTCGTTCTTGCCTTCTTTTGCGGCTGCGCAAAGGAGAGTGAGACCGGTCGCGGCCTCTATGTGCCCGGGAAAAGGTCTGACCCTTTCGCCCAGGCTCATGTCGGGATCGAGACCATAGTCCAGAAGAAGCTTCATTACAGAGAAGCAGTGCTCTCGTTGCTTTGCCAACATTTCCTCCTTTGGAGTTCTAAGACCGAGACGATGGAAGACGCGGCGCGCAACGTGGCCCTTTGATGGTTCCACATACTTATGATCGAGCAGAAACTCCAGGCAGTCGGTAGTGCGCGAAAGAACGGCCGCTGCAGACACTGGAGTAATCGGTAGCTCATGTAAACAGTAACGGCACATGCACTCATCGTCAATTTCGTGACCGAGCCAGGTAGTAACAGCTGCTTCGAACCCGTCGTATTCGGCCAACTTCTTCAACATGTCGGCATCATCGTCGCGCGCGGCCCAATAAACTGCCGTCTCTGTTGCGCTGTAGAGTTGCATATCTGGCCGATATCCGCTGCTGAGCAGCAGGCTTGTAAACTCAAAGTCCCTGTTGCGGACGCTGTGTATGAGAGGTGCAGGGTTTGAACAGACTTCTGCGCCGTGTGCCAGCAAAAGTTTGAACATCGACTGCGTCTTCACGAATCTTATCAAGTTGATATCCCTCAGCAAATCTTTACCGGTTGTCAGCATCACTTCCACCATGGAGAGCTTATTCTGTTCGACTGCGAATTCGAAAGCATGATCAAGCATGAAAGATGAGACTCTGACATCGGGGCACTCGGCTATTGAATGAGAGAAGACGTTCACGGTGTTAGCTTCGCCACCCTTCTCAATTTCTTGGTTCCTTTGAGAGTAGGCCCTTCGGTACTTGTTGAGAGCCTCAGGGGGAGGGCGGGGGGCGATCTCGAGCCACATCTTGAGAGGTACTACGTGACCGTCAAAGGTAGCCCAGCCGGCGAAGTCAGCGGTAAGTGGCGGAAGTTCTTGAGAAAGTCGGGGAGCAATAATCCCCCAGAACCTCTTACAGGTATATGCCAGCAAGTACAGCTTAGGCGTGCAAGGACGACAGAAGTCCGCAATGATAAGTACCAACTCAGCTGGGAGGCGTGTGAGCGGAGATTGCGAGTTCCAATAAGAGCGGTCCATGTTAATGTTTTCAGATAAATGTAACTTTCGAGTAATGTGGAAGTGATGATGTTTGAAGAAGCAGTAGAATGAGAAATAAAGATGATTGAAGGATGCCATTGAGATTAAGTACCAGGACAGGACGCCCAGCGGATGGAACACGGTGGCACAAAACGGGGGTTTGAATCTTTGAAAAGCTTCGCCAGTACTACGCCAGCCGTTGAGAAGTGTCAAGCTCAAAAGAAGACGTGCTGCCGCGCGCATCGGTGGTGCAATGAAGCCCGCACATTCACGCAGGCCTTCCAGCCTCGTTGTGGAGTTGCCATCCGACGGAAATGACCTTGTAAACGTTGAAACGGCTAAACCGCCCTTCCTGAGGTATGTGATTCCTGGTCCTACGCTCTCGTGGCGACTCGGACGTGTCACAGCGAGTCTTGACAAGGCGGTTCCTGGTACGCTGCGTTGGACCTCACATTGACACTTGTCATTAAGACGTTGCCCACGAGTTTACTCAATGATTCGAGGTTTAGCTAGGCGTCAAGATACCAAAAACCTAAACTCGCGCTGAGTGTGAGCTGAGCCGAAGTTGGATAGACTCCGTGTGGCGTGGTGCACAACTATGACGGATGAAAGAACATGGTGAGCTGGTGAGCTGGTGAGCTGGTGAGCTTACCTTTGGATGCACAAAGCGACATAGTGCAACGAACCGCGCAGAGAATTAGGCAACCTGACTGTGCCAAGAGTGGATGATGGAAAAGTTACACGCTTTGCGTGGCTCGAGGCCGTTGAAGCGACGGGGCGGGCACCTCGGCGCCTTGTGGAACATGACCGACATTCTGGCTGAAGCCACATGCATCGAGGAATGCCAGAGTGACCCAAAAGCAGCCCGAGAGATACCTGAAGTAAGAGAATATTGTCCAACTTCCCCGTCGTCGCACACAGGCATCCCAAATAAGTCGGCACCTCCATCAACGAGCCTTGTCCGCAACACCCCCAGCCTCGCACCCCCCCCACCCCCCCGAGATCCCTTCTCGATACATCAAAGCAATCATCACCGCACTCTAGCCGCCTTGGCCGCCTCGATCCCCGCCTCCGCGACGCGCCTGTCGTCCTCAAACGTCAGCGTCGCGCCGACCTCGTCCCACGGCACCCACCGCGCCTCAAAGTCCTCCCCGTCCTGCTGCGCGCCCTCCCCCATCTCCGCACCCGCGTCCGCCATCGCCACGAACCAGAAGATAATCTTCAGCACGCTGCCGTCGGTCACGCGCTGCGCGACCGCCAAGGGCTCCTCCGTCACCGCGGCCGCCTCGCCGGTGGCGCGCGTCGGGATGCGCACGGGATGCGCACGGGGAGGAGCGCCGCGCGCACGCCCGTCTCCTCCCACGTCTCGCGCAGCGCGGCGTCGGGGAGGGCCTCGTGCACGTCCTTGCGGCCCTTGGGGAGGTACACCTCGCCGGTGGAGCGGGAGCGGATGAGGAGCGCCTTGGACGCGTGCGGGTCGACGGCGACGGTGCCGCAGCTGATGGCGAAGCCGTCGGACAAATGGAGGCTTCTGTTGCTGGATGCCATGGGCTTCGAAATTATCGACACGAGAAACGTTGATGGAGTTGCTGAGGTAGTTGCTGAGCTTGAAAACATTGATGCCCCACTGCTGGCCGTTACATACACAACAGATCCATCTCGTCGGCCATCATGGCCACCGTTTCGATGCTCCTTTATCCTTCATCTCTGACATAACCAGTAGTCGGCGCTGAGGCTTGGGCGGCAGAAATTAGAGTAACAAAGGTTTGTAGACATTCGTGAGACCTATATATGGGTATATGCTAATAAGCGAGCTCCTCTCGTACGTTTCCAAACATGACTGACCACACACAATAAGAAAGTACCATTATTAGTCGTTACATTGTCATTCATAGCTGCGTCGCCAATAATTCATTCTGTCCTAGTCGCCCGGCGACCAAGGTAAATCTCTCTCTCGTACCGAAGTACACGTCAGGTATCGTATTCCATCGCTCGGTGGCTTTCCGCCTGCGGTGCCACCAGCAGCGAGGTCCAGCTCAAGACTGCTCCCCATCAAGGGGGCAACAATGTCTCTCGCCATTGCTTTGAGTTCGTCCAGTCGCTTTTCGAAACGCCGCAAATGATCGCGACTGTATAGGTCGGGAGTCCGTTTTAGAAATTCCTTGCACTCGCTGTGTGCCAGGTACGCGTTTGGCCTTCCGGCTAGCGTGCGATACGCACGACCGATAGCACCCAGTGCAGGGAGAGGCGCAAAGGCACCGCTGTTTGCCAAAGCCGACGACGACTTTTTGTTATCGGCTGTCCGTTTCGATGGTGGCGGTGGCGATGTATTATCTGTAAGCCACTCACGGAAGTAGCTGACCACCAGCCAGTCCAAGTAATTCGACGACGGCGACACGCGCTCCCCATGGGAGTTCAGTAGGGTTAGGCGGAACAACCGACGCTCCACGCGGCTAACCGTGTATTCCAGATCGTCAACCTTGTCCTCGATGAGATCCAGAACGGAGTCGGGCATGGACGCCCGAAGGCTGCGTTCGCCAACAGGCCACTGACCAACCACGTGAACAAGAGCCTCTTGGAAGATGACTTTTGAGCGGGCCAGATAGCCTAAGCGCAGGTAGGACACAGGGTACTTGGCAATTTGCTTCCATAAGCGCGCTTGAAATTGCAGTAGGTGGTGATCAACCCGCGGACCAACCACAGCCAGTGCATCATACTGATCAGCCAGGCCGAGCAGGCGCTTGCACTGGATATAGGCATCGGCGACATTGACACCGTCCAGAAGCGGCGGGTAGTTGTAGAAAATGCGGAACAAGTTATCGTAATCGCGGACCAGATCCTCTTCCTCCGGAACGGCGACGATGACTGTATTGTTGTTTCGACTGCGAGATCGTGGCTGCGATGATAAACTGAGGTTGGCGAGAGACTGGGAAAAGGATGACCGATGGCCTTTGGCAGAGTGAGGCGCGGTGCGTGATTGGGAATTGCTGTGGCGGGATCTGCTCAGAGGTCCAGAGTCGGGGCCAGAGCTGGAACCGGGTCTAGGAGTCGCAAAGATGGATTGATGCGCAGCCTGTATTTTATCGTCTCTTACCGGATCGTTTTGCACGAGCATCGGAATATCGTCTTGGCCACGACCAGGATCCAACTCGTAACGCCACCGCCTATTGCCTGAGACAGAGACAGCAGCCGCCTGACCAGCACCAGTGGTCGAGTCGGCTTGGCTCAAGATGGAACCATTTGGATTGACACATGCAACTTCATTGCCTGCTGCGAGCTGTCGAACTTTGGGTTTCGTGGATGGGTCCGGGCCACGAGCGCGGGACCATTCTTCTGATGTGCTTGCCTCGAAAAAGCCGCTACATCGCGTGAGGATTTCCCTGTGCAGGAGATATCGGTTTTCGAGCGGTCCAGCTCTAATAATTACCTCGACATCGCCAGACTGTGAAAAGACGGGGAATTCGTTGAGGGGAGAATAGGAATCGCCGCCGGCATGCGAGCGATTATAGCGCTTCGACCGTGTGCTTGTGTGGCCGCTATGCCTTGGCAGGATAGCAGACGCAGCAGATGAGTGGCCATGACCATGGCGATGCTGGAGGTTGTACTGCGCCGTCGGATCTGGTTGCGACACCATCAGTGCGGGTTGGGCAGAGCCGATGGCGCAATGAAGAGAGCGCCGTGAGAGAGGTGAGGTTGATGCGACAAATCTGCACAAGATTGACCCGATGGTGTTTTGCACGGTAAGTTGCCTCTGGCGACGGTGCTCAGGTCGCGTTATGCGACTTTCGCGGCAACATACAGCTGCGTCGCTGGCCAGTAGCCTTGTGGAAGGCAGCACGAGACTCGATCTTGCCGCAGGATGCCCGGCAACGTGGTACGAGAAAACCGAGCAGTTGATCAACAACGACAGAATGAATGTTATATTACAGTGGCAGAGAGTCAAGAAGAGAGCAAAGAACGAAAGAGTAAGAATCAGATATGCACTCCATAGAAGAGCCGAAACTCTGTAGGGTACCAAGAGCTTCTCCGTGTGCCGCTGGATGGCAATACGCGACGAGCCCCCCCACCTAAATTGCCTCTTTATTACAGCGAGTATCAGCAGGCTCCGTCACAGACTCAGCGCGAGAAAAGCAAGGCAAAAGGCCCATGTCGTTGTAAAAACGCGTCAGGCGACATGCCCCTAGTGGATAGGGCGAGCAGATCGAGTGGGCTTTTCTCTGGTCAGTGGTTGCCATCGACCTCCAGGAAGTCCACGAAGGCACAGGTTCAACGCCCCCGCCACAAGAGGCAGCCAGAAAAACGCCTAGCGGCTGCAGGCTGATTGGAGGTGGACGAATCGGTAACGGGGAGACCACTGAGCGCCGAGACCACCACCACTAGTGTTGACAGCAGGAGAGATCGTTGACCAGTCACGATTGAGAAGTCGTCGGATGGTGCGGTGGATAGTTTGGTATGAATACGGCGAAAATAGCAAAAATAAAGGAGGGGGGTCTGATGGTGAAGGAAGAAAGGAATAAAAAGTGGCGATGCCTCCTTTTAGCCGCGCATGGTGTTGATGTTTGACGGTTGGCAGCTGGCAGAGTTGCTGGCAGCTGGCAACTGGTAAACCGTCGTTGCTGCGTAGGTACCATACCTACATATGTAGGTACCTATCTATTACCTATTACGACACCCGCAAAGACTGCTGTTTGCCACCAACACAGCACAGAACTTGGCTTATTCTCTTGATTCGCCCAAGTCATTGACTGATGGATTTGATTATCAATGATGTCTTACTGCCTCGTAAGCCAAATACAGAAGTTTTTGTGAACATTGACATAAAGGCTCGAGAATATCGACACCTCAGGCTCCACAATAGTTCGCGTCGTCTCGTCTCAAGCTCGCCACAGTTCCAAGATTTTATCCTTTTGTTTACATGACCCAGCTCCCGTCCCCAAGAGCATCCGGCCAATCCGACATGGAATGAGCGCAATAACGCCCGCGTTCAACAGCGTCGTTCGACCTGTCACAATCTCCGAGTTTCGTGAGGCAATCTTAGCAACATGCAAGCCGCGCTTCCCCAATGTTCGATATGCGCGGACGCGGCCAATTGGTGAGGGCGTGCAGCATTACAGCATCCAGGTTCTGACACTGACGAGTTTTAAGGCCTTGCCGTTAGCGGGGGAGTAGACTCCATGGCACTGGCATATCTTTTCTCGCACTACGTCAAGACATATAAATCACAGCATATCGTCGATAACCCAGTCCGCGACGTCCTCGCCGTCACTGTCGATCATCGTTTACGACCAGAGAGTGCAACCGAAGCAAACAAAGTAGCCACGCATGTCAGACATCTTGGATTGAAAGCAGAAGTTCTCCGAATTGATTGGTCAGCCTTGCTCGGACCCGATGCCGACCCAAGCAAGCAACCAAATGTCGAGAGCATTGCCAGGACCCTACGATACCGTGCTCTCGGATCCTTTTTCGCGAGGCAGAATGTCACGAGCCTCTTTTTCGGGCACCACCGTGACGATCAATACGAAACAATACTCATGCGTTTGCTCTCTGGTCATGGCTATCGCGGTCTACAGGGCATGCACAGGGCCAATTCCATACCCGAATGCTATGACATGTATCGCGCGTACAAGAGCGGCTTGGTAGACGACCAGTTGCACCCACGCCCCTTCCTCAAATTTAGCCCTCGAGGCAGAGAAATGAAGGCTTTACGGGACAGGCTTCGACTAGAAAGCACACTTCCCGGCTTTGAGCGATTTCGATCGCACCTTGGAATCAACGACTTATCATCTCGATTTCCTGGTCAGCTGCAACGGGATCTTGATGCAGGCCTTCCATACCTGCCGCCCCTAAGCATTGAAGACGGTGGCATTACGGTATACAGACCGTTACTAGAGTTTGACAAGGCAAGGCTCATTGCTACATGTGAGGCCAATCGTGTTTCTTGGTTCGAAGACCGCACCAATATCGACGCTACCATAACCACGCGGAATGCCATACGAAAGATCTGCCGAGACCATGAGCTCCCCCGAGCTTTACAAAAGCCGTCAATCCTGGCTTTGGCCGAGCGCTCAAGAAAAAAGGTCCAGGATGAAGAGAATGAGGCGTCGCGAATAATACACCGCCAGGGAACCATAGTCGACTTTGATCCGAATGTGGGCTCTCTCCTTGTTGATTTGCCCTTGCTACGCATCGGAAGAGCAATGAGCAGACGCCGCTTCCAGGGAGCAAGAGACGAGGCCCGGCGAGGGAGACGACGACTCCTTGCAGCCATCATCACGCGCAAACTGATTAGCTTTGTGACCCCCGACAAACACCTGGCACCGATATCGAATCTTGAAAACACTGTCAGGCGGCTCTTCCCTTTCGTGTACGCTGATGGAACCGACCCCCAGTCTGATGGCGCGAACCGCAAGGCATTTTCGATTGCCGGTGTGCAATTTGAACCAGTGCCAAGCTACAAATCGACGCGTTGGTTTCTATCCCGGGCGCCATTCCCATCAAGTTACTTGCGTGCAGTGACAACCGTACCGGAACGTACCATTAAACGGCCTAGATGGGTTTTGAGCGTTAAACCGCTTCCGTGGGAAGCACCCAGTGACCCGGCATGGAAGACTTGGCAATCGGCTGTACTATGGGATGGGCGGTTTTGGATCCGACTCAACACCTGTGATCGCCAAAAAGGGCTTCACGTACTTCCTTTACTCCCCAGCCACACAAAAGCCTTCAAAGCCGCCCTGGACCCGAAGGAGCGTGCCCGGTTCGATAAACTTCTGAAATACCACGCACCAGGAAAAATACGTTATACATTACCAGGTATATACACCGTCGAGAGGGCGAGCAGCTGCCAGGAGGGCGATGAGGCGCCAGAACGTAAAATGATGCTACTCGCCCTGCCAACGCTCGGTGTTCACATTGCAGGCTTGGAGCAATGGGTGCGATATGATGCCCGTTACAAGAATATCGATATGCAGCTGCTAGGCAAACGGAAATATAGCAAAACCCCGAGGATGAATGGGTTTACGGCACGAATCAGTGTATCCAGGAAGAGCAGGCAGCAACGGATGCGGAAGGTGCATGGACAAACGCCAACATAATACAGATACCCATTTGATGTTTCACACTACAATTTTTGCCCATTATGATACCTTCAATGCCATGGCCGGCGCCAGTCTCAATGGTCTGCACCGTCCGAGGTAGTGACAGCGTGGCTTGGCTGCAAAGAAAAGGTTGTGCAGCGCAGCATTGTTCATAACTGCTGCCGAGTCATGCCTCTCTCTGAACGCAGTCATGCCGTGTGCCGACAATTGAAAAAAAAAGAACGCCGATCTCACATGCAACAGGCCCGGAGTGGCCTGCCGATAGCCCTCGATTCATACAATCAATTCATCCGTCTTCAATGCTCGCATTTCACACGAGCACTATTACTGGTGATGCCTTACCTGTTGATGACTTTCCGACCTACCACCCCTACTATGGCGCCGCCTCTCGGTGATAACCTCGACCTCCGACTGGGTACTTCGGAAACGCTTTGTCGGGAGGCAACGATCCTGTATGGGCGCCCTCACGTCATTGCCGGACGGGACTCTTGCTTTGCCGCCCTCGACGGCGGGAGCTACCCAGATACCATTTTCAACCAGGTGCGCCTCAAAGTCGGGGTCTCGGCGCGGCTCGGCCCGGGCTTCCTCGCCGCGGGCCTGCTTGAGATAGTGTTGGGCAATATGCCTCATGCGCTTCCTGTATACGCTTATGACGATGGATCGATCGGACTGGCAATCCTTGTTGATGGGGAACTGTATGTCGCAGAACCAGCACTGCGAGTTCCGAGAGGGGAACCGCTGGGCCATGTGCATCCTCACCATGTGGTCGGTCCAAGCGTCGATGCCGAACTCAGACCGATGGAGGGGAAAGGTGGCTGTACAGTTTTCGTATTTCTGGAACTCGCAGGGCAAGTATGCCACGACCTCGGTCGCGTCGGTGCGGCGGGTGGAGGTGTTGGACAACGCTGCTGAGGAGGCCCCGGATGACGCCAACGCCGCCATGGCACTGGCAGATGACGCCTGCAGGCCGTGAGTCATTTGGGTGACGCCGGCGTGGTTCCAGTGGCCGGGATGGGCGATGTCGCCCGGGGCCACGGGTTCGTCGGAGAAGACCTCTGGTAGTTCTTGTATGGGGTTGAGAAGCTGGGCGTTCATGGCCTGCTGGGCGATGGACTGGGCGGTGGTTCGCGACGCACGAGTCTTGCCATCGCTGCTGAAGATGCAGTCCCTGTCGGGGTGTCGCTCGCCGCGGCGCTTGCTGAAGCCGCTCTCATGCGTGGCGGAGCTTGCATCGCTGCTGTCCCCGGACACGGACGGTAGAAAGACCGAGCGCCGCTCGTCCTCAGGGCCGTTCTCGCGGATGTCCCCGTTCTCGGTCAACTCGATGCTGGGGAAATATCCCACGGCGGTTCCGTTGGCAAAGAGGTTGCCGTAGTTGGTGTCGGAGGAGCGGTCGCTGAAGGTATCGCCCTGAGAACTCCCCGTTTCATAGGGATGTGAAGTGGTGTCGGAAACGGGGGAATCGTTGCTCTCGACATCATCATCGTCGACGGTAGAATGAGGAAACTGCAGTTGGTAGGGAGGACGCATGTCATTGGAGCCCAGCCCACCCATATGGGCGAAGAAAGACTCGTTCATGATGATATATGTATGAGGTATAGAGGGTGATTAGGTCTGTATTTTGTGTTGGCTCTCGCCTGTTGGGCTCTGTGTCTTTTCCCCAGGGCGTTGGCTCGTCTGGCCTGCAGCGACGTTGAAGATTGTGCGTGTGTTGGACCCCCGCTTTGAAGCAAGGAGGGGGCGGTAGGCGGTAGCCGCGGGATATCTCGATCGAGCCTACCGGAGCCCGGAGGAAGAGACTTCTTGCGACTAAAAGGAGACTTGCTGGAGCCAGTCCGGCCTTTGAGTGCGGAAGGAAGGAAGAGAAGACGAGGAAACGGTGCCCTTTTTTCTTTGTCCCGGTCTTAAGAAGGGGCCCGTCACTGCGCATCTATAACCAGTCGGACTCAAGAGCCCCCGCCCTCCCTCACGGAACCTATTAAGTCAAAAGTCAAGGACCACTACCCAACAACTATCAGCAGTTACAATCGGGAAGTGGGGATGATGGCGCGGCGGATTGCTTGATGCATGCTGTTATTCGCTGTCGACGACGGGATGGCTTGTGGTGTGGTTGTTGTTTTTTTTGGGCCCGGCCGACGACAATGAGGGATACGGCACCACTAAGAAGACGCACGGTGGTGGGGACGACGAAGCCGGCGATGATGGGAAGGGTTTCATGCTCGGCATCTTTTGCGGGACAGCTAGCGAAGAGGAAAAGCATCCTTCCTTCCGGAGATGCCTCTGAGGTAACGACGATTCGGTTGGCCCATGTACTTGCAGTCAGATGCCACGACGTTCCTTTGTCTTGATGCCATGCGACCAGCGGGATTTCTACTTGGCTTAGCTTTGCACCAAGTTATCAAGAGATCCATCCCCCCCTGCTAGCGTTGCAACGCTTACAGCCTTGGGCCACCCGCCCAGCTGCTATGTAGAAGGGCCAACTTGTGGCCAGACTTGTTGGGGTTGCGACTGGCATGTCCTGTCCCTCTGCCAGCAGTGCAGACATGCCAAGTGAAACCTGCATCTCGGCGAGGACGACTTATGCAGTTGGTAAACGAAATGGCGAACGAGAAAGCTGGACACACAATCACGAGACGTTGCGCCATGGACAGATTACCAAACAGATTTTTAAGAAAGGCCGACCGAGCTGTACGAAACTGGCGGCGTGAACAACGAAGAGGCCAAACCGGTCCGAACTTCAATATAAGACCTGCACCTAACAGCGCGCATGAGATGCGGCATGACAGCAAGCACCCGTGTACCAATTGCCAGGAAGAAGCCCTTCTTCAGAGACCGACGAAGGGTACGGACAGTCAGCGGGAAGGCTGGCCAAAAGGGCCTGATTGATGCTAGTCACCAGTTGATCGCGATGGCCCCAAGGTGCCACCGCCCGCCGCGCATCAGCCGCGTTGTCAGCGCAGCGCACGGTAGATGTCTCGGGTACGGGTAAAAGCCACGTGAGAATGAAGGCGGGGGAGAAAGGAGGACGAATTACAAGCTGTCGTTTGGGTTCTGAACAAGTCCACGGGCTGCATGTAGCCAGTCGTAGCCGACGAATCATGAAGAGAAGGCAAAACCGGTGAGATGGATATATGAGATTGGTCAGATTCGCAGGAGACGAGAGATGTGTCCCCCACCTTCTTGATCTGACCAGCATATTGTATTTTTGTTTTTTAATTCAATCTAGTATTTCCCTCGATTGGGCTTGCTGGTGGTGGTTGCATGTGTTGTCCTAGAGAAGGCGCATCACTTGAACTCCAGGACGTTGTTTGCTGCGCTTACACGACATGGAAAGAAACCAGAAGATTTCAAAAGAAATCGCCAAAAATACGGTGTACCAAGGCAACTCCAGGTGCAATTACAAAAGCACAATGCTGTGTCTGACTGGTGCAGCTCACCACAACATGCACACCCCTGTCCTCACTACCACCTTGATACCACTCCTGCGGACATCACTTTCCCCCTCCACACACTTTTCTTTCCAATGTACGTACATAGACTCACCCTCTACTCCTGTCAGGACCCATGATGACCACTGCCCATCCATGCCCACCGCCACGTCATCCACCACTACCATCATCAAGCAAACTTCTGGCTCAGCTTCTGGACGGCAAGGCTGCGACGGCAGCGAGGCTATTCAGCTCTCCACGCACCCCCCCCCCCATCAAGAAGCGCGAGAACTAGTTAGCCGGGGAGAAGTGCGAACGGCATGTACTGTTTCTAGAAAAAGCCTCTCCCGAAGGTGTGACTTGGCATGATACGGACGAATGATAGTCCGAGTCGTGGTCGCATCGTCTGTCTGCCATCACACGAGACCTTCATCATCATCATGTATTAATAGTATTAGACACTAACACACAATGTAGTCGGCCAGGTTTATTTAAAAACGGCGCTTCCCAGACGCTCAATCTCCCGCCCCTCCTGGGTGCCCCGGCCCGCCAGCTCCAGCAGGCGCTGCCACGACTCGGCGTCCTTGAGCCGCACCGCCTCCTCCGCCGCCTTGACGCGCATCCCGCACGCCTCGTACATCTCGCTGCTCTCGCCCGGCTCCAAGCCCGTGCACTTGGACACGAACTGCGACGCCAGCCGCGGGTTGCCCGCCTGGAGGGTGAGCTTGTAAAAGGGCTTGTTTTCGATCTCGTGTTAGCAAACATGCCGGGGCGGAGCGTGATGCGGTGAATAGTACACATACCTTCCATCCAATGGGGCTCTTCTTGGCCTTGGCAATATCCTCAATCTCGTTCCACTCGCGCTTCGCGATGAGCGCCTTCAGACGGATCCACCACGCCACCTTGTCGGGCACGCGGAACTCGCTCTGGATCTTCTTGGCCCGTCCGTTGTAGCCGAGCTGGATGAGCTTTGCCATCGTCTCGTTGACGCTCAATCCGTAGAACTTTTCCGCCAAGTCGCGGTCCAGCGCTTCCTGCATGCGCAGCAGCGCTGTCGCTTCTTTGATGGCATGCGCTTCCACAGCAGCCTCCTTGGCGTCGGAGATTAGCTTCCCGGCAAGGGCCAGCTTGTCTACCGTCGTTCGTACATCGGATTGGTGGAGCGACTCCTGGATAAAAACATTGGCACCGTCGACACGACGGTCGTCCTGGTAGTATAGGTCCTTCAGCATGGCGTTGTCGCCCTTTTGCACTGCTGACGACTCGACGAGTGCGGTCGCTACAGGCCGCGAGTTGATGATGCGGAAGAACTGCGACGGCGCCGTCTTCTTTTTCAAATGCTGCAGGACGAATAAGATCAAGTCTGTATCACCACTCTCAACAGCCTTGTCCAGTGCCAGCTCATCCTCTTCCATGTCGAGCAGAAGCGGCACCTGCTTACCGCCTCGGGGTTCGTGGTTTAAAAGCTCCGTAGCCAGCCTGCTGCGGCCTTCGTGGTGCGCTGCACGGGCTATCTCCTCAAAAGAGATGCCAGCCTTGCCTGATAGGCGTTCCACAACCAGCCTGCACACACTATCGTCATCTTCTGTGCCGATGCGGACCTTGGATGACGCCCAGTGGGTGTATATAGTATCAGAAGGCAGCTTCAAATAGGACGCAATTTTGAGCGCTAGCTGGTACTCGTGTCGTGTTAATAGGCGTTGGATGAGACGCTCGGGCGTCAGTTGCTGGTATTGCTCAAAAGAAATGGGCAGTCCAATTTTGTAGAAGCGTACGGCGTTTAGCACGCGCAGGGTTGTGCACATGTCCACAAAGTCATCGCTGTTGTATATATCGAGTACCGACTTGCCGAACGAAGCGGCCTTGAGAAGGCGCTTCTGCCAGTTGGTGTCAAGCTCGCGCCCGGCAGCATTTACACAGGTGTCTACTGCCTCTGTCAAGTTTGGTCTGATGAGCTGGATATAGTCGTCCGCTTTTGGGGACTCCAGCTCCAGCTGGCCGACGGCGTCTAGCAAAATCGAAGCCGGCGATGACTCTGTCGCTGCGCCAAAGGCCTGGATGGTGGCGTCTGGTACTCTCTGAAGAAATTCACAAAAGTCATTCGTTATTAAGCGTGCGCCATCGGGTTCTAGTCGGTGTTAGTAGTGAGCCTAGACGACGCCGTGAAAACTCACCAGAGATGACATGAACTCGTGTGCTATCGTATATATATGAAGCCGACTGGTCATCGGGCCCTATAATATGGACCTCGTCCTCCCAAGCAATGATGGCGTCAGAGCCACACCACTCGACATATTGCGGCGGTGTCTTGGAGTCAGATTCATGGACAAACTCGAGATCCTGGAGGTCACTTGACGTAACGTGTGCCTTGCCGTCGTTGGCATACAACGTGACGAAGCGGCCGTCGGGCGAGACGCTAATGTGGCTCAGCGAGCCAAACTCGGGGAGGCGATCCTCGCAGTCTGCGGCGTCGAGGACGTACACAGTAGACTCGATGCTCAGCAGGACCTCTACAGAGCGCGACAGCGTGTACGCCGGGGGCACAATGGCCCAGGCGCTGATGTCGCCGCTCGGCGGCGTGGCGAGGAGCTTGGGGCGGGGCTCCGCGTAAGAAGCGACTGTGACGAGGGTGCTGTTGCCGAGCAGGGCCACCATGCCGCTGTTGTAGAAGCTGTTATCAAGGGTCAGTGGCGAATTATGAGCAAAGTCAAAAGACAAACCGGCAGGATTCAACGCCATAGTTGTCGGCGCCGTGGCCGAGGGAAAAGTGGCTAAAGTCGCCCTGCAGGTCGTAGCAGCGGACATGGCCATCGGCCGCGACGACGAGCAGCGTCTCGGCGTCGGACCAGCCGAGGCCGCGGATGGCGCCATTGTCCCACGCAATGCTGCGGAGCTTCTGCCCGGCGAGGCTGTACACGTCGATGGCCGGCTTGGACGACTTGCCGGGCCGGTGGGCCTGCAGCTTGTTCTCGTCCGGCCAGAGGGCTAAAGGGGGGTGGCAGTCAGCAAGCAGTGCGACAAAGGGCAGGGTCGTTTGTCAGATGGACGGGAAGAGAGTCCCCATGGCGCATCTCAAACTCACCAAGAGCACCAGCGTAGGGGGCGCCGGCGACAATGTACGTGTCCAAGTCCAGGCTCTCGTCAAACACGGACGTGTACTGCTGCGTCTTGCGGAACCAGCGCTCGCCAACACGCTCCCACTCGGCCTTTGCGTGAAGCGTGTCCATGATTCTCAAGGCTATCTCATTATGGGCTTAGCAAGGGTGGTGAATAGTTCGGTTGTCCCGCGGGCGCTGCCTTTCTGTTGACTCCCGGGGTGACGAGTTATGACAGACGGTTGCAATTGAAGCCCCAAGCTTTGGGGAGCTTGGTGTTCGCTGGCGTCATTGCGCTGCGGCTATTTTGCGGGTAATCAGGTCGCCAAGCTGTCCGTCGATGCTACTATCGAGTTGCATTTATAAACTTATATAATTGTCTAAGAGGGAAAATAAACATTGCATCACAAAGATTATTATAATTAGTCCATGAAAAAAAAATCTGCGTAAATAACAGTCTATTGGCCACTGTCGTGATGGACCTCTTCTCACAGCCCATGTTCATTATCACAGGCTAACTTCGCTGTATTTTCAGAGCATACCCACTAAACTACCTGGTGGCCTGTACCTGGTCAATTCATGTCGTGGTCAACATCATCTCCCAAGTCAAACTCAGTCTGTTTCTTCTCAGTTTTCGCCACCACCGAGCAAAATCATATGACGCCCGGTCCACCTGCAAAATGCCGAAGCTGTTCTCCTCTACAAATCGTCTGCCAACCTGATCGCCTGGAACCATGGATGAAGCAAAATCGCTTCAGCCGAAGGCCGCTTCGCAGCATCGTACTGTAGAATCCACCGAATGAGCTCCTTTACCTGAGCACACTCATCCTCGTCGAGGTCTGGCTTAGCCTCGTCAAAGACCTCCTCCATACTTTGCTGCGGCATCATCAGTGGCTCCTCACCAGCCCGCACGCCACCGAGCCTGCAGTTGAACAGCGTCCCGTCCGGCTTGACGTACAAGGCCAGCGTTTTCCAGGCCTGGTAGTACTCGTCCGGCAGCGCGCCCAGTCGATTGATGAACCGCAGAGCGAGGTCGTCATCTTCGTGCCCGGAACCGACGATGCAGAAGAGAGGCTCTCCGGTGATGAGCTCGAACAGCAGACAGCCGAAGCTCCAAACATCGAGCGAGGCGCCCGTCTTCCCGGCGAAGACCAGCTCAGGCGCCCGCAGGCCGTGAGGGGTGATCAGTTTCGACGGCGGGTCAGATAGAAAATAGGCTGCAGCGGTTAGCCAGCGGCTTTTGTACGAGCCTCTGATATTACTTACCTCCGCCCATGTCGGACAGCTTGATCTTGAGCCGGTTGTCATACGACGTGAATTGTGCAAGAGGTTGCGCTACATACAGGCGGGACGGCGCCCACAGGTCATCTTTACCGTCTAGCCTTCCCACAACCTGAGAGGCTTGCGCTGCCCCGGTCCCTTCCTCTTGCCAAAGCTTGTCCTCTGTCAAGGACTCAATGCCGTCTATGCCAAATAGCATGTTTCCAGGTTGAAAATCCCCGCAGCCAATGCCGTTTGCATGGAGGAGCGCCAGCGCCTGCAGCGACTGCTTCAGGATGCTCTTGGCCATCGTGGGCGGGTAACGAACCCTCATCTCGCGCTTCCGGGGCTTGAACTGGGGAAGCTCCTCGACCATTACGTTCACGTTTGGTCCCATGATTTCGAATACGAGGCATTTGTGGTTGCCATTAGGCCCCTTGTGCTCAAACTCGGATAGAAGCTGCGTAGTGTATCGTTTGCCCTCTGGCAATGTGGCAAGGCAACTCAATATTCGCTCCTCGTTCATCTGCCCAGAGACTGCAGAGACAACAATCTTCAGTGCGACGTAGTTTTTGTTTCTTTTTTTGGAAATCAGTATAAGTAATTTCGCGACGAATAACTCAATCTGTTGATGCATTGCTCCATACCGTAAGTCGTTGGCCAGCCACACAGTTGAGAATGAGCCCTCGCCCAACTTGCGCATGACCTTGTACTGTCCATCGTTGAATACGTCTCCGAGGCTTACTGGGTGATAGCTGCCCGGCCGGTAGTCTTCAATCCACTCGCATGGCAATGTGATGGTCTTGAATCTCAGCTCGTCGTCTCGGAAAGGCATAGCTGGTGGTGTGGCTGCACTCGAGGTGGTCATCCTTCCTTCGTGAGCGAGAATGTTTGATTTGCGAGCCTCTCAATTCAAAGAGACTTGTGAGAATTTGGGACCTGAGTTTGTCAAGTGCGAAGTTGAGGTCCTCTCAGCCAGCTAATGCAGGTTTCTTTCGTGCACAATGCCACAACAGCGAAGTACCCTGTAGCCGCATGCGCACCCGGATATCCTGCAGGAAATGATGTTGACCGTTTCTCAACAAGACAATCGTTTGCCGAAAAGCTCGCATATTTCTTGACTCTTGCATAAGGGTTGACTACTCGCAGTAGTTACAAAGTAACAAGTTAAGTTTCTTGGTTCGTCCGTTATTAGGTACCCCACCAAAGCTGCGACTGTCACAACGGACCAACGATAATGAGGGGCAAATCTCCCTTACAACATTCGCGTTTGATCATCACACATGCAAAGCCACCGGCGCAGAAAAGATCCAAAATGCCAACATGGAGAGACGAATACCTTACATCCCTCAAAGAATCCGAGATGAATAACCCAGTTAATATGGAGTTGGTACAAACATGTACGAACGCGCGCCCGTCCCCCCACCATCTAGAAGGTCGATGAACTAACGACAACCGCTGCGGGGAGATCAGGTTCGCAAATGGCCGATCGAATATCCGCGCTTGAAGCCGAGCGCGCCTCTCTCGAAGCCCAACTCCCTCCCGCCAAGTCCCCCCTTCCCCCCTCCAACAAGGCGCCGCCCCCGACCGCCGCCGCCACCACCAGCGCAGAGACGGCGCAGCTCCGGCAGGACATCGCCGAGGCGCTGCGCTCCAAGGGCACCACCGAGGCGCGCCTGCGCGCCGCCGAGGAGGAACTCACCCGGCTGCGCGCGCGCACCGCCGACGACGCGCGCTCCGTCCGCCAGCTGACCGCCGACCGCACCGCGCTGACGACGCGGCTCAAGGACCGCGAGTACGAGCTTCGCGAAAAGCGCAAGCTTCTCGAGGTACGAACGGGCGAAACGGATGCGATCTTGTTCTTTCTCTTCTGTGGCATCCTTTCTGACGGTCGCTCTCTTAGCAAGTACAAGACGAAATGATCACGCTCAACCTGCAAGTCTCCATCGCGGAAAAGGAGAGGGACAAGGTCAGGAAGGAGAACAAGGAACTGGTTGATCGCTGGATGAAGCGCATGGCGCAAGAGGCAGACGCCATGAACCTCGCCAACGAGCCGACGAGCAGATGACCCTTACTTCCTCTCGATTTCTGGGACCCAACCAACGAACTGATGCCTACATCTTGCAACGATTACCACGAATATATTTATCACGGCGCACATGAATTTTTTTGTTTGATTTCCTTCCTCCTGTTCAATAGACGGAAATGGAGTTTTCTCTGTATTTTTTGTATGCAGTCCCGCTACCACAAAAAAAGGTCTTGATCCTCCTCTAAAAAGCACAAGCGAATCCCGGACACGCCTTTCCAAACCTTACAAGACCACAAGCCAAATATCTCTCTAGAAAACGTGAGGGAAAGGGGCCGAGAAAAAAAGGACAAGTCTACTTTCGCGTGGAAATATAATACGGCCCTCCTGCATTCGTCCAACTGACGAATCCCTCTGGGTACGCGCACTCCTCCACATCCAATATCGTAGTGCCCACGTCGTTGATGTTGTGGCTGCTGTGGCCGTCCGCCACAAAGGACCGCAGGGAGATGATCTTGCACCCGCTCTTCAGGTCCAAGAACATGCGCACCAGGTCGTCGTTGAGCTGCGACGTAAAGGCCTTGTTGTTGACGAGCACAACGTCGGCCCGCTTCAGGGCGTCGTGAATCACCGCGTTCTTACGGAAATCGCCCTTTTCCAAGTGCGTCCGGCCCGGTAGGACACCCCACAGCTTACATCGCGACCGAAACTCGCGGTTCTGGTCGTCGGCCAGCTTGCATGCGTTCTCCATCATCTCGCAGCCGATGCTCTCGCAGCCAATCTCTAGCGCCGCCTGCAGCACCACGTTGCCGACGCCGGAGCCGAGGTCGACAAAGACCTGGTCTGATGTCATCTTGAGCTGCTCGACCAATAGCTTGGTGACAAAGGGGTGCAGCAGCTCGCCGTACACGAAATCGGTACCGTTTTCGTACTTGGAAAGTAGCTCCACGTGAGGGGCGACTGTTCGGTCGTATATTTGGTCCAGGATGAAGGCGACGAGGTGGGCGGGTAGTTCGTGTAGCTTATCGAGGTTCTTGGAGATGATGCCATCCTCGACGAGGTTCTGGAGGGTCTGGTTGTACTCGTGGATAGCGGCTTTGAAGCCGGCGAGATCCTGAATATTTCTGTTGGAGGCCTTTTCGAGCCGTCGAATGAGGCCGCCGTTTTGGTTGGTAAAAGGTTCGGCCTCTTCTTCCGTGAGGTATGTCTCGGCAACAAGTTGGACGATGCGGATACTAGCCTGCACCGCGTCAATCTTGTCTTTGCCCCAAACTAGTTCGAATCTAGAGTTTAGACGTGTCAGTAGGAAGCGATAAGTAGAGTAAAGCAAGTGTAAGGGACTGGAGTGAGATGCAACGTACCTTTCCCTGGGCTGGGGGCTGGGATATTGTATCTCTATTGCAACATCCTCTTTTTGAGCCCCCATGACCGGGACGCACTTGGTCTCGAGCGAGGCGACGTGTACGGCGTGGACAAACTTGAGGCCGGCCTCAGGCTCCTCGTAGGCGTCAACGTCGCGGAGGTGGCGGTTGGGGTCGGCGAGGTCCTGCTGGTGGTTGCGTGGGCGCTTGCGGGCGTCGAGGCTCATCCAGCCATCGTCCTCGTTGTCATTGTCGCTATCTTTGTCAAAGGTGACGCGCTCGGCGGCGACGGGGGACTTACGGGCCGGGGTGGCGCCGGCCTTGCGTTTGCGGTCGAGGCGGCGCTCGTCCGAGGACGACGATGGGTAGGGCGAATGGCTTTTTTGTCGGGGAGTGGCGGGCTTGGGAGAGGCGCGGTGGACGGAGGGGGAGCGTGAGGAGGAGGACGAGGCCTTGGAGAGTGCGGCTTGTGGCCTGGGCTTGGGCTTGGGCGCGGGACGCTCGATGGTGACCTTTTCGATGCGAATCTTGGGCGGGTCGACCTTGAACTTGTTGCCCTTGCCGCCGAGGAGAGGCATCGTGTCCGGAGGAGGGGAGGGAAGAGAGGAAGGACGAGGAGGTGGCGGAGTCGGGCAGTGGTGGGCGGGCGTGGGCTGACGCGACGACGTCTGCGGATGAAGGAAAACGTGAGCCCAGATGCGTTTCGCGAGGTCGGACGTAGGTGTATGTAATGGTGGAAGGCTAGCGAGGAGTTTCAACGGCGAGGGACGGGGTCGAGGCGAGGCGAGGCGAGGTTGATGATGGTCTTGGTCGGTGCGGTGCGGCGGTCGGTTGCGCGTGGTCACAAGACTGGGGCCGGTTCTCGGGCGCCCAACAGCGAAGAGAATGACGGAATATGGATACAGGGGGGATGAGATAGTGGACAGGGATGTAAAGAAAAGCGAGGAGAGGGATCAAAGACAGTACAAAAATGTGGCGGCTGGGGTGACGAAAATAGAAGATACTTATCCAAGATTTTCCGGTGGCGTGTAGAACCGTTTGTCGATGTTGGACGGGGTAATAAAAGAAGAGTGGATGAGGAAGAATAGTGGAAAGAAGGCATAAGGCAAAAGGAAGGCAGACCAAGAGCCAGAGCCAGAGCCAGCCACGACCAAGTGACGTGGGGATATCTTTGCTCTTTTTTTTTTTCTTTTCTTCTCTCGTAGAGGCATAACCTGCTGCCTGACAGTTAACTATGTAGCTGCAACTAATAAGCCGCCTTTTCTTCCCGTTTTCTTCCCGTTTTCTTCCCGCCCAAGACAGCACGGGAAGGTTTTGTCTGCCTTTTTCTCGGCGCCTGTTTGTCTCCGAGATCTCAACTATCAGGTACCTGGAAGGTACAAACAGTGGTACGGAACTATGCACCTACACCTCTGTACCCTCCCCTCTGTCCACCAATATTCGCCACCACATCCCATCCACCAGCACGCGACTTTGTCCCTCTCTCCTCGGCTCGTGAGATGACTCTTGCCCCCTGTGACACGCAGCAGCTACACAGAAACGCCGTAAATGTCATGTCCTGTACGTACGAATATTCGCAATGTCATACAACGGACAGAGGGGCCCCAGGACCAAGGGCCAACCCGCGCAACAAAGACTGGATGGAGTAATCGGTATGGATACAATGCATCAGATCGCCGCTACTGCTGCCCGGTTTGGTGCATGATTTCGTCGGAAAAAGCAAATATTTACACAATGCTGCACCTGTGGAATTAACCAACATGCTTCTATTTAGCACTTCCCCAGAACGCCTGATCTGCCTGACTAGCATCGCTCAATCAATGATTTCAAGGATGCTGCATTCGAACTGCCGCTATCCATCTTCCCCTTCTTCGAGCGCCAGAATAACATCTTGCTCAGCCATTGACCTCGACTAAAGAACCCACGGAATTTTCCTGACCTAGCAACGACTTTGATCGCTTTCTCCTTCGGAATTGGTGCACTGATGCGGCCACCAAGAGGCTCTGGCCGAATACCAGCACAGGGAGGCGGAATACTAGCATAAGGAGGCTCTCGTGGAATACCAGCACAGGGAGGCTCTCGCCCAAGCAGGGAGTGGATCATTGGGGTCGGATATGGATACCCTCTGAGCCTCCTGTTGGCTATGCAAAACGACATCTCGGCCGCGTAGACGTAGGCGAGCTTCTTGGTCCAAGTAGCGCTGGGAGAAAACATCCGGGCACGGCCGGCCATGTAGACCAGTTTCTGGACGGTGGCGCCCAAGCACTCCTCATACTGCTTCTCAGGGTCGATAACGACGCTTGAACGAGAGCTGCCGCTGCTTGATGAGGAGCTGTCGTCACGCTCTGTGCACACCAGGCACTGAAGGACGGGAAGGGACGGATCAAGGCCGTCGACCACACGTCGGAGACCCGCTAGAGAGATCGAACAATCATCGATCATCCCCGTGTGCTGAGTGTATTCGTGCGAGAATTCTCCAGCGAACGTCGCCCCTTGTTTGAATCGCACCTGCCACAGACGCCACGCGAGCCCTGCCAAGGTCGAATCGTTAGACAAGGGCAGCGATGCTATGCCTGCAGCACACTCAAGAGCCATGATGCGTTTCTCGAGGTTAAGCAGCTCAGAGTCGTGAGCGTACCCTGGCAGTGGCAGTTGGTTCCATCCCTCGAGGTAGGCGATCAACACCGCACATTTGACTTCTGGCTTCATGGTGTGTGGTTTGAAATAGACACAAGAGAGATGTATTGCAAGGCAGTGGATGGCTAAACTAATGATAGACATGTACAGATTTTCAATGGCATAAAAGCCTGGCGCTCACATCCATTTTGTAGTCGTAGGCTTTTAGGCAACGACGCCCGACTGCATCTGCAAGTCTCAGCCACCTTGCCAACTACGGTTCGCATATGCGGCATCATTCACCGAGTTCGTCTGCAAGAAACTGCTCACCGTGAACTTTTAGGTGGGAAAGTGCTGTCACTGTCCACGCTCGTTGTCGAGGGCCAACCACGTCAGTGACGATAGTGTGCCACCCCGCTCAAGAGTAGCAAACAAATCAACGATTTCATTGACAAACGGAATGATATCGAGCAAATCGCAACAGTATACTGTCCAATGTTAGTCCATACTCTGTGCCCCGAGCGGGCTAGCGCCACCTTGTGCCCGACCTCTCTACACCAGCAAGTCTCCGTCCCGACCAATCAACCAACTAACATTGGCTTGCTTGGCTTCCTCCTCGCACGCGGGAGCAGCCTCCAAGGCATCATGGTGCATTTTTATACAGACGCTACAGACGCTACAGACGCTACAGACGCGTTCCTGCTCGTGGATGAGTTGTGGCGTTCGGGGGCTCCCTCCCTCTGGCCGGTGCTGTGCGGCCCCTTCCCGGCACCGCGGGACCCCCAGGACCCCCGACCGCCGGATCGTTGGCGGAATGGCCAGCGGAGCCAGAGCCCCCGACTTGTACGTGGCCACTGGGTCCAGCGTCGGCGGCGGGTCGGGCGAGAGCTTTTCCGGCAGCGCGCTTTTGAAGGCGCTTTTGACGACAAACGTCCTTGTCGGGGCTGGAGCTAGAGCTGGAGCTAGAGCTGGACTCCTCTGCCTGGGAGGCGGCGGAGATGAACGCGGATCCGGCGTTGGAGGGAATGCCCACCACCGCTGGCGCTGGTGGGTTCGCGCGGTGGTTGGCCGCAGCTGCCTCTAGGCTGCTCGGAGCTCTGTTTTGGTTGGCAGCGGTCGTCTGGGAGTTGCCTCGATGGCGAGCAGCTCCTTGCTGGTCGCTGTGATCCAACGGGATTTCTTGAGAATGAGGGACTCCCTCGCGCCAGCTACTCACACGCCCAGCGGAAGAGTGAGCACCTCCCGAAGAATTGCGGTGATGTGACGCGTGTCCCGAGGGCCGTCTCTGCCTGGAAGCAGCCTCGCTCGCGCTGACTTGGTCGGACATGGCTGCTGGATGAGGATAAGGATGCTGGTTGGGCGGAGGTCCTCGATAGGCTGAGACGGCCGCAGGTCGCGAATTGTACCGTGGATGGGGGTCAAGACATCCTCCATGACCATTTCGAGGGTCTGTTGGACCGTCGTAGGGAACGTGAGCGCCTTGGGCTTCGTGAGGCTCCTGGGAGTGCCTTGGATCAGAAGGCCTTGCCTGTCTCGCGTTTCGATCATCATTACTCGGCATGGTTGCTTCAGAATGACCAGATATTATAGTATCTGAGCATTCTTGACCAGGCAGCCCGCGCTCACCCGCCTCCCGGCCCTCCGGCGTCGTTCGGCGGCCCTGCGGCGCTCTGCACGGCAATACTTGGATTTATCCCTGTTTTGCGGCGGCAGTGGCGGCTCCCGCTGCGACACAGACTCGTCGCACTCCTCCGGCTCATTCGCGCCTCCCCGCGCCTTCTCGACCCAGGCCGCGAGAAGCCGCGTCTCGATCAAGTCAGTGAGAAGCCGCGCATACGCCCACGTTAAGCTGTGGGTGAGCTCATCCTCGGGTAACATGAAGGAGTGGTGGCCGGCAGCGTACCCCAGCAGCTGCATCGCGACGATCCAGCAATCGCGGCACTGTGCCCCGTTGTCGCAGTCGGGATTCGGGCAGCGCAGCCGCGGCGCCGACGGCAACGCGGTGAGGAGGATGTTCTCGGCGGCGTAGCGTATGCTGAGCGCGGTGACGGCGTTCTCGTCAACGATGCGCGAACACTCGCGCAAATCTCCTGTGGAAAGCTTGCTTGACAGGAGTTTGCGGGTGTTCTGCACGCGCATGATCCGCCAGGCCAGCCCGTTGTGCGAGCACGTCTCGGACGGCGGCGGCAGCGTGATGCCGCCGGCTCTACTCTCCAGCGCCACCATGCGCCGCTCCACGTCGGCTGGCCTGAACTTGTACGCGCTTTCGTTTTCGGGAAAGGGAAGTGCCCAGCGGGCCTCGAGCCACGCCAGGGACATGGCGAAGCGTGAATTGTGATCCATGTTTAGCGAATCCTGGGAAGAAAAGAAAGAAGAGAAACAGTGAAAGACAAAGTTGTGTGTGTATGAATGAACTGGGAGGGGATCTGAAGCGAAACGAGGTGAGAGAGAGGTTCGGGCGCGGTTCGAGGAGGCTATTTGTACAAATGCTGGACGCGGGAAGCGCCGGCCACACACAAGCAACAACTTGAGAACGAGGCCAGACCGTCGGCCGCTCTGTGAATTGTGCTTCCCATTACCTTACGTTGACGCCTTGCGTCACGGCACGTTGACAGCTTTGGCATACAGCGGCAACGAGGAAGAAGACAAAACACCAAGAAAGAGGGCGTCAGTGGTGAAGCGGCAGGTAGAAGGTGTCACTTGGGATGGCACGGAATTGGCGCGGTTGTTTCGCTGGCGGTACGCCTCGACAGAGTGTCACACGGCGTTTCTCTCAGGACACGAGACACGGGATACGCTCAAGCCCCCTGTTGGTTGCGGCCAGTCACAGAAAGGCGGAAAGGAAAAGTACCTGAATCGTCCGATATTTGTGCGTGAAGTCTTCGTCTTATTTTCTTTGCATGTATTCTGCTTTCGTGTCACCGCGGGACGCCGCCAACAGCCGTCGTTACAGGCCTCTATCACTCTCCCTCCCGGTCATCCTTTTGTCGCACAAATGCAGCACAACAAGCCCCATCCCGTCCCGTCACTTTCCCTCCTGTTACTTTCTCATCTCTTCAGCGTCTTCTGCTTCTCCGCGTCCGTCGCCACGTTGCGCCCCTCCACCAGCAGGCCCTTCTTGCGACGCACCGCGTCCATGTACCGCTTCGCCACGTTCTCCTTGTCCGCGAGCTCGCCCAGGTCCTCCAGGTCGTCCTCAGTGAAGGGTACCCAGAACGGGTCCTCGTCCAGGACCTCGAAGCCCGCGAAGATGAGCTGCGGCTGCGCCGCCCCGCTCGTCCGCTTGCGCATCTCGTCGGCAAACCCGAAGCTCTCCGCCACCGGCAGCAGCGCCTGGATCGTGAAGAACGGCGTGCCCTCCTTCATCGTCTCGCTGACCACGCGCCCGCGTCGCCGCGTGAGCACGTCGTAGACCCGACCCAGCACTTCTGTCGAGGCCTGGATCTCCACGCTGTACATAGCCAGCATGAGTCGGGGAGACCAGTCTAGGAACCCGACGCGCACCGCGGACTGGAAGGCTTTGATCACTTCGCCCGTAAGTCGGCCCAGTTTGTCTCGTGCAGATGTGTCGTCCTCGGCCAGATTCAGGGTGACATCTTCCACAAACACGGCAACACCCTGGATAGGCTCGTTGCAGAGCGGTCCCTGTGAGAGGAAGAGCTGGTAAGCGTAAGTAATCTTGTCGGCCAAGTGGCTGGGCTGCAGAGCCTCTCCAGCAGTTGGATACACGTCTTTGGAGTCAGCCCCCGCAAAAACGCGAGGTAAGATGCTGTCTTTTGTAGCATCAATAAGTAGATTGGGGCCAGTTCGTCGCGGCCCAAACCCAGCAATGCGATCGACGACATTTTTCCAGACGTCACGACCCTTGCCTGTTTCCAGCTGCTTTTGGAGCTCTTTCTTGAGTTCATCTGCAGATAGTAATGAGCGGGCCGTGACAGTCGGGTCCACGGCAATTGATTCCCCAGTACTGTCGGCATCATCTGCTGTATTTAGCTGACAACGCTCATTGTACGCCTTCTTGATCGAGTCACCATTCTTGTTGAGGAAATCAGTAACGTTTTCGGGTAGAGGGCGCACACGAATGGATAGTGTGACCTGCTTGGAGCTGGTGTCGGTGACGACAACGCCGCGACCAAGCTCCTTGTTCACAGGCGGCTTCATCTCCTCCGCACGAACAATAGTCTCGCGATAAGGCACAATCGGGGCACCTGCTTGAATATCGCAGCGCGCAAAGCGCTCTTTCAGATCTGTCAAGCAACGCTCGAGGTGGAGCTCGCCAGCGGTGAGAAGGACGTGCTCTCCGCTGTCAAACTGTTCGTACTCGGCGCACGGATCGCTCTGAACGAGCAGCCGAAGACCCTCGATCATCTTGTCCAGATCGGCGGGATTGACAGGCTCGAGTGCCACACGCACAATGGGCTGGCCAGCCATGCTGACACCAGCAAGGTTGACGGCGCCGTCAAACTTGCTGCAAAGAGTCCCGGACTTGAGAATCTTGCCTTCAAGACCGGCAATGCCAAAGACAACGCCGGCGGGAACGGATGTAAGGGCCTCCAAGCTTCTGCCCATCAGCATGTACAAGGCCTTTACTTCAGTTTCCTGCGGCCTGGGCTCGACGTTGGGCTCTGCGGGAGACCATTTCGGCGGGACAACATATAACTTGTCGCCGACGGAGATAGTGCCAGAGTAGATTCTGGCGAATCCAATCAGGCGCTCAGGGTCAACCTCCTTCTCCTCAGCATCAGGAGCATAATCATCGAGGTTGACTTCCCCGAGAGCCTGTGTTAGAGAACCAACCCCATTTCCATTTGCTTCTAGGGCCGCCTGGGCTCGCGCAGCTTCGGCCCGCTTCTTCCTCGCCAAGTCTCGCGCCTCCTCGCCACTCATCTGGCCAGTTTTGCGCTTGTTCTCAGGAAGCTCGCTCTGGGGAATGGAAACCATCTTGCTGACATAGGCCACTACTGGATCGGCCTTTTCGTGCTTGAATGTTGTCATAGCGTCGCGAATCTGGGGATCAATGCTTGCAGCGCCCGGTGAGCTGTTCAAGACCCCAGGAATACGCTCTCGCTGTGCAGCCGGCGGCGATGGCAGCGACTCAATGACTGAAACCAAAAGTGCCGTAGACAGCGGTAGCCAAGAGGCAAAAACGGTCGTAAGAAGCAATCGAGGGTCGCGAGCTCTGAGAATGTGTGGTGAGATGGAGATGTTGAGAGATTTGGTGACCTTTTCCAACAACGCTGGGTCGCCTTTACCGTTGTCCCCGCCGGTTGTGGCCTGGTACACTGTCCAGACAGGTTCAAGGACTAGTTGTACAAACATGGGCTTGAGGTTGCGGCCCTTGAGATGCTTTGGTCCCAAAACCTTTTTCGTCTTGGGGTCTAGATAAAAGTTTCCCCAGAGCACCTTTTCGAGAATGCCGCGCCTGATGCCCAGCTTCTTCTCGTAGAGACTGGCAAATTGGCGACACGTAAACGCCCAGCCGTCCGTAGCTGTGCTGAAAATGACGTTGTTCTTTTCCGGAGCGAAGTAAATGTCCTCATCGTCCCTCTCTTCAAACTCCAAATCGACAGAGTCAGTGTTGTCTTCATTGCTGGAGGCTTTGGCGGCGGCAGCAGCATTGACGCGCTCCTCCATCCTTTCTCTCCAGTTGAGATCCTCCTCCATTCGCTCTCCCTGGAAGAAGCTACCTAGAACCGCATTGACCTGCTCTAGAAGTTTGCTGAGGTGGACGAAAGCCTCGTTTGGCGTCATCTTGAGCTCGGTAACTAGGCGGTCCATTTTGTTAATGACAAGCAGCGGCTTCAGCTTTTCGGTCCATGCTTGGCGGAGAACAGTTACTGTTTGACTGCAAACTCCTTCTACCGCATCAACGAGGATGACGGCGCCGTCGCAAAGCCGCGATGCTGTGGAGACTTCACTGCTGAAATCGATATGGCCAGGAGAGTCGATGAGGTTGATGAGGTATTCCTTAGGCTCTGGTGTAGCATCTGGCGCTGATCTCCGGAGCATAGAAAAGTATAAGGAAATGGCAGATGACTCCATGGTAATGCCTCTGGACTGCTCATCGGGTCTGGAATCCAAGTATCTAATTTTGCCGGCAAGCTTTGGTGAGATAATGCCGTTTGTCGCCAAGAGGGCGTCTGTGAGGGAGGTTTTGCCATGGTCAACATGGGCTAAAATGCATATCTAGAGCCCGGTTAGCCTCCCATACAACACCCATAGCTTCTCCTACTGACATTGCGAATATCTTCCGACTGCCGTTGCAGCCCTGCAAGCTTTTCAGGCGTGACGACAGGCATGGCGGCGGCTGATGATGGGAGCAGAGTGAGTGGTAGGATATGCAAAAACCGCTAAATAAAAAGGGATTCAAATGAGAGTCAAGAAATTTCGAAGATGCTCGCTGATGATTTAAGCTGACCCGTGTTCAGAAGTTGAAGATGGGTTAAGGCTACATTTATATGTAAAGCTAACTTCAGGCTTGTTTGTAATGCGCCTAGGTAGATACATCGGTAGGTATGACTCTAAACTTCCCCACCAAAGAGCCAAGCTGTGCCACCCACCACACAATATAGAGGGTAGCTTTGAAGTGGCTGACTGCTGCTGTTGATGGAGCTAGCACAATTCGTCAGAATGAATAATCGTAAAAATTCTCAAAACGTAAATGGTTGTATGTGTACTTATGATTCCGTGCAGCAATATCGCGGAGCTACGCTCGCTGGCACGCGCCCCGCTTGAACGTCAAGGAAGCCCCACCAGTATGGCACTCGATATATGCATTAGATATGCGGCTAGGCAGTGCAACTACGGGGCCTAATTACATATTCGCACCACAAGCCCTAACGAGACACGAAATTTCGCGGCCAGACATCGCGGCCCCTCTCAAGCAGCAAGCAGCGCAAATTTTGGTGCGTGCCCCTCAATCCACGCCCGGCGAATCCCACGTCTCGAACCCGACAGCTCGATACAGACAACGACGACGAGCGTTTCGCGACAACTTCCCCTCTCGCCACCACCCAACATGGCCACTTACCAGAACTCTGCGCCCGCCCGCGCGATCGACGTCGACAGCGACGTCGAGGAGGAGGCCCTCGTCAACGACTACCGCGAGCAGGTCCAGTACGAGGACGGCGAGGAGCTCAGCCAGACCAACAGCATCCCTCAGACCGACGACATCCAGGCTCGCCTCGTGCAGGCCGCCCAGCCCCTCGACTTCTCCGCGCCCCTCGAGGTCAAGTTCCAGAGCTACGACTCGTACTGCAGCTTATTCCACTTCATCCTCAACTCGGACGGCCCTGTCGATCTCGAGCCCCCTTCGGTCCGTACACTTTCTTCTCAGAGAAGAGCAATGTTGGATGGTGGGATTCAAAGCTAACCTTTTATCCCTGAATAGTACTACTGGGCTTGGGACGTGATTGACGAGTTCATCTACCAGTTCAACTCGTTTTCCTCCTACAGACTGCGCCTCGCCCGCCAGGCTAACAACGATGAGGAGCTCCAGATCCTTAAGGAGAACCCCAACACCTGGGGTTGCTACAGCGTCCTCAACGTCTTGTACTCGCTGATCCAGCGCTCCCAGATCACCGAGCAGCTGGCCGCCATGAAGCGCAACGAGGACCCCGCGGCCGTCGCGGGCGAGTACGGCTCCAAGAACCTGTACCGCATGCTCGGCTACTTCTCCATCATCGGCCTCCTGCGCGTCCACTGCCTGATGGGCGACTTTGGGCTGGCCCTCAAGACGCTGGACGACATCGAGCTCAACAAGAAGGCCATGTTCGCGCGCGTCATGGCCGCCCACTTCACCACGTACTACTACGTCGGCTTCTCGTACATGATGATGCATCGCTACGCCGACGCCATCCGCATGTTCAGCCACATCCTCGTCTACGTCTCGCGGACCAAGAACTTCCAGAAGAACGCGCAGTACGACTCCATCACCAAGAAGAACGAGCAGATGTACGCGCTCATCGCCATCTGCGTCGCCTTCCACCCCACCCGCCTCGACGACACCATCCACGGCGCGCTCCGCGAAAAGTACGGCGACCAGCTGCTCAAGCTGCAGCGCGGCGGACCCGAGTCGCTCCCCATCTTCGAGGAGCTCTTCCGCACGGCCTGCCCCAAGTTCATCTCGCCCGTCGTCCCCGACTTCGAGAACCCCGAGGCCAACCTCGACCCCGTCGAGCACCACCTCGCCGTCTTCATGGACGAGGTCAAGACCAACATGTGGAGCCCCACCATCAAGTCCTACCTCCGCCTCTACACTACCATGGACCTCAACAAGCTCGCCGGCTTCCTCGAGGTCAAGCCCGACGAGCTCCGCTCCTGGCTCATGGTCACCAAGCAGCGCACCAAGCAGCTGCGCTGGCAGGACCAGGGCCTGCTCGAAGGTGAGCTGGTCAACGTCAGCGACCTCGACTATGCTCTGCAGGGAGACCTGATTCATATCTCCGAGGCCAAGGTCGGCCGCAAGCTCGTCGACTGGTACCTCCGCAACCTGTCCCGCACATACAACTAAGGCACATGTAAGCGCGGCTCAAAATTTGAAACGGGGTTGCATCTTAAGGGGAAAAGTTTTTTTTCTTTCTTTCTGTCTTTGCAGACATTTCTACACGAGACCCTCGGATGTATTGAATCCATGACCAAGCACGGCCACGTCTGTCGATAGTTACGGAGTCGACCTTGGTTCACGATGTTTTGGTAGATGTGAGGGTCATAAGTTGACTGGGGCTGCATGGCACTGGCGTCACGGAGTTGAGGCCCTGATTTTTTTTTTTTTTGCGGATAGGAGCTGATGGCGGAAGATGATGACGGAAGTGAGGAGACAATATGCATAGAGCCGGAAGGAAACGGGGATTATGATGGACACGAAGGCAAGGAAACGGTAAATGGAAGCCGCTGGGGGATATCTCCCTAAATGACGGAACGATTGCGCACATTACTAGAACTTTACGCATTTCCAAAGACTACAAAAAAAAGATTAAACCTGCAGAAATGATTTCCGTGCCGCAGCGGGTTCCGCGCGGGGTAGTCAAGTAACGCCGTAGATCTCGGCGCAAAAATGGCAAAGATAGGCGACACATGGCAATGCTTACTCGGGAAGCCGAGACACAGTCCAGTCCCTGGTAAAAATGCCCTCTCGATGCAGGTCACTGCCAAGGAGACCTTGGGTGTCGCAAACCCCACGCGAGCTGGGGACGGGAGACGAGAGGTCGATGTGACATGCCACATCCGGGAGGCGCAGTCGACAAGAACCAGCCAAGATGTCGAAATGCCGTGAACGCCTTCACCTTGCCCGCTCCCCCTCGGGGCCGCGTCACCAGCATTCTGTATCGCCAAGTTCGATGCGCAACGGGGAAGGCGCGTGCCGTATCTGCTTTGGCAAGAGATTCGAAAGGAGCCAAATCCAGATAACAGCCGGCCCCCGGCCCCCAAACGTCCCCAGGTGATGGATGGGCTCCGACGGATGGAGGCGTGGGGAAGGGAGCAAGGATGAGGCATGTTGCGCGCGCGCGCTGGTTTGCGAGGCGCAAGCCCCGTGTAAGAGGTCATGGTTGGTCAGCGCCGCGGGCGGCGCCCGTTGCTTTGGGACAAAAGTCTTGGCTGCCGCCGCGAGGGCAGAGCTCGGAACCGCCGTTCCTCTCTCGCGGGACAGCAAACTGGGGAGCTTGCTGACGGGCTTGGCGAGTTTGGCTGGCTCAGGCTCGGATGAGGACCGACCCTGCAAATGGCCCCCCCGCGAGAGGAGGCGTTCGACATGGCCAAACTTTTAACTATTACTAGGTAGGTCGTTGTGCAGGCAGGCTATATTCGGCTCGTGAGCTGATGGGTGTGGCGTATGTCCGTGTGTACAGGTAGCCCCGATGATCGGCGTAAGCCCAGTACTTTTCTTTTGTACGAGCAGTTTGTATTTCCCGGTAATTCGTATGCATCTGATTTGATATCGATATCTCGCCAGCTGGAATACCTGTGTATCCAATAAAGTGCGTGACTCAAGGGCGGCACGGAAAACGGGTGGTGTGGCCGTTCCCACCTGGCACTAATTAATAACTGCTGTACACGGCGGCAGCGGCGACGGCCGGCGACAGTGTGCTCGCACCCCACGTCAATAGCGGTGACAAGGGCTTGTAGGGCCTGGAACGCCACTTGTATATTTTTGCTTTGTATATTGGAGGCGGTGGCTGGCGGCTGGCAACAAGGTTAACCTCATGGTTAGATTCTCTCCTGTCTTTGGACGACAAAAAGAACTGGGCCCTCTTCGAAGAGGGTGTGCTGAAGTCGGCTGCACTGGCGAGGTTCCTGTCTCCCCTTCTCAACAAGTTTGGCAGGCGTGGTTGCAGCTCGATGGGCTTCTTCCAGGTCCTGTATTCGAGGGGGCAGCCCAGCAAATCGCCAACCGTCGACTTCCGATGCAGATAAATCACCTATGCAGATAATCCTCCGCCGCGCCGCCGCAGTTTCTTGGTCATCGCCCCCCTTGGCCCCCCTCTTTACAGGAAGCATGCTGAAGAGGCCGCCCTTTTCGCAGAATATTATGATTGCTAGCCAACGGGGCACTCCCGCGCCGTCCCACGCGTGACCGTGCCAAGGCTCGCCGCGCATTTCTGTTCGGCGTGCGATGCCAAGCGGAAGCGAGGGAGAGGATCGGCTAACCAAATTGCCTTCAATCCGTGTCGTGTGCTGCCACCTGCGCCGAGGCTGAGATGTGAACAACACGGCCACGAAACGCCACCTCAGCAAGAATACTCCGTAGATAGACCTGCATGCATTTCTTGCGGCATCTGCGGCAGACCCGACAAGGCTGTCCCGAGAGTAGACCAAAATAAAATAAAGTGTACAGTATAGGCTGCTGCGATTCCAACAATCATGATAAGATGTATCGTAAGTGGGGGTATATTATCAGCTTGCCATTGTGAGGACCAACGGCAGATGCTCCGCCCTGAACAACAATGTCTTGCCTAATAAAAAAGCCTTATTATATTAGCCTTGCGTTGATTGCAGCCCAATGCCCTGATGCAGCTCCCAATCGCACCGGCACTGCCACTGTGACTGCTTTATACCTTAGGTATGGGCAATTTTGATGATGAAAATAATGACCTCGGAGTAACCACCAGAATGCTCTCTCTCTCTCTCTCTCTCTCTCTCTCTCAGCTCTGATTTTTGGACAACCGCGAACATAGTTGCATGATAAGCAGCCAGCCAGCAAAGAGGTGTTCAGCTCCTGTGATGGTGATGCCGTCATCGGCCATCATCTAACACCGCCTGGTATAGCGGCGAGCTAACCCGGTGGCTTCTGGCCTTCTTCTGCTAGCGCATGCATGTGCCACCAGATGTTTGTAAGTCGGCCTGGCTGGTGATGGTGGTTCAGAGCCACTGCTCCCCCGCCAGCTTGAACAGCCCCTGCAACCCTGCGCCGGGGAGCCAACGACGGAGCCGCGGCGGGCGGGCGCAGCGCATGATATGCTGTGTGTTACGTTTCTGGACAGGACTCAGGCCTAGAATCCTCCTCTCCTGGGCCTTGATGCCCAGACATTCCAAGTAACTGGCTGGAAGAGGTGGGCGCACCTGTCTTTATTGCTTGCCGCTCTCCCTGTGTCGCGGCAGGTTTGGATGTGTTGATATTTCTTGTCGGTTGCCAGTCGAACGCAACTTGGACGTTGGTCATCTGCGCCCCCATCCTACACGCTGCAACGTCAACTCGTCTGTGCCGCGAGGGCGAAGACACCGAGCTGTGTCACTTAACTAGGGCCCCGGCTCCCACAAACCTTCGAAAGGCTTCTATTCGTGTTGGTTGAAGGTCGAATCTGGGGTTGGTCCCCTGCCAGTACCCCAGCCTAGTCGCCTGTGTTAGCACCGAGACAAAACAGTTGGCACGCCTGGACCGCACCAGGAGGAAATTGCAATCAGGAGCCCATTCCCTTGTGCCAAAGCAAAGCACGAGACCACTGACCGAACGATTTACCAACCCTGGATTGCTAGGGGTTGTATCGCGCCGCCTCCGTTCAATAACACGACCGACCGAAAAGCCTGGTGGAAGAAGTAAGAGAGAAGAGGAAGAAGCTTGCAAACGCAGCTTACCTCTCAAGAACCAAACACGCCAGTTGGCAAATCTTCATACTACAAGCTGCCAGCTGCCCTTCTACCTCTTCTACAAGACATTCACTGCAGGTTTGTACCAATTCATCTTTCAAGATTCTTTAGCCAATACAACCCTCGCCATCTTCCCTGCTCCCCTTCTCCCTCAACCAGCATCATCTCCAACTAGCACTGCAACCCTGCTAGGACTTCGCGCCAGGAGTCTGGGAATCGCCAACTCGATTTCCTCAAAAGAGCAAGGGAATAAACCAAGACGGAACACCAACGAGAACACCTCACACCCGTTTGCCACCAATACCTACAACCTGTACCTCCAACCAGCTTTTGGGGCTTCACAACAGGGTCAGCTCTCCTCGGCCCGCTATAACAAGGCCCCCGGCATCTGGCTGCGCCTTGGCGACTGTGCCTCGTATGTTAATTGCCTGAGTTCTCAGCTCTATTTCTCCGGTCCATCGCCGAACCCTCATTTCGATTTTTTTTTTACTCTTTCACTGCCCAGTGTGTGTCTATTCTGCATTACATCTTATTTCCACTCCCCTGCAGAGCCGCGCCCGCAAGCCTTAATCGCTAACAGTTACACAGAGGGACCCTGTCGCCAGAGACCTATCGAAGAGCCTCGCAGCGCCTCGTGGCCGATACCTTGTCGCCAGTACAGCACAGCTTTTTTTTTCTCCCTTGACCGACTCCTTTTTTTTTCGGTTCCATCGAAATTATTTATTCTTTTTCTGGTACTACCCGGAGGAGGAAGCAAAAACTCAGCCGCCAGCTGTCGTTGCGCTCCCGTCTTGACAGATTAAATACTACCCTCGCCGGGGCCAGCTATTGCTCCACGCGTGCCGCCTGGAACAACCTCATCATCCCCTGGCTCATTCTAGTTCCTTCACGTCCGTCATTTGGATCGGACTATCAACTCGTCTTTCGATTACGTTGCCTATTTGTTTTCTTGCCTAGGTTTTCTCATTTATCTGTCTTGCTCTCCGCCACCGGAGTGAGCGGCCTACAGCAGCTCGCCTTATCTCTGTCTCACACGTCATTGCCACTCACTGTAACCCGAGCCTTGCTTCCACCAGCATTACAGTGTCTTGTTTGTTCATCTCGGAGAGCTACCTCAGACGAACCACCTCTACATTCACAAACACAGACGGTCTGTGCCTTGGCGCTGTGCTGCCGTGGCCGGCAATTTTGTGCCGAAAGAGTTGCTGTCGCCAACGCCATCTGCAACATTGTCTTGAACCAAGGCCCGACCATCTCGCCATTTTGGGGGCCTTGCCAAAATTAGCATCGTGGGCGGAATTAACTTTAAGTGACCCTTATCCCTTACGTCGGAGGCTCGTCTACACCGATTCTTCTCTCGCCATAAAACATCATTTCACAGCACATTCAACGAGCACCTGTGTCAATGTGCGGGACATTGACACGCGACATCAACAGTGTGACTATATTTCCTTCGCAGCGCCCGCGACCATCCGCCAAGATGCTCAAGATGGTGACGCCCCAGGATATTCGCAGCCCTGGACACGACATGTCGCCCAGGGCGCGCGGCTTGCCGGATTATTTTGCGGTCGGGCCTCTCAAGACGGAGCTGGCTTCAATTCAGGAACAGGAGGCGCCATCATACCAACTGAACGGATCAGACGCTGGTCGCCGCCAGTCGACTATTTCCTTCCAAGACGAGCTGCCAACGCGACGCAATTCAAACGGCTCAGACACTGCACACGTTGCCTCGTTGGGCAGAAAGCCATCCACATCCTCAGTCTCGTCTCGCCGGCCGCGGTATTCTGCGTCTCTGCACGGGTTGGAACTGCAAGAGCATGCCGCGCGCATCCGCGCAAGCTCGCCCCCTCCGGAAAGGTTCGTTCATGCTCTGTTTCCTTGTTTCTCAATTTCCTTGTTTCTCAAAGCAGCAACCCCCAACCACCAGTCTGCTTCCCTCGGTCAAGTCCTTGAATTCGTTTCATTTGCAAGAAAGCACGTCCCTTTGAAGTGTGCCTTGACTATAGCCGGAAATACGGCACCAGGATCGCCGCGTTCCAGAAGGCTGAGACACGGCATCGAAGCGCGAGCGCGTCAACCTGTCGACCGAGATGCACACAGGTCCGTGATGCCCAAGCTGGTCATCCATCTCGTGCATGAAGTGAGGCTGGGTCGAAATAAAGTATCGGGTAAGGGTGGAGATCGTGGAGCGTTTCCTGAGTCGTGCTGCTTGGATGGCGCAGGAGATGCCTACCCGCAGTACACAGCCTGTTCGCGACCTGCCTAGAGAGGCGTAATGCAATTTTTGACTGGTTACGTGCATCTGCAGGCGCACGATGATCTTGTGCGCACGTGGAGCAGCTCGGCAAGCTTGGGACGAGCGGCGACGAGTGTCGCGACTGCACGCACCTATGCCGCGACAGTCCTCTTGATGCTGTTGAATTTAGTCTTGACATCATGGCAATGCACCCCCGGACTGGATTGTTGTTTTTTTTGGCATCTTTTCCCAGCCGCGAGTCTCGTGCTGCACCATTTGCGGCGGCTTGTGCTTTATCTACCTACCTAGTTGGTAGGCAGCTATTCGCCCCACGACTGCCCCCAAAATCTGCGACGTGTGGCGACACTGGCAGTGCCTGTCCGTCCACTGGGCTGCTAGCCTGTTCCATTCATGCAATTACCCCGCCGCTTCCTCACGCTGGAGGCTGGAGGGCACTTCGCCTCACTGCGCCTGCGCCGTGGAGCCACATCACAGGGCCATGACTTGTGCCCGCTCCTGCCTGATTTCTGCTTGTCTTCGTCATCTGTCAATGCCTGCAACTCTCGCCATTGCCCGATTACTTGCCATACCGCCCATTCCCTCACTTGTCGCAGCTCATCCTTACTTACAACCGACCCCTTGTTTTTTTTCATCGCCTCGCAGCGTTTGCGCGACATGTCATCACTAACCGTGCCACCTCGAGACAGGTTCCAGCACCACGTCGGCTTCGACAATGTGCCCAATGGAGAGGCGACCAAGCACAACACGACGTCGCTGACACTCAATGTGCGGCATAAGGGCTACCAGGCTAGACGACGATCGCGTAGCTTCATGGTAGGCGTCGATGAGAACTCATATTCAGATTACGCTATCCAGTGGCTGCTGGACGAGCTGGTCGATGACGGCGACGAGATTGTGTGCGTGCGCGTGCTGGAGAGGGAGGTCCGTATGAACGACAAACAATACCAGGAGGATGCGCAGAATGTGATGCAGGGAATCATGGCCAAAAATGGAGCCAACCGGGCTGTCAGCATCGTGCTTGAATATGCTGTTGGCAAGCTGCACGCAACCTTTCAAAAACTTGTGAGTGTTGACGGTTGCTGCCGCCACGCTGGGACCAACTACTAACAAGTTGTAGATTCAAATGTATCAACCAGCCATGCTGATCGTCGGAACGCGAGGTCGATCACTGGGCGGCATTCAGGGCCTCGTCAACAACCGAAACTCGTTCTCCAAGTACTGTCTACAATACTCACCGGTACCGGTCGTGGTGGTACGGCCCACTGAGAAGCGCATCAAGAAAAAGGTGAAGCGCGCCCTCGATTCGAGCCGTCAAACATATCTGGGCATGCTCTCGGCGACACTGGGCAAACACGAAGCCGACAGCGAAACGAGTAGCACATACGAGCTGGAGACTCAAATCTCGGCCGACGAAGAGGCTCACCAGGTGGCCAAGGTTCTGGGTCTTCCAGCGAAATTCGACCCGACTATTAAGCCTATCAACCCCAATGACTACCTTCGAACCCGGTCGCCAGCACCCTCCGCGCTGAGGGCAAGCGGCGAGCCTACGAGTCCAAATATGGGTGATGTGTCGCCGAGCAGCGCTATGAACAGCGAGGACGACGAGGAGGAGGAGGAAGCGGAGTTTGATGTTGTATCAGGTACACAAGCTCTCAACCAACAACAGAAGCTTGAACAACTACATAAGATGGAGGTGGGCGAAGCGCAAGCTCTCCGTCAAGGCGTGGACGTTGAAGAAGACGAGGACGAAGGGTCAGCAGACAACAAGAGTCCGCCATAGAATAACGTCGAGAAGGAAAGTGAAGGCAAGAAAACGCTGCTGGGGAGGTTGTGGCTGTTCAAGTAGCAGTCTTCTCTAGTTCTCTCCGCAAAGGCTGACTTGTGCATCGCACTGAGGTGCAAAGAGCCGGCGCGCCAAGCACGAGGAGTTGATTCAAAGCACGAAAATGCTTGGCATGAGCTGGTTCACATTGTTGAAATGACATGGGCGGAGCGACAACTGAAATGTTGTGCATAGTACCTGTGGCCAGTACTCGTTGCTTGTATTGCATGATGGAAGAGAGCTAAGAGTGGAAGATGGGGATAGCGAGGATGCGGTAATAGCAAATCCACCAGCGATTATGTTTGTTTATACCAGATGAGAACACCGACTAGTTAATGCAGAACATATTGTTTCAGAGATTGACAAGTAGGTCGGAATGGCTGTATGCCAGTAGACTAGAGAGATGTATACGAGACGCCACCTATGGCTAAATGAATACGACAGCGGCTGCGTATCAGGGTGAGCGAGCAAAACAGGGGGACAGTAGTGGAAATTTGGTGCTTAGATCAACAAAATACCAGAAACGAACTGTGCTAGTTCATGTATAAATCGAGGTGCGAAGTAGATATCAAACTGGGGGAACGGGGACCCTGCGCAGAGTGAGACCATGTTTCGTTGGCGCACTGGAATGGAGGGGAAGTCCGCACTAGTCGAAGAATCTCAGGCGATGCAGAATGATATGCTGAATAAATATTTAGAATGAGTGGGAAAACATTTAAACAGCTAAATAGGACCTCTTATAAAAGAATCTTATAACAAAAGTATATATTCTTTTGACGGAGGAGAGGAATGTCACCACGTTAGCAGCCTGGCTATCTCGCCTCGCCCGTTTTCAGCCTCGATCGTAGCCTCAGGTAAGTAAATGATCGCCTAATTATTTCTTCAGCTGGTTCTGATGAATCCGATCCCGTCACACTTTTTTCAAGCCGCCTTTCTCTTCTTGGGTAAAAAATACGAACATCCTAATATTAGTAGAGCTGCGTTGGCAGCGTTGCCTTTTCTTGTCTGCGACCCTGCGGCCAGCCTTCCTTCACCCCTCTTCTCACTTTATTGCCTCTACATTCCTCTGCGTCGTCATCTTGTTCTACATTCGTTTCATCCGCCCTCCACAGACAACCCTTCTCTCCATCCTCTCTATTTTTTTCTTCTCGTTTCCCTTCCTTTCTGCTACTCCCAAGCGCTTGTGCGATTCCTCTGCAAGGAGATCACGACTTTATCGCCCTGCGCTCTCCATTGTACGACGAGAGAAAGCTTGGGCAAGCTCAACAAACGCCCGCCACCGACCAACCTACCACGATCCTCGTTTGCGCCGCGGTCGACGACCCTTCACCTCCACCGAACAAACTTCTCCAACGACAAACTCGAAAAACCAACCCATCGACTAGGTAGTCATCTACCGATAGCACTTCCACAATCATGTGGCCCTTTTCAGGCTGCGGCGCCGACGCCTGCCGCCCCCCGGTCTCGGGCTGCGCGCGACGACGCGCGCGACGGCGAGGACCACGTGCTGCCGTCCCACGCTCCCGCCGCACTGCGCCGCGCCCATGCCGACCACGGTGCCCGTAGCCCACGGAGGCGCATCGTCGCCTGGACCTTTGGCGTCACCGTCGGTCTGGCCGCCGCGCTTGGGGCGCTCATCCTCGCCGAGATACTCGACGTCGGCAGCCGTGGTGGTCACGGCGGGGCTGCCACCAGCGGCGGTGGACGCGGGCTGGCACTCCGCCTTACCATCCCGGCCCTCCTGTTCCTGCTCATCGGCGTCGTCCCCTGGCTGGAGTGCGCGTCCATCGTCCGCGGCGGCACCGGCTGGAGCCTCTCTCGTCCCGCCAGCACCACAGGCGGCGCATCCTCCCGTCGCGGCCGTCTGTCCGGGTGCGCATGGCTCATGCAGCTCACGCTGTTTGCCTGCTGGCTGTTTGCCTTTTGGAAGCTCGGCGGTGCCGTGCCCTCCTCCGCCGTCGAGCTGTCGTCATCCAAGAACGACGACGACGACGACGAGGCGCCGCTGCAGCTGCTGATCCGCGCCTGCCTGGAGCGCATCGGCGTCGTTGGCATCACGCTGATGGGCCTGCTGGCCGGCTTCGCCTCCGTGTCGGCGCCGTGGCACGCGCTGACGTCCACGACGGACCGCCGCCGGCGACCCGTCACCGACGCCGACGTCAACCGCAAGCAGGCCGGCCTGGACGCGGCCAGCGAGATGCTGCTGACCAAGCGCCACCGGCTGCAGGCGCTCGAGCGGCGCCTGGCCGACCCGCGCGTCGTCGCCGAGGCGCGGGCCGCCACCGGCTTCGTCGGCAAGATGGTGGGGGCGCTCCGCGGCGGCGCGTCCCCCGAGGAAACGGAGATGCGCAGCCTGCGCGTCGAGATCGCCGGGCTGGAGACCATGGAGGCCAGCCTGTCGTCCAACCTGGCGCTGCTGCAGGGCCGGCGCGCGGCCGACTCGCGCGCGGCCACGGCCTGCGGCCGCGCGTGCCTGCTTCCTTCGTACCTGTTCGCCGCGTACTGCGTGTACCGCGTCGTCGCGACCGCGCTGGCCACGCTGCGCCGCGCGCGCCACCCCGCGCGCCACCCCGCCGCCAGCTTCGCGACCAGCGACCCGGTGCACCGGCTTCTCGCGCTGGTGGCGCGCCACTGGGACCCGGCGCTGGACCAGGCGGCGTGGGCGCGGGCGGCGAGCTTCGGGCTCAGCGGGGTGGTGCTGCTGGCGAGCGCCAACAGCGCGCTGCAGACGTTCCACCTGTTCGCGCGGTGGGCGCCGCCGGCGCTGCTGCGGCACGCGCGCGCCAACCTGGCGCTGGCGGTCGGCCAGGTGGCGGCGACGTACATGATTAGCGCGTCGCTGCTGCTGCGCGGGCAGCTGCCGCCGGAGGCGCGGTCGGCGGTCGGGGGCGTGCTAAGGGGAGCTCTGAGCCCGGTGTTTGTGGACGGCTGGTTCGAGGGCTGGTTCTTGACGGGCAGCGCGCTGACGATGCTGGGCCTCTGGCTGGGGAGGAGGCTGAGTGGCGGTAGGGAGGATGACTGGGACGACTACGGCGGCGAGGAGATGGGCGCGAAGAGAATGTAGGGGGCGCACGTAGCATATGTAGCGTTTGAAGTTTTATTTCCTTTATCATCTTGAGTTTCTAGGCATGGAAGCTAGGCGTTTTATCATATTGTATATCGGGTCCTTTGTCACAACCCGTCAGTCTATTATTGAAGCAAAAGTTTTGCCATGTCCATACTCTCAGTTCTTCTGCTTGAAGCCATTATGTTCTATCCTTCTCGCCTGAAATGCTCTGCGCATAGACGCGAAACCCGTCCAGGATCGACCTCCGCACGCCATCACTCACGAAATCCATCCTCCTCCCCTCCGCCTCGCCCTCCGCCGGTGGCAGCTCCGCCCTGCGCACCTGCTCCTCCGTCACCCACGCCGCCTCCTCGTGCTCCTCCGGCGTCAGCCGCACCTCCTCCGTGCTCCTCACCCTCACCAGCACCGTCAGCTTCGCCCACAGGTTGCCCGTCTCCACGAACGTGACCGTCAGCCCCTCCGCGCCGAGCCCCTCGTCGTCTGGCTGGATGCCGAGCCCCGCGCGCACCGCCTCCGGGAGGTCCTCGTGCGGCGACATGAGGATGGGCGCGACCATGTGCGACGCGACGAGGCCGGACTCCTCGAGGAGCTCGCGCGCGACGCCGTCGAGGATGGTGGCGTCGGAGGCGTCGACGCTGCCGCCGGGGACCTCCCACCGGAGAGGGTAGGTGTCGGTGGCGGCGCGGCAGATGAGGAGCGTCTGCGGCAAGGAGGAGGTAAGGGGGGGGTCGGGATTGGGGCGGAAGACCATGGCGGCGGCCATGACGCGGGCAAGGTGCGGGTTGGCGGCGAGGAAGGCGGCCCTGGAGATGTTGAAACCCGCGAGGGAGGCGTCAAATGTGTACTTGGGTGCGGCCATGATGCTTCGACTAGGATGTTGTTGGGAGAAGGTTTTTAATAGAATGAAGATTTGCGTGCTCGTTTCGGCAGGCAGTCGTCTTTTGAACTCGGGCAAAGAGGCTCTGGAACTGTGCTGCCTGGAGCTGAGGTTGTTGGGGATGCGTCACTTCTTCCGTTTGTCGGTCGCTCTTCGCTTCGGAGTGGAGTCGACAAGGCATCACTCATGCCAGGCCGATCCCTGCCTTGACACGAGGAAACGCTCAATTGCATTTTCTGGTAGTCAAAATTTAACATTATGCAAAATTCAATAGGAAAGATGCTTTGCTGAGATATCTCTTAGATGACTACATATATGCTCGTATACCAACTTTAAATGGGCATCTCATACGCTCGCTGCACCAACTCGCCAGACATGTGCTTAAAAAGCACAAACAATATCAAAAACAAGTACTCCCTCCATATTCAAATCTCCTCGTACTTGGCTTCAAGCAAAAGTTCCTTTTTCGGGCCCAAAGTATCCGCGCGCAGGAATCGGGAGGATACCCTTGTTGCTTCCGTCGACGCCGGCACCGCTGACTGTGTTCCCCCACCAATTGAGGGGATGCGGGTGGTAGCCGACGGCGAAGAACATGATGAGGGCGCTGACGGCCAGGCCGGCCGTGAGGGCCGCCGAGAGGACGTAGTTGTACTTGGCCCACCAGGCGAGGCGGCGGCGCGGCAGCCAGTACATGAAGATGTACGACAGGATGAAGCCGGGCGTCTTGTAGCTCAGGTTGGACGGCGCCCAGTGCTGGATGCCCTGGATGATGAGGATCGGGTTGAGCCAGAGCAGCGAGGCGACGAAGGGGAAGAGCGTGCGGTCGAGCAGGGCAAAGGTGCTGGGCCGGAGCTTGCGGCGGAGGCCCTCGCGGACGCCGGGCAGGTACTTGGGGCCGAGGCCCTGGGCGGCGAGGAAGACGACGGCGATGCCGAAGCCCATGAGGAAGCACCACTTGAAGAGCGGGTAGAGCGAGCCGAACATGCGCTCGGAGCCGAGCAGCCCCCACATGAGCGAGCTGGCGTACATCGGGTGGCCGTCGCCCATGCAGGTGAACTGCGAGGGCTGCTTCTCGGTGCAGAGCCCGGGCACGCTGGTGAGGATGAAGTTTTGCGTGCCGACGGCCACGAAGCAGGTGATGATGATGGTACCGATCTGGGAGCGGAAGACGGCGCGCGGCGCAATCTTGCAGTAGTGCGCCATCTTCTGGTCCTGGACGTAGTTGTCGCCGTAGCCGGCGAGCGCCCAGCTGCCGAGCGCCTGGGAGAAGAGGAAGGCGTTGGGGTTGTTGGGCAGCAGGTAGCCGGTGATGATCTGGATGAGCGCGCCGAGGCCGAGGTTGGTGCCAGTGGTGGCGGACAGGAAGGACAGCGGCACGGCGAAGACGAGGTTGATGCCGATGAGCAGGAAGACGAGCCACGCGGGGATGCCGAGCGGGTAGATCTCGATCCAGACGACGGACAGTGCGATGGTGACGGCGAGGATGGCTAGGAACCACCAGTCGGGCACCTCGTTGTACTTGCGCATCGCGCGGCTGTGCACGTCCATGGCGTCGTCCGAGTAGTTGCTCTTGCCGTGGCGCAGGCCGCGGTAGAAGTCAGCGTAGGCCTGCGACATGGTCCGCCACTGGTTGACCATGATGTAGAAGAAGTAGACCGGGTAGAAGGCAAAGTTGGCGCCGACGGTGAGCACATAGCCGGCCGAGTAGAAGGGCAGTGAGTACTCCTGCAGCTTGGCCGCGTCGAGCTTGTTGTCGACGACGACCTTTTTTACGTCAAAGATGGTGCCGTCGTTAGCAAAGGCGGCCGCCGAGTTGATGGGCAGGTACGCCGTGTTGTACATGTTGGTGTAGTAGATGGCCAGGATGATGAGGCCGCCCAGGATCGCGCTGATGTACATGGTGCAGGTCGCGAAGAACGGCTGCGAGAGCGCCGCGTACGACGACGTCGCCACGTTCCAGTCAAACGTCGTCAACGGGTTGAACAGGCCGAGGCCGAGGCGCGAGCCCGTCAGGATGGCCAGCGTCAGGTTCTGGGGCGCGATCCACGTCATCCAGTTAAACGTCGACAGCGCGGTGAAGAGGTAGCCGGGGATCCAGTAGTACACGAACATGCCCGCCGCGCAGATGAAGAAGAAGCGGTACCGCGAGATCGTCCACCCGTTGATGTTCTCGCGCGGCTCCGGCTTGGTGAGGGCGCGGTTCATGGCGATGATGGGCAGGAGCGTCGGCCAGAGAGCCTTGACGGGGTAGACGCTGAAGCGACGGAGGTAGCCCGCGAAGCCCATGCCCATGAGTTGCACGAAGAGCGTCAGCAGCAGCTGGTAACCGAAATTGACAAACTCGAGGCCGTAGAAGACGGGAGACCTCTGAACGAGGATCATGGTATATGCGTTTGTCGAGTATATCGCAATGTTGAAGGTAATTGTCGAAAACATTTGCTCTTTAAAGGTCCAGGGGCCGGGGTTGAGCGAGTGTCGAGTGCCGAAGACGGTGAAGCCCCAGTCGGGCAAGACGGTTTCGAGGACCTTGGCGCATGGATAGAGTAAGATTTGAATGACGGCACCGCCGAGGCCTGTTAACTGGTCAGTCTTGTATTCAATGGCCAAACACCAAAGCAGTTGAACACCAAAGAAGTTGAACTGCAGCTCGCAACTGAAATTGCACATGTAAAGTGCTTGTCACAGGTACGGGCCGTGATAGTTGGTGATGGTGGGTCCGCGGTGGTGAGCGCCGAGACGCCGGCCACCGGCTCCGGCTCCGGCGCTCGCTCCGGCAGGAAGAGGAAAAAGACAAAAATAACCGGCCCAACTTACCAATACCGGGGAAGCGACTGTTGAAAAACGTCGCCATAAACGTCCCAATAACCGCCCAGCCGACGCCCAGGAAATACGCCCTCATCGTCTCCACCGGCACCTTTTCGTCGTCCAGCGGGCTCGCTACCGCGCGCACGCCCGGATACGGCGACGAGTACTTCATCATGACCGCGTCGATGCGCAGGTCGCGCTCGTACCACTCCCCATAACCCTTTTGCCCGCGCTCCAGGTACGCGCGCATGCGCTCGCGCATGTCGGCGGGGAAGTTCCAGTCGTCCGAGTGGAAGTCGAGCGACTCCTGGACGATGGCGAGGGCCTCCTCCTCGGACATGGCGTTGACGTGGGCGCGGATGTAGTCGGCCTCGCCGTTGGGCGCGAGGCCCTCCATCATCTCGTGCGGGATCTGGTCGGCGTAGGGGACGGTGTTGGAGGGGGTGGCGGCGGCGTAGACGCCGTGCTTCTCGGCGTCGTCGCCGGAGGGCACGACGGCCTCGTGGACGGAGCTGCCCTTGGTCATGATGGAGCCGGAGGGAGAGCGGGTAGGCTCTTCTTGCTTGGGATGATTCCTCAAGAAGGGATGAGATCGGACGAGTTGTCTCAGTTACAGGAGAGGGGACAGGAAAAAGACGAGGGCTCGTCAGGCTGGAGTGCGGGCCCCGGGTTCTTCTTGTACATGTTTAGATAGATGGATACACAGACCGTTGACTTGACCGGCCTCGTCGTTGCACAAATAGGCAGGTGAGAGCGGGGGAGCGACGGAGCTAACAGGCTGGGGGAACGAACCGCCATTGCTCGGAGCTCACGCTACGGAATAGCTGCATTTTATTACCTTGCTCCCCACCGAACCGTCGGGTGTGTGGGAGAGCATGCGAAAGAGGGAGGCGAGTTATGCAATAGTTGAGTCCTGAGGGCTGAAAAGTGGCGGGTGGTGTTGTCACTGCGGATCACGTATGGGCGCGAAAGAGTGAGACATTCCCCCTCCGAACGGATCGCCGAGAATGGGATGAGCAAAAGAAGATCAGGCTGGAAACATTCTTGTTCGGCCTGGGAACAGCCGAGTTCCCCAGACTCTTGACCGGGAACCGCCCGAGCAGGGACCCATTCCCAGCCTCTGCAGTACCCAAGTAAAGTTGTAGTTAATTACCCCGGATTCTACCAACAGTGCGTCCAGTTCATCTATTGTCCTCGCGTAGTTGACCTTTCTCTCTGGTCTTCGCCCCTCGTCGGTAGTTACCTGTATCTTCTCCAACCGAGGAAGTAACAATCCCATATGTGTGGGGGAGACTTTCTACGATCGAGACCCTCTTTGTACGACTAATAGAAACTCATTCTCCAATGTCAATACGTATGCTGAACCCCCAACTTCCTTGCCGGCGCCAGGCCCAACAAGGAAGCTGGGGAGAGCCTCGCGCTCTGTTAGCGTGCAAGCCTGCTGTGGTATTTACAATTAGAGTAGACTTTCTGGCTCGTGTATCCGTAGGTTGGAGAAACCATCTCCTCCAGCTAGTAGAACAACTCCTCTCTCTTCTGGGGTCACCATTGCGCCCCTTCCCTTGTCGTATCATGCCCGCATGGTGGCGCTGAATTTATCCGGGTGGCATCCCGCCTACATGGGGGGTTGCAACACGGCTGTGCTCATCGGTTAGAAGAGGAGAAGAGGCCTGTAGGTTGTCCCCCGGCTTTCCATTTATTAACCCAACCTTCCCCGCTGTTCCCATTGAACTGAAGAGACTCCTTCTTTCTCCAGCGTCGATTTATGAAACTTGCCCGGCAACTCTGTGAGCTTGCTGTCGCGATGCTCGATGCCATGGCTCTGGGCATCGCCGCCCCCCACTCGATCCCGCGCATTTCAAGTCCTGATTAATCCCAGTGGCATTTCACTGGCATCCAACTGGCATGGACTCTTTCGGCCGTCTTGGCCCAGAGGGCGGCGCCCCCAGAACGCCTCCTCTGTCGTTCAGGCCCGCCCTGCGTCGACGCCACCAAGAAAAATGACCCCATGTCTGCTTTTCCTTGGCTTATTCGTCACGAGACGGCTTTTTGCGAGTCGGCCAGAAATATTAGGGCCGGAGAACCCTTGAAGTTGAATTGATCAGTCACAGACGGAAGGTGGTAAAGATTTCCAGACGACCAGGCGACGATCCTGGCTGCGCAATCGCCCTTTTGGCTCAGCCGCACTAGTGAATAACCTTTTTATAGTGAATTAAGCTTTCCGCTCAACAACTTGAGAACAACTCAAGGCATTGCCTGGTTAGCTCAATCGGTAGAGCGTGAGACTCTTACGGGTTCACCAATCTCAAGGCTGCGGGTTCGACCCCCGCATCGGGCTTTTCCTATACATTCTTCGATTGAACCAAGACTTGGGTGTTCCTATTCTTTTTGTCGAGGGCCGCACTTTTTTCAAACTATTCATATATAGAGTGGGGCCGTATTACTACGCAGCTGAAACGACTGGGTAGCCATTTCTATCAGTGCTTTTTACTGTTTTTATCAAGGTATTTGAGACGTACAGTGCTTTGCTGCTTTCGTTGTAGCATTCGTTGTAGTGTTCGAAACATGTAGTGCTCATTCGTACGCAGGAGTTTTTAACGCGCTTGACAAGGCCGTTTTCTGCGCCCATCTTACCTATTTGTTGCCTGTTGAACAAACAGAGAGGTACATAGGTGGCTGCTGCCTAGGTAATTAATATGCAGCCAACGAGGACGCGGGCAACAGCAGTACACAGAAAAAGGTTGGTCCAAAATTAGTCATCTGAGGTGCCAAAAAAGTGATGAAAGATTTAAGACATGAATAAATTGCAAATAAAATGAAATAAAATAAATAAAATAAAATAAAATAGCGTATCTTATTTAATGTTGCTGAGGTGTGTGTGCTGAGGCGTGCCTGAGAGCTACCAAGGTGGTGGTGATGCGGGCCGAGCTCTTCTACTACGTCGATACCATCTCAAACATTCACCAATTCCTTCACGTTTCTACTCCATCATATCCCATCAATCTACCCATGCACTTTCATCCATAAAATGCATTTCACTGCATGGAAGTTCCCAACATGGTCTCCAGCTACCCAGTTTCCCGGGCCCCGCGGTTGCTAGTCGTGTCGGTCATGATGGCGTCACTGCCAGAAAGGGCTTAACCTGGCCTGTACTCAACCAAGGTTCTAGCCAAAGCTTGTTTGAGTTACACAGCGATTCCAATGCCCGAGCGACCGTTGCTCTTGAGATGTACGTCATTGAAGCTGCAGCCACTCTGCCCATATTATCCCTTGGGTCTTTATAAATACGGCTTTCTGGCTTGCTCTTGTCCTCCACCACCAACCCTTACTATCACCATCCCACCAATTCACACAATGCTATCATCTACCAGATCCGCTGCTCCCCGCGCTCTGCGCTGCAGGTCAATCCAGACCTGCAGACAAGGGCCACGACACGTCCGTCTTCAATCCACCTCGGCGTCATCTTCAACCTCGTCCGCCTCACAATCTCATCTCGCGACTGGCGTCGCGGGAGGTGTCGTCGGCGCCCTTCTCTTCTACGGCATCTACAGCTTCACCCCCGCCGGCCGCACTGCCAGCACCATCAACAAGGCCGCCGTCGAGGCCAACAAGCAGTACAAGGCCGCGGCTGCCAAGCTGCAGCAGGCCACCCCCGAGCCCGACCAGGCCATCAGCTACATCAAGGACCTCGCCTACTCGTACGTCGGCTGGGTCCCCGGCGGCCGCGGCTTCGTCGATGCTGCCTTCAAGGACGTCGAGGTCGTGCGCGAGAAGCACAAGGACGAGGTCAACAACATCATCGCCGACGGCTACCGCCAGTTCCAGGAGCTGTCCAAGGCCGGCTTGAGCATGCAGACGGCGACCCGGGCCTACGAGACGCTCGCCGACCTGGCCAAGAAGCTTGCTGACCTCTCCAACGACGCCTTGTCGGACATTGTCGACAACCACCCACAGGTCAAGGAAAAGCTCGGCGGCAACTTGGACAAGCTCAAGGCGCTCGGCGAGGAGTACGGCCCGGACGCCAAGAAGCAGGTCGACGAGACGTGGCATCAGGTCAAGGACGTCTTCGCCGGCGGCCTCAGCGCGGCCAACGTCGCCAAGGCCAAGACGCTCATCGACGACAAGGTCGGCCAGCTGCAGAAGCTCGGCGACGAGGCCTGGAGCAAGGGCCTCGACGCCGCCAAGCCGTACCTCGACAAGAACCCCAAGGCCAAGGAGCTCATCGAGCGCAACGCCGACGCTCTCAAGCAGGGCAACGTCAAGGAGCTGTTTGACAAGGCCCGGGCGGCCGTCGACTCGGGCGACCTGGGTGACTTGGAAAAGTACGTCAAGGGCGCGGCGGACAGGGCCGCGTCCAAGGGGAAAGAGGTGGCCGGTGATTGGGGGCTGGACAAGTACCTGAAGGCCCTGCCCGACGGGGGCGAGGTGTTGTCGAAGTTGCAGCAGATTAGTAAGGTGGCGGGCGAGCACAGGAAGGACGGCGAGAAGCTGTTGAGCGAGACGGTGGAGGAGCTCAAGAAGGTGCTGGAGAAGAAGGCAAGCGAGGCGCAGGATCTCGTCGACTCTGCCGAGAAGGAAGCCAGCAGTGACAGCAAGGATGGCAAGGAGAGTAATGATGACAAGAAGGGCTCAGAGGGAAAGGGGAGCAAGGATGGCAAGGACAGCGGCAAGGGTGCTGAGAAGGAAAGCAAAGATGGCAAGAAAAAGTAATTAAATAAGAGCGAAGAAGTGTAAATAGTGCATTCATAATAATCTAAATATTCAAATTTCACCAAGAACTGATGCGGTGAACCCAGAATTCAGGACGCTGATGGCTCTGGCTTGACATTTGCATAGTACTGTCACACTCTTTGCATGAATTCGTATCAGAGATTCCAGAACTATGGTCAGTCCCATGTACTTGGAACAGCAATTCAGATCCATTCATCCCTCCCAAGCAGACATCGACGATACGTTGTCTAGCAGGACAACTGAGCCATGGGACATTGCGTCGTCCGCCACGCCCCTGGGCCCGGAACCAATACCAACTAGGCAATTGGTCGTCGGCCGATAAAAAGTGATCTGCAGTTGTTGATGGTTCAATAGTTCGCGCCACCGAGCGGATCGGAACAGGTGCACTACCCGCCCTTATCGTGGAGGAACACAGCCGACCGTTCGTCCGCTGTGGTTATCTCGACTGACATGCAGGGATTTCGGAATGATATGCACCCCATGCGACAACGATACACCATCAGAATGGCATGGTGGGCATCTTCAATTTGCGTCTTGTTCGTTGTATCCACTGCACTAGAACAGTACTCGCACGTTGATAGTGTCACGTTGATAGTGTACATGTTGGTTCAAGTTCGTCATCTAGGCCAGGCTACATCAAGCTCTTCACTACTCTGCCTGCCGAGTGGCTACTCCCCGTTTATCCGCACCCGGAACTGAAACATTTCATTCGAAGGCACCGTCTTGCGGTCTCGCAACTTATCCGCCGTCTCCCTCCCGAGCACCGGGACGCGATACTCAACCCTGGCGCCGTCCGGTGCGCCGGCCACCGGGTAGGGGAAGGGCAGGTGGTCGGGCATCAGGCCGAGCTGGCGCAGCGTGGTGCCCTGGTCCCAGGCGATGTGCTCGTGGTAGAGCCGGTCGCCGCGGATGTTGACGACGGCGACGAAGGGGACCTCGGCCTTGCGGTGCGTGGGCGGCACGCCGGGGAGTCTTTGGTAGGGAGCAGAGTCAGTAACATGGTGCGCAGCTGGGAAGGAGGGACGTCAAAGAATCAAGGTCAGCACTCACAGCCAGTCGATTTCGCGATCGTGGGTGAATTTGAAAATAAACTCATCAATCACGCGGTCGATGCCGATGGTCCGGCTTACAAGCTCCAGGCTCGTGTCCGCCGAGTTGTTGAAGATGAAGTTGTGCCGGTAAAAGTCTGTCAACTTCAACCTTCCAATCCCACCAGTCAACTATTTCTCAGTTAATCAGTCTCCAATCCATCCAAATTGGGCTTCCAGTTCACCTACAGTCGGTACGTGGTTGACATATGGCTCCTGAACCATGGTGCTCATCGTGTGCTCGACCGAGCGGTCGGCAAACTCGTAGTACGTGTGCTCCTCCCAGATGCTCTCCAGATCAAACAACGGCCCGTCCATCTTGGGCTTCAGAAACTGCAGACTGCGCGTGTGCGCGACAGAGTCCGCCGAGTAGTCAAAGTCGGCGTGGCCGGGGCTGAACCATCGCCGGCGTCCCTTGACGGTGGGATACTGATATTCCTTGACGCCGAGCTTGGGGGCTTTGGGCTCCTTGACTGCTGCACCGGCAATGTGTCTCAGCGACGGTACCGTGGAGGGTGACGAGAGACTCTCGGTGTTCTCGTCGTCCCCGTAGATGACTGCTGCTGCGATGCCGGGAGCGGCGCTGTCCAGTGCCGGGGCGGTCAAGTTCCATAAAGACGAAGAATAGCCTGATGCGTCTCTCTGTCAGCATCATTCTCAACGTGCGCTTATCAAGTCTCATCGCTTGCCACTTACACACGATGCCAACCTTGTCTTTTGGCTTGCAAGCGTCGCAGCGATTCAGAGCCTGCACGGCCACGGAGGAGGCCTTTTCAGCGCCGGACGATGCAATCGCGGCGGCGGAAATCTGGACCACCGCGTATCCCTCCTCGGCCCATTTTAGCACCGGCGTCGGAGCATCATCGCGATGCGTCACCTCCTCGTCGTACTCGTCCCCCGTGGTGAGGATGATCAGGCCCGGACCGAAGCCGCGCCTCGTCAGCGGCGGCTGCAGCGAGATGCCAGTTGCCAGCCTCTGAAGCGGCGCTGAGGGCAGCGGAGCGGGCGGTTGGCTAATGTCGGCATACATTTTGTTCGAGGTCAATCGCTTTCAAGGGTTGCCAAGAAGAGTCTCCCTTGCGTTTCAATTCAAGACAATCCCAGCCTCGTCGGCTACTTATCAGTGTTGTCGTTGTTGACAGCGTGACAATCGGAACGGCAATGGCCTTGTTCTTGTTTCGGACAGAGCACCGCTCCGGTTAGCCACCCACCGTGTCCAACCTGCATCATGACAAATACAGAGCCAAGGCTTGGAGGAGGGGGGGCGGGTGATGGTGACAACATGGGACGGGAGCGGGGGCGGGGTCCAACAAGGTCTGTCTCCAACGAAATAGTTCCGACCCGACGATAGAGGAAAGACTAATTGAGTTTATTATTAGCGGCTGATCGATTCAAGTTAGCATCCAGTACGAGTGGGTGTGGATCGGAAGTGAACCAAGTATTGCCTTTTATCGGTAGGCTGCTTAGCTTGGACATGATAACCGTCCGACAACTCAAGCTCCCCTTCTTCCAACGACCATCTTCTAACTAGTCGACTCGACCTCATAGTACATCCCCTCTTCTTCCAAGTCATGCCTGACACACTCAACGACGTCCGCCCGCGGTTCGAGCTCACCGGCCGCACCTACGTCGTCACCGGCGGCGCCCAGGGCATCGGCTTCGCCATATCGCGCGCCATCTGCGAGATGGGCGGCAACGTCGCCGTCTGGGACATTCAAGACAAGCCGGTGGACGAGTTTTCTACGTTGAGCGACAAGTTTGGCGCCAAGACGCTGTACGTCCAGACCGACGTCACCAAGCAGGAGAGCCTCGAGGCGGCTTTTCAGAAGACGCTCGACGAGTTCAAGACGGTCGACGGGTGCGTCCCCGCGGCGGGCATCGCCATCGACAAGCCGTTTATCGAGCAGACTTGGGACGAGTTTAACCGGATCCAAGAGATCAACGTACGTTTCATGCCCTCCTTGTTGGTCGTCTTCTTTCGCCTTTACTTGCTTTGCTTCGCTGACTATGTGAACAGGTCCGCGGCACCTTCTTCACCGTCCAGCTCGTCGCGCGGGAGCTCATCAAGCAGGGCAAGCCCGGCAGCATCCTGCTCATCGCCAGCCAGTCGGCGCACATCGCGCTGCCCGGCTACCGGATGGCCGCGTACAACGCGTCCAAGGGCGGCGTCATGATGCTCGCGCGGGCGCTGGCCGTCGAGCTCGCGCCGCGCGGCGTCCGCGTCAACACCATCTCGCCGGGCTTCGTCGACTCGGAGATGACGCGACGCGTGCGCGAGGCCAAGGCGGTCCGCCGCGAGGGCGAGCAGATGTGGCTCCCCCCCCCCCCCCCCCCCCGGCGCGGCCGTCTACCTGCTGAGTGACGCGTCGATACACACGACGGCGGCGGATATTGCCATTACGGGCGGCCTGCATGCGGGCACCATCGATGGCCTGATTTCGTACGAGACGTGATGGAGAGTATGTACATATTTTGAGATTAAATCGAGCAGTATCCGTAATCGTCAACGAAAGCCCTCTCTCTATCCAACGCACCCGTGGCATGATCCTGATTCTCCTCTCCCATACCCTGGTCTTCAGTGGCCCACGTCAATATGCATAACCTTGCCATTCACAATTCGACAACGAAGCCAAGCCCACCAACTCCTCTGTCTCATCTGCCGAATTGTCCACCTTCATTAATCATCCCGGCCTTGCCTCGAGTCTCTGTCGTGGCTGACCCTGGCGCGCCATTCCTAGCGCTAACTATCATATTGCATGGCTGGAGCTGAACCCCAAATTCCGTTAGCATAGGCACCTGTCAGAGTTCGCATGCATGTCTCTGCCAACACAACAAGCCTCCCTCCGTCTCATATTATTAGTTGAGAGTCACCCTTGACGCCACCAAAGAAATGCGACACCCCTCATATTCCCCCCCAACTGCTGGTTCAACTGAATGATTCGGGTGTTGCCCCCCCGCCTCCTCCCACCCCCCCATATCGTCACACTGCGCGGAATTATGCATCCATCCAATCTAACCCTGGCATCCGTCGGCGGGAAGGGACCGATAAGAAACATGGTCTCGAGCTCTAGCCACTGTTGTGCGGGGGATCGGCGCCGCGCAAGTGGAATGCCTTGCACTCTGAAGACTCGGGAAATATCGAGCAAATGAATCAATAAATACCCGTCTCCGCACGTGGAACTCGCAACCCTGATCCCCTCCTCTGCCGAGTTCCCCTCTTCTACTGTCAAGAATTCCTACAAAAGTCGTCGCTTTCTTTAGCAAGCTGCAGATACCCCAGAGGCCATAACCGAGACACAGCTGGCAAGCATGGATGAGGCCTATGACATTGTCGTAGTCGGCGCCGGTAAGACCCTTCCTTCCTACTTGACCAATAGGGAGCAATCGCAGGCTAATCTGTAAATTTTGTCAACAGGCTGGTTCGGCCTCGCCGCCGCCAAGGCCGCGTCCCAATTGATGCCGGACAAGACCCTGGCCGTGCTCGAGAGCGCCGAGAGCTGCGGCGGCACCTGGTCGCAGAACCGCCTCTACCCGGGCCTCAAGTCCAACAACATGCTCGGCACCTACGAGTACCCCGACTTCCCCATGTCCGAGGACCGCTATGGCGTGCCGCCCGACACCCACATCCCCGGTGCCGTGCTGCATCGCTACCTGACCGACTTTGCCCGCCACTTTGGCTTCTTCGACCGCATCCAGTTCCACAACCGCGTGCAAGTCGTCGAGCCCGCCGGCGACAACACCTGGCGGCTGACCGTCTCCGGCCCGGACGGCGGTAAGCCGCGCACCGTCATCGCCCGCCAGCTCATCCTGGCCACCGGCTTGACGTCGACGCCCAACATGCCGACGTACAAGGGCGCCGCGGACCTCGGCGCACCCATCTTCCACGCCAAGGACTTTTGCGCGCGCGCCCCGGAGCTCGCAAAGACGGAGATCAAGAATGCCATGGTCGTGGGCGGCGCAAAGTCGGCGTACGACGTCGCCTACGCGCTGGTCCAGGACCACGCCGGCGCGACCGTCGACCTGGTGGTGCGCGACAACGGCCACGGGCCTGTGTGGATCGCGCCCTCCCGCGTCACCCCTTTCAAGGCGCGCCTCGACCAGCTGCTGCTGATCCGGTGGATGACGTGGATGGCACCATGCCCGTGGGGCGGCGAGGACGGCTTCGGTCGCGTGCGCCGGCTGCTGCACGGCACCGCCATCGGCCGCATGCTCGTCGACCTCTTCTGGCGCGTTCTCTCCGCCGACGTCGTCGCCGCCAACGGCTACGACGCTCATCCGGCCGTCCGCAAGCTCAAGCCATGGAACTCGGCCTTTTGGATCGGTAGCGGCCTGAGCATTCTCAACTACGAAACGCCTTTTTTCGATCTCGTCAAGGAGGGCCGCATCAGGGTTCACATTGGCCAAATCGACCACATGGAGCGCAACACCGTCGTCTTAGCGGACGGCACCCGCCTACCCACTGACCTCGTCGTGTGCTCAACCGGCTGGAGAAAGGAGTCGCCGATCCGCTTCGACAGTCTCGGTCCGCACAAGTTCGGTCTCGACGTGCCCGACGCCGAGCTCGCCAAGCTCAACGTCAAAGCCGACGAGGACGTGCTGCGCATGTTCCCGCGGCTGCGAAACCAGCCGCAGCTGCGATTTACCCCGCCGACCGGCGAGCCGCTGCGCCTGTACCGCTTCATGGTGCCGTCGAGCCACGTTGCGGCTCGCAGCATCGCCTTTGCTGGCGCCGTGTCCAGCATCAACACGGCCGTGTGCGCCACCGCCCAGGGCCATTGGATCGCCGCCTTCCTCTCTGGCCGTCTCGACCGCCTCGCCAGCACCCCCGACGAGATCTCCGACGAGATCATGCTGCACACGCAGTGGGGGAGGTGGCGATACCCGTGTGGCTACGGCGCCAGTTTGCCGGACTTTGTCTTTGAGGGCCTGCCGTACGTCGACATGTTGCTGCGGGACTTGGGGCTCGAGAACAACAGAAAGAAGGGCTGGTTCGCCGAGATGACGACGCCATATCTTCCAAAGGACTTTAAAGGCTTGGTAGAGGAGTGGAAAGCCTCACATGACGAGGCGGAAACGACGGCTTAAGTCACCCTGAATGTACCATAGCAGCTTGTGCGAAAGCGTAATTGATCTTTGATTTAAACAAGATTCATTATGCTTGCGTATTAGGCGCAAGTTTTGTATGATGCAACAGTGCCATGCGGCCAGCTTACTACAGCTCTTCGCTCTTGAATGCTGCCACGTCCTTCAACTCGGTCTTCGGCTGGATGTGCGGCTTCACCGTCTTGCGCACCTGTGTGAGCTGCTCCAGCGCATACGCCATGCCAATCAGCTTGTCCTCTGAAAAGTAGTCACCCGCAAACCCAAATCCAAATGGGTGGTTCGGCCCCATGTTGTTGAGGGTGTCAACCTCGTTGCGATGATACAGCGTGTTCCGACCGGTGTGGCCCATGGGAACGGATACCACCGGTGCGCCCTGTATGGCGACTTTTGTCGCAATAGGAGAAGGCAGTATGACAGCGTCTAGGGTGTGGTTGCGAATGGCGCCAATCAGGCCCAACTCATTGCTTTGATAGAATCGTTCATTGTAGTATTCCCACCAGATTGGCATCGTATTGTTGATGTTGCGCTTCAAAATCATGTTAAACAGCATAAAGTCGAATTCGCTCTCAGTTGATGACTGATCCGTAAATGCGCGCACATCGGACAGATCGTGGATATCATTTGGGTTTGTCTCCAGATTATCCAAGTACTTGGGTAGATCCGTCATAAAATCACCACCGCTGATAATTCCCGTCCTGCCTGCCCTCTTCATGAGTTCCACCCCAGGCATTTCGATGTGCTCCAATACCTCCGCTCCGGCGTCGCGTAGCAGCTGAAATGTAGACTCAAAGACTTCAAACGACACATCGGCCGAGATATATGGAAACATAGCCTTATAATCCTTCGGCACGCCGAGTCGCTTGCCCTTGAGTGCGTCCTTGTCGCAGGCAGCGACGTAGTCCGGTCGCGTCTTCGGTGCCGCTTCTGTATAATTGTCTTTGCCATCAGGTCCGGCGATGGTTTGAAGCAGGTATGCCGCGTCCTTGACGGTGCGGGCCATGGGTCCCACGGTGTCTTGGTGCTCCGAGATTGGAATCACGAGAAACCTGGAGGTGAGTCCGACCGTCGGCTTGATGCCCACGATGTTGTTTGCGTGGGCAGGATCGCAAATCGATCCCCATGTCTCGGTACCTAGCGATGCCCAAGCTAGTCCGATTGATGAGGCCACCGCGCTGCCAGACGACGAGCCATCAGGGTCCTGTTCCGGGAAGTAGGCGCCGATTGTCTGACCACCGTGCGCGGACCAGCCGTTGCTCGCCTGTAGGCTGCGAGAGCCCGCCCATTGGGAGAGATTGGACTTTCCCAGGATGACGACACCGGCTTCGCGTAACTTGCTCACAACAGTACTGTCTTGCTTGAGTTTTGCTCCAAGGAGGGCCGTCGATCCCGCAGTGTTGTTCATCTTGTCAGCGGTTCCAATGTTGTTCTTAACCAAGATTGGTATCCCGTGTAATGGATGAAGTGGACCAGTGGCGAGTGCCCGTACCCGGTCCAGCTCTGCAGCAATATCTAGGGCATCTGGGTTGATTTCGGTAACGGCATGCAGATCCTCATTGACTTCTCTGATGCGAGCAATATATGCCTTTGTCAGCTCCATGCTGGTGAAGCGGCCCGCATCAAGACCAGTTCGTAATTCGTCGAGTGTCGCATCCAGAAGGAGCGGGAGTTGAAAGTCATGCTTGAGCGTTGCGAAGCTGTCTTGGGTATGAAGCAAAAGGCTGACGATTGCCACGGAAAAAGCACCACAGAGACGCATGGCGCAGCTCAGGCTTGCAGCGCGGCTGCGGCGGCGAGTATACAGACGATAAATGCCGCCCTGACTACAGTGTCGCTTTAAACGCCAGTTTTTGTTTGTAGCGCCAGCATCAATGCGATGATAGATGACGTCTCTCAAACCATTTGATTGATGAATAGAAGGGAAAGTGTACCCGTGCAGCCTAGCGATTAGCTCGACCAGTAGGGTCTACGCTTACGTTTCCAGTCACATATCAATGCTTGGTACCAGTTAAAATGCACAAGAAATCTTACCTTTGAACTATTACTATTAGTAATTCACCAAATATTATACTTCGGGGATGCATCCTTAACCGAGTTATTTCATAAACGGTTAACCAATTGCACGCTAGGCTCTCTCCTACAAACGGAGCCTGAAGTTCCAGCAAGTGTGTTTAACAAGGAAACCAAAATAGCAGGACACTTATCAAAGTTGCGCAGCGACAATAAAGTTTATAATAAACATGCTGTCAAGATAGATTTTACTGTCTCGGACAAGGTCTTTCCACTTCGCTATCATGCGCCTAGCAAAACATCACCGACTAGAGTCTCTTAGGTAGGTCATCAGAAAATTCAGGGTTCATGATTAGGTAGTGTATAACAACAAAAGACCAAATCAACCCAAAAAAAAAACCGACTAGAAACTTAGGCTTAACAGCACCAACATACAGTAGCATAATGTGCTCATCAATTTGTTCTAGAAGTGTTAGTCCTAGTTTTGCGCACCATGAGGAATACATCCAGATCCAGACACGCAGCACAATAACTTTCCAGATCAATGATGTCAAAGTAGAGCTGTAGCCAACAGGTCTTCGCCGTTTTCCCCGACGTCCTCATATCTACCGCCGGACTACGCGGGCGCCGGTTTTCACAGCATGAAGCAGATATCGAGAAAGCTAGTCCAGAGTACGAAAAACACAACACGGAGTATACAGAAACGTTAAGAACTACTGTCTTGGCTGGGCCGGGTCCGCGGACGCCGGGTCCCGCGGGCATGCCGCCTAAAGCGCATCGGGCGCATCACGCTGATCGGCCAGCAGGCGTCAAGTTTAAACAGACAAACTACGGCTTGACCAACTCTGTTTCGGCCCCTAGGTTAAACATGCAGCAATGGCGCATGCAGCTTCCCATAAGAAACAGGCTTCTCAAGGCTCCAGGTCGCTACACTGTGCAACTCTTATATGAAGCCTCATCTGGCCCCTCGACTTCGTTCTGGCCCTGTCCTCATCAAACACATTCAGCAAGATACTCAAGGCGGTTCACTACGACTTCTCAACTATCCATATCAAATTGCTACAGAATGGCGCAGCTTCATTCCTCGTCGGAGCAACAGGCGTATCATCGTCCTGCCGAAAATGGAAAACACCAGTTTGTACTTTTTGCCTGGCCCGGGGATAGCATCAAGTACTTCGACCTTGTTCCGGGGGGGCGGGCCGCGGTCAAGGAGACCATCTCCGCCATTGCCGAGGCTGTAGCACGGTTCGAACCCGTGAAACTGCTCGTCGAGGAAGCTGACCTCGAGGCAGCCCGGGCACGCTTCTCTGGTAGCAACGTGAAGAATACGCACACCATCGACATCTGCACAGTCAGCACCGGCTGCCCAGATATATGGATGAGGGATCTTGCGCCCACGTTTACCGTCAGCGACGCCGGCAAGCTGCACGGCGTCGACTTCAATTTCAACAACTGGGGAGACAGAATACACTCTGAAGCAAGCCGGCAGCTAGCCAGGTCTCTTCTTGCAGCGCTCGACATCCCGCGCGTCCCGTCGTCCATCGTCACCGAGGGCGGTGCCATCGAGATCGACGGCCAGGGCACCATGCTCGCCAGCGAGAGCTCTATCCTCAACGAAAACCGCAACCCCGGTAGGACGCAGGCTCAGGTCGAGGCTGAGCTAAGCCGTAATCTCGGCGTGCGCAAGTTCATCTGGGTGCCCGGGCGGAACGGCGTGGACTCCACCGACTTCCACATTGACGCGGTGGCCCGGTTCGTCCGCCCCGGCGTGATCCTTTGCTCCCAGCCGCGTGACGTGCCGGCCGGGAAGAGCAAGGCGGAGGATGAGTGGATCGAGGCGCATCGGGAGGTGCGCCGGATCCTGGCCGCCGCCACGGACGCGCAGGGCCGGCCGCTTGAGGTCGTCGAGGTGCTAGAGCCGCGAATCACAGAACAGTGCCAGCTGCAGGGCGTGGCGCAGGAAGCGCCCGACGGCTCCCGCGCCGTCTTTAGCTACGCCAACTATCTTCTGGTGGATGGCGGCGTGATACTTTCCCAATTTGGTGACGTAGAGGCGGATGCGGCGGCTTTGGACACGGTGAGCAGGCTGTTTTCAGAGAGGGAAGTGGTGCCCATCAATGCGCGTTGGTTGGGCATTTTCGGCGGTGGTATCCATTGCGTTTCACAGGAGGTTCCTCTGGTCTAAAGAAGTTTATAGCATCATTATCAGTAGATAAATGCGGAATCAAGCGACCATGTCATAGCCGTTTTACTACCCTTAGTCAGTTCCAGTCACGGTCTTTCGGGAAAATATTGTTGTGCGTTGAATAAATGTATTTTCTTGGCGATGATAGTGCGCCGGCAACTATAGACGGGTCTTGGAAAGCAGAGTCCTTGGTTGGAACACGCAGCAACGTGCCGAACGGCGGAAGTTGAAATCACACTAGCAACAGCAATATGACGACGGCCGCGTTGAGCCGGAGACCGTTTTCCGATGACAGGTTCATCTCGTCCGCGTATGTAGCTCCCGGTCGTCTTGCCGAGAACGTTGCTGCAAGGAAGGCAAGAAAAAAGGGGCACCGTGGCCGGAGGCCGACATGGTCGACCCCCGCAGTCTCGCACTCTCGGGAGCACGATCGGAATGTCGAGCCTCCGCATGGTCCGAGGCGACCGGAACAGGTGGGTCCGCTGCGTCGACAGTGTGTCATGTTGAAAGCATGTGGTCTTTCGGTTTTCCTTCTATCTCGATCTATTGCGGCTGTGCCTGGTCACCCCCAGGTCGCGTGAGGAATTGTTCTCACATGCCGCCCAAAAGAGCCGGATATGGTGAACGCCCGGGCCCGCGAACGGGGGAGGAAGCTACAATTTCTGTCCCCGCGCCCGAGAGATTCTAGTTGGCGGGGACTTACTCCGCAGTGTAGACTGTAGTGTGTGCCAGTGCGACAGCTGTGCTGGAAGTTTTGCGGTGCCTTTCCCCGGGCTAGTTTATTGGGTGGAATTAATGTGCGGTTTCCGCAAGAAGGAGGCTCGGAAATGCGAGTCCGCGCCATCGGCATGCAACGGCCGCCAGTCAAGCCACGCAATAGTCATAGTAATTTGAGCATCGCGTGGTATAATCTTTTGACTGGCCAGGTTCGCGTCATGTCGGTTTTTCTCGCCGATGAGCAGATGGGTCGCTTCGATTTCGGAATCGCAGTACAGTCAGATTGCGACAAGGTTTGTCCGCTTCGCTTAGTTGGCCGTGGCCCAGGAATGGCGCGGCTTCCGCCGCACAGCCTTAGTGTGTCCGCCAGCGCCGGGTAGAAGGTGCTGGAAAGCCACAATGATCACATGCTGAGTACGTGGTTAAGGCTCTGAACGTGGCGGGTCTTGTCGCTTTGTAGGTCTTTCGCACATTTATTGCGATTAGCACTCGAAGGTCGCAACCTTGAGACGGGTTTTAGACACTGGCACAAAGACCAGCTTCAGGTCTGTAGCGTTACGTATTCTGTAGCAGAACGTACAGTATGCCAATTTTTGAATAGAACCGGAGATGCAGGCTTCTTCCGGTAAGCCAGACCCTTATTTTCCAGCGGTCCTGTCGTAGCTCCGCATCACCTCAGTCCAACCACAGCGTTGGTGCGACTGGTAGGCAAGGCTGGCCAGGCGGCGGCTTTCAGCGAGTGGTAGTACTGCGTATGCGAGTTTCCTGGTGAGGTGTCCGAACAGTAAGCTGTACTAAGATGCACATTGATCCGTACTGTGCGAGCCAAGGAAGTCGAAGTGGCGGCCGCGATCTCGGCGTTTGGGTTCGCACAGTAACGATAGTAGGAGGCATGTCCTTCCCAAAGCCCAAGGGGACCGACATCCGGAAAATCAAACCGGCTGTTAAGAAGGGCTGTTCGAGATGGATTCGAATCCGTCGCCATGATGCCGATCTCAACTCTATTGTGCCGTCGGCGGTGTTGCTCAGCTAGCGTTCCGGCCGAGCCAGCCAGCCCTGGATTTTTTTTTTTGTTCGCACATCAGCCCACCCACTCCACCTGGCCTCCTCGGGAATCCCCAACTCCAGCGTCCTCCATCCATCCACTACGGCCGACAAACCCGCCTTTGCTGTCCTCTAAATTTCTCCATTCTCTAGTCTTTGCAGAGCGCAACAGTATCTCGGTGTCTGGAGTCATCACAAGCGCTCTTGTCGTTCTGCCCGCTCTTTCGTCTCTCTACTGTTTACATATTGGGATAATCACCTTACCGCCGTGCACAGGAGGCTCGCCGCACTCGGACTGCCTCAGCATATAGCCTTGTCGTCGTCCCCTCTCCTATCGTCCCTCCCCCGCCGCCGCTCCGTCTCCTGTCCTGCCGCACCCTCGCAATGGCCGATCTTGACACTCTCGATCTCATAGTCCTGGGAGCCATTCTCCTGGGCACCATTGCCTACTTCACCAAGGGCAAACTATGGGGCGTCGTCAAGGACCCCTATGCCAGCTCCTTTGCGGCCAATGCCGGCCAGAAGCCAGGTCGCACCAGGAACTTTATCGAGAAGATGGACGAGACCAACAAGAACTGCATCGTATTCTACGGCTCCCAGACCGGCACCGCTGAGGACTATGCTTCGCGTCTGGCCAAGGAGGGCAAGAGCCGCTACGGTCTCAACACCATGGTCGCTGATCTTGAGGATTACGACTACGATAACCTCGACGAATTCCCCTCGGACAAGATTGTCATGTTCGTCCTCGCCACCTATGGTGAGGGTGAGCCCACCGATAATGCTGTCGAATTCTACGAGCACATTCGCAGTGATGACGTCTCCTTTACCAACGGCAGCTCCCTGGAAAACCTCAAGTACGTCGCCTTTGGTCTCGGCAACAACACCTACGAGCACTACAACTCCGTCGTCCGCCGCGTTGACGAGACCCTCACCAAGCTCGGCGCAACCCGTATCGGCGTTGCCGGTGAAGGTGACGACGGCGCCGGTACCATGGAGGAGGACTTCCTCGCCTGGAAGGATCCCATGTGGGCTGCACTCGCCGAGAGCATGGGCCTCGAGGAGCGCGAGGCTATCTACGAGCCTACCTTTGCCATTGTCGACCGCGAGACTCTGACAGCCGATTCCGAGGAAGTTTACCTCGGCGAACCTAACAAGAACTATCTCCAGGGAACCCCCAAGGGCCCTTACAACGCCCAGAACCCCTACACCGCTGTGGTCGCCGAGTCGCGTGAGCTCTTCAAGTCCAAGGACCGCAGCTGCATCCACATGGAAATCGACATCTCTGGCTCCAACCTTTCCTACCAGACCGGTGACCACATCGCTGTCTGGCCGTCCAACGCCGGCTACCATGTCGACCTGTTCCTGAAGGCCCTCGGCCTTACCGACAAGCGCAACGACGTCATCAGCATCAAGGCACTCGAACCCACTGCCAAGGTCCCCTTTCCTACGCCCACCACTTACGACGCTATTGCGCGCTACCACATGGAGGTTTGCGCCCCTGTATCTCGCCAGATGATCTCGACCCTCGCCCCCTTCTCGCCCACCGACAAGATCAAGGCCGAGATGACGCGCCTCGGAAGCGACAAGGACTACTTCCACGAGAAGACAGGTCACTCATTCTACAACATTGCCCAGTTCCTGACTGTCCTCGGCGATGGCGCCACGTGGGACAAGATTCCCTTCTCCGCCTTCATCGAGGGCCTTAACAAGCTCCAGCCCCGCTACTACTCCATCTCGTCCTCGTCGCTCGTCCAGCCCAAGAAGGTCGCCATCACCGCCGTCGTTGAGACCCAGGTGCTGCCAGCGCAGGAGGTTCCCTTCCGCGGTGTTGCCACCCATTTCATCGCCGCCCTGGCCGACAAGCAGAATAACGGCGCCAAGTCGGACGTCTACGACCTCACCTACCAGATCGTCGGCCCCCGCGCGCGCCACACCGGCACCCACCTGCCCGTTCACATCCGTCACTCTAACTTCAAGCTGCCATCGGACCCCGGTCGCCCTGTTATCATGGTCGGTCCCGGCACCGGCGTTGCACCGTTCCGCGCATTTGTCCAGGAGCGGGCCAAGCAGGCCCAGGACGGTGTCGAGGTCGGCAAGACGCTGCTCTTCTTCGGCAGCCGCAATGCCAAGGAGGACTACCTCTACGAGGAGGAGTGGACCGAGTACAAGAAGGCCCTTGGCGACAAGTTCGAGCTCGTCACGGCCTTTTCGCGCGACACCGCCAAGAAGGTCTACGTCCAGCACCGACTCAAGGAGAACGGCGAAGAGGTTCACGAGCTGCTCCAGAAGAAGGCTCTCTTCTACGTCTGCGGGGATGCCGCCCGCATGGCTCGCGAGGTCAACACTACGCTTGCCCAGATCATTGCCGAATACCGCAAGGTCACTCCTGCCAAGGCCGACGAGGTTGTTAAATCGATGAGAGCCGCCAATCAATACCAGGTACGTCTACCAACCTATCCATGTGCGGTGCTTTATATCCATGTTTTTGGGCAATGAAACACGTGCCTTGACTGGATGCTAAAAAATCCGCTTTTAACTTGCTGGATTTTGATGCTAACCTGGTTCTTTCATAGGAGGATGTTTGGTCTTGATCGCGACACACCTCGTTAGATAGACTGCTTGCTCCCCACGGGGTAGACTTGGAGAAATTAAAATGACCATATTAATGAACGGTTTGGATGGGGTACAACATGATCAGGGATGCTCATAGACTTTGAACGTATTTGTTGTTGTTGTTGTTGTTTTTCTCATATCAGCTAGATGGTAATACGTTTCGTTTTCTTTGGATCATCTCCCGTTGGTGAATTTTGCTGCTTCCTTCGCATCTGTTGCATATTGCCTTGGCCAATCCACACACAGGGGTACACGGGAGGCAGGTAATTGTGGCAAGATTCGTTTTAGCGAGAGTCGTCTATCGATTGGGGTGGCGCTCAGGGCGGAGCTTAATCTTTGGTCTCACATTTGCCGTTGCCCCGAGAAAACAAAGAAGAGTGAAGAAGAACTCCGTATGACCAGTGTCAAAAGGGAGGTCGCTCGCCGCCCTTGGGGGGCTCCCCATTCCGACGCGGAACTTTGTCGCGAAGTGGCGCCATCCTTACTGCATAGCAGAGAGCCACCTCAGGCATTTCGACGGTCGTTTGGACAAGTTCTGTCAGTTCTTCATCTGTCTACGGATCATGCTATAACGCTCGTCGTCATATGCCCTCCCTGCCAGCAATGAAGGGGTTGGGAAATCGGTCGACTCGCGCTTGAATTGATCCAAATTCATCAAGGACTGATTAGTCGTTGTAATTCACTGACTGTGATATCTTTCCAGCCGCGTGTCTATCCGATGTAGATGAGAGACAAGGTATGTCCGAGTGATATCGGAGCTCGATGTTCCTCCTGTGCACAACAATCAGCTGCGCGGAAGACTCGTCTTGTCCAGGCAGACCATGTGTTTTAGTACTGTTCAGCTGAAGCGAATTGCCAGATTCAAGACGAGAGCGACAATGAGGTTGAGGCCAAAAATTTTCTCTGAAAACGGTATGGTCACGGCATTGTCCCCCGCACCAGCAAGGAGGGTTACGACCCGTGATGCGGGAGACGCTCTGAAGCAGCTGAATGGGCGGGGGCATGGCTCGCGGCAACAAAGATGGGCACGATGATCTGTATTGCCAGGTAGTAATTGGAATCGAGCTAGAACCGAGCTCCTTAACATATCCACTGCGGAGATGTAACGTTGTTGGCTAACGACAGTTCTTTCCACGACAAAGGTCTGGAGGAACATGTGCGAAAGCTACACGAGATGAGGCACACAACAAGGTCGGTCGGTCCGCAAGGGTAGATCTACGGTGGCACAAAACATAACGAGTGCTCAATGCTTTGGGTGGCGAGAATTTGCCTTCAGCTTCCACGACACTCTCGGCGATACTTTGGGGAATGACTTTCGGGCTGCCCGACTGCCAGGTTCCCATCGCTCCAGGGGTCCTGTAGAAAGTAGTCAACCCAGCGTCCAATCCGTGGCCTGGGAGAGACTTCCCTTTTATTCTCAGGCATTCTGTGATACGGAACCCCCCTGTTTCGTCACATCAAAACCAATAGATGGGGTTTTGTGTCCAGATACTGTTTCTGCCAGTAAAAAGTGATACCGGGCTTGCTTTTTCGAGGGGTTGACAGTCGGCCCACCAGTCGGCGCAGGTCAGTCGGGCTGAAAGCGTGCAACAAGGAGTCCAGTAAAAATGTCTGTCATTTATACGAATACACTGGTATGGGCAAGCATGGGTAGCAAAAGCAAGCATGGGCTTTTTTGGGGCCTGGCGTACCACTTTGTGCAGAACAAAGAAATGTGCCATGGGGCTCGAAAATGAGTAGTTATCATTTATCGATTTCCTTTTTTCCTATGAACGCATACCACAGTTAGTGGCCAAGGAGAAAAAGAAAAGAAAAATACGAATAAAAAGGAGAGAAGAAGAGGGACGACGAAATTCTTCATGACGGGGTCAAAGATAGTACGGAGTAGATGGGTAACATCCATCATCAAGACTGCTGGGGTACCTAGGTATCAGTGGCCCCGTCGCCTGCCAAAGATGGTCGAAGTCGCATGGCCGCCGGGTCAAGATGAATGTTGCGGGAGATCATTGTCTGAGGGAGGCGTGCCGACGCCTTGACCTTGGCAAGGGGCGAATCACCGCTCCGGCGAGTGTCTGAGAAGCAACGGAAAAAGAAACGATAATGGGTTGCCCACTCGTGCTGCAGCAGGTGGCTGGCCGGCTAGTTCGTCTGAATCGTTTAGATAAAATTTCCCGGCGTATAAGCAAGGAATATCCCAATCGCATTGTCGTTTTTGTTTTCGCAGTAATTAATTCGCATTTTCGCCTGCTCGTTCTGTTGTTTCCCGCATTTCTTACGCATCTGCGCCGCCTAGTGTAAGTATACATACAGGCGCAACGCCGCCGTCCGTTTGCCAGACTAATCACTTTGCAGTCTTTTATTGTTATTCTGCAAAAATACTCATACTTTTGCCCGATTGCCGCCGTTCCTTGATCTATTTTCTATCGCGCACAAGTCGGTACTCGTACAAATCGGCAACTCGTACAAAGGTCGACTCGTACGTCCCAGCTCGTGCACGCGCAACAGTGCAGTGCATGGTAGCGCGTTTGTGGACCGTCCTCTTTCCTCGTTCTTGTTTGGCAGTTATATCTTCTCTCGAGCGACTCGGCATTTCAGCTCCAGGTAGCTCTTTGTTGTCGAACGTTGTTGGGCTTTCGCTGCATTGTGCGCCGTTCGTCCTGCCAGGTTCTCGCCGTTCGTTGCGACTTCAGCCCACGCAATAGGTGATACGCCTGGTTACACGGGTACGACACAGACCTTCTGATTATTCAAATTGATATTGACGGAAGGAAATACAAACAGGTTGCTGGTCTTGAAGGCTGATTGTTCGATATCTCCATCTTGTTGCGGACAAAACGCCCTTAACCGACTGCCCTGACCGTCGTTCGCTTCCTCCTCAAAACGCCTGGCAGCTGTCACGACTGGCGATTCACAACCGCCGTGCAAACGAGAAACATCTTATTTCCTCGATCTAGAGCAGCCAAGGCGCTTCAAAGAGCTATCAGTTGGCACTTGTCAGTATTTTTTGCCTCTGCTGCGCCGCTCTTCCTCCCTCTGCAGCCATCGTCGGTTCGTGCAGGCGAAGCCCGTCCCCATTTGCTTTTCCATCCTCAACACCTGCCGCCTCAACATCGAGCGTCGTGACTACCTCGACACCGCCGCCCTTTCATCTTTAGGTAAGCCGCCTCGCTTGCAGTGCTACCTTTGTCCCTTTTATTTGTCGTCGTCTTCTCCTCCCTCTCCCATTCTTCTTCCTCTTCTCTTCATAGCATCACCAAACATTGGTCGCACGTCAACTCTCTACGCCTTGTCAAATTCCCATTCATCTTGCTTGATAGCTCTCCCTCTTATCCAATTTTGCAGTTATCTCTGCCAACCCCCAATTCGAACATCTCCGGCTAAAACACACGACTTTTTCCTCCCCCGCAGAGAAAAGGTGCTGTCCCTCAGATTCTTCTCACCTCCCCCTGTCGTTTCAGCCTACCTTTCCTGCGCCTTGTACACTCTACTTTGCTATTGTTCTTTCTCGCGGTTTTGATTTTTCATCACGATTAATGCCAGCGGCGGCTCTTCGTCCTTGCTAAGTCTCGTTGCTAACTGCCGAGCCTCAAAGCAGATCTTTGCTGCACTCGCGGCTGGTTGTTCGGTTATTAAGCCTCGTTAAAAGTAAACTTGTTGCTTTTGATCCTCAGGTATGTTTACGACTCCTTACTTCGACCGATTCCATTTCTATACACGGCACAGGACTTTTCTATCTTCCCAGTGCCTTGTCCAAGCATTCTGCACACCTTCGATGCTAACATGGATCGCCCTCTCTAGTGATCGCATGTCTTATTACTGCCAAACTCTTCACGACATCGGCATGGACGCAAATTCTGCAGTTGCTGCTTCGTATCTACCAACCCACGGACGCGGTGCTCATCATTCCCATATTCCGGCTCATGGGGGTGATCCTAACGCCTTGATAAATCAATTTGCCAACATTGGTCTCGGCGGCATGAGCATGCCTGGTGGCGCTGGCCCCGTTCCTATGGGCCCTGGGCACGCCTTCATGATGGGTTCCGATGGCCAATTTGTTCTTGCACCAATACCTGGCGGTGGCCAGCATCTCGGTATGGGCCACGGCAATGACGCACACTACCAGGGCTTCTCGATGCCGCATGGCAGCTACGCTGCACCATACGTCGGCGTTCCTCTTCCTCTCATGCCTTACACTCCCGGACGTGCCAATACTGGACACCATCGGGTGGATAGAGGCCAATCAGAGGTACCTGGTCTCGAAAATCGTCGCGGATCATACTCTACTACGGAGTCTACGCCCGCCACGCCATTCTACGGCGCCGTCTCTCATCGCGACAGTGGCCCCCGCGTTGCAAGTCTTGACCGATCTGCTTATACCACCCCTTCGCCTCAGCAAATTGGTCTTCCCACTCTTCATGCAGATGCTCCAAAAGCTACCTTTTCTGCTGTTTCGGAAGCCGCCCTTGATGAGCTTCTCAAGAAAGAGCCTGCCATCCCCAAAGCTGTTCCTGCCGTTTTCACCCCACCAAATCAGATGAAGTCTATCGAGCAGAGTCTTGACAACAGAATTCCAGGCAACCGCAACGTCTACATCCGGGGACTGCATCCGACCACGGATGACGAGCTTTTATTCCATTTCGCCTCTCGTTTTGGCGCCGTCGAGACTTCCAAGGCCATCATTGACACTGGCACTGGTGCCTGCAAAGGGTAGGCTATCAGTTCGCGTCTTCACGTTTGCAAACACTAATTATCCTCAGATTTGGCTTCGCAAAGTTCTTCACTTCGGAAGACTCCGAAATGTGCATTCGAGGCTTCCATAAGCTCGGATATGAAGTGGGATTTGCGCGAGTAGGTATACCCGACGATACCAGTCGAGCCAATGCTAACATGCTACGTAGGAATCATTCAACTCTCGCCTCAAGGCTGAGGGTGATGAGGGTTCTACAAATTTGTACATCTCCAATTTACCCAAGACCTTGACCGAAGTGGTGCGTGCACTATCCTCTGTTCGGCGGGATGATTACTGACTCTATCAAAGGAGCTTGGCACCATTTTTCTTGGCTACACCATTCTTTCCAGCAAGATTCTACGCGACAGTATGGGTAACAGTCGTGGCGTTGGCTTCGCTCGGTTAGCGTTCCTTGCTTGACATCGTCTTGGAGCTCTTATTCTGACCTCGTGCCACAGCTTCGAAACACGCGACGTCTGTGATGAAATCATTAGAAAATTCAACGGCGTCGGCATTGGTGAAGAGGGCTTGCTCATGAATATCCGTTACGCCGATACCCCATCACAGAAAGAGCTCAAGCGAGTTACTGCCGAGCGCCGTCAATTCCGGACCAACGAATATAACATCGGTGCCTATGGTACCCCTCTGGTTGGGTTGAACCCAACCTTGTATAATCAACATTCGCAGTGGCGCCGCTCCATTCCACAGTCTCGAAGGTACCTTTATTTATTCCCATACATTTCCAGCCATCTAACCCTGTGTAGTGGTTTGTCAGCTTCGTCGAATGGCGACAGCAGTGCTATGAGACACTCGGGTACCGCGCGCGGTCTTTCCGAGTATGAATCAAAGCACACTGTCTTGTCGTCTTTCTAACTTTCCGTTTAGGGCGGCTACAAGCTCGAGCACTGACGCTACTATCTCTACCCCCACTACTTCCGAGTTCGATGAGGGCACGACGATTCACGCCGATCATGCCGGAGCTGCCGTTGTAAAGAAAGAGAATGTGCCGACTTCGCCATCAATGGTGAAGAAAGAGCCCGCCAACTGAGCAGATGACGAATAATTCTAATGTTACAGCTGATTTTTTTGGAGTGCCGATGTGCACATGATATATTCCCTATACACGGATGTCTCGCTCTCAGGTAGTTGCATCACTTTATCTGCCGCTTCTTGGTGACAGCTTTTATATGTGCAACAAGCATATTATGTTCTATTATCAGATGTTTGATCCGCTTGCTGGATTGTGTTAATATTGTTTTTTATTTGTCACGGCTGTCGATGTCCTGTATTCTATTTATGAAAAACTGGGTGCAGTGACGAGGTAGTACATTTATCCCTGTCGCTGAATTAAAGCCTTCAAAAAATAAGTTGTGAAAGCTCCCGTAGGGGACGCTTTAACCTCTCATCTGGTGTATTATCATTTCATTGAGAAGTGTTATACTGTAAGTTGAGCCATGCTGTCATTAACCACATCTGCTGCATCTGCCGCATCTGCCGCATCTTCTGCCTCAATTCTGCCAATGACCACTGGGCCGGACTCTTCGCCAGAGCCATCCTCGTCGGTTTCGCTCTCTTCTTCTTCATCCTCCCCAGATTCATCCTCCGAGTTCTGGTCCGTCCTGGTTTCTCCCTTTTCTCTGATTGCTGCCTCCAAGTCTTTCAACATTTTCTTGGTGAAACCCGACGCCTCCACCGTCGCATCTAGTCTTGTCTTACCGCCTTTCCCGACAATCTTTTTGGCATCCTTAAAAAAAGGGCCAGGCTGGGTGCTTGTAAAGTGAAACCGACGCTGAAAAAACCTCTTGATACAGTTTACGTCGCGATCAAAATACATTTCAGCATTCTGATGTTCCATGGAAACCATTTGCGGAAAGTCAATGACAATCGGCTCGAGGGTGATTGTCTCCTCCCCAGCTTCATTTGTCGTTTTATTCTCTTTGATCAGGATATTGAATTCGTTAAAATCACCATGAATTAGCCCGTGCTCGGCAAGGCGTAGTATCAGAGAAATCAACTCGGAATATAGTACTGCAGGGTCCGGTACTTGGGATATTTGTCGAAGAGGGTGGGCGTCAATAAGCGTCATTACGATCGTGTGGCGCGATTGGCCGAGCGGCTGCGGGACAGGAAATCCTTCGTCGCGTAGAGCCTGCATAAAAGCGTATTCCTTCATAGCAGCAAGCCTCGACAGGTACATCCACGAGCCGGAAGACTTGTTGCGGAGGTAGTCACGGTTCGACTTGACCGTTCGGAACGAGATTCGGCCGAGGCGGTGGATCTTGAGGACCTGCTGCGCGCCGCTGTGGTCTGCGACGACCATAATGTCACTTTCCTTGCCGACACCGATTCTGCTGCCGACGCTGTAGACGATCTTCTTGCTGGAGTGCGTATGGAGGGCGAGGTAGTCGAGGCCGCCGTAGGTCAGCCGGTAGCCGTCGTATTTGGCTTCCTTGACTCGGGCAATGAGGCCGACTTTGGCGAGTGCGGATATGCTTTTGTGAACACCACTTGCGCCACCTCTTAATCGCGAAATTCTTTCGATAAGTGCTGTAGGGACGATTTCGTGATTTTTGCTTCCCAGTTCGACCTGCCAGCCATGTGTTAGACGTCGGCATGGTGGGCAAGCGTGAACAGACGTCACTTACGGCAGTGAGAACTCGCCAGTCCTCCGCTGCCAAATGACGCAGCGCTCTGGTATCCAACTTCATGACGACTGAGTGATATGCAACGAATATTGTATTTCGGGGGTTAAGCGCAGTCTTTTCTCGCTATGTAGGCGACGCAGGCGTCTTGGCGGGGTGGAAGAAATTTGGGGCCCAAAGAGGTTCTGATCTTATCGATACGTGCGTGGTGAAATACATGGCTTAATCATCGAGCCGTTACGCCACACCCACACGTGACTCCAGCGGGACGACAACCAGCTGGCGTAGGCGGCAGCGCCTCGCGTAACCCCGGGGCTCTGGGCAGAGTTGCTACGCCAGGTTCCAAGAGCTTTGCTGACAAGGCTCCATTACCTTCCATCGCTCTTCAACTCCAACGTACCAACCACGTTCGCTCGCCCCAGTACCGCGATTGCGCAGTTGCTTCCAATTTGTATACTATTATCTGCCGCAACTGTCCCGACCCTTTTCGTTGCTTGAGAGGACTCCTCCCTCAAGTTTCACAACCACCAGCGCCTGCCACATCTAGATCGTCGTCAACATGGCTCAAGACGCCGATCTGCCCAAGGCGGCCGACAAGGGAAAGGGAAAGGCTGTTGACGACCCTAAGAATGAGACTGCCGTCGTAAATGGTAAGAAGAAGGCTGACGACAAGGATGGTGAGTTGGGCCATGGCGACAAATGCGCCGCTTCTCACGATGCTAACCTGGCCGCAGCCGCCGCCGAGGAGGAGCTCAACGAAGAAGATCAGCAGCTCAAGGGCGAACTCGACATGATGGTCGAGCGACTAACGGTGCACATTGAGCTCAATCCGCCCACTTGCAAGGCGCAAGCTAACCATTGCTAGGAAACAAACAAAGAGCTTTACAAGACAGCCATTGAGGCCATGAAGACTTCGATAAAGACCTCCACATCATCGATGACGGCTGTACCGAAGCCTCTCAAGTTTCTAAGACCGCACTACGAAACTCTGACGAACCTGTACGAGGAGTGGCCCGCCGGCGACGACAAGACATCTCTCGCTGATGTTCTCTCCGTCATCGGCATGACATTTTCCGACGAGGACCGACAAGATACCCTGAAGTTCCGTCTTCTTGCGCCCACATCCGATATTGGCTCTTGGGGCCACGAATACGTTCGCCACTTGGCGCTGGAGATTGGTGAGGTCTACGGCAAGCGCATCAGCGCTGATGAGCCGACCAAAGATCTCATCGACCTCGCGCTAACCCTGGTTCCCCTGTTTATCCAGAGCAACCAGGAAGCGGACGCAGTGGATCTCATGAGTGAACTCGAGATCATCGATCAGATCCCGAAGCACGTCGACGAGAATACCTACTCCCGCGTCTGCCTGTACATGGTTAGCATGGTCAACCTCTTAACATACCCCGACAACGAGCAGTTTCTGCGCACCGCCCACAAGATCTACCTAGAGTATAAACAGTACGCCCGAGCGATGGTCTTAGCCATCAGACTTCACGATTACGACTTGATTCGCTCCGACTTTGTCAAGGCCGAGGATCCTGCTTTGAAGAAGCAGTTAGCCTTCCTTATTGCGCGCCAGAGGATAGCTCTCGAGCTGCCTGGAGATGACGAGCATCTTGACAACAGCTTGTCGAATCTAAGGCTAGCTGAATACTTCAAATCATTGGCCAAGGAGCTCAACATTCTCGAGCCGAAAACGACAGAAGACATCTACAAGAGCCACCTCGAAAGCAGCCGTGTTGCTGGCATGACCAACCTGGATTCTGCCAGACACAACCTTGCGGCCGCCTTCGTCAATGCCTTTGTCAATGCGGGCTTTGGCAAGGACAAGATGATGCTCACGGACGGCGAAAAGGAGACCTGGGTTTGGAAGACTAAAGGCGATGGTATGCTATCAACGGTTGCGTCTATGGGAACGCTCTTGCTGTGGGATATAGAAAATGGCCTCGACAAGATCGACCGCTACACATATGCCAACGAAGTTGAGATTTCCGCTGGATCTATGCTCGCCATCGGCATCATGAACAGTGGGATTCGCGTGGAATCAGAACCCGCGCTCGCACTTCTGGCCGATCCCGAGAAGCTCCAAACAGGTAACCCACTAGTCCGCACCGCTGCCATCATGGGCCTCGGCTTGTCCTATGCCGGTTCCAATAAGGAGGAACTCCTCGAACACCTACTGCCAATTGTCAGCGACTCTTCGCAGAGCATGCAACTTTCTGCCATGGCCGCTCTATCCTGCGGCATGATATTTGTTGGATCTTCTCACCCCGAAGTCAGTGAGGCCATCGTTACCACACTCATGGACGAGGACCGCAAGAACCAGCTCACTGATAAGTGGACGCGATTCCTCGCTCTTGGTCTTGGCCTTCTGTACTTTGGCCGTCAGGAAGAAGTTGACGTTATTCTCGAGACACTCAAGGCTGTTGAACACCCCATGGCCAAGCCCACCGCTGTCCTGGCCGAGATTTGCGCCTGGGCTGGCACCGGTGCTGTGCTCAAGATCCAGGAGATGTTACACATCTGCAACGAGCACAAGGAGGAGTCAGACGATAAGAAGGGCGATGAACTTCTCCAGGCGTACGCTGTGATTGGTATCGCTCTGGTTTCCATGGGAGAGGAGGTCGGCCAAGAAATGGTTCTGCGGCAGTTCGGCCACCTCATGCACTATGGCGAGGCCAACATTCGCAAGGCCGTCCCGCTCGCCATGGGTCTCATCAGCCCTAGCAACCCCCAGATGAAGGTATACGACACTCTGTCGCGATACAGCCATGACACCGACCCCGAGGTCGCCATCAATGCCATCTTCGCCATGGGCATGCTCGGTGCCGGCACCAACAACGCCCGTCTGGCCCAGCTACTCCGCCAGTTGGCCAGCTACTACCACCGCGATCAGGACGCCCTCTTTATGGTCCGCATCGCCCAGGGCCTCCTCCACATGGGCAAAGGCACCATGTCCATCAACCCATTCCACACCGACCGCCAGATCCTGTCCCGCGTCGCGGCCGCCGGTCTACTGGCCACCATAGTCGCCATGATCGACCCCAAGGAGTTTATCACCTCCAACTCGCACTATCTGCTGTACTTCATCGTCACCGCTATGCACCCCCGCTTCCTGGTGACGCTCGATGAGAACCTCCAGCCCCTCAAGGTCAACGTCCGCGTCGGTCAGGCCGTCGACGTCGTCGGCCAGGCCGGCCGCCCCAAGACCATCACCGGCTGGCAGACGCAGAGCACGCCGGTACTCCTGGCATACGGCGAGAGAGCAGAGCTGGAGGACGAGCAGTATATCAGCCTAAACAGCACGCTCGAGGGCTTGGTGATTCTGCGTAAGGTAAGCAAGCACGCACCGCCATGATTCGCAATTGTCCGTGCAGTACACTAACATGTCTTAACAGAACCCCGACTGGGAGGAAGAGCAATAAATAAATCATGATAACCTATCACGAGGTGTAGTCGACGAGCATGAAGTAATATCAGATTAGACGGTATTATTTTCTGTGATCTTGATATCAAGTTTCTTGGCTGGTATGGGCATGGAAGAGAGGTGCTGGCCCTGTATAGTAATTTATAGTGTGTCGTGTGTTTCGTTGTGAAAACGAGAGGCAGATACAGACTACAAAGAAAAAAAGAGACACCAAGACATGACGAAAAACTTGAACAAAATTCAAAGTATTCTATTCAAAGATAAACGTAACAGTTATCATTTCAAGCAGGTGTGACTCGTATTTTCAAGAAAAAGAAATAAGCAAATTGTACATGTCCCATATACAATAACATATATCAAATGATCAAATGTAGACCAGAACGCCCATAGCAATGCATGCAGTATAGATTTCAGACTTGATCTGTCGTACCTCCTCTCTTCACCACTCAGGCGGCCCGAAGTGCCCGCCCTCGGGCACCGTCTTGTAAGAGCAGGCCTGCCAGTCGCAGCCCTGTTTATAGACCTCGGTGCCCCACCAGTGAAAGTTGGTCATCCACCCGGGGTAGATGAAGCCGAAGAAGACAACAACGATGCCAAAGGCGAGGCCGGAGTCGAGTGCGGCGCTGAGGGTCATGGTGTACTTGGCCCACCAAGCGCCGGCGCGGCGCTTGATGACGTAGTTGAAGACGTAGCAGACGAGGGCCCAGACGGAGAAGTTGAGACCGGTGGCGGGCGGGATCCAGGCCATAGCCCCAAAGATGATGGGGAGATTGATCTTGCGGACGACGCTGCCCCGACGGCGGCGGCTGTACAACCACAGCGGGATGGGCAGCAGCGCGCCGAGCGGGAAGCACCAGACAAGGGCGCGGTAAATGGCACCGGGACCGAAGAACTCGCCGGGCCCGACAACGCCCCAGAGAATGGAGCCGTTGAAGTGGACTCGCGCGATGGGGCAGGTAAAGCCATTGACCGCCTCGGCGGTACAGATGCCCCCGACATTGATAAACATCCAGTTGAGGACGCCAATCTGCGTGACAGACGACACAAAAGTGGCAACGACCTGCACCATGAACATTATGCGGGGCGGGATCTTCATGTAGTGGCCAAGCTTAAGGTCCGCAGCAAACTTGATGCCCTGCGCCGAGGAGATGTAACCGTATGTGACGAAGACCATGTTGGCGATGGGACGCCCGGGGAAGACGACGCCGCAGATTAACTGACAGATGAGGTAAATGCTGCTGTGCTGGTTTGTGACGGCCATGATGATACCGTTGGGGATGAAGAAAATGGCGCCAAGGGCGAGAGCCAGGAGAAGCCCGTACCAAGGTAGATGGATGGGGTAGTACTCGACGATGAAGATGCCGACGGCTGTCATGGAAAGGAACGTCAGAAGGTACCAGCTCAATGGTGCATCTTTGTAGCGCTTCATCAGCCGGCTGTGAATATCTTCTCGACTTAGGAGGTCGTCGAAGCCAGAGTGCGTGGAGCGGTTGCCGTGGCTGTCATGGCGTGACAATGGATCCGGCTCTACCTCACCAGCTTCCGTCGGTGTGTCAGAGAGAGGTTCGTAGGTGGCTTTGCTCTCTTCACGTGCTTCGGCGAGTGCGCGTTTCCACGTATGCCAGATATCGCTACCATGCCAGCACAGCGTGTGTGTAAGCAGTGCTGCAAGACCAGCAAACTGCACGCCATAGCTCAGCATGTACGTCACGGGCAGGAAGACTCGGCTGTAGTTTCGATACGCTTCGCGGTCGAACAAGAAGTCGGGTGTAAGAATTCTGCTGACATCATAGACTTTGCCTGTATTGTCAAAAACAGCAGTTGATAGAATCGGCATATATGACGAGTACAGAACGTTGGCATAGTAGCACAGCGGTGCAATGAACCACATGACAACAACGAGGCCAGCTACCACATTGACGGCCGCCCAGAAGGGCACGAGCAAGGGTGAACCGACGTACGTAATTTGGGCCCAATCGAAAGTCATAGGGAACAGCCCTAGGCCGGAGGTGACACCAAAGAGGTTCGCAATGACAACGTTCTTGGGGGCAAACCAGGTAATGACACTGAAGTAACTGAGCGCTGGCATCAAGAGTCCGGGCAAGAAGTAGAACACGAAAGCGCCTATCCAGACAATGTAGAAGAAGTTCCAGCGACTGATTGTCCAGCCGTTAGCTGGCTTATTCTCTTGTTTGTGGAGCGTTGAGAACATGGCAGCAGACATCAGTGTGCCTGGCCAGATCATACCGCTAGGACGGACGAGAAATCGGCGGGCCATACCCGCAAAGCCGTACCCCAGGATTTGTGTCGATATCGTGAGTAGTAACTGGTACGCAATCGGAGCAGACTGGTTATAAAATTGCGTCTGTTCAACAATGACGTCGGTCGCAAATGCAAAGCCAAAGGCAACGTTGCTGCTCACATAGACGCAAGTGTGTTCTTTTTCGTTCCACCGGCCCTGCGCGAACCATTGTCGCCATGAGCGAAGAGTCTTTGTTCGCCTTGCCGGTGGCTCGTGTTCATCTGGGATAGCTGAATGACGGACACCATCAACAAATGTTTCTTGGGGGTCATAGGAGCGCTTCAGAGCCACGTCCCAGAATAAACCGAGGGGGTGGACCAGAAGCAGGGCAATAACCGGTGTGATGGCCACACTGGGATATCTTAGAGAAAAGAATAGATTGGTCGAGGAGCCCAAAATAGAGAAGAGCACAGACAAGCACCACATTCGCGGTGTGTTTATTGACAGTGTAGTATCGTCTGTCGGAGGCACGGAGGCCCGAACTGCTTCGTGGGGAGAGTTTTCGTCTTCTTGGTCGATAGTTGACGCATCATCCTGGACCGAAAAGGTGTCTTCCTCGTCAATATCCAACTCATCAGGTTTTCCGTTGCTAAACGTATCGACAAGCGGCGTCTCGGCGGGCCCGAAGCGGCCTTCAACCCCAGACACAAGGATAGCACCGTCGAGGTCCTCCGAAACTCTTGAGGATGACCGCGAGATGGCCGACCGTTGGCTACGACTCGTGTCGCGCGCATAGCTAGGACGGCGCCTATATTCTTCGGAGTCGGCTTCGGATGGCGACTGGCTTTGGTACGGCGATGCGTTTACGGAGCCGTAGTTGGGAGTGTCCTGGCGCGACAAAGGCCGCCGGTCAAGGCGGAACGACTTCTTCTTTTTGACCATGTCGAAGTCGGTGAGCTCGAGCTCAGACCCGGAATCAGGGTCAGCTACAGCTTTTGACTCTGTAGGCCAAACGGTGCGAGCATGTTGTGAGAGGGAAGTCAGGGCATCGACGTGGTCATTGAGAGGCGACGAGGGTTCCGGCTGCTGTCGGCTCGGTGGCCGCTGGTGGGATGATCCGACGGTGGACTTGTGTGGCAATGCAGCAGTCGTAGTCGCCAGGGTCTCAAGGGCAACGGTTTTGTCGAGGTTGGCGTCAGGCTGATCCTGAACGGCCGTAGTGTGCGAAACAAGGGCTAGAGGGAGGGAGTCGCTGGCTGTTGTAGTTTCGGAATGGTCTTTGGCCAGCGGCGACCGGCGAGCGTCTTTCATGGCGGGCCAGCCGAACTTGTGGAGGGGGCGCTTCCCACCGCTACCTACCTACTTACAAGATGGGAGACGGCTGGAGCTAAACTTACTAACTTAGTTGGTTAGCTGGCGGGCCTTGGAGGTTGAAAATAGCGTGCCAGCTGCAAGGGATGGTCCAGCTCCAGCCAGTTTTCGTTGTCTTGGGCAGCAGTTACGGAAACAGGACCCGTACAGGCTGCGTCACTGCCTGGTCGTTTGGAGATGTCAGAGAAACTCCCTGCAGCGAGCCAATGGGTAATCATAAACGGTCCACAGAAGGTTGCAACTGTGGACTGACGACAAGTCGGTGGGATGCGTGTGAATGCTAGCCTCAGTCGACAGTGGGCCAGTGGGTTGGAATGTCAGGGCGGCTGGGAGCCAAGGGAGGGTGTCGAAGTGAGTCAAACCTGATAGAGAGGCGTGAGAGGCTTGTACGGTGAGTTGGCCAAGATGAAAGTGTCGACGTTGACGTGAGCGCTCTCGTCGGCCGCGTTTGTGTTGCAGGCAAATTGTCCAGTGACAACCGAAGGAACTGGAGGACTGCAGGCTGCAGCAGAATCAGGAGCGGGCTCGCGTGGCGCCTGCAGCTGAGCCGGCCAACAGGGGCACGGTTTATATCTCGAATAACGATGCTGCAGGTAATCTATGTAGCAAGTAAGGGAAGGGCCAGCCGAGAAACCTGGTGAGATGTGACGACGTTTTGCAGCGTAATGCCTGCTAGCGCTATAAGTCTGCAGCTAATTCAAGGCTCTCGGGCATCCAAAGTGGCCAGTTACACGGCAGATGGCGATGGCCAGACGGAGTCGCGGAGCCTGCTCGGCATATCGGTGCGAACGAATTGGTCATAAGGCTACAGCGGCTGGGTTTTCGCGAGTTGAGCCGTTGCTGAAGTGATGATGAAGATGGGCAAACGGAGCAGGTTCGAGATGCTCTCAACGGCTGGCGGTATCAGTGGGAGGGTATCAGTGGCTGGGGCTGTGGCTGAGGCCGCAAACAGTGCCTTTGACGGGATGGGCTACAGCGCTACAAGCCACTAAGCAAGTGATGAACCTGTTAGAATGCCCTGCATTTCAAGATATCTACGCCACGCGAATCTACCCAACAAACTGCTGATGTCGATCGCCGAGCATAGACGAGTCTCGAAATGAGAAGAGTGTAGCAAAATGCAAGGGCTCTAACATGCCTTGGGGCGGTGTACACTGAAGACCAATCTCAATACAGATTACTACCTCCTAGTTAGGGAATATCATTTCTCATTCTGAATCTCGTTCTTCGCGGCTTGATCTGCTTTCTCCTTTCACTCCCTTATTATTTAACAAAAATTACTAGCCACCGCTTTCTTTCACCACTTCACTTTTGGTATGGCCGTGTGAAACAGTTAATCCTGGTAGACAGGTGCCTACTAATAGACAGGGGTCTTGGGTGAGCATCTCTCGCCGTCGTCTAGTTCTGACGAATCACAGCTGACACATTAGGCATCATATCGATATGGAGGGCGCTTTTTTTCTTTAACAAAGCCTAGACCAACTTGGTATCGATAACTGACGAGGATGTCTTTGACCATTGTCGTAGGCCGCGGCTGTGAAACGGAGCCACGAGACTAACCAACTAGCCCCCAATTTATAGGTAGAATTGCACTATGCAACTCATGTAAGGAAAATTGTCTCCACGCAGCGCCAAATTTGATCAGCGCCGATGCCGCACTCGAATCATACCTACGTACTGTTTTAGTTGCCTCATTTCATGCTAACAAGCGCACCCGGAAATAGCATAGACAATGCTCATGCACCTATCCTGCAGTCTCGTCCTTCAACAGCAAGCATAATGGCGACCCCTGTCGCTGCGGCCAAACAACAACTTAGAAATTTAATCAAGAAGCGTCTTGCCGGCCTCTCGCCCGATGTCATTCAAGCTCAGAGTCAGTAGACCCCGCCGCCATTCCTCACCTGTGCCTTGTTAATGGATGAACGCAAACGACCAGGTCGCGCCGTCTTTGAGACTCTACAAGCCTCGCCGCAGTACAAAGAGGCCAAGCGCATAAGCATATATCTAGCCATGCCGGCAGCTGAAGTCCAAACCGAGGCCATTGTCCGCCATGCCCTCATTGCCGGCAAGCAAGTCTTTGTGCCCTACCTTCATAAGTCAACCCTATCTGAGCCTGACGCACCCGCTCGCATCATGGATATGGTGCAACTGCGCAGTATTGAGGATTATGAGAGCCTCGGCCGTGACAAATGGGGCATCCCGAGCATTGGTGCTGACGCCGTTGCTGGACGTGAGCGTATTTTGGGCGACTCGCCAGGCAACTTCGGTCCATCCCCAGCTACCCTGGACTTGATGTTGGTTCCGGGTGTCGCCTTCAATGCAGATCCCGAGGCGGGCATACGGCGTTTGGGTCACGGTAAAGGGTTCTATGACTTTTTCTTGAATCGATACTTTGCTCGAGCCGCTGAGCATGGTGGCCATGGCTCGACCTTGCGGCTCACAGGCTTGGCCTTGACTGAGCAGTGGTTAAACTCTGAAGATGGGGAAGTCCCAATGGGTATGTACGATAGGCGATTGCACAGTTTAATACTTGGTAGTGGCGAGACAAAAAATTAGCCCGTTGTACACTATTATCGACGACAGACAGCCCAGCTCATTTGCACAGGATGAATCATGATGCTTTGGTGCTAACTCAGTCCGCAAGTACTAACAGGAGGTATTTCCCCCACCTCTCGGGGTTGTCTGTCAAGATCCATACTAAAGCCAGGCAATGGAGGAAGACAAAGATGGCAAGGGAAAATATTGAGGCCTTTCATTGAAAACTGCTAAAAAAAAAGTCAAGCTCAAATTGTATATGTTTTTTTCTCTCCGTGCTGCGTCCCTCCTTTCGAATGAAATGACGTCGGATCGGAGCGGAAAAACTCACCACCTTGGTTTCTCCTACAAGAGCGAGTGCCCCGCCAAAGACTATCAACCCCATGTCGTATTATTGCCTGGCTCAAGTCGAGGTGGGCTTTCTCTTTTTATCGCTCTGGCCTGTTGGCATATTCCTAAAACACCAAGAGATCTGTCGCAGCCGACCTTTGTCACCTCATTTGTTCAAGACGACGACGAGAGCCGTCGCATCCATTCTCTTGGTTTCTTCTCAGCGCCTCCGAGCCTACCCCGTTCGTGTTTGTTGTACCACAAAGCTATTCGCGGCACCTTGGCACCTCGCCCCTATGCGCCACTGCCCCGAGTGCAGTCACGAACCTTGTTAAACGGCCGACGAGCTAGAAAATACATCTCATACAAGGATAATCTGCCGAAATAAATCAGTCATGGCTGCAAACGGTGCGCAGGACGGCTTCTCGCCGTCCGACGTCCTGGCTGCCGTGATGACGATGCGGAGTGGGGAGCAGGACGCAAAGAAGAAGGCACATGCCTATCTCGAGAGCTTTCAAAAATCTGTTTGTCGCCCATCAATCTTTACGAGGATATTCTGTGGGTACTAACATATCAGAAAACATCATGGGGTACCATTATTGGCATCCTGCAATCTAAGGCCGAGCCGGAAGCAATCTTGTTTGCTGCCATCACGCTTCGTGGAAAAGTAACCTTTCATCCTTGGCGATACGAATAGACTGCAAGCTCACAACTCACAGATAACGTATGATATCTCCACACAAGTTCCCGCGACCGAACTCCCAGCACTGCGAAACCAGATTCTTCTGCTCCTCAAGCAGTTTGCCGTTGGACCTAAGCCCATCCGTGTGCAGCTCTGTGTTTGCCTAGCCATTCTGGCCATCCAGATGAAGGATTGGAACGACGTCCTGCCGTCTGTGGTCCAGTCTCTCAGCGACAGCCCCGAGAGTCACGCTTGCATCCTCGATTTCTTGCGCGTCCTCCCCGAAGAAGTCACCGAGGGCCGAAAGATTACCTTGTCTGTACGTGGATTCTGCGACTCGACTCGACAATCAACTTCGACGACGTTCAATCGACCGGATGCCGTCAATTTCCAACTTAAAGTCTAATTAATCGTGGGATACAGGAAGATGATCTTGCGGACCGTTCAAAGGTGTTATTGGCCGACAATACTGATAGAGTTGTGCAACTGCTCATTAACTACTCACAATCTTCACGTTCGTGGTATGCAACCTGTAGATGCCAAAGAAGATGCTAACTTTACTATAGCTGCTGCTGCACGCAACCCTCAACTAATGGAATGCATCACATCCTGGCTGAGAGAGGTGCCTGTTGGCAGCATCATCAACTCTCCGCTGCTGGACGTTGTCTTCCACGGCGTCACGGCCGATGAATGCAGTCAAGAGGCCTCTGAGTGCCTCTGCGTCATGCTACGAGAAACGCGCGATGTCGACGAGAGCCAAGAAAACATACAGCTACTTTTCCCTCGCATCATCGGCTTGCAACCTCGCATCGCCATTGTAGCAGGTGAAGAGGATGCAGAGGCATTGAAGGCATTGACCAAGGTTCTAGCAACGGCTGCAGAGAGCTGGTCTGTTGCTATTGCGCGTCAACCCTCACACTTCCGACCACTTGTCGAGGCTGTTCTTGAGTGTGCCGCCCGAGACAAAGACCAAGACGTGATCGAACACACATTCCTCTTCTGGTACGAATTGAAGCAATATCTTGTACTCGAGCGTTACATCCAGAGCAGAGTTGAACTCGTCGATGTTTACTCTAAACTTGTCGATATTCTTCTCAAGCACCTCCAATATCCTCGACCGGAGTCTGGAAACGAGGCCGACCTTTTCGACGGTGACCGCGAACAGGAAGAGAAGTTTAGAGAATTCCGCCATCAGATGGGAGACACCCTGAAGGATGCCTGCGAAGTTATGGGTGTGACTGAATGCTTGACAAAGGTTCTCAATGCTATCCAAGTCTGGATGCAGAACCATGCAAGTCAAGTTAGTGATACAAATGTGCCGAATTGGCAAGAACTCGAGGCTCCATTGTTTGCAATGCGAGCCCTGGGACGTATAGTGGACCGCGAGGAAGAGATTGTGCTACCGCAGCTGATGCCACTGTTGGTTCAGATTCCAAACCACGAGAAGCTTAAGTTCGCCACTATTATGGTACTCGGGCGTTATACCGAGTGGACAGCTGTGCACCCAGAGTACCTGGAGCCTCAGTTCAACTATATTGTCAACTCCTTCCAGGCAGACTCCAAGGAAATTGTCCGAGCCGCTGCGTTGGCTATCAAGTTCTTTTGCACTGACTGCAGAAACCTGCTTAGTGGGCAGGTACTGCAGCTCCAGACCTTTTATGACCAGGTTCTTGACAAACTACCAAACCAAAGCAAGGAAGAGGTGACAGATGGTGTGTCCAGTGTGGTCGCTGTGCAGCCTGCCGACCAGACGTACACGCTGCTGAAGACATACTGCGATCCTCTCATCCAGCGTCTGATGGCCATGGCAAACCAAGCAACTGATAAGGAGAGCAAGATTGCTCTGGCTGGTAAGTAGCTTCTCAAGCCCACCCAACATGATTCTAACGTACTGCAGAACATCTTCAGCTCATCACGGTCTTTGTTCAAAATGTCACACCGGCAGTGAACCCTGGCGATGCTAACCCGGCTGTCAAGTACTGGCAAGAAGTTTTTCCTATTCTATCGACAGTTCTCGAAAACTTTTTGGACTTTAGCCCCATTTGCGAGAGAATCTGCCGCTGCTGGCGAAACATGATTGTGTCGTACCGCACTGCAATGGCACCTCTACTACCCGAGATGGCTAACAAACTGGCGAGCGGCTTCACGGCCTCTCGCGAAGGATGCTTCTTGTGGGTGACTGGTACCATTCTTCGCGAATTCTCCGAGGACCGTGACAGCGTGGACCAGGCGACGACCGAGAACATCTATAGTTTTTTCGAAGCACAAGCTACCGCGTTCCTGCGTGTCATGACGGAACTTCAGCCTGCAGACTTACCAGACGCTATCGACGACTTCTTCCGGCTCATGATCGATGCGCTCCTTTACTACCCACAAAAGCTTATCCCTTCCACATTGTTGGTCCCGATTTTCGAAGCAGCCATCTATGCACTGACGCTCGAGCAACGAGACCCGCTCGTTTCCACGCTGCACTATGTTCGCGATCTGTTGTCGTATGGCAGCAACAATCCGGCGACCAGCGAGGGGCTGCCGGAGGCTGCGGCACAGCATATCAAAGGCATCATCCTCAACATGCTGCAAAGTCATGGATTGGGCCTGGTGAAGCAGGTTATGGCCGGCATGATGCTCACTTTCCCACGAGACTGCTTCGCCGATGGCAGTGGCGTCCTCTTGGCCCTTTTTGAAATGATTCCTGGCCAGACGGCCGAGTGGGTCGCACAGACAATTCAACTGCTGCCCGAAGGTACGGTGAACGCAGCCGAAGCCAACAGACTGATGGCCAAGATTAAGGAGAGGCTGTCGACGGATGACGCCAGTAATCTCCGACATGTGCGTGTCTTGCTGCAGGATTTTACGAACTCGTACCGACGACGGAATGTGGCGCCGAGGGATGGGCTGGGACAGCTGGAGGCTAGGAGATTCCAGTTTTCAGGCTGATTTTACTCCACCCACTGCAATAAAAGGAGTGAGCGGAGTTGACTGATGGCACGTGTAAAGGCGGCTGGTGGATTAATTGGCATTTACAGGAGCGAGGTAATTTATACCATGGAACCGAACAAGGAAAGGTATTAGGAGCAACTGATTCAATTGTTGATATAGCATCTAGAGCGAGTATATGTGAGAAAAAGGCGACGATGAAAAGTTACTCATGGGATTGTGAGATGGAAATTCGCAAAGGCCGAGAGTATATATATATACATATATATAATTAGATGGAGAACGCATATGCCGACGTGCTCTCCCTACCTTAGCGCCTTAGCTCTACCACATTCCTACCCCAACTTGCTCGACTACGCGTGGCAGGTCGACGGCTGACTCTGAAAGTGCTACTGCTGGCTTTCTTCCTCCATATATGGATGAATTTGGTTGCATCTAGGACCACTGATGAAGGGCACACACAGACCGCGAAAACGGGCGGACGGGGCCGCTCCGTGGGTCCGTCCTCGGCATGGATGTTTTTAGTCACCGGGAACGCCACCCGGATCTCAGCTCGATAACGCAAAGGATTACACAGGGTGAGACAAGAAAAAGGAGCCATCGCCCGAGGTGTCTTGTGCCCAAACTTGCGGAGAAGAACAACTCAATGGCAACAGAAAAAGAAGCTATGGGAAGTCCAGCCGGCATCGCGCTGATCCCGTGGGACCCGGCCAGCCCTGGGCACGCCGACCGCATGAAGATACAGCGGCATGCGTGTGGCTGGGATGCCGACAAGGTGCCTTACTGGCAGAAGAAGGTCGCCGCCGGTGACAAGCTCCTCTTCTGGATCGTCCTGGAGCGAGGCGACATGGAAGACGCGCTGTTGTTGGCGGGGCGTGCGGCTGGCGCGGCCGAGGGGGAGCCCCTGAGGGACACGGCGGCGCAGGTGGGCAGGACGACGCGGACGGCAACGGGAGAAGCGTTTATTCCGATCGGACACATTGCATTGGACGAGTATCCGAAGAGGAACGTGCTGTTTGGGCTACCGATGGCGACGCTGTGGATCAAGTCGCTTTACATTTCCACGTGAGTTGTTTTTTTGTTCTTGTCTTTTCTGGTGCTCTCGCGAAGCTCTTGGAAATAAAAACTGACCAGGAACTTCTCTTCTCCACGGACAGAGCTATACAGTCGAGCGGTCTCGGGCGGAAGGCGATGGCGCAGGTCGAGACGATGGCGGCCGGGGCGCCGTTTCGCAGCGCGGCGCTGGCGCTGGACACGACGCACCCGGAATGGCACCGGCGCGAGGGGAGCCGCCGGCTCTACGGCACGGATGAGCCGCCGGCGGGGGCGCCGCCGATACACACCAACCACGCGTGGTACGCGCGGCAGGACTACTTGGACATGGCGTTGCCGGAGGCGGAGAAGGAGGAGGCGTGCGCGAGGGCGGAGGGGAGGGAGTCGTTGGGGTATTATAAGAATACAGACCCGGAGACGGGATTGGATGAGAGAATTCCGACGACGTACTTGTATAAGATGATTTGATGGGCAGGGTGCAGGCCGGGGCTGGGCAAATTTTGACAGGGTTTCGATAGAGTATTCTGAATATGAATCATGAAGAGTGTACTCCGTAGCATGGCTATCATCACTGAATAGGATGCGAGCAACAAAGACTTTTTGTCTATTTTGTACAGGTGGAGAAGTTTCAGTAAAGCTATGTATATATGCCAAAATGCCACAGAGAAATCAACAATCCGCGTGGTCTCACATCAATGTATCAATGTAGAAAAGCGCGCAGAGGAAGATGTGTCAAACGCCAGACAAATGCGAAGTGCCCACCCCTTCATCTTCGTTCCCATCATATCCATGTACAAATACAAATCTCTCTCGTCCGTCTTCTAGACTCGTCCGTCCAGGCAAGAACCGCGTACTCGCTTGCCGGCCCCCCTCCGCCTATCCATCATCATCATCGGTTGCCGTCGAGCGGGCGGTCCTTGGCCGGCATGCCGCCGATCCTCTCCTGCGCCGGCGCGGCCTTGCCCTTCTTCTCGGCGTCGCGCTGCCGCGACAAACGGACGTCCTCGGGCAGGCCCCACCAGTCGTGCATGAACTCCTCCTGGGCGGCGGCGACCTTGCTGCGGGCCTCGCGCTGGCGCTGGCGATCGAGGCGCATGGCGAACCACTCCTCGCGGGCGGCGTCGTGCTCGGCCTGGTTGGCGTGCAGCTTCATGCAGCCGTTCATGACGCGGTGCTCGGCGCGGCAGGCGAAGGAGACGGTGAAGGTGCGGCCGAGGGCGCACGCGGCAAAGGCTGGGGGGAGGGGCGGAAGAAATGTCAGTATATGGGGGGAAAGCTCTGAAGGGGGACGAGGGGGGAGAGAGGCGAACCTTTAATCTCCTCGGCGCATTGCTTGCGGACGCGCGCGTAGTAAATGTCGCGCACCTGCGACTCCTGCGAGGCGGAGAGCGGGAGAGGGTTGCGCGAGGGGACGCCCAAGCGCTCGGGGGGCGGCGTGGGCAGGTCGGAGGCTTGGCCGGCCATGATGGTGGCCATGCGATGGTGATGATGTTTCCGAAGGGTATTGGTCTCGTCGGGTTCTCGAGATGCGGAGGTCGGTTCGAATGGTGTGAATCGATTGGGTCGGGAGGTATCGGTAGAGTACGTGGAATGATTCGCCGACAAGTCTCACACCTCGGGGAATTTCGATCCCGGAATTTGCGAGAGGCAATTTCGTCAATGGCTGCCTTCGCCTTTGCCAAGTTTATCAGACCATCCAGACCCTGACACGGACAAGGCATGGGGGAGCTTTGGTCTCCAGACTGGGCGAGGTTCGGGCGGCAGTAATTTTCACACCGCCTGCCTCATTTGAGCAGCGTCCGACTTACACGAAGCGATGAAGTAAGTGATCGGTTCACTTTTGGCCGGTTCAGGAAATCTAGTTTAATTATTTTATTTTCAAGCAAAAATTAAACTTGCTTTTTTCCTTTGTCTAACATGGCTGAGGTGGCTCTGGTCATCTGACTGCGCCATTCTCTCGGCGCCTAGCATAGGTTATGAGGCTGAACTCTATATGTCCATCAGCTGTCACGTTCAGCTGTAACTACCGGGTTCTCCCATGAAGAAAGTAGTTGAACTAAAAAAAAAAACGTTTAAGAATAACACTGTCTTGAAACGGTATCAAATATTAATAATAGTTGCATATTCAGACTCGCAAAGTGGTATCAAAAGTAATCGTCGCCCCAAGCTCCTTAGAGCAATCCCAGTCTATAGCATAACATCACCCCCCTTGACCGCAAAATCCCCTGAATTAGAACATGCCGAGACTGTTTGTGTTTGGCAGAGTAGCGGAATGTTGTAGAGCGTTTACTGCTGGTGCTGGTGCTGCTGGGGAGTGACCTGGTTGGGGTCGTGAGGATATTGCTGCTGGTGCCCGGCGGCGACCTGAGGGGCCTGGTACTGGCCCTGAGCCTCGGCAGGCTGCTGGGGATACTGAGGGTACGCCTGCTGCTGGGGCTGCTGCTGGCCTTCGTACTGAGGCTGGGCGAACTGGGGGCCTTGCTGAGGCTGCTGGGCGGGCTGGGCCGTCTGTCCCTGGACCTTTTGCTCCTCCATGTTGTGGTCAGCGGCAGCGGTGGTGCTGGAAGAGCCAAAGGTGAAGCGGCCGTCCTTGCGACCGGCAAGGAAGCTCATGATGGTCCAGACGAGAGTAACAATGAAGAGGACCCTACGAGGAGACTTGGTAAGTACAGGAAAAAAAAGTTGGCAGGTTGGGTGGGTTGTGCAGACGGAGCGCCGCTGCAAAAAGCTCACCAGATGAAAGCGCCAATGGCGGCGACGCCAGCGAGGAGGCCAGACAGAGTGTTGTAGCTGGTGTAGCGGCGCTCGATGGAACGCTTTCGGTAGTCGTAGCAGACACCGTTGTAACAGAACTGGCCGCCGCCGCCGCCCCTGCCGATGCCGCCAATGGTTCCGAGCTGGGCGCGGCGGGCGGCGTTGAGGGCCCAGGTGGCCAGCCAGAGGATGACCATGAAGATGTCGAGGGCGATGACGGCGAAGATGCTGTAGGCGATGTTGGCTGCGCCGACCTTTTCGGTGACGAGGATGTACGCGACGGCGACCCAGGTCAAGACGGCCTACGCGGAGAAAGAGAAAGCATGTTAGTAGGAGGGAGGAGCGCCGTGGTCAAGGAGGAGTCGCATACGGCGGCGATGCCGAGGCTGGGAGCATCAAAGAGCACGTAGTCGGACCAGGCAGCGGCCATGCCAAGGACGATAATGGACAGGACGACCTGGGCGATGCGGATGCCAAAGAGCCAGACGGGACTGGCCAGCGTCCTGTGGGTGTTGACAGCTTGGCTGCTCATGATGTACGGTGGTGGTGGTGAGACGGTTGACCAAGATGAAGTGAGGAAAGGTAGTACAGATGGCGTTTGTGCTAAGAAAGAAAAGCTGTAGCTGTGAGACTTTGGGGTATCTTGGAGGAAGTGAAACGGAAAATGAAGGACTTTGGGGGCAGGTGATGAGCAAGAGAGACCGGACCAGGTCAACCTGAGCAGGGAGCTGAAGATCTTATATGTATGAGTAGGGATAGAAGTGGTAAAGCAGACCGCCAAGCTTGTTCCAGAGTTGGGCACATGGTTGAAAAATAAAAATAAAAATAAAAACAATAATAGAAGGGGGATAGAGAGCCGAGGGCGGAGCTTGCCAGCGAGCTGCTGCACCCCCTCCCCTCTCCCATGTCTATGTCTCTGTCTCTGTCTCTGGTGGTAACTGCTCGTCCTGATCTGGCTTCGTGTAAGCCCAAGGCTGAATTTATCCTGACTCTGGCAGCGGTCCAAAGCGGTTGCCGGCAGCGGAATGGGGCGCCCTGCTTGCTTTGGTTTAGCTGTCAAATTTTCGCTGGTAATTATAGCACTTCTCTCTCTGTGCCTTTCTCATCATCGGGAATGAATGCTAGCAGACAGACCCTTACAAAGCCACGAGAAAGCCCCCCCTCATTCAGCCGCACTGGGGCCTCGCGAGCACTGCCTGCTGCTGGGATCACGGTAAACAGTACACCTTGTGGGTTTCGCCTCGCCTCTTACAGGTTGGCGATGCCAGTTGGCTACGGCGCTAACAGCTCAGCTACAAGGCGCTGTGTCTTGTCTTGTCTGTCCGATGTGTCCGATGTGGACGGTCTCTGATAATCCATACTCCGTAATTCGCAGTGTTTTGTGCTTTTTTCTTTTATTAGACTTGCCTCGCGCGGCACACCGTCTGCCTCGCAGGGCAAGTTAACTAGTGTGACGGGCTAAATTTGTTACTCGGAATGACGCCCTCCGAGAAGTAGTTAGAACAAAGAGTTTGATGGATGCGGGTTGCCTCTTTCACATTGCGCGAGACTTGGCATCCGATCGTGGCGACGAGGCTGTTAGACACTGTGATAACAAGAACTGTTCATCTCGGGGTTGAAGAATAAGTTTGGAAACGTAGCTACACAGCCCGGTCCCCTGTCCCTACTGGAGGGGTGAATCACAGGCTCAAGACCACTCACTGAGTACGAATTGCAAGGCGTGTGTTATTACAGGGACTATCAGGCAGGCTCTAGACAGGTGAAGGACTAGCTAGGATGGACACCTTAGACTTAGACAGGGACACTCTTAAAAACAAACAATATGAACATTTCCTTGCGACAGGATGGACAACTTCATCAATTGTAAAGCAGCATTTCACAGCATTTCTTTGACTTGGGGGTCTTGTACTTACCAGCTTACCAGTCCTCAACTCCTTACACTGTACACACAAGAAAGAGTAGGCGTCTCAAAGCTCAAAGCTCCGTTTCGGCGAAGTGCCCCCTATGACGTTTATTGTTCAGCGCATCGCCTTTCGATTCAATCAGGAAATTCTTCTAATTTCGTGGCTTGTGGCTTGCACAGGCCCACCACCCACGCAAACCCTTTGTGTGAGTGCCGAAGCGGGCTTGGCTTCGAGGCTGTGTCTGGACTCTTACCAGTCAGTATCTACCAATCCATGCGATGCACTTGGCTGCATGCACAGCGACGGGTGCAGCTGGTGGCTGCTGCTGCTGCTGCTGCTGCTACATAGCCATGAAACTTGCAAGTAGAACATGTGGGAGTTGTGAGACAATGGTGCGCGCCCTTGCATAAAGCCTTGCTGGGGTGATGCAGGCGTTTCACAAACCTCGACCACGCGTTTAACCTCCTGTGCCTTTGTCGAGGTGTTTAAGAGTTGTCGTCAACCTACTTGACGGTGGTTGATAGGCGTGGATGGCAGCTCAGAAAGATGCAAATCTGGCGATATTATTCTAGCGTCATGTCGAGGCTGGCTTGACACGAGTGCGTACTATTATACTTTTTGTTCCTTCCAAGTCGCTCAAGGTCTCTGCGTTCTGAGAGCAAGTTTATGACTTCATCATGAATAAGCCAGTGTATTTATAGTCGTCGGCCTGGGTGACCGACCCTTTCGGCCCGCCTGGGCTAGCCCATCAACATCGAGCCAGCGCTTACAGTCGTACCACCGAAGATTCCTACATGTGCTCTTCTTTCAAATGATGTGACATTCATAACTTGGTCGCCTTCTATCGTAGGCAATAGGAAATCGAGGGCTCTTCTAGAGTGCTACATAATGTGGTTGTACAGCGACAGGATATCCGACCGTGAGCAATTCAAGTCTATAGTTGTACCCGGCTTGTGATGTTATGGTATCTTTTCAAGATGAGTACACCTACATTCTTTTCACCACCCTCAGCAAGACAAATGACGAGGAGTTATCAGAAGATGTGCAACTATAAGTATCAAACATACTGGAGTAAAATAAAGGAAGAGAATCCCGAGTCTCGTTTTCTTCTCTCATCACGCCAACTCTACATCCCTTACATCCTGCCAAGTTCTCTACCGTTTGTGAAACCGAACAGCAGTCTCAATGACCCATCATCCACAAGAGCGAATCGTCGAACATATGCCAGCTCTTCTTGATATATGGGCTGTGCGGGCATCTACTACCCGGCTTAAAAGCATACCGTTACCATCCCCCAATCCCCGCAGACTGCACGGAGGCCAGAAGGGGGACTCCTGCGGGTGAAGAAGTGCTTCGATGCAAGAAGCTCAAGATGGGGGAAGAACGACCCAATGACAGCTGCGGGGAGAGGAAGTGCCACATCAAGTACACTCTTCAGCAAAAGTCAGGCTGGCGTTGCTGCAAGTGTCAAAGACGAGCCACAGAGGGCAAAAAGGAAAAGAAGGATCAGAAGGGCAAAAAGGACAAAAAGGACAAAAAGAACAAAAAGAACAAGAAGAACAAAAAGAACAAAAAGGGCAAAAAGAATAGTGATGAAAGAGCAGGCAAGCACTGTTCGCATCGTTTCTGCACAAAATGCATCCCATACAAGAAAGGAGAGTGTCATGGTGCGGGAAAGGCCCTTGTTGCCAATAGAGATGCTCCTGAGGCTGAGGTTGGTAATGCTGCTGATGCTGAGGATGGTAATACCAAGGCTGGCTGAGTCGAGTGTCGGAGGAGGTGAACTATGTACAACATGGCCAACAGGATTAGCATAGTATATTAGCTTGTATTATTGATTTGATTTCCTGATTAAAGACTTTAATAAACCGAGTTTGCCTAAAAGCACTACAACAAGACGTGAGACCGAGACTATCTTGATGCTGACATCATTGTGTACCCGGATGGGTTTGACAAGACGACAAAGTCTTCCATCACTCACTCAATGGCTTCTTCCATTTCTTTGAGTTACTAGCAACAACCTTTACTGGTTGGGTCCGCCAATCAGAACCTTGATCACCTGGCCCTCCCTCACCTTTTTGAATGCCTCCTCTGCCTGGTCGAAATCCACCTCCTCCGACACCAGCTTCTTGACGTCCACCTTTCCGCTCGCCACTAGCTCGACCGCCAGCTCGTAGTCGCCGGGTCCGTACCGGAAGGACCCCTTGACCGTGACCTCCTTCAGGCACATGGCCATGATAGGGAACGTGATGTCCGCCTTGCCCATGCCGCCCTGGACGTACGTGCCGCCCGCGCGCACCGCGTGGATGCTCGTCTGGATCGACGGCTCCGCGCCGCTCGCGTCAATCACCACGTCCGCGCCCTCCTCGCCCAGTCCCGCCACCTGCTTCAGCGCCGCCGCGTTCTCCTCCGCGGACACCCTGCGCGACGCGTACGTGTGCGTCGCGCAGAACGCGGCCGCCAAGTCCAGCTTGGCCTGGACGATGTCGACGCTGACCACCGTGGTCGCGCCGTGCGCCCGCGCGACCGCCGCGCAGAGCAGGCCGACCGGCCCGGCGCCCATGACGACGACGGTCGCGGCGAAGACCATGGAGGCGCACAGGTTGTACTTGCCGGCGCGGCAGTGCGCGCACCGCCGGCAGCCGTGGCCGGGCTCGAGGGCGACACGGTCACCGGGCGCGAGGGTGGTGACGGCGGGGCCGACCTCGACGACGGTGCCGGAGGACTCGTGGCCGAGAACCATGGGCTGCGTGACGACGTAGTGCCCGATGGCCCCGTGCACGTAGTAGTGCACGTCACTGCCACAGATGCCTGTGTAGTTGACGGCGACGAGCACGTCGTGGGGGTCCTGGATGGTGGGCTTGGGCTGCTCGACATAGGAGACGTCAAGCGGCTTGTTGAGGATGAAAGAGCGATTCTGCTTTCCTGTTAGTTTTATTATTATTATTATTATTTGCAATATTATGTGAGTATATGTGGCTCACGCTGAGGCTCTCCTTGTCCAAGGTTTGGGTCGCCATTCTGACTGGAAGGGGGGGGGGGGGGCAAACGTTTACAACTGATGAGTGTATGCGTTTAGTTGACTGGTTGAAGAGGATGGAATATCAAAGATGAGCCTGCCTGAAATATCTACCCACAGAACAGCCTGCGGATTGAACTGCGATATCGCCACAGTATGGTGGTTTCGATTTGCCCCGCACGACTAGCTATTCAGCGGAGCTGTTGATGCGCACCAATCGTATTGTGTGAATCTCGGCTGCAGGGTCAACGCGATCCGGGAACTCGGACAACAACTTCCGCGAGCATTTGAAGATGAAGCTATCGACATGCCCCGGCGGCGGAGCTTCCAGACCTGGTCGTTCCGCCGCGCAAGCCACCAAGAAGTACGGAGAAGTGTCCGGCGGGGAGCCGGGTGCTCGGCGGCGATGATCATGGAGGGCTAAAAGGGCACGGCAAGTAAACATGTAGTTGACACCAAGTTGAAAAGAATTACAAATTTGACAAAGGCCGAGTATGACGGAAAGCAGCAAAACTCAGCTTTGAGCATCGGTCCGTGATCCCGCGATCCCTGCGAGGACTCCGCGACCCGACCCCAGCTAACAATAAGCGCCGCTGTTATGGGCACGGCTTATAGGCGATCTTAACTGTTAATCTGCCTTTTTCTTAAGTTTAATTTTTTTGTACGGCCCGATGGTTGCGCGAGAATTCGTAGTTCATTTATACATATTTGTATTAACCCTGTTGAAAAGAACAAGATATAGTCTAATGTACAGTCTTGTAGGTCCAAAATCATTCGAGGTTGTGTGTCGTGGTCAAATAAAATTCGCAAAATTGGCCAAAAATTAGTTCATTCGAGAATCAGCACCAAATAAATATCCAGCGCCGCGCTTATCGCATAAAGTAAGCCTGTTGCTCGGAGACGGACGAGTGTCTGCGGTGCGTGCTGTCCTGCGGGTAGTCGTGGGTGATCTCGGGAGGACCGAGGTGCTCGCGCATTTGACTGGGCGGAAATGTGCTAGCATCAGGCTCACCACTAAAGAAAGTGTTGGTTATTCATTAAACAAGTCTTGCGGCAAGGGTTTGCGACTTACGTTGGGGTGGGAGACTTGCTGGCCCGGCGCCGCTGTGTCTCAGCGTTCTGCGTGGAGAAGCTGGAAAGCTTGGAGGTATCAACGGTTTGTTGGTTCGAAGACATTTTGAGAGGTGCAAGTGAAGGTGGTGTGGAAAGAAGTTGCAATATGGTGGCTACTGTTGCTGCAGTTGTGAGTTGTGAGTGCAGTTTTAAGATATGAGTGCAGCGTTGATTTATGCGTTGTGCTGTTGAGAAGAGACTTGTTTTGCCGGATAAAGGTGTCTCTGATCAGGGGGCAAGACGGCCTTTATATAGACCTCGGAAGTCGACTTTCAAGATAAGAATATGTATTGCCAAGAGCAATGCCTTTGGATGCGTCGGAGGCCGCTACTGTCAACGCAGTCGGTGACCACAACTACATCGTCATCATGTGGGGAGCGTGCCAAGGGTTCGCATGTCCGGTTCCCAACTGCCGTCCAATCTCACCAGATTTGGTTCTGACTCGAAGATGGAGAACTGGGTCCGGATCTTGGCGTGTGGTGGCGGATGAAGTTTAAGATTTGCTTAGGCGAGCGCTTGCTTGGCGATGACGCACGTGAGGCACGACGGCCTATCCGGCATCCACGGCTCGATAAAAGCATCTATATTATCGAGGGAAAAAAAACTGTTTCGAAAACTGTTTCAACACCGATTCGTTGATAATATACACTGCTGCAGTTGTTGTTTCGTGGTGCTCTACTCCTCTGCACTGGGGAACGTGGAGAAGATGTGACGTTGACCGTTGACGTAACTGGAGAATGGCTGGTGGGCAGTGCCAAGAGAAGAACAGAGTGGCTTGAGAGGATGATTTGGAGGGCATTTTCTTCTGTGATATTCTCCCTTATTCTTCCCACGGGGACCGCCGGCAAAACATCGATGCACTGCCAGCACTCTAGTGCTTGGCGTGGTGGCGGTGCGATGAGGCTGGGGCAATGCAGCAAAGAGGAACCGTTGATTAGAGATCGATGCATTATACCGTGATTGTGCAGGGAAACGCACCTCAGAGATGCAGATTATTCAGATTGTATACCCGTTTTGCTTTCCCGCGGTTGGATGGTGAGTAGCCATGTGGCTAGGCTGCTAGTCTCGCATGTGAATACTGCAAAGCTGCGTTTGCTAGGCTACATAGGTAGCTTCTCAGGCAGCCACACCAACTTGCTTCTCACGTCGACATCGTCATTAGCATCACCCAAAAAACACCATCCACCAAACACGGTCATTTGCCACTATAGATTCCTCATTGTGACCTCTCCTTTGTTATCGCCACAGACCATCCCGGGTACGTTCGTTGACGTGCTACAGCTCCACCGGCGCTCAAAGGTAGCCGCAATCGCGGGTCCTGTTTGCATCATCTCAAGTCGACTCCGCCCGTTCGGCCCCAACAGCAGGCCAGTCGCAGCACCGCGAGAATACAAGCACGGCGCGATCGGCCGTCCATCTCTAACCTTGCCATCGGCCACTCTTTTTCCTTATTGCCCTGATACACCCACTGCTGGCCCCCTCTGAAGCCACCCACGCGAGCAGCCGCGCTCAGTTCCGCCGCCGCCCAAAGCTTCCCTCCGCATTGGCCATAGAGGACCACCTCATGATTTCGCGCATCTCCCAGGTGGCCAGACACCTCGCAGTAGCCTCCATTTCTGTAACCCCGATTTTATCCTTTCGTTCGCGTCCTCATCTTGGTGGCATTGTCGCAATGGCTTCTGCCGCGGAGCGTCAGCGTCGCACGATTCAGACGGCCGCGTGCCTCATCATCGGCGATGAGGTTCTTGGTGGAAAGGTACGGTTGCTTGCCTGATTTTGCGATTTTCATGATTTTGCGATTTTCATGTATGGGATTGAATTCTGAGCTGACCCCTGATTGTCATAGACAGTAGACGTATGTTGCCATTGCTCGCGCATATATCCCTCGCTTACGCCTTGATAGACAAATTCGACGTACCTGGCTAAATGGTGCTTTCAACTCGGACTTGTATGTCTTGATACGACTACCTTCTAAAAATCACCACCACTGACTTTTCGTAGCGATTGAAAAAGATTGAAGTTGTTGAAGACGATGAGGATGACATCATTGATGCTGTCCGCCGTCTCAGCACCAACTATGACTTTGTTGTCACCAGGTATGTTTTCCCATAGCAGCAGAGCTGGACAATTCATGCTGACATGTACATAGCGGTGGTATTGGACCTACGTAAGCTACTCGCACCAAAACAGTTTCAATGCCAATTCTAACCTGCCCAGCCACGATGACATCACCTACCAGTCAATCGCCAAGGCCTTCGACTTGCCCCTTAAGCTTCACGATGAGGCGTTCAAGAAAATGAAGCTTCTCTCCAAACCACATCCGTCGCAACCCAACTTCAACTGGGAGGTGGACTCGCCGGACCTGCGCGCCAAGCTGCGCATGGTGTACCTCCCCACGGACGAGTCGCGACCTTTGACGGACCAGTTTCTCTTTACCAGCGAGGATCTGTGGGTGCCAGTCTCGGTAGTCAATGGCAATGTGCATATCCTGCCTGGAATCCCCCGTCTTTGTACGCCATTTAGTGAAAGAATCACGCCGAGATAAGACACGCCACGCTGACAATGAACGCACTTTGATAGTCACGACATTGCTGGACGGAATCAGGCCACATATTCTCCCCCGACTTGTCGATCCGGAAGGCAAGGGAAGCTACCGAGTCGTCATTCAGACACCGTATGCCGAAAGCAAAGTCGCAGCCTACCTGACCGACCTTGCAGGCCGCGTCGAGCCCAAGGGCGTCAAGGTGGGTAGCTACCCTCATTGGGACAGAAAGTACAACACCGTGACCCTTGTAGGAAAGTAAGTAACTTCCCGTTTGTCCACTACCGGCAGATGAATGCGGGGTCGAAGCAGCACTGACGGCATCTTTTTAGGAACCAAGCGCTCCTGGAAAGCCTGGTGGATGAGGTGGTTAAGAATGTCGAAGGGAAGCGGGTGTTCAAGCCCGAGGACATTGAAGGCGGGCCATTGAGGGAAAGCAAGGCCTAGAAGGCCAGTGCTCCGATCCGATTTAGATGACTGCCCAAAAGCCTAAGCGAAGATGAATCCCACACTTTTTCCACACCTCTCTCTCGGGCAGTTCGTCCAAGTTACGGCAGACACGCTTGTGATCCGCCGTCCGCACATATGGACTGGCGGACCTGATGAACGAGACAAGGCTTGCGTATGACTACTGATTGCGTTAGCGTATCGCCCTATAATTGGCTGGATGTAACGGCCCAGGCACGGCTCGTACGCATTGACTGATAATTGGCAAACACCCGTGCCTCCCGGAGCCTGCCCCCGAGCCCGCGACCCTACGGTGCCGCATTTGGGCCGCGAGCTCTGCCCATTCCGTGCTTTTACATCATAGCCCATCCAGACGATGGCCTTGCATTCAGGCCTTGCGGGATAGTTGCTGACAAGATCATCACGCACGATGTAGGTGGGCACATACACATGTGTGCTGTTGCCTCGGGTCGGCTCGTGGGGGGAGGGAGAGGGTGTTATTCTCTTTTTTTCGCCCCCCATGTGCTGTGCCTTGCAACGCGGTCGTCCAGCAGCAAGGCACGGGAAAACGCAAGCCATGTCAGGCAGACCTGCAGCGGGACAAGGCCAGCCGTTCCCGTCCCAATACTCGGAAAAGCAGGTCCCGTTCTGCGGAAGCTTTGCTGTTTCGGAGGGGTAACTGCCGCTTGGGGGCCGGGAAACGAAACGACAGCCGCGGCAGAAGCGGTGAGCTTGTGGCTTATTATTACTTGGCTGGCTTGTTTTATAGTGTGAAGAGGATACCCGTGACGTTGGGGAGGGGGGCGTCGTGGGGAGGGCCCGTCCTTGCCGACTAGAACAATCGCATGATTATTGCCGTAGCACAAGCGAGTTGCGCGCGCTCAGACGGGTTATCTGTGGCCCGCACTTAGCTGCCTGGCTGGGGAGAGCTTTCTTTGCAGCTGCTCATCGGGTCGTTGAAGAAAAAGGATCGCAGGTGACGTCCACGAGCAACGTTGACTAACGCTGCTTTTGGCATATGGCTCCGTGAGGATGAAATTACTGGGTGGCATTCTCGGGCTGCCCCCGGCTGACCTAGCTCCAGAAGGCAAGGAAACAAAACACAAGTCACAGACTCGTGGGCGAAACAGATTGTTCTCACCAGTCAGTTGGAGCCAGCAATGTCCAGGGTCTTGAAGCCTGACCCGCACCAACCGAATTCTAGAATGATTGAGTCCTCCGTCGCGGGTCTCTAGTAACAACTATCAGCCAGTAGGCACTCTGGGTTGTTGCATCAAATTTCCCGGCTGAGCAGTGCTTTTTGGGCCACCGATCTTCCCATTGGACTGGGGGGGGGGGGGGAGTCAGGGACAACGACGATAGTTTCTTTCTTGCCGTCATGGGTTTTGTCCTTCTCCATTTCTTCGTTGATCAGGTGAAAGATGCTTGCGGATTAATACACACGAATGAGCCTCTCATCAAGGTTGCAAGACAATGTGGGCTCTGTCAAAGCGCAATCGATACTCGCAAAGCGTCGCTGTCACCTCGGCAAGAGCTGACCTGAATCGCTGCCCGAGATCGTGAAGTGGGTTCCCCAATTGTTCAATTCCGCTTCTTGCTGCTCTCTTGGTGCATCTACATGATGCAGTAAGCGGAAACCCACACCATCCAGATGGCATGCATCTGCAGGCCGCTGTGCCTGCAGAAATAATCCCATCGATCCTTGCCGGGTGGGCTATGGCGAAGATGTCAACTAGTTAGTTAGTTAGTGAGCTAGCTAGCTTGCACGTGTTGCCGTTCTCCTTGATTGTACAATAGGATGTCCATTGCAATCTGTAAATCAATACAAGTTGCTTTGTGCCTGGAACAAATCTGTACCTGTGGTGGTAATGGGCTCCGCCCTGACTTGGCTGAAGCGGCGCGCGCAGTATCGTACCTCGGACATAAAAAGCACACAAGGCTACAGTATGGAATGATAGGCGAGCCATCTCGGCCGACAGCTTGCTCTTGACCGTTCAATGGTTCGAAATCTGCGCTGAAGTGGCTGCGGGCGGCGCGCGACGCCATGAACACCGCGAGGCTGTTGCGTAACATCAGGAGGAAGACCCCGGGGCAAACAACAGGAGAGCGCTATTTCAGAAGCCGGGAACCCAAGCTTACTATTAATATAGAGTAGTGATTAATATACGATACAACTGCAACTAAACGTTACTGATAGCAGAATCGTTGCCCGATGGCCTGCTGCGGGCTCCCCTCGTCACCCAACTGTGGGGAGGCGCGACAAGGACGAAATTGGATGGCGACGGCAATGGCGTTACTAGAAAGCTATGGCCGATAGTTGACCTGTGTGTGGCACTTTTTTAGGCTTGGGTCCCCGGGGACCCTGACTGGGCTCAAGATAGGGGGGAAGAACCAAAGGGGAGATGAGAGCGGCGCACGGGGGGAGAGGGAGCGAGGGAGTTTGGCGCGCGTGACCGGTGTACCAAAGCAGCGGGAAGCAGTATGACTCTTTCTTTGCTGGATAACTATCACAAACTTGCTTCTTATTATACGGGGGCGGGACGTTGCGCGGGCAGTTAGTTAGCCAGTTTGTGCGCGCCGCGGCAAGCGACACAGGAACAATAGTTACCAGCAAGTAAAAGTACGGAGTACAGATACGGAGTACAGATTAAAAGAACCGTTTGAGCCAGTCCAAGACAGACCGGGATATCACGTTGTCACAATCCAAGTGGCTTCATCCCAAACATGGTAAAAGTCGCACAAGGGCAAGTGGCGGCTGTTTCGAGGCGTTGTGGCGGCGCCAATGATGGGGAGCAGATTGCATGGTCGCGAAAGAACACTTCTTGATTTCTTTTTGTGGTGTTTTTTGTTTTCCTTTTTGTTTCTTCCTTTTCTTCTTTTTCATGGACCGGTGGACGCGTAGCTTGGCTTGGTTACATGACACCGAAAAAAGGAAGCAAACTATAAAGCTGATGCAGTGTGACGTGCAGCAAAGTTTGGACGGCGCGATGTGTTTCGCGTAACCACTGATCAGTGACTAATAATATGTAAGGGGACAAAAAGACGAGTAACAGGTAAGCCCCTAAGTAGTTAGATGGAAATGGCCCTGGCATGTTATCACGCAGGCCCTGGTGAAGAGGAGCATGGCTGGTGGCCTATGCTCTTTGAGCCGTCGTTGGGCATCGGCGTACGGTTGCAGGGCTCTTCTGGAATGTATTACAAGTCATGGCGAACTGGGTGACCGAGCAAGAAACCCTGTTGACCGAGCGAATGACAGAGGACGTCGCCAGCGTTGTGGCTCAAGGCTGACCCTCCCCAGAGATTGCTATTTGGTGGATGGAGGGGCGAACCAGGACAAGGGCCGCCATCTACAATGCCCATTTGAGAATGGAAGCGTGACACAGGACGAAACGGGGGGCGCAGAGATAGATGAATTGATGCAGAGAGTCAAAATGAAATGTAGCCGCGATTCTACGCGGAGACGTCTCACGAGAGACAAGAGCTGAACGGACGGAGCAGATTGTCCAAACAGAGAGGAGAAAATCGTTGCCGCTGCAGCCTTGGTCGTAGAACAGTGAGCTGATGAGTTTTCGGCAGTGATTCACATTGGCTCCGTAGATAGCATGACACTCACAGCAGACCGTAGTCAACGCCATGTAATACATTGTGTGGCCAAGGTAGGGGAGTTGCAAGAGGGATAAGAGAGCTTGTCACAATAACGAGAGGGATGCAAGACAACATGTGTGCCTGGGTGTAAAGGTTGCTGTCATGTACGGTGACGTCGAGATGGTTGACAGCCGACCACGGCACTCAACTACCAGTAACTACTCCTGGGCAGCAACAGGATGTTCGTGCCACATGGCACTATATCAGAAATAAGCAAAGCCCGCACGTTCATCTAGCCAATTTGTTTAAAAGAAGCAAAGAAGCAGCAGCATGCACGGGGCCGGGGCCGAGGCGGAGGCGCTGGCCAAGCAAGGTCTTGTGCCTAAAAGGGGGGGTAAGCGCCGATCGAGAGGAAGCTATTTCATGCTGGAAGGGACGAAAAAGGGAAGCTACTAGGTAGCTACGGAGTACGTACTGTACGGATAGTTACGGAGCAGATATCACAATGGCATTATTGTTTTAGCGTACGCGGCGGAAACACTACCCAGTACCAAGTAAAATTTTGTTGTTTCTTGGTGTTGCGAATAGAGAGGAGGGAAGGGGGGCGGAACGGACGTCGGTCGAGTACTTTTGGGGCCGCGGGGGAGCAGGCGCAGGAGCAGGTACCTCTTGGAGGCTTTGTTCGGCCCCACCGGCCGGTGGTGGGTTCCAACAAACTATGGGGCGCGCAAATGGCTTGCAGGCTGCGGGTTGGGAGCGTTTTGGGGGTTGGAATGGAGTGATTGATTGCATGTGCAATGAGGCAAAGTCTTTGCGCAATTGGACGAAACCTGGTGATGATTCACTGTGTCGATGGGCATTGAGGAGATGATTGCGAGAGGGAGAAACGTGTAAGAGGATGAAGAGGAAGAGACGGACGAGAAGGCTGGCTAAAGACCTCCGGAATGCACTTGCGCCCAAGTCCCCGGGATCGAAGGCTGTGTGAATGTGTTGTGTGGGCAGCGACACGAATGAGATATACGAGATGTGAGATGCGAGAGATGCAAGTTTGAACATGGGAAACATGATTATCACGAGGTTTGTCGAACGTGGTAGACAAAGCAAACTTTTTATGCCCATTCTTCTTTGGTTGGTCCTCGGCAGAAGCCTGGGTGGAAGCCCCTAAAAAAGCTTCTCTGACCGGGCCCTCTCCATGTTCCGTAGCCTTCCTGGGCCGAGCGAGCGACCAACCAACCACCTCCACAAAGTGGGCAGCCGACAAGGAGGAGAAGCAAAAAAATAAAAAGAAGGTCCCGGCGTGCTCTATTTTATCCACTCTTTTAGTTCTGTGATATCCACCGGCAACACTGGGACGAGAAGGAAGAGGTGAAGAGGTGCGTCCAAGGATCCAAGCACACCAAGGAGAGGAGGATTGATGTGGTATGGTGTGGCGGGTGGCTGACTGTTAGTGGGACTTTACAGAGGGTGAGCCGCTGGAGGGACCTTTTGTCTTGAGAGGGATCGCAGTCGCTAAAAGGCGCTACAGCTGCTTGCTCTTGCCTGCACCTGATGCCGTTTTCTTTCTTCTTTGACCTGCTTCTTTCGGACCTCTTGCCTTTCGCGTCTACAACAATGCCAGCCTCGTCAGCAATGGTGTAGAGCGCCGTGATGCCATTGGCACGCTGCCACCATCGAAACAATCTGCGATGTCCAGAAACACGCGCTGCCCACCCCAGACAGGGGACCTAAATCAGTTGGCCCAGGCACCGCCTAAACCCCACTGGATCATGGGTTTCCAGCGGCCGGGTGCCCCTAAAAGTCCTCCCAAAGTACCCAAACGTACCGGCCTCCTCTTTTTCACAGAGTGCCAGCCTGCTAAAATACCTGCTGAGTGCCTGAAAATACCTGACCACTGCCTTCGAATCACTCTAGCGCTCCCCTTAAAACCTCTGCTACCCATACCAACCCCCATCCATTAAGTAGGTGGTTAGTACCTTGTCGACCTCGTCCGCCTACAAACTCCCCCTCCTTACCAACTCCCGCTCTCCCAATTCCTTCGACAACCACTTTTTCCTTTCCATTCCACTGGGTTTAGTTATCCTCTTTTCCCCCCTTCTACTCCCCCCATTCCACATCCCAGCGCCATTTCAACCACACATCGCCTGTTGCCTCGTTTTCCCTTTACCCTCGTCGTCTCCTTTGCCGCATCTCCTCCGCGCCTCACCTTCCTCCCCCGAATTGAACCCTCCGACGCACCCAATCGAGCCCCCCTCGCGTCCCATCCGTCAGGCTCGACCGTTTTCCAATCCAATACCAGAAAGGCGCGAGTCAATTTTCACCCGACGACCCCACGATCATTCGCGACCCGCAGCAGCTGTCCTTCCTCTCCCGACAACCATCACCTCGCTGTTCGACTTCCCAGTCGCTGCAATGGCTTCCGCTACAAAGGTGCGATTTTCTCCCACACGTCGCCTTGATGCTTCATTTCTGCCCATGCCGTGCTTGCACATACCATCGGCTTGCGATTCCCTCGTTATCTCCTTGTCACTCTCCAGCTGCCAGCTACGCCTCAGCTATCCGACCAAATGAACGCCTCAGCGCCACCACGTTGCTAACATTTGCCCACTTGACAGTTTATGCGAGAGTACAAACTCGTTGTTGTCGGTGGCGGTGGTGTCGGTAAATCTTGCCTGACCATCCAATTGATTCAGAGCCACTTTGTGGACGAGTACGATCCTACAATCGAAGGTACCTCGCGCAACCTCCTTGCTATCCTACCATCTCGGCCATCGAGCGTTTGTCGCGCTGACTACCTGATCCATCACTAGATTCCTATCGCAAGCAGTGTGTCATTGACGATGAGGTCGCCCTTCTCGATGTTCTGGATACCGCTGGCCAAGAAGAGTATAGTGCCATGCGAGAGCAGTATATGCGAACGGGCGAGGGTTTCCTGCTTGTCTACTCCATCACCTCCCGCCAGAGCTTCGAGGAAATCACCACATTCCAGCAACAAATTCTGAGAGTCAAGGACAAGGACTACTTCCCAATGGTCGTCGTTGGCAACAAGTGCGATCTTGAGGGCGAGCGTGAAGTCTTTAGACATGGTACGTTGGCGTCGCCGCTCCCCTTCTCCCCCATAGTCCCGCCTCACTTGCTAACACGTCCGTGCGCAAATTCAGAGGGTGAGGCCCTGGCTAGATCGTTTAACTGCAAGTTCATCGAGACATCCGCCAAATCGAGAATCAACGTCGACCAGGCCTTTTACGACATTGTCCGTGAGATTCGCCGCTTCAACCGCGAAATGCAAGGCTACTCCACCGGCAGCGGAGGCGGCTCTGGCCTGAACGGTCCCCCTAAGCAGATGGATATCGACGACGGCGGACGGGAGGCTGGATGCTGCGCCAAGTGCATCATCATGTGAGGAGCCTGTATCATCGACGAGTGGCGGTTGAACGTGAGGGCACTGCACGACACGACTTCGACAGAGAGACGTCTCACAGCTTTAAGATGAAGGGATTGAAAAAGAAAAAAAAGAACATTGCAACAACGCCACACGCTCACAGCAGTCGTGACTGGCTGTGCTTGGTGGCAATGATGTGTGGTTGCACCACAAACACAGCGATTCATTAGCATCGGATGGGGAGTCGGACTCTTTACTGGCCAAGACTTGGCCACCTTCATTTCCTGTTTCTATTTCCGGTCTTTTTAATGTCTCACGTTTTTGAACAAGCGGACTCGCACGCGGCATATTCGTTCTCATGTTGGATGGGCTCATCATGGACATGATTGTCAGACTTGGCCTCACGGATGCGAACTGCCTAGGCATTTCGAACGGCTTGCATCGGGTATTCGAGAATCACTAAGACGACACAGTTGAGGACGACGAGGATGGGCTTTTTTTCTTAGCACGACGAATTCTTTCGACCCGGACAGATACAAGCGGAGAGAACCTTGCAAAGGGTGGATTTGTCTGCAAGATTGGCCGTTTTTCAGAATGTCCAACTTGCTCGCTTCGGACGCCCTACACGCAAATCAGCTTCCATCCATACCCACCGTCCATTTTTCTTCAGTACATGTTGTTTTCTCCGCCCTTTTCTCTCTCCAATTTTCTCCGATTCTCTTTTTTCTTTTCTCTTCTCGGAATGTCCATGTGGGTCGACTATTGTGTTTTACTGTTCATTATATCCATACTTCTCAAAATGGCTGTTGTAATTTGACCGTTATACAAACTTTCTCTGTTTACCGCTTTGCTCTTGATGGGCGACTTTGTTCTTGATGGGCGACTTTGTTCTTGATGGGCGACTTTGCTCACGGGAAACTTGACGTGCGATGATGCGCTCTGGCCAAATTAGTAAACATGCATGAAATTGAGCTTGCGCCTACCCAGCCTGAGCAACTTGTCCTCTCTACTACTGCCGAAGCTCACTCTCCCCAGACTCGAACCTGCCGACTGCCCATCGTGGGATCCCGATCTAATACTCTGAAACGATGTTTCTAAGCCTTGTATGTTCTTGAACGCCTTGGAAAGGAACCGATCGCGATGTCCCGTCAGTCAATCCACCTGTGCGCCGTCGAACCCCATGAAAAATCAATCAGCTATAAAGTTTGCCATCCAGTCCATGCAAAACCGCTCAAATGCGCAAACTACAATCCGAACCGCTAGTCCATCGAACGCCAAAAGTGAGGGCCACAGCTAAAAAGGTGACAGGCCAGAAGCTCCGAGGGGCGACTCATCGGCATCATGTGGGCCAACGCCGCTGAGCGACGCAGGCAATGGGTTGAACCATGACTGCCAGCCATCCACAAGCTCCGAGCTGGCCTGATTCATCACCCACGCTCCGCATGCGAGGCATACCCATGAATGCAGCTGCACGGGAGATGGCATGAGTCCCGTAGCGGCCTCCTGTTGCTCGCGCTGCAGCGTTACCTCCGCAGGATACTCAAAGCAGCCAGCGCACCTGTCATGCTGCCCTGCCCGCATCCGCCAATCCCGCACGGTCGCGGCGTGGCTCAGCACGGCCTTTGCGTTCTCGATACGGTGGAACTGGCACTGCCGCGTCTGAAACAGCTTGACGCCGCACGCACAGCCCGTTAGCGGCCGGGCCCTGTTGAAGAACGCGACGAAGCCGCGCCCATCCGGCGCTGCCAGGAACAAGGGAGCGTTCTCGTCGGCCAGCATCGTGGCTTGCGGCAACATCGATGACGACAGGAACGAAGGAAAGCTGCCGTAGACCGTGTTGACGCCGGATGTACACATCCCCAGCATCCCTTCAATGCTTACCCCAGCGCGTGTTGTGCAGTTGTCGCACAGATAGCTTCGCATGGCCAGCACTTCGGCGGCCGTGAGCGGAGCATACCGGGGGTCCACCAGGAGCTGGGTGCTGTGCTGGGCGCACGCGTTGCAGACGTGGCTGTGAGAGCTGGCTTGCTGATGATGTACGTCTTGGCATACGTCTGAGAGACGCACGGCGGCGCTGCAGTGAAAGTCCGAGATTTGGTCAATGTCGATATGGCACTCCACGCAGCGCAGATATCCGGAAGCCGTACTGGGATCTCTTGGACCGGGCTCTGGAAGGGAGTGCAGCACATCTATGACGGGGTTGTCTATCACCAGGTGCGTTGTGAATGGCTGCCGCAGAAGTATGCTCCTGGTGTTGTCCCGAAACCCAAGCCTCTCTCTGGTAAACTCGTGCAGGGGGTTGCGATGCTCCCAACGCGTGACGGCCCCGTGCGGACCGACACTAGTCATTATGGGAGGGCCGGCTGGAGCCTCTGGCTCCGCAGAATGGGCCGGTGTTGCCTGGAGCGGGTTGTGCACTGGCGCCTGTTGCACGGGCGGCCCGACAGCATCGGTCGGCGCCAGCGGCCAACTGGCCGGAACCTGCCCAGAGTCGGAGAAGCTCTGCAGACTTGGGTCGGGCGAGTCACTGTCAGCGTCGGGTGTACTCATTTCGGGCGCGGGAACGAGATGTGCGGGCAATGTCGTGGTATGGCCTAGCAATGTGTTGTCCTGCGGCAAAATGGAAGATGGGTGGCGGAAGGGGACGGAGGGGTGGTCCGGCTCCCCAGAGACAGGATCCCGGATAAGGAGAGCAGGATCGATGTGCGTTTGAGCAACTTCCTGCGCGCCGGTGTCCGTAGCACCTTCGTCGTCGGCAGCATCGGCAGCTGTGCCTTCCGTGGGTTGGCCGGAGCGAGCCACGGCCCCGGCTGCCTGCATCGTCTGTTGCACTGTCAGTCCTGCTGGCGGTGGTAAGACGGACGCATTGCCGGTGTCGTCGCCTTGACCTCCCTGCCCGAGCTGAGGTGCGGCGCGATCCTCACTCTCGGCACTGTCTTCCTGTTCCTCGCTTTCCTCGTCATCTTCATCCATATCTTCTTCAGACAACATTGCCACCACAGGCAAGGCTTGGATGACTCTGACGATTTCCCTAGAAACAAAGTTAGGGTTTTCACCCACCGCTGCAGCGATATCGGCCGCCGTAGGAGGATTGTCCGTTCCAGCCGGCGTGTCAAACCCGAACATAGCCTTTTTTAACGTGGCATGTTCTTGTTCCTCCGCAAAATTGTCCAGCGTGTTCATCAGGAAAGAATCCGACCAGACCTCGTTGATCATGGCTGCGATGTCGTCGGCCGTCAACTGGCTGGCTGATTTGCTGGCGAGGGGGGTGCCCGGTGCCGCGTGCGGTGGTGTGGACCGCGGGATGAGGGCTTCACGTTGCCGCGAGATCTCCCGGATGAGTGAGCCCTCGTGGAAAGAGATGGATGGCATCACATAGGCCTCAGCCACGGGGCCGATCCAGTGCTCCATGCGCGAGCCATCCTTAACGTCGTCGACGCCGTTGGCACCGTAGCCGTGGGCAAGGTAGTACAATGGACCGGGCCGAGGATGCAGACGCCCATGCAGGCAGTTGGCCATGCGCTTCTTTCCTGCTGCCGTGGTCAGGAAGGCATTTTCGCAGAGGTGAGGCTCTCCCGCGTGGGTGCAGGAGTCGCACGGCCGCTGCCTGTCGCAGTTTCTGCCCGTCTCCACGCAGCGTCTGCAGGCGGTAAAGGGCAGAAAGCTCCCGAAGCCAACCTGGGACAGGTCAAAGATGGGGTACACGGTACCCTCGTGGTCGACGCAGTCGAGGCCCATGGCCGTGCAGCGGCCACACGCTGAGTAGGGGGTGGCGATGGAGGCGCGGCAGTGGTTGCTGTCGCGACGACAGCTCAGACACGCCTTGCGCCAGACGGTGCTGGGACGCAGCTCGGCCCATCCAAAGGCGATGAAGCTGCGCGGGCGCCAGTTCTCCGGCATGCTGATGGCCTCCGGCATGGACGCGATCATCCCTGACGCGAGGCAGACGAGGTTGTTTGCATGACAGCGGTCGCAGGGCTCCCTCCAGGTTGTGTGGTCGGCGAGCCATGAGCACTGAGCCGTGCCGCCGATGCGGCGGCCCGCGGTGAGCTGCGCGCATCCGTCGCAGGCGTGGCGGAACCAACGGTGCACGCCCTGGCGTAGGTTCGGCTTGTTGTCCATCAAGCGGCCGTCGGCGAGGTGACAATTATCGACGGCCTTGCAGCGTGAGCACTGGTAGCCGAGGATGGGGTCGACGTCGCACGCTGCCATCCGGCCGTCGGCGGCGCACTTGACGCAGCACGTGCTGGCATCGCCGACCGGCAGACCGGTTACCGGGCTGGGCGCGTGCTCGTACCGCGGCGGGTGGTGCTCCGAGTACTTGCGGTAGAGTAGCGCCTTGCGCGGCACCTGGCACACGTGTTGCGCCGCCGCGACCGGGTGAAGCGCCCGGTAGTCGGCGCAGTTGGTGCACTCGAGCGGGTACGGCCCGTCAGACCAGTCGCACGCGCGCTGCTCATGCATGACCTTGCCGGTGGCATCGTCGCTGCAAAAGCTGCAGATGCGTTGCGTCGGGGGACGCCGGCCAGGCGTGCTCTTCGAAGGGCGTTGCGCCTTCGGGCGACCGCCGCGTCTGCGGGTGAGTGCAGCGCTGGAGGTTTCCATCGTCAAGCGGTCCGAGTCAAGAAGTGGAAAGGAGCAAGAGAAAGAAGAGAGTAGAGATCAAGAAGAGCAAGGGAAACGGTGATGAGGCTCGGCAGCAAATTCGAAAGCGATCTCGTGAAAGTTCTTGTGTTGAAGTTCGTGAGAGACATCGTTCGCGAAGGCGAGAAGGGCGCTCGCGGCCGTTTAAATGACCACGAGCGCCCATGATGAAGTTACTGGTAGTTGAATACGGGGTCGTGAAAGCCATGAGATGGCGCTGGTTGTGAAGGATGAGGATGGATTGAATGAAGGTTGGTGGCGATGATGGCGGAAGTGAAGGCATTCTTATACCTGCAGTCATTGCACCGGACCTCGTATACGAGGTTGCTATACTTGGCACGCGAGATAATCTGGGCTGATTACGATGGGAGGACCTGGGAATAACTCGAGGAGAAAGATCGTGGTTAATAACGAAGGAGATCTATCATTAGATCTGAAAGCACAAAGGGCGAGCGGGCCGGGCCGGGCCATGCACAAAGTGCGTTGCCACGTTGTCTTGTGTTGGCACGTGGCTGTGCGATGAAAGAAATAGTAAGTGTACATGCTTTGAGACAAGCAGTGTAAGTGTTTTTAAACTAAGAAAGAAAAAAACCCCCTCGTATCGCGGGTGTGTGTGAATGCTGCGAGATGCTTCTTTGATGTGAAGGGGTGGCGAAAGACGAGGGGCGCAGCAGGCTTTTGTGCATAGGCCGTGGTGTAAAGAACTCGAAAAGAATACTCATTAGAGGCTAAGAATGTTATTGGACTACTCCTTTTTGAGTACATTATTCAATGACTTGACGGGGGCTATGAATGCTAGTTCGTTACTCTGCTGCTTTGACTGCATCTTCAAATGGCAGATCCTTAGATGTGAATGATGACACCCGTGAATGAGCCCAGTGCTTGCTACACACCGTCTCCCGACTCCCAACTCCTCCCCTCCACGTCCATCTCGGCTGTGTAGTCGGCAAAGGCGGCAAAGGCGGCAAAGACGCTCTTCATGGCGTCGTTGTGGCGCTTTGGTTAGCGAAACCCCTCGAACAGCGACTTGGTGCAGTCCCAGTACTCGGGGTAGTAGCCCGCCGTCTCCCAGCCGACGATGCCGACCACGTCCCACTCCCCGCCGCCGCGGGAGACGCGATCGACCATGATGTTGCGCGGGTTCAGGTCCGCGTGGGTGAAGACGACCCGGTGGCCGCGGCGCCTCGGGTGGGCGGGGAAGCGCAGTCACTGGCTGAAGCCGGCCTCGTCCTCGAACGGGCCGATCGGGGTGAAGTCGCGGGTGCGCGGGTCCCGGCATTGCAGATGGCCGCGGAGGGGTTGACGTCCTTGGGGGTGTGGCGGAGCTGCTCCACGGCGTCTCGGAGCTGCAGCACGATGCGCGGGTAGTCGTGGTTGGGGATCGCGTCGATGCAGTGTGATAGTGATGCCCCGGTGATGATGGTCATGAGGAGGTAGGCCTTGTGGCGTGTCGACGGAGCGCCCAAGCCGTGCCCGGAGGGGACAATCTCATGCACGAGGTCCAGCGGCTTGGGGACGGGAATGGTGGTGTGTGCGCCTGACGGTGCGAAGCGCATTGAACTCATTCCTAGCGCAGTCAAAAAGGGTATTGCTCTTGAGAAATACATAGGCCAAATAACCTCTGCACGTCTGCGGTCGCGGTATTGATGCCGTACAGGTACTAGGCAACTCGACTGAGACCTTTGTAAGCCAGTAGACGTGCTCTTTGTGGAAGCAGGAGCTAGATTTGGAATAGCGGTGCTGTGATGATGGATGAGAGCTGAAGCTTTCTTGTCCATGGCTTGACCGGCCGCGGTGTAGAGACGTGAGGTGATGAAACGGTTAGTCATACATGAGGATCAAAGAGACTGGGTGTCGTGTCTCTGGCGAGGTTGACGAGCTGGATGCTCTTTGCGAGATGAGCCCGTAGGCTGATAAAACCCGGTTCAACCTTTCGACGCCGTATCTTGAATGGTCGCCAAGCAAGGCTACATGTCCCTTCATCTTGATGGGCTTCTCCTTTTCAAGATGACAGGAGTTACTTGATACTAAGCGATTGATGCAAGTTGGATTAGTCGCAGGGAATCTCTGAAAGCGCCGGGCTTCAACGTCATCTCTTACCTCTATCATGGACGACGGTAATGGGTCCACCTGACGCGACCAGCTTTGAGAGCTTGCGCGACGCTGCGACGAACTGGCCAATGGTTGTATTGCGGTGTCATGACGGTGTTGGGCGCAGTGATGTGTTGTAGCCACCAGTCCAAGTACTCGGCTCCAAAGACAGCGGTTAACATTGGAGCCACGCGCTCCTATGAGAGGACGTAAGCATTGTGAAAGAGGAAGGCTCTTCAAGAAGAGGAGGGACTGTATTGCCTTACCTTGTCTCTGAGCCAGCTGACGGGTAGCGCGAGAACAGGAGATACAACCAAGTCATCGCACAATGTGCCTTGCAACCCGGAAACCCAGCAAACTCGTCCATCACGGTCAGATATATAGCGACTCCAAGCAGCGTCAGGTGCCGGAGGCGGTATTCCGTTGCGCGAGAATGGGGATAGACGGGTGAGCTGGATGCACGAGCGTGGGCACGCGAATAACGAAAGTACTAGATTCGACTATGAAAGCCCAATCCGAAGCAAGGCGATACACCTTTGATGTGGAGGAAATCCTCAATTTCACAAACTCTGCGGCTTTTGCCTGATAGAAAGCTTCAGTGATGAATAAACGAAGGAGGGCAACAACAGGATGAGGCGGAGGGCTGTTCGATCTCGGCCAGAGTGATGTTGTGCGGTTTGGGTTTCCATTATGTTGAGATGAAAACGCAGAACAAAATTCGAGCTGTTGGAGAAGTAAATAGATTAGTATAATAACAACAAAAGAGAGAGATGCCAATACAGAAATAATAAATCGACGCTGATGCTGGGGAAGATGGTGGTTGGAGGAGGAGGAAGGATCCCTAATTCTAGGAGCCTTATTAATTAGGCGGCGCTTCGGGAGCCAGTAGCAGCCAGAGAGAGCCTTGTGAGGCATTACAGCCAGCCAGCCAGCCTTCTTTGTTTGTACCTCCCTCCTTCACGATTGATGGTGTTGTGTCACGACCATGATGTGCATCACGGCTTGACGCCATGAACGCAAGGCACGCAAGGTACATAATGGGAGAGCAGATGATTTGATGATTCAAAAACTGACACCAAGAAGAGTAGCAACTTCCAAGTCTTTGTCGCCTCATTGTCGTTATTGCCGCCCAGCGATGACTGAAACCAAGCCTGGCCGCGGCCCTAACAAACGGAGGCTGCCATAGAACTCCTCGGCTATATCGCACAAGGCCTGTAATACGGCCCTACCTAGGATGCAAGATGACCTCCCAAAGCCCAAAATCGCAGGCCAGCGGCTACCCGGTCAACGCCTACCCTTCATGTGCGAGTGCACACTCCGTCGCCCATAGGCCATGGTTCGTCGCCGGGTGTGACTGGCTGGCTGGCTTGGCCGGGCCACCCGCTCAAGGATACGACAACTGTCTATTCTTGCAATACCTGTTTTTCCTGCAATCTCAGCCTGGAACTCCTTTGCTCTTTGCCCCGAATTCCGCATACGATTGGCCATAAAGCCACGATTTCATTCACGGCCGCTTCGCCTCATCCTAGGTACCCCGGCAACACGCCCTACAATGCCCATGCGCATCCTCCTCGCCCTCCTCCTCCTCCTCATCCGCTTCCTGTGGGCTCACTCTACACCATGTACCTCACTCTTAATTTCCTGTGTGTGCTTGATAGAGCAAACAAATATGTCTGTCGCGAGATTCCCGCCGCGCGCCTCCAGAAAACATGACGACTAACAGCTGTCATAGCATTGGGGCCTCTATGCCACGCATGATGAGCCACCTGCCGGTTACTTGTTCCATGCAACTGATATGGGTCGTCACGCCCTGCATCTCTATCGGGAAACTCGCGAAGTCTCCCAACTACTAAGGTCAAGGAGCATGACTGCCTGTTTGAAGATTGGGCGCGCTCCGCCATTGGCGTCCATGGAGGCAGTTGCTGCTTGCGTGCCTCTGATGGACCCTCGATACCTTCCTCAAGGCGAAATGCAGTGGACCTGCCGAGTCTGGGTCAAGGCAGTCCTCGGTCGCCTGCGCGAGCTCGGCCTCGTGCTGCTTCCCGTTCCTGTTGGTAGGTTGTGGCATCTTCTCACCACACGCTCGTTCCTATCCCTGACCAAAGTACAGACCTTATCGAAAGATTTGGTATCCGGGCTGCAGATATTCTCAGAGTACTTCCCGCCAGTAAACTCATCGACGACCTTAGCTGGATTACAGGCCAGGGAGTGTTCATCCCAGTACCAGTCCGTCCGTCCATGATGGCCCAAGTACCCGGAGCTCGCCCACCGCTGGTTGGTCAGCCTATGGTTCCTCAGCCGGTTGTTCCCCAACCAAATTTTGCTTGGCCGGGTGTTCGCCCGCCGATGGTTACGGGGCCGGGAGTACACCCAAATGTTGGACCGGCGAGGTTTGGACCAGGGGTTCGCCAGCCGATTCCAGAAGCTAGGCCGGGACAGTACCCCATAGTTACCTCCAGGCGCACCAGGCTACTACGGGCTACAATGTGATGCCGCGCTAAATCAGACGTTCCTGGAGCCTATTTTCTAGGGTGCAGCTCTCTTGTTTTTCATTACTGTCTAGTCAATTTCCTGTACTAGGATACCCATACTTTCTATATAACTAGTTTTTTGTAACGTTCGTCAGTGGCTGACAAAGGTAACTCTACATCAGCGGCCAATGGCATTAATAAGTAAGATGGGCCCTATTTCCACGTAACGGTGGTCACACAAAGTACCTAGCTACGGGCTTTCTGCTCCTGCATGGGAGAGCTTCTTGGAATTTTGGTTATAGAAAAATTGTAACCAATAATCAAAAATAAGTAACGATTTTCAATTAGTTCAAATCTAGGGGTAAGTAGGTCTTCGCTAACAGGCCCTTTGCTGCAAGAGCATGATGGACGCTGCCCCACTCTTGCTGTCGCCGTTGCTGATTGGCATCCGGCGACCAGCTCAGCAGCCTCAGCTACCATCTCGTCATCGTCAAGCTTCGTCCGCACCGCAAACCATCCCTCCTTTCATCCCCCCACCCCTCTTTTCGGTTGTGGAACTCGCGGTTCAAACCGAGCTCTCGTCGCATCGCCCGCGGCATCGTCCGTACCTCTGTCCTCACCAACCTGCAGAGCGACACAATGTCGGCCAAATACGCCGTGGTCTCGCTGCCCCTCAGTGCCTTCGACTCGAGCGACCGCGAGGACGCCCTGTCGTCCCTCCGCGGCACCGTCGCCGACAATGGCAACGTCGTTGCCTTTAAGATCCCCGACTTCAAGATTGGCACCCTTGACGGACTGGTGCAGCACGCCGACGACTTGGCCAAGCTCGAAGCCAACTGCGAGGCGGTCGTCGCCAAGGTTGCCGACTCTCTACGCTCCGTGCTCGATGGCGACCCAGACCGACTGGCCTCCTACAAGATGGTCAACGATAGTATGGACTGCTGGTGACCAATTCCTAGACGGCGCTGACGGATGATGCAGAGCCTACCGATCATTATCTGAGCAACTTTAGCTGGAACAAGGTTCGATACCGTTCCGACAAGCCGCTCAGCGAGCTCATCGATACGCTGCAAAAAGTTGAAGCCCCAAGCAATCTTAAAGCTATGCGCTTGCTAATGCCTCAAAGGAGCTGGTCACGGTCGACAACGACGTCAAGACAAAGTTCAATCAGTACAACTCTGTCAAAACAAATCTCGCTTCTCTACAGCGAAGACAACAGTATGTTGCTGCAATCGCTTTAAGGATTCCTTTTCCTAACATGAACAGGGGGAACCTTGCGACCAAGTCCTTGGCCCCCATTGTCGACCCCTCATTGCTGGTTACCGATTCCGAATACCTCGAAGCCCACCTGATCGCTGTCCCCAAAAACTACAAGAAGGACTTTCTCAAGGAATACGAGACACTCGCGCCCATGGTTGTTCCACGATCTTCCATCGAGATTGATCACGACGACGAATTCATCCTGTTTGCCGTCACGACGTTTAAGAAACACAGTGCCGAGTTTCTGCAAAAGTGTCGCGAGCAAAAATGGACGCCTCGTCAGTTCAAATATGTCGAGGGCGGCCGCGAGGAGGAGCAGCGCGAGCTGGACCGCGTCACCAACGAGGAGCGCAAGGTCTGCGGCGAGGCTTTGCGTATGGGACGCACTGGTTGGAGCGAAAGTGTCATGGTCTGGATGCATGTCCTGACGCTACGAGTATTTGTTGAGGCAGTCCTCAGATACGGTTTACCTCTGGAATATCTGTCGGCGTTGGTCAAGGTGAGCGACTCGGTAGATGGCCGGCCTGGTGAGCGAGTCGTGCTAACACAATGTAGACAACAACCAAGCATTCAGACAAGGTCAAGACGGCATTGGACAACAAGTACGCCTTCCTAGGCGGCAACGCGTTCGGGCGAGACAAGCGCGGACGAGTGACAAAGGATGATGCCGCGTTCAGCTCGGAAATGGCAGCGGCGGGCCTGGCGACGGGTGAGGGCCATGAATACACGGCATACGTCTACTACCAGGTAGAATTTCCCTAAATTCAAGCTGGAGCATGAAGACGACTGTATTGTATGGTGCGTGGTCAACGTGCGGGCCACAGCCTCCTTTCAATTTACCTAGACCTTTGATCACGATGCTCGATGTTGTGAGGGACGCCCAATCTGGACATGGTCTGCCGTGTAATCATCTCTAAATGGCCTTTACGGGCACTCATCCCAGTCTATTTTACTTTTATTCCTCTATCAAACTGGCATTTTTTTTCGCCACCTAGCCGCAGCCGGGCACCTCTTACGCCGTCTTGATGTAGCCCTTGTCCGCGAGCCACTGCGTAATCTGGGCGACGCACTCCTCGACGGTGTTCTCGTGCGTCTTGATGGTGATCTCCGGGTTGGCCGGCTCCTCGTACGGCGCGGAGATGCCGGTGAACTCCTTGATCTCGCCGGCGCGGGCCTTCTTGTACAGGCCCTTGGGGTCGCGCTGCTCGGCGACCTCGAGCGGCACGTCGACGTAGACCTCGACGAACGGCAGGGGCTCGTCGGCGGAGCCGGGAGCGACGGCGGCGTGCAGGGCGCGAGCCGAGTCGCGGTCGGCGCGGTAGGGCGAGATGAAGGACGTGATGGCGATGGCGGACGAGTCGGCGAAGAGTTTAGCGACCTGTTATGAGCGTTCCTGTTAGCGCACCACCAAGTAGCAGCGGGAGAGGGTGGGCAAGGGCAAGGACTACGAACCTCGGCGATGCGGCGAATGTTCTCGTTGCGGTCCTTCTCGGAGAAGCCGAGGTCCTTGTTGAGGCCGAAGCGCACGTTGTCGCCGTCGAGCCGGTAGGCGGCGATGCCCTGGTGCAGAAGGTGCTGCTCGAGGGCCGTGGCGACGGTGGACTTGCCGGACGCGGAGAGGCCGGTCAGCCAGAGGGTGAGGCCGCGCTGGCGGCGGAGCTCAGTGCGCTCGGCGCGGGAGAGGGACGGGTGCCAGGTGATGTTGCTGGAGGTGGTTGCTTGTTAGCTGGGTGGTGATATGTCATTGCGGGGGTGGAGGAGGGGCAGTGAAACAGGACTTACGTAGCCATTGTGAGGATGTGTTTAGGAAGATGGGCGAGGAAGAAGGAAGCGAAGAAGGAGAGGAGGGTTAATTTAAAGAGGAGAGAAAGAAAAGGAAAAAAGATGGTAGATTGAGCGACTTGGAGATGGTATGTTGTGGTGTGTGGGTTTGGGCTAGCTATTGCGTGATGAGCGCCAGCCAAGTACAAGTTCGTGGTGGTGGGCTTGTCAGATTGGTGTAAGCCGAGATGTTGGGGTGACAGGCAGGAGAACAGCGGGACAACGGTGCGTGGTTTAAGACAATGCTAATTTTAAGTACTTGATGATATTGAATTGCAATTTCGTCTTCCATGCGCATGTGAATTTGATTCCCAGCGCCTGGTGTTGAACCATGTCTGAGCATGGCGAAAAAAACTAATTTGGCGCATCGATGGCGACATTCCGACGCACCGAGGATCCGCTCCCCACATACTTTTCCGTGCGATGGGTGTCGGCATGCTGCTGGCAATGCTACGCAGACAGAGCGGTTGCAATTTTTTTTGGAAGAAATATTGTCTATATATTAAGTGTGTCCTGATGCATTTGTACATGTCTTCATCTATCCGCCCCCAATCTAGTCTATAACCTACATCCGTCATATAGATGCCAGCGTCCTCCACAAGGCGAGCCTCTTCATTAAGCAGACTGAATGTATAGTCTAAGATTCCTTCTGTGATCGTTGCATATTCCGGGCGAGTCGGTACGCCGTTCATCGGTATACCGGTCTGTCGATCGCGCCGACGGGTGACCGGAGTCGATCTGATTCCATCGTTGCCCCGTTACTGGATCTTGGGCATCACCTGGTCACACATTAGCAATCAATAGTCTCTCTACCTCACCACTTGTCACTTACAGCAGCGTGCTTGGGCGACACGAACATGGCCGTGGCCTCGGCAAAGATGACCGGCGGCGCGCCCTCGTCCTGCAGCAGCTCGATGTGGCCCTTGACCCAGGCCTTGCGGCCCTCCACCTTTGTCGTGGTCGCGCGCAGCACCAGGAAGCTGTCCGCGGGCATGGGCTTGCGGTAGTCGATGTTGAGGTTAGCCGTGACGCCGATGTTGTGCGGGAGCGCGCCGAAGCAGCAGCGCGCGAGCCCCTCGTCGAGCATCGTCGCGATGAACCCGCCGTGGACGATGCCCGGGTGGCCGCACAGCTCGGCACCGACGTACGACACGCCGACGAGCGAGCGGCCGCCGTCCTCGGTCCACGAGAACGGCGGCACCACCATCCGACCGGGCCCCAGCAGCGCGCCGCCCGTCAGCGTGTGCTGCCGGTACGACGCGGGCATCTTCATGTGCGGCCGCGACTCGGTCATCTCGGGTCGCGCGCGCAGCGCCGCCACCAGAGGGTGCGCGTTGATGGTCGCCTCGACGCGCCGCGTCGTCTCGTCCCCGTTCGCTTCGGCGTGCGCGGCTGCCCGCCCGTTGCTGTCCTCGTCCGAGTAGAACCCCATGCCGACCTGCGTCATGATCTTCCAGGTGGCGACCGCGCCAAGCGTCGTGAATACGAGTCCGTAGAGTGCGACTCTGCTGCCAGAGTTGCTGCGAGGCGGCGGTGGTGGAGGAGGGGGAGGAGTGGACTTTGAGGAAGCTGGAAGTAAGGGATTTGTTTGTTAGCAGATGTCACTGGGCACTAAATCACGTCGGCGGTATGCCACGTGGCAGGGCTTTATAACAAATCTCCATGGCGCACTGCAGACTCTTCCCAACAAACTTGTCAGGAAAACTCCGGTTCCTACTCACCAGACATGGAGCTGGCCTCTCCGGCATAGCCTCGCCTCAAGACGCCGTTCCTGATTGTGGATCGAGTCGCTGCCTGCCCGACTCGACGGCTAGACTGGGTAATTCGTTGGCTGAACATGGCAATGGTCGAGGAGTGTCCGGAATCGCGATGTAGTTATGTAGAAGACAATGACGGATATTGGACGAAAGGACTCAAAACCTGACGCTTATGTTGGCTGCCGTCTTTTTTTTTCTCGCCAGGCCAGCCAACGGCTTGAGCCGAGGCAAGACGCCACCAAAAAGGCACAGGGACTTCCTTACACCCGGACCCACAGTGCTAAAAATGCTTATTCGTACGGACTTGTTCAGGGAATCCATCTCCGACGTATCCGCTCTACCCATCCATTCATTAACTTTGATACTTCGAAAATGGTGGGCGTTGGAGGTCGGCATCTTAGATCAGTTGAATACGTTGGGTGAGCAATGCCTCAGCCACTCGTCTCTTTCAAGCCAGCTGCGTGGCTTCCAAGGTGGCATTGCCGAATATCTGTTGAATGCAACCGCAGGGCCCCTTCTGGGTAAGGAAACCACCCAGGTGCACAGGTTGCAATGATATGATATCGTCACGCAGTAGCAAAATGCCGAGTCATACAAAGGAAGTCGAGACCAATAGCTACCAGGCTGTGACCTAAAGCTGCCGGCAATGTGGTGGCTTGCGTATCAAACCAATACTTGACTTGCCGAGTCTCCCAACATTACAATCAATTCAGCCGTTTCCAGGGCGTAACTGCCTGTAACTTCATCTCGCTCGGCACCTGATACGGCGCGTACCCAGATGCCATCGGAGCAATAACCAATGAGTTCTATATACCCGCCGCAAATTCCCCTGCCACAGCCTTCGGCTTCGCAACCATCATCACCGCTTGAGCTCCCACCTCCCACGGACTGCTTGCAAAATGCTCCTTCAAAACTGGCACAAATGCCGCCTTGATATCCTCGACCCTCTCGTGCTCCTTGTACCAGAAGTTTGTCAGCACCTCTGCGGCGACTTGGCAGCGAGTTTCCACGTCTTCTTCCGGAAAGTTGCAAGCCATCTGAACGTGGCAGACCTCAATATCCCCAAACCCGCGCTGCGTAAAAACCCGCGCGGCTGTCGCGAGCAGTAGGCCGTGGTGGTCAGCGGCCGACTCGCCCTTGGCCATGCCCTCCTCCACAATCTCTGCGCAGGCCTTGTTGGTGAGCTTGGCGACTTCGTTGTCTGGTGCACCTTGCACGATGACGATGCGCGCGTTTGGGGCGGTGGCGTCGACTACTCGCGTCATCTCTCGAAGTGACAACTCGAGGTCCTGTACGTAGTGCAGCTGCCACACAGCCACTGCAGCGTCAAACTTGTTGTCCTTGAAAGGGAGATGCTCCGCCGCTCCTTGAGATATTTCAACCTGCGACTCAGACCATTTCTCTGCTTCAACGTCGCTTCGGTCGCAGTTGGGTTTAAGGGCGTAGGCTGTGCCGGCTCGCTTTGCAATCCACACTGGAAGTTCTGCAGAGAAGTCGTTAAAACTGTCCCTCGAAAAGTCCAAAAATACTCACCACCATTGCCGCTCCCAATGCTGAGAACCTTTTCATTATCTTTGACGGCTTCTAGGGCCGCCTCGAGCTCACGGCGCGTGAGACGCTTGACAAACGGCTCCAATGCGCCGTTGCTCAGCAGGTGCGGGCGCCTCTTGACTGTGGGTAGGGGATAGGGCCCAAAAAGAGGCTCCTCGTGCGTTCTATTTGCTGTGATGAATATATGCTTCTCGTCGTAGCTGTACTTGTCGACCTGGCGTGAGTGGCGGTCGACAGACTGGATCTGGAAGCTTGCTTCCTGCAGAATGCGTAGCCATTCCTTGGTGGTGAGGAGCGTAGCAGGGACTTCATGCCCCATGAAATTCGTGAGAATGTTTTCAACGTACTGCTTTTGTTGTATTTCGGGCAGCTTGGGACTGCATCGGCTATAATCTTCCGCCGCAATGCTTGCTATGACGACAGTCCCGCTAGGTCGCAGCCACGAGGCCATCTTGACTAGCATCGAGTAGGTAGCCGCATGGGAGACGTGAAAAAGACTAAAGCTGCAAACTATAATGTCGAAGCGGACTTTTGGCTCGAATTTCCTCATGTCGGTCTTCATAAATTTTCCGGGCAACGTCGCCTGGCAAATGTCAATCATCTTCTGCGACAGATCAATGCCCGTCACATGGTACCCGGCCTTTATGAGTCGCGATGCCGGCCCGCCAGGACCGCAACCAATGTCCAGAACGGAAGATCCTGACGCGTGAGACTCTCTTATACTCTCGAGAATGTCGACCATGGCAGGATCACAATCGCCCCAGGCGTCCCGGAACCCGGCGGAGACCTGGTCATACAGAGCTTCGACGTCAGAAGGGATCTTGGCACTGGCGCTCATCTTGCGATGCGGCGATGCGGCGATGCGGTGATGCGGCGATGTGGCGATGCAGAGTTCGTGTGTTTTGAGAAGGAGTGATACTGAATCTCTAAAAAAGACGAGAACAACGTTAGAAAGGCACAATTACCTTCGCTACGCGACTAGCTGGCGGTCTTGAGGTCACCACTTTTTATGCTCGCCGCGGTCACGCCAGCAACGAACAGTGTGTGACCTCGTACAGCAGCAAACATTAGGGGATACCCGAGGCAACCGAAGGTGCATATTGATCAGGTGCGCCTCGCACTGTATTTGCCTTGTTTAATTTTATGGACTGGTGCAGCGGCTGGGCGTTGGAGGGGTAAATCTGTTCAGCCCACCTCGACGCAGCTCATTGAGCTAGACATCTACAGTTGCGGACACTTGCATATACGAGAGCTTGCATCTGCGTATTAGGGTCTACGTCTACGGACACAGCTTCATATGTGCGCGCCAAAAGCTTTTGATCTTCTTCATTGACACCAAATCTATATACAATGTGCTTTTAGTAACGTTTAAAGACCATCCTCCTCCTTCGCCAAAAGTTCTGCGTAATCATCCACTGACGCGAACGTAGGCAGACCCTTGAGCATCTTGCGTCTCGCCGATTTCTTCTTGTTATCTTCCTTCTTACCATCCGCCTCTTCCTCACTATCCTCATCATTGAATTCTACGAGGCCGTCTGACCCATCATCACCATCACCTTCAAGAGAAATGTCATCGCCCGAGTCATCATCCAGAGACATCGCTGGTGATGACCCGTCAAGAGAAGCCATTTCTTCCTCGTCAAAGTCGTCAAAGCCTTCATCCACATCGGAGCCGTCGCCCTCGATATCGGGTTGCGCGTTGACCAGGGCCTTCCAGACTTCATCCTCGCCGGCTTCCTCATCTGCCTCTGCATCCTCGGCTTCAGCGGTCTTCTTCTTCTTGTCCTTGGGCTCTTTACCGATATTCTGGAAGTACTCATGGAAGAAGATGTCTTCAGCAGCAACGTCCTCGACCTTCTTGTTCCAGAACGCTGCAGAGTTTACTTGGACGCCGGTAGCACCAGCACCGCGGCTTCCAAGCCAGATATCGCCAGAGTCCTTTGTGGCCCTCAGCGGCTGCATGATAGATACACCCTTGGTACCATCTGTTGCCTTGGCATTGCGGTAAACAAACTTGTCGAGGAATCGAATAAGGGAGTGGCTGTCAAGGTCAGGCTTCTGCATCTTGGCAGTCTTGTCGACAATTCCAGCCGCGAACACGGCGACTGATGGATGGTAATGCATCTGCATGGGGATGACCTCCCACAAGCAGCTCCTCTGAGCGTTGCTGTGTTCTGGGTTTCGTTTCCTGCCGTCGTACGCAGGACGCTGAATATCCTCATCGTCGTCATCAAAGACAGACTCTTCCGGCTGCTCGATCAGAGTAGACAGGTCGGGGAATGTTTGGCGCAGATGGCCAATGACATAGAGAAGTCCGCATACAAACGGCGGTTGATGTAGAACAGTGATTTGCAGCATTCTCTTGGCAAAAGCTTTAACACGTCGCACGTCGACGTCGTTCTTTAACGACCGCAGCAAAAGATTGAGATACAATGCTTGTTTTGACGAGGTGACGAGGCGAGGGTCCAAAAGAGATTCGTAAAGTGTGCGGTAGAAGCGGTCGGTGGCTATGCTCCTGGCGAGAGATAGATGCTGAATCAGCAACAGTGCCTGGATTCCAGTGTTGAAGTTGGCGGAGTGGGCAATTTTGAAAAGCGTGTCTACATGATTTTCCATACTGTTGCTGTTAGCGGCTGGTCGAATAACGGCGACAAGAAGACTTACACTCCGTCATTTGTCCCAACGAAGGGTGCGGCACGGTTGACACCAGTCAATAAAGCAGAAACTAGCTTATCTGCAGCCTCTGCTTCAGGCACTGCTGGGGCGACCTTGGCGGGCTTTCCACCCTTTCTGGGAGGTCGTCCTCCGGGCTTGCCAGGTACAGTTTCTACCTTCTTTTCTGCATTATCCTGTGCCTCTGTTTCGTTTTGCAGAGGAATGCCCAAGCTACCTGATTTAAGCATGGCGACAAAGAGTTCAAAGTAAATGCGAATGAGGGACTCGGCAACTGCGGGTTCTTTGCTGCTGAGAATAGTTTGGTTGAGGGTGTTGATGGCGTAGTATTTTGATCGGGAGTCCTGTGTCGGGTGTAGGAGAATTTCTTGCTCCACAGCGCGAACAATGACTGGCTTCATACCAGGGTGGGAATTCTGCAACTGCAAGAGGAGATATGATACACGAGAGGCAATCTTCTTTTCTCTGTCACCAAGCTTGTTGACGAGTAGCGTTAGAAGATTGGACTCTTGCTCAGGTTTCTCTTTCAATAGCGCGTAGACGAAATCGACTGCTTTGATTCGAGAGTATTCGATCTCGTCCGAACACCAGCCTTCCAAGAGCTGGATTATTTTGAAGTACGTGGACTTCAGCCAGTCTTCAAATATCCATGAAATCAAATGTTCTTCAGAGATCTTGCCAGGGAGCGGCTGGTTTGGGGCCCAAAACTTGGTCGAGTGCTTCTGAAGCGTTCCAAGTAGGCCGGGCTGATTCTGGAAAGTGCGAAGACGTCTGTCGGCGGGCAGAAGAGTACCAGGGCCTAGCAAATCCACCAGTGCACCAATAGCCCCAATGGCTTGGCCTCGACTCTTTTTTGAGGCCAAATTCATGAGGCCATCGAATGCGCGAATGTTGTGTACAGGAGACTCTTGGATGGCGAGGGTGAGTGCGGAGACCTTATCGGTCAATGTTCCCGAGGTCATGATGGTGGACAAAAATTTGTGTGAGGACGAGGCAAAGACGCTGGTTCGATACTTATCAGCATCCTTGTCCAAAAGAGATTGGGCGTGTTGCTTGAGGGCTTGGATAGGAGAGAAAAAAGGCCCAGCATCATCAGTGATGGGAGGGGGCAGCTTCGCAAGCTTGTATGCATGCCAGTCGGCGCGGGGCTCAAAAGTCTGTCTACTACGTTAGCTGTCAGATATGCTTCATTTTACTGTAGCTGACTTACCATGTCACCCATCTTGCGGCTCTCGGGGATCTTTTCCTCTTCTCGATCGTCATTGTAGTCGTATTCTGCGTCTTCATCCTCGCTTTCTTCGGCCGCGGCCGCGGCCTCTGCTTCCTCTTCAGCTTCGTTCTCACTAGCCTCTTGAGGTGCAAGTTCAGCGAAGCCCAGCTCTTTGGATAGAGCTGCGAGTTCGTCTCTCAGCTTCTTATCCACCGGCGCCTTGCTTTCGCCAACCACCTCATCGTCCGAGTCGACGCCGTTGATCAGCTCTAGATCATCTTCGTCGCCACCAAGAGCAAGAATTTCGGCAAGAAGCGCTTCTTGCTCAGTCTTGGAGCTGTTGGTCTTGGGGGCCGCGTCAGAGTTGCGCTGCTTCTTGGCCGTCTGTGTAGGCGAGGCGTTCGTGGGTGGTCGCTTGCGCTTGTGGTCGTTTTCGGTCAGCCTTTGGTCAATTCTCGAGGTGAGCTTTTCGAGGGCATCTTCGTTGAATGAAGGACCACGACCACCGCCAGAGCGATGAGGAGCCTTTCCTTTCTGCTTTGGCTTTGTCATGTCTGGATACTCTACAAATCCAAAAATGCGTTTGTTGCAAAATTTCCAAAAAGTTGAATCGCTTTGGCCAGTGCAACTTGAACTTTTTTTGCGGGCCATGCTCCCGCCCCACTTTGCAGTAGTGAGTGGACTCCGTTGTGCGTGAGCTAGTCGCGAGACTTCGACATACTTCATCGCGATCGTTTCAATTGGATAATACGTCTGCGCAAAAAATTGGGGGTTTCGGGGTTTTTACTTGGCATATGATGTTTTCTCTGGCGCGAGCGGTGCGCGGCCGCGGATGTGTCGGCGCTTCTATCGTTGGACACCACATGATCAGTCCTTGCATTGCTCGCCGATGCCGGTCAACGCTTTCGAAAATATGGGTGCCGACTGGAGGAATTGCCGAAACGGAAAGCGAATGTACGATTCAGTGCTGATTATTATTTTCTTCGGCTGACAGTTTCCAGCCGGGCATGACAAGCTCATCCGCGCGGGATTCCTCCGCCAGGTAGGCTGAGAACTCCTTGAACCAGTTTACATATATTGACCCTCTCAGTCTCAAGCAGGAATATTCCAATTTCTCCCATTGGGCCTCCGCGTGCAGAAAAAGATTGAAAATCTGATTGACAAGCACATGGAGTCAATTGGTAGGTCCATTGTTCGGCAGAAATGTGCATATACTCATTCCGCGATAGGGGCATCACGGCTCTCATTGTCCACTATAACGTCAGAAGAGCTATGGAAAATAAGCGGCCGCTTGAACAGCGTTGCGCCCGAGGTAATGCTCTGAGTCTAATTGAACTAAACGTGTCTAACTCGAACAGCTCTTTCGCCTCAAAGACCGAAAGGGGGTTCCGCTGATGCTTTCTCCTACGCACGAAGAAGAGATAACAACGCTTGTCGCAAACACACTGCAGTCTTATAAAGATTTGCCTTTGCGGCTGTATCAAATTAGTGAGTTTATTCGGTCATCTTTCTCACTCAGTTTCTTATATCAACTAGCCAGAAAGTATCGTGACGAGATGCGGCCGAGACAGGGATTGCTTCGTTCCCGAGAATTCGTAATGAAAGATCTCTACACGTTTGATCTATCTTCAGAGGCTGCAATTCAGACTTATCAGCAGGTACAAGCAGCTTACAGGGCCATCTTTGACGAGATAAATGTTGAAATTCTGGTCGCCGAAGCTAGCTCTGGCGATATGGGCGGGAACCACAGCCACGAATATCATCTTGCTGATTCGACTGGGGAAGACACTATTGCTCATTGTAGTGGTTGTGGATATACGGCGAATGACGAAGTCGCGGTCTCGCGGGCAAAACCACAAGACTCCATCGATGCAGCAGTGGCATCCAGCTATGGTGTATGGAGGGGCATTACCAAAGACCGAAACACGCTGATCAATGCGTGGTACCCTCAGGATAATGGCGGGCGTCCCAATCTCCATGTCGTCAAGAGCCTGGTTCCCGAACTCGACACCAGTGTGCATGAGACTCTCCCGCTCTGGGAGGCGGCAGTTGAAAGCCCCGAGACTGCACTGGTTAACATTATCGATGGCCGGCTTGCATCTGGCTTTGGGAAGATCCATTCTAAGCTATCTCTTCTACCTGGAGAGTTGCAAGATGATTTCATTGGTCCTCAATTCGCAACAAGCACATCTGCGAACGGTGAAGGACTGAATTTGCTGGCCTTGGCTGAAGGGGATGGTTGTCCCCGATGCGAATCTGGGACACTGGAAATCAACAAGGCTCTAGAGCTCGGACACACATTCTACCTCGGCACACGATATTCCAAGCCCCTCGAAGCTCTCGTGTCGCTCCCTGAGAAGCCATCGCAGCCAATCCCCATTCAAATGGGGTGCTTTGGCATTGGGGTGTCGCGTATTTTTGGTGCCGTTGCTGAGAACAGAGCTGACGATAGGGGCCTTAACTGGCCTAGAGCCATTGCACCATTTGAAGTTGCCGTAATTCCGTCTTCAGCCGTCAATGATGAGACGCTCGCCTTCTTCGACTCCCTCACCAGTCAGTCGTTTGATGCAGTGCTGGACGACCGAAAGAAGGCCTTTGGATGGAAAATGAAGGATGCTGATATGACAGGCTATCCTGTTGTTGTTATCCTTGGCAAGGCGTGGAGGGAGCGCAATGTCTGCGAGGTCCAGTGCAGACGCCTAGAGCTCAAGGAAGAAGTCGCTGCATCGGATCTTCCACAGTTTTTGGAGCAGTTGCTACAAAAGCTGTAAGAGCTGACTCACAAACAGCTTTATCTATATTATGTACACTACCATATACATATATACTAGCTATAAAATTACAATAATAATGAATCTCAAACTACAGACAATGCAATAAAGCCTAGCTAGTGTCAGTATTCGTCGCTGACGTGAAGAACAGTGTGGGTCTGTCTCGTTGGACCAAAATATAGACAAGCTCCTGATGGTGGGGTTGTTCGCCGCGTTGCCTCCCACCTTCAGATCACAGAATCAAGCCAGAATGTCGTCGGGCGGGCGGGAAACAGGTACGGGAGCTTTGATTCGGCATCTGCCTAACCTTCGGAACTAACAACCTGTCCGTGCAGTCAACCTCGACAGCCTCGAGCCGCAGCAGCTTGCCCAGGTCAAGAAGCAGCTGGACGAGGAGCTCGAGCACCTGACGTCGTCCTTCTCGCAGCTCCACGGCGCCCAGGCCAAGTTTCGGGAGTGTTTGCGATGCGTCAACAGCCGCTCCGAATCATCAAAGAGTACGTTTTTTTTGCGCGGCGCTCAGTCGGAAGCCAAAAGGCGTTGCGCCCGCTTGGGCGTAGAGCAGGCGATGGGATTGCACGCGCGCTAACACGGATGACTTTGTCGCTGCAGGTTCGAACGAGGTCCTGGTGCCGCTCACCAACTCTCTCTACGTGCGAGGCGAATTAACAAATACCGAGACGGTGCTCGTGGATATCGGCACCGGCTTTCTGGTCGAAAAGGTCGGTGGAAAAGCTGACCAAGACGGTTCATTAACTGATGAAGGCTGTTAGAAATTGAAATCGGCGGCGACGTTTTACGAAAGTAAGATTCAAGAGCTGACAAACAGCCTAAAAGAGCTCGAGGCCATTATTCAGCAAAAGCAGATGAACGTGCGCACGATTGAAGAAGGTACGAAAGGGCCCGTTAACTCCCATGGCAATTCTAACATGATGCTGCAGTACTGCGACAGAAAATGATGGCACAACAATCCAGTCAAACGCAGTCATGAATGCTAGGGCTATCGAGAATCAATAATAAAAAACCTTTCCTCGCTGTATAATGCATTCCGCTCTCAAGCCTGCCCCTCCGCAATTGCCGTCTGCACTGAAAGGACACACTCCACGAATTCACTCAAGCGTTCGTCAAACGAATTTTGGCCAGGCCATAGACGATCAAGAAGGCGTTCTTCAAACCCACTCGATGACTCTCCGCCCTTGATTTCGCCCAAAGCCTCTTCCCAATGAATACCGTACACCGAGACCGACCAGCTCAGCCGCTCAGGCTTTGTGCTGGCCGGTACACTAGCCCAATGCTGGGTTATCGAGACCTCTATCTCATATGGCGTCTCACGGTATTGAAGTCTCGCGCACGAATTAATCTTGAAATTTCTCGATAGTGGGGTCGGATCCCCACGGCTTGGCTTCTGCCATCTCGGGAGCTTAAAGTATTGCCTAGCCTTGGAGTCTTTGCTTGGTTCGTTGGGGGCGGTCTCACGGGTAGTCTGATCGATTTTAAAGGCAAATGACTGCACAAACTTCGTAATTGTGTCAGACAGTGGGCCGCTTCGGTCACCAATGACATTTAGATGAGTGGTGACTTGCAAACTCCAGTCAACCTTCCTACTGCGAAGTTAGCAAACAGCCGATGAGTCTCTTCGGCGACCAACTACTATTCTTACATGTCTGGGGCTGAAATAATCCAATCCAATGGTGGGCTACCACCCATTTCCATGCATCTTACAGAGCTTGCTCTAGCGACTCCATCTTGGCTCATTAGTTCTGCAGATACTGTCTCGTTGTCAACATCAAATTGAACATGGTGATACAACACCACGTCTACATCCGTGGTCATGTTATCTTTGGTTGACTTTTGCACAATAGTTTCGTTGCTCAGAATTGAAGAGAGAAAGTTGTCGGCAGCCTCGAAGTTTGCGAACCTATCTTCGTTAGAGAAATTCCTCGTAACGACATTGCCAGACAGCCGTACTCGGTTTCAATACTGACCCCCCTACCACGACTGGCATATGAATCAAGAGCAGATTTGAATTCTCCTAACGACAACCGACTCGCCACCGTTTTTCGCTTCGCCGAGATGTTGACCTGTCCGAAATTAATTCGCATCTTCAATCCTGGCAGCGCTACCAGTGTCTTGGCTGATGATGGTAATGCCGCTGCAAGCTGGGCAACCAACTCGTTGAGAACATGTCTGGAATCTTTGCGGTTGTTCTCGGCGTCTTTGATGGCCGGCCGTTGACCGACCTCAAAACTGATTGCGAGCTCTCCATCTGAATTGGGGGGCTGCACGAAGTATTGCGCGGCCAGTGACTCTTCGGAGAGCCGCATGTCGTTTATTTTCCGATTAAATGCTTCAAGGGCCGTGTGGAGCGACTTTTTCTTAATTGAAGTGATATCAAAAAAGGTATTCGACCCTGCTTCTCTGGTGATCCAGACTTCGTGTTCTCTCCGAATGTCGTCAAGAACAGTGAGGTCGCTCAAGGCTTTGGGCACAAGATGATCACCGGGAATGACAAGTCGCACCTTTATTGATCGTGTCAACCCTAGTTATCAACTTGGCGGTAAGACTTACCTGAACTAGATCTTGCCCCGTCGGCGGTTCCCTACAATACTGCATTTGTGACATGTGGTCTGCATGTTGGCGCTGCATATCGACCATTCTCTGTGCAGAGACCATGGTATCACCCTTACCAAATCTTTCTCTGAGCGGCCTCTTATCATGTATTCGTTTGATCTTTGATGGGCTATTCGGCGTAGCTTTCTGCGGGGATTTTGGTTGCGGAGTGCTTTTGCCTTGGGCAGGCTTGCTGTTGGCAGCATTCCGGCCATGGCTGAGGCCATCACTGCAGTTTTTTTTCTTTCTATTAGAGACCATGGTGGTGTTTAGCAGTAAAATGGCAAGGCGATTTGTTGTTATTGCAAGGCAGTGCCCTTTTATGCTTGGCAGCCGCCAGCTCTTGCCAGCTGGCGGCGGCTGCAAACGGAGAGGGGCTGTGAATCAGTTTGAGCCGCATTACAGCACATCCATTGACCCCAATCTGTTCAATATCCTCCTCTTTCATGCACAAAATCATTTTTAAAGCATTTCACTTGATGTCACTGTCAATCGGTCCGGATGCGCTTTGTCGTTCATCACTTATATGCATATATCGGGGCTATGCATCTAAGGATACTATTTCCCCGTCGCGTCTCCCAGACGCATAGAGTGGCAGGAGCTAAGTGATGTCAGTAAATTGGCCGTGGCTGACTTATGCTAGCATCTCGCCAACAGAATTGACCTCCATGCAGAACCAAGTTAATGGCAGCGAGTCTCAGACTCAGCGCAAGCGACCAGCGCCAAGAGATTCACGCGACGAGTCGGATGACGAGCCCAGCACTGACGACATTTCCTGGGAATGGATCTACGAAGACAATGCTGTTGCGCGAAACGACGGCCAAGAAGGCGAACGTAAGCGACGCAAAGTGGACGGCGATTTAATCATCGGCGCTCGTGTTGGCTCGTTCGAGTGCCGGATAGGTGATATAGTCCTGCTCAAAGCCGATGGCTCGAACGAGGCTTGGGTCGCCATCATATGCGAATTTGTCGAAGACGATGACGGCGACAAGGCGGCCAACTTTATGTGGTTCTCCACAGAAAAGGAAATACGCAACAAGGAGAGAAAGCGTACCGACTTTTACTGGAACGAATTATACCTGTCTCCGTCCTGGGACGTGAACCCCCTGGGCTCTATCTCTGGCAAAGCCAGAGTCACCTCGCTGGACCGCTTTCTTTCGCGACACCCTTCTGGCAAGATCCCGCGAAACTCCCCGGAGTATGGAAAAACATTTGTGTGCCGACGCGGCTGCAATACGAGAACAGCCACGTACACGAATGAATTTGTCTGGGAGGATGTTTACAGCGGTGCCGATGATATCTCGTCGCTTATGGACATGATTGAGAAGGACACCAAGGCAACTCGAAAGAAACGGCCTGCGAAAAGTCCAGGAGTTGTGGACGACATATATTACCCGCCTCAAACACCGACAAAACAGCGAACCCCAGCAGCTACGACACCGCACTCTCGTGGTCGCACGCCACGAGGAACTGGCAAAAAGCTCGAGTTCACACCGCTGGCGATGCGAAAACTGTCACCAAGCAATGTCGATTCTTCCCCATTTCAAATTGCACGGTCACGGTTGCATGTGTCCGCCGTGCCAGCCAGTCTACCCTGCCGCGAGGGCGAGTTTTCTCTCGTCTACTCGCATCTCGAGGCGGCCATCACCGAAGGCACGGGAAACTGTATTTACATTTCCGGGACGCCAGGTACTGGCAAAACGGCCACTGTGCGAGAAGTTGTTTCCCGGCTGGAGGATGCTGTAGTCTCTGATGAGCTTGATGATTTCATATTTGTCGAAATCAACGGCATGAAAGTCACTGATCCCCATCAGTCGTATACACTCTTATGGGAGGCCCTGAAGGGGCAGCGCGCAAGTCCCGCGCAGGCGCTGGATCTGTTAGAGCGCGAGTTCAGCAACCCCAGTCCCCGACGCATTCCCTGCGTGGTTTTGATGGATGAACTGGATCAGCTCGTCACGAAGAACCAGGCTGTCATGTATAACTTCTTCAACTGGCCAACGTTGCGCCACAGTCGTCTGATTGTTTTGGCAGTTGCAAACACCATGGACTTGCCAGAAAGAACGTTGAGCAACAAAATTAGCAGTCGTCTTGGTAAGTATCCATGTACGCGCACAGAAGCCTTTACTAACTTATCCCAGGCTTGACTCGAATCACATTCCCGGGCTATACTCACGATCAGCTCATGAAGATTATTCAATCTCGTTTAGAGGGTGTGCCAGGAAACATTGTCGATGCTGACGCGGTTCAATTCGCCAGTCGAAAGGTTGCTGCGGTCAGTGGTGATGCCCGACGAGCTTTAGATATTTGTCGAAGAGCTGTTGAGCTAGCCGAAGCCGACGCGCCACCCGATCCATCGACACCGAGCAAGAAAGCCCCAGGGGCTAACGCCGCGGAGCTTGCACGCCGCGGTCGCGTTACCATTGCTACTATCAAAAAGGCCATCAACGAGGCCACCTCGAATCCCATCCAACAGCATCTATGTAGTCTGCCTTTAACAAGCAAACTGCTTATGGCGGCAATGCTCTTACGAATCAGGAGGGCCGGCCTCGTGGAAACTACGTTTGGTGAGACGCTCGACGAGCTGCAGCGTGTATCCGCATACGCGCCACGAGCCCCCCTTGGCATGGCCCAGATCCTCGGCACCCACGCGAAGGGCGCAGGGCATGGCGGCGCGCTTCAGCGTCACACGGGACGTCCTTGCTACGTCCATACGGCTGCACTCGACCTTGTTGCTGCGGGTCTCATCAATTTGGAGGCCCAACGAGCAGAGAGGAGCAGCAAGCTGCGGCTAGCGATTGCCGACGACGAGGTGAAGATGGCGCTTCGAGAAGATCCGGAGCTGCGTGCACTAGGAATCGGTATATGAATTGCATAATAGCTGTAAAATAGAATAGAAATACACCGTTGGGGCATGTGGTATCATTATTGCTTTTGGTCGCCTATTCTGGTCTAAAACTTGCGTCGTCCGAGTGATGGCGTCCACTGAAGAGGATGCGTTTCTTCCGAGGCGGTTTCGTCTTGTTTCCATATTTTAACTAGGCAAGATGTTAGCTCGTGCAAGCATCCGACAGCGATACGCTGCTTACTAGTCTTATCGGCCTCGCCGCAGATGAGTCGTAAGCCTGAGCGGTCGAATGTTGAGCTCATGAGGCCAGCTTCTGCGTCCAAGGAACCAGGCTGCGCTGTGGTGTCGAGGGCCTGGAATCTGTGTCCGGATTTCCAATCCCAGAAGCCCATCGATCCGTTGTCGCCTGAAATTCAAGCAAGGTTAGACAACTAAATACAGCTGATTGAGAGGGAATGTGCACATACCACCAGAGAATAAGACATTGTTTTGGTTGACACTCATAGTGTTGATGATGGCGTTTTGGCCTTCAAAGTTTTGCATAAACGCGCCCTCGGGGCACTTCCACTGCTTGATGCTGCCGGTGCTGCCACTGGCAAAAGTGAACTCCTCGGGGTGCACGGCGAGCGCGCGGACGCCCTTTTTGTGGTGCGTGAGGACGCCCATGGCCTTGCCGGCGGCGAGATCCCACAGGCGCACGGTGGAGTCGAGCGAGGCGCTGATGACCTGGGGGTCGGCCTCCTGGCAGCGGACGTCGGTGACGGTGCCGGTGTGCCCCGAGAGGACGTGGATGTTGCTGCGGGTGCGCATGTCCCAGACGCGGGCGACGCCATCGCGGCCGCCGGTGACGAGGACATCGAGGGTCGGGTGGAGCGAGAGGGTGTAGACGCCGCTGAGGTGGCCGTGGTAGTGGCGGATGACCTTGTTGGTCTCAAGGTCCCAACACTTGACCATCTTGTCCTCGCCGCAGGAGAAGAGGTACGGGTGCCGCGGCGAGACGGCCAGGCCTCGCACGGTGCTGATGTGGCCAGTGAGCGTGAGACGCAGCGAGCCCGTCGCGAGGTCCCAGATCTTGATGGTGCGGTCGCCCGCACCGCTCGCGAACCACTTGTTGCCGGGCTCGACGGCCAGCGCCCGCACCCAACCCAGGTGGCCCGAGATGACGCGCATCAGCTTCCACGGGGGGTGCCAATCGGGCTTGACCTGCTGTATCGTGTTGGCGCCAACGCGTGTTGTCAAACTCGCGCTGTTCTGCGGCTGCGACGGGTTGCTGCTGGTGGCCAACTGCGCGCCGGCACCTTCGAGGAGCTTCTGGGGTGGCCGCTGCGCGACGACCAGTGACTTGGAGGCGCCGCCCTTCCTCTGCGGCTTGGCCGCGGGCTGCTTGGCGGCGAGAGACGGCGGAAGCGTCTCGAAGCCTGCGTACTCGGTGCGGAAGCGGTGCTTCATCGCTGCGTCGTCGAGGTCGTCGGTGAGCTTTTGGCGCTTTCCGGACGCAGGGCGCTCTTGAGACGCCGCCGTTGTCGTCGCGCGCGCGTAGAGTTGTCGAGCGGCGGTCGAGTTTTGCGCAATCATAGCGCTGAGCTGCAGGACATCTTGGGGGACCTGTGGCGTCTCCATGGTCGATGCGATCGATGGAGGCCAATTGGTCGCGGCTGGGGATGACGTTGACGAGATAGTGAAGATTCAAACGAAAGTCGGAGGAAAAAACCCAGGTTGAGGTTTGGCGCATTGCCCATGAGTGGGTCGCAGTACTGCCCGTGCTGCCTAGTTGCCGCTTTCCACCAACTCGGCATGTTTGATAGTCTCTCAAAAAATCTGATAAATTCTTAGAATCGATATCTATGTATTCATGAGTTTTTATCTAAGTTTTACCTCAGTGGAAAAGCCGATTGTTGCTTTCTTTCTGCTGGAAGAAGCGAAAGGTCGCTCACCACTGCTGCGAGCATCCCATTTGGTTTCTAGAACCACGAAAAAGCAATGATAGATATTTGATAAACAAGGTAAGGTCGTGGAGATTGAAAAGAACGCTTGGCTCAATGCTCTTCTTTTGTTTTTAGCAAATTTTTGGAATCCTAACATTCAAGTATCGACCAGATTTCGCTGTATAAGTGCAGGCAAACGCGTTCTGTCTGCCTGGTGGGGCTGGCCTCTCTGGATCAGATCACCGGCCGCAAGCTTCCATCAAGCTTCCTCTTGAACCCTTCGCTTTTGCATACTAGCGTCAACTGTCGGAATACTGGGAACCGTGCCACAGAAACGGCTACAGTATGGCTGAAAAGAACGATAGATCTCCCCTGCACACGGCTGCGCGCGAGCGTAAAGGTGAGACGACCGCTTGAGACTTGGCTCGACTTATGCTAACAACGGATAGTCGCCATCGCGGACGGCTTGCTCAAGGTACGCACCCCAGAAGGCTAAGCAAGTTCTGGCTCTAACTTCCTACCAAAAGACAAACCCAAAGCTATCACAGAAGAAGGATGATGATGGTCGTTATGCGATTCATTGGGCGGCCTCGTCCAACTGCTTGGATATCGTCGTCATGCTCGCCAATCAGTCGTCCTTTGATCCGGACGTGCAGGTACGCCCAACATATTGCCTGTCTTATTCATTTTCCCTCGCTCACATGTCATGACTCAGGACGGGAGCGGCTGGACGCCGCTTATGATTGCCGCCAGCGTTCCCGAGAGCGACGACGTCATCAAGGTGCTCCTCAAAGCCGGCGCCGATGTCAATGAGAAGAGTGCACCCCCCCTCCCCTTCATCCAAGCTTCGCCTACCTCATCTAACCTGGCTCCCACAGACAACGGCGGGCAGACCGCGCTGCACCTCGTCGCCTCCAAGCAGAACCTCGACACGGCGCGACTCCTACTCGAGCACAAGGCCTCGACGCGCGTCCGCGACCGCCGCGGACAGTACCCGCTGCACCGCGCCGCCGCCGTCGGCTCCGCGCCCATGTGCCGCCTGCTTCTCGGTAAGCTCAGCCCGACCAACCCGCAGGACGTCGAGGGCTACACGCCGCTGCACCACGCGGTCGCCGAGGGCCACGGCGACGCCGCCGTCGCGCTGCTCAAGGAGGGCGCGGACCCGACGGCGGAGAACGCGCAGGGCGAGCGCCCGCTGGACTTGGCGCCGGACAAGGAGATGCGCACGTATATACTGCGTGGCGCGGAACGCGAGGGCATCGACCTGGAGGGACAGTGAGAAGAGGAGCGCTCAAGGGACGAGAGTCTTATGAGGTGGTGTAGGACGGGTGGGAAATTATGATTATGAGAAGAAAAGAATGTGACTTTACAAGGCACGCCTAAATCTACATGCAGAAAGAAGTACAATGAAAAAAGGTAAAATGAAATCATCCCTACATACCGGGATTTATGCCCGACGCTCTAAACCCCCGCGCTACTTCATCGTCTGCTCGACCAGCTCGCGGTACATGGCCTTGACGTCCTGCACGTCCGCGCGCAGCTCCTCCACCAGCTCGCTCTTCTCGCCGAGCATCTCCAGCGTCGTCTGGTAGCGGTCGTCGATCTCGCCCACGCGCGCCTCCAGCTCCGGCACGCGCGCCGCCGCCGCCCGCGCGCCCTCGAGCTCCTTCAGCAGCCCGACCATGTCGCCGCGCGCCTCGTCGCGCTGCCCGCACACCCGCGCCATCTCCTCGCGCGCGGCCACGCGCTCCGCCTCCAGGCGCCGGATCGCCGCGCTCATGCGCTCCACGAGCTGCACCGACGGGCCGGCCGCGACGGTCGACATGGAGGTCATGTCCGCGGCCGGCTGCTGGCGCGGCGACGACTGCAGCGGCACCATGTCGTCGTCCGCCACGGACTCCTCGACGGCCGGCGGGGAGAGTGGGAGGTGGTGGTTGCTGCCGCTCAGCTCACTGGGCTGCTGGAACGGCGAAAAGGGCGCGGGAGGCGCGCCGGGGTGCGGGCTCGCAGAGGCCAGCCGGAAGGGCGGTTGCGCCGATGGTCGCCGAGAGCGGGCGGCTTCCGTGTCGGGGATGCTGCCGGACAGCGGCGTCGTGCGCTGGCGGTGGGACAGAGGTAGAGGCAGACCGCCAAGGCTGGCCAGGTCGGTGCTGAAGGTGCGTGTGATATGGCCGGGGGAAGGCGACTCGGGCCGGCTGTCCATCTTGTTGTCCGCGCGGGCGGCGGCGGCCGCCTCTGACCACTCGTTTTGCTGCGCTGCAAGGTCGCGGCTCTTGGCGCGCTGCTCCCTCTCCAGGTCGGAGCGGGCCTGGTCGAGCGCCTCCTCGGTCGCCTTGGCCGACGTCTTGAGCGCAGCGAGCTCGTCGCGGACCTTGTCAAGCTGCTCGCGCGCCTTGGCTAGAGCGGGCTGAACATCCTGCAGCTCCTCGTCGAGCGTTCTAGCTCGCGTCGTCGAGTCGCGCGCCTTCTTTCGCATTTCAGATTCGCGCTTCTGCGCCTCGTCCCTTTCCTTTTCCAAGTTCGACAGCTTTGCCAGCAGTGACGACTCCATTGACTGCCAGTTGCTGCTGGCGGACGCATACTGCGATTGCAACGTCTCAATCTGGCGGAGCAGCTTGACCTGCGCCTCGCCGCCGGAGCTTGACGTCGCCTCCTCGGCCTGCGTGCGCATGATTTCGAGCCTCGTCTCCATGGCCTTGGTCTCGACACACAGCTCATTTTCGGCGCTGCGCCCACGCTCGACCGCGCGGTCCAGTTTCTCGCTCCACTCAATGCCGTCCTGTTTGGCCTTGTCCTCTATGGCTTCCTTTTCAGCGCGCAATGCCGTGTAGCTCTCTTCCTGAGTCTTGAGCTTTTCCCGCTCTGCAGTGAGGTATTTGTCAAGAATTGCAGCCTTGCCAGCCTCTTCCGTCTTGGTTTTGAGATCGCGCTCGAGTTTGCGGATAGTGTCATCTCGTGTTATCTTTTCTTTTTTGAGATTGTCGACTTCTTTTTGTAAGCCGGTCGCTGCCTTGCGCATTTCTTCCTGGCGCTTCTCCTGTTCGTCGCTGCTGTTGAGTCGTTTGCGCAGGGCGTCGGCTTCGGCAGCAGCTTTGTCCTTGGTCCTCTTGAGCTCTTCGCTCTGCTTCTCCGCGTCGGCGAGTTGCTGTCGTAGCTTCTTTATTACGGTTCTATATGTTTGCTCTCCAGCCGCAAGCTTCTGTCCCTCTTCCATCAACAGGGCAATCTTTTCATCTTTTCCAGCGAGCTTGCTCTCCATGCTACCAGAAGGAGCGGCATTGGCAGCCTTTTGCGCGAAATCGGCTGCTGACTTGGCCAGGTACTGCAGCTTTGACTCCAAAGAATCAATTCGTTCGACATATTCCTGGATCTCCTGCTGATGGCTTGCCTTTAATTGCTCAATCTCCCTTGACGAGACTGTGGCTTCCTCCTCCTCATCCAAGGCTGTGGGGCCATTCTCGATATTGGCTTCGATTGCAGGCCCTGCCGCTGGTTCTGCTTGTGAGAGTACTGTAGATGCAGTTTCGTCTTTTTCTTCGTTATGCGATTTAACCTCAGCTGTCGTCTCAGATGTAGATTCAAGAGTTTCCGTCGGTATAGTTTCGTCCCTGGGTGTCGACGACGTAGCCTCCTTCTCTGCTTCGGTAGCAATGAATTCTGAGGCCGATGTGTCGTCTTTTTCGGCGAGTTTTGATTCGGAAGACTTGCATTCGATGGACGGCCGGCTCGCATTGTCGACGGAGCTGCGCGGCGAGCTCCCGGCCTGCGCTGCCTTGGCTGCCATGGCCTTGGCCAGCCGAGCCTGCAAGCGGTCGTTGGCTCGGCTATTCGACGACGATCTTGAAGCGTCTGGAAGTCGAACAATTAGCCAAACATTGACTTGGTAAATCACCCACCCTCTCGACAAGAAGGATGCGCCTTACTTTGGGTGGCCTTGGTAGCCGCGGGCACAGCGCTGGGCGGTGTCGGCGCCTGCGTCTGCGGCTTGGGCTGCTGCTGTGCCGCCGGCGCACTGATGCTGCTGCTACTATCTTCCTCAAAGAGGATGTTGTCGAGGCGCGACTCGACGCCGGCGACGGCCTGCGACAGGAACGAGCCCCATCTCGACGAAGCCTTGTTTGGCGCCGCCATAGCGGGATTTTGGCGAGCTTGGGGTACGTTGAAGTGTCTCTATAATCTTCGTCTCCGTTCGGATATCGACTGCGTTCTCGCTTGCTTCGTCTGAGGGGGGAGTGGGATCGTCGTGGTTGTGGCTGCGTCAGCCATCACCCCCTCCGCAAACCTGGCCCCGTCTTCCCGTTGGCTCGGGCTGCCCGGACGATGTAGCAGAATAGCGTCGGAGTCAGCCGGAAAGCCAAGCAAGAATATGCGGTCAAGATTTCATGCACGCTCGCTTTGCAGAATACTGAGGTCTAATTAGGCTGTCGCGAAAAGCTAAGGTGGGTTTGTGCGGGATGGCGCGCCTTGAACGCTGAGCTGGCCGCAATCGAATGGGTCCGTCCAAGAGTGATTGTGGGCTGTTGGAGCCACAAAACCTGTTGACAGCCTTTGACTATTACCTGTGGTGACATTCGTGAAGTCGGCGCATGACTGATTCTATGCCATCAGAGACGATAAGGTTATTCTATACCCCGATTTACCAAGATATTTATATTCGAGGTAGCTTTTCGTTCCACACACACGGCTTGTCCGTTTATGATGATTCATGCATACTTAGCGTTGCGAGCTCTTTGTCAGGCTGAATACGAGTAACGAACGCCACGAGGCTGTCGGCTTCGGTTTACCTACCAGGCAGCTCGTATGTATTGATGTTCGTTGTCCCTGCTAAACTCGCACAATGGACATAGGTTCCTGCAGTTCAATGGTCTGATGGGGACCACAACTCATTTCATATCCGTACATACCTTACATACATGGCAACAGGCGCCATTTCACGCTAATAATGCACCGGCTGGCTGTCAGATCTGACTGACACTGCCTTGCATCCGAAGAAAGACGTCACTCTGTAATTCGGATGTTGTGTCAATCCAGAAGGCTTACTTACATTAAAGGGTATATACCGCCGCTATCTCTAGTTCCACACATATTCTCTTCATATGGTACCAACCACAATACAATTTATCACATCAAATAGTAAAAGCAATCAAATCATCTATTACCCAGTAATTTTCCTCCACCAGCTCGTCCGCACTGGCGGCTCGACAAACGCCGAGTTGCGACGACTTGTCTGGCGTTCTTCGCTTGCATCTGACGGGGGCACGCGCCGATCGCGGTGGCGTTCCTCCCTTCTGCGCCGGCGTCTCTCGTCGTCGGCTTCGTCGGCAGTAGCTTCACCAGTCGCCCGGGCGCGACGGCGAGCGCGTCGCTCACGCCGGGCTTGGTCATCATCCGCATCATCGCCGTCCGGCGGCGGAGGTGCGTCAGAATGATCCTTCACCCACGAAGACGTGCCCGAATGGGGCCAGTTTGCGCCATTCTTGTCCTTGTCGCGCTCGCGCTCGCGCCGACGGTCCTTATGCGGGTAGACTTGCTCGTCGTCGCTAGGGTGCCGACGGCTGCTCCTATGCTTGCCGCCATCTTCGGCCGCTGCGCGAGCCTCGCGACGAGCCTCCCGGCGGCGTCGGCGCTCCGCCTCATCCTCGGTGCCGTCAGCCGGACGGGACCTGCGGCGTTTGGCGTCGCGTTCGGTATCCCGGTTCTCCCTCTCCGCCGTTATCGCTGCAGCTTCCTTCTCCTTGCGCTGGCGTCGGCGTTCGAGTCGGCGGGCTTCGCGCTCATCAAGTTCGCGGCGCTCTTCCTCCTCACGCTTGCGGGCACGGCGCTCAGCACGTCGCGCCTCTTTGTCATCTGCCTTGCTCTCTTCTTCGCGACGGCGCGTTTTATCGCGGCGCGAGCCATCCTTCGACTCGTCACTAGGCGTCCCCCGCCTACTTTTACGACGAGCATCTCGATCAGTCTCCATGGCCTCGCCGTCATCGGTGACTTCAGCCTTGCCCTTCGACATAAAACCACTAAAGAGACCAGAAAAGCCCGATTTCTTAGCAACGGAAGCACCGCGCTTCAGAGGCGTTTCCGAGGGACCACCAGCGTCAACCATGACAATGTCCTCATCCTGGATGATCTTTCTACTGCGGCGGCGTTCTGCCCTCGCTGCGTCAGCATCCAGAGCGCCACTCATAACGACGTCCGGGTCAGCGCGGCTCGACCTTTTCTTGCTCGAAGATTTGCCAATGCCGAGAATTTTGGCCGCCTTGTCAGGCGTCTCCTCTGGCGGTGGCGAGGCAAGGCCATGAGCACCAATGGAATGTCGGCGTGAGGAATGGCTAGTGCTCGTCTTTCTGTCGCGTGTAGACATCGATCGCGAGATGGGAGGCGTGCTGGCAGCAGCGGAGCCGCGCGACCTCGACGGCGTTTTGGACGTCTTCTCGTCGCCCTTGTCCGACCCAGAGCCCTTTGAGGGAGACTTGTCGCTAGACCGCTTCGACGACCTTTCAGCCTTGGACTTGGATGATCGGCGTTCTTCTTTGCGCTCGTCTCTTGTGCGCTCCTCCTTGCGTTCATCCTTACGAAAGCTCGAGGTGCCCCATGCTCCCCAAGACGACGCACCGTCGCGGTTGATCTTGGGGCGGTCTTTCTTGGAAGATCTTTCGGGCGGCGGGGTCAGCGGTGCGTCGGGGACAGGCGGCGGCGGCGGAGGGACCTCGTCATAAGTCTTTAATCTGCTCTTCTTGCTCTTCTTCTTGTCTTTGGGGCTCGTGTCAGCAGTAGCAAACTCCAGATCCTCGTCATCGATGGGGAAGCTTCCAGGAAGCCCAGTTTCCTTGCGGCTCTTCTTGGACAAGGAAGCCGGGGGCTCGACGACTTCGACTACCTTGGACTTCTTCTTCTTCTCTTTCTTCTCCTCGTCCCTTGGTGGAGACGGGGGAGGAGGCGGAGGCACCACGATCGCCTCTTCCTCCCTGGCAGCCTCAAAAGACTTGAGCTTATCGGCAATTTTGCCCCCGACAGGCTTGCGCTTCATCGAGGAGGCCTCATTTGCCTTGGAAAGGGGCGTCGCATCGATGGCCTCAATAGCATCTTCCAGAGCTAGGCATGAGTCAGCAGCTGTAATTTCGGCGTCAACAGGGATTTGTGTTGGGGTAGTCTGGGGAAGTCAGGGGTGTTGCAGAGACAAACCAACCTTTTTTGGACTTTTTCGACGAGCTCACCCCCCAAAAGTCGAATGCGTCGGTCGTCGGCTTATCCTTGCGCGGAGAGAGAAGCTCCTCAATCTCATCCGGGTTGAGCTCTTCAGAAAGTAATGGAGTTTCAGAACCAGCATCCTTAGACTTCTTCTTCTTCTCCTTTTCCTTCTTCTTCTCTTCCTTTTCTCTCTCCTTTGCTCGCTCCTTCTCCTCCCTCTCTATTCTCTCCGCCTCTTCCCTCCCTCTCTCTTTTTCCTTCTTCCTCTCCTCTTTTTCTCTCTTCTTCTCCTCCTTTTCTTTCTTTTCCTTTTCCTCTCTCTCCCTCTCCCTCTCCCTCTCTTTTTCTCGCTCCTCCTCCTCCTTGCGCTCCTTTTCTCTCTTCTTCTCTTCCTTCTCCCGCTTCTTTTCTTCTTTCTCTCGTTTCTCTGCCTCTTCTCTTTCTCGCTCCTCCTCCTCCCTGCGCTCCTTTTCTCTCTTCCTCTCTTCCTTCTCCCGCTTCTTTTCTTCTTTCTCTCGCGTCTCTGCCTCTTCTCTTTCTCGCTCCCGTTCTCTTTCTTTTTCTCTTTCCTTTTCTTTCTCCTTCTCTTTCTCCTTGGCTTTAGAGCTCTTCTTAGATTTCTTGGCAGCTTCCTCGGCCTCGCGGGCAGCCTGCTCCTCGGCTTCCTTAGCAGCTAGTTCTTCAGCCTCTTTAGCGGCTAGCTCTTCAGCCTCTTTAGCAGCTAGATTTTCAGCCTCCTTGGCTGCCTCAGCGCGCTTCGCGGCCTTTTCTATAAGAAGAGTAAACTTTTCGGTGTCCTTCTTCAAAAGTTTGCCCCCCCTTTTGGCCTTTTTCGCGGTCAAGGCTGCCAGCTCTTCTTCCTCTTGGAGAATCTGTGCCTTCTCCTCCTCTTCCAGTCGTATCTTTACCTCAGCGGCTTCCTCGGCTTCGCGGGCGGCTTGTTCTTCGGCTTCGCGGGCGGCTTGTTCTTCGGCTTCCTTGGCGGCCGCCGCAGCTTCCTCGGCGGCTTTGGCGGCTTCCTCGGCTTCGCGGGCTTCCTGCTCAGCTTTTTCCTTTTCGGCCTTCTTCTTTTCCTTTTCCAGCTTCTTGAGTTCCTTTGCGCTTAGCTTCGGTTCATCCTTGGGTTTTGCTTTCGAGTCGGTTTCTGCTTGTTCATCCTTAGGCTCAGTAATGTCCAGTTTGGGGGGGGTTGACACAGGAGGAGGCGGATCAGTCATGGGGTCCTTGTTCGTCGACGTCCAGGCTAAGGTGTCATCGTCAACGGCCCCACTAACCGTAGTCACCTCCTGCACGTCTTTGGGTTTATCTGTCTCACCAGTAGTATCAAGTAAATCGATTGACTTATCCTTTTTCTTGCCTTTTTTGCCGGTGCCAAACGAGCTGAAGAAGTCATCGTCGTCCTTAGCCTCCGTTTTTTTGTCTGCTTCGCCGAGGTCAATCAAGTCGCCCTTCTTCTTCTTCTTATCCTTTTTTGAAGTGCTCAGGCCCCAGATATCCTCGTCGTCCTTGTTTTCTTGAACTGGTTCCGGGTCTGGCTCGGGAACAACAGGCTCCGGCTCCGGCTCCGGCTCCGGCTCCGGATCGGTCTTCTTCTTCTTTTTATCTTTCTTGGAGGTACCAATGGTAGCCCAGGGATCGCTTTCTGCCTTCTTTTCCAGTTCGGGATCCGGCTCCTTCATGTCGTTCTTGCTGCCAATGCTGGTCCAGAAGTCGTTGTCATCATCGGCCTTCTTGGTGTTTTCAGCCGGTGGAAGTGGCGCCGGCTCCGGGTCGTCAAAAAGGGCAGCCTTTTTCTTCTTCTTCTTGTCCTTTTTCCCCACGGCAAAGCCCCAAGGGTCGTCATCCTTCTTTTCCGGTTTGGGTTCGGGCTCTGGGTCCTTGGTAACCTCTTGTTCGGCTTCCTTCTTATCCTTCTTAGATATGGAGCCCCAGAAATCGTCGGCGGGCTCGGTTGCTGTGGCTGGATCTGGCTCCACTAACTCCTCCAAGGCATTCTTCTTCTTCTTCTTGTCTTTCTTGCCCAAGCCCCAAGTATCCCAGGCGGTGTCGTCTTTCTTCTCCGGCTCAGGTTCTGGCGTCGGCTCTGGCGCGGGCTCAGGCTCGACGACCTCGATAACACCCTTCTTCTTTTTCTTATCCTTCTTAGAAGCTGGCATCATCCAATCGTCAGCCGCAGAAGCGGCAGCGGCAGGATCCGGTTCTGCTCCGCCCTCCTTGCTCTTTTTCTTGGTTGTAGTTGTACTCCAGCCCCAAGGATCAGCGTCAGCCTCCTTCGCTTTGGTGTCTTTTGTCTCCTCAGCAGTACTCATACCCAATGCGTTAGTTGCCTTCTTCTTCTTCTCCTTTTTGCCGACTGAAGTAAAGCCAAAGTCATCCTCCTCTTTCACGGGTGACACGTTGGCAGCCTTATCTTCTTCCGCTTCATCCAAGGCACCAAAGGAGAAGGAGGTGCCCGCCTTCTTTTTTGAATTCTTGGCAGTACCCCATGGATTTGTGTCGATCTCCTCTTTCTTTTCTTCGGCGGCGGCCCCATTGGTCCCAGCCCAGTCCCAGGAGCTGCCGCCAGTGTTCCATTTGGTACCCCAAGAGCCGAACGTATTCTTAGTGTCCGAAGCGCCAAAATCGACATCAAGTTTCCCGCCATCGTCGCCAAGCTTTATCTCGTGGAAGGCATCTCCGCCAAAGTCAGCGTCTGGGATCTTGGGGGCGTCGTCTGCTTCGGCGTCGGCGCCCTTCTTCTTCTTCTTCTTAGACTTGGGTGCAGAGACTTCTGCCCAGTCGTCGACAGGATCGCCGTCGCCTTTGTTTTCCTTGTCGTCCTGATCGTCCTTTTTGTCGTTGCCGTCGCCTTCACCGCCAGCACCAGCACCAGCATCGCCGCCTGCGTCGCCGCCGTTGATGCCGCCATTGTCACCATTGGCATTATCGTCCTCTTTCTTGGGTTCATCGCCCCAGTTGAAGTTGTTGTTGTTGTTGTTGTTGTTGTTGTTGTTGTTAATACCGCCTTTCTTCTTCTTCTTTGCGGCTTGAATGACGTTGTCTAGGTATTCAAAGTCGATCGCTGAAGTGGGACGTGACGGATCAGCGAACAAATCGTCGGGAGAAGTGCCTTTGTGCGGAGGGGAGTCTGATGATGGCGACAGTAAGCCGACATCTGGCGTGGGCGGTTGCTGGCGAGTGGCGTAAGTGTGATGGTCGGCGCAAGCTGCAACAGTTGCATCCGCATCTACTTCTTTTTCTTCGTATAGATGTCGTAATCTGCGACGCCAAGAAGGCGAAAGGTCGGGAAGTATTAGGTGCCGTTCTTTGGATGCGCCAGTGTATAATGTGTTCTAACAAAGATTCTAGTTAGCAACAGGAGCTTGGAAGCGTATATTCAGGGCAAGCCGGGTCGGGTGGCGCGACATCTAACGACGAGCGTGCAATTGAATTTGGTGACGTGACCTCTTGTCGCGGCGCGAGCTGTTGGCAGATATAGAAATATACATACATGGTTCGAATGCCTGTCAATTATCCAGGCACGAGAAATAATGTGTAGTTGTCGGCGCAAGGATATATCATCCCACCCAGTGGTCTGAGTCGTTGGGGTCAGAGAAGAAGTGAATGCGCTTCCTCTCGGGCTTTCGGGGAAAGCCAAGACAGCGGCCGCAGCCATTGTTCAAGTCGGAGCTCGTATTGTGGCAGGCCAGCGTCAAAATCATGGAAGCTAACGGGGCGAGATGAGAATCGCGGATGTGGTGGTCAGCGGAGCGAGTTGAATGAGGCGATGCGTTCGGCTGGAACAGGTCGGACGAGCTCTGAGGGTGCGAGCAGAGCGTATGTGTAACAAGTTTGTACAGATCTGTGTTGCAGAAAGGATCGTCGCGTGTCGTCGCGTGTCGTCGTGTGCGGCCGGCGGAGTCGCTCGGGTTCGAGATTGAGATGGAGAGTTGGTGGAGAGTTAAAGTAGAGAAGCCGTTGGCCGTTGCGTTCGTCAAGCGCTGGAAATCAAACAAACAAAAACCGCTGGTAGAATGGAGATGGGCGTGTTCGTGTAACAAGACGCAAAATGGAAGAGCAAAGCAAGAATCTGCAGAGATGTTCCACGCGATCTAGAAGCCACGGGTCTCGAAGTGGCGCGATTTCAAACACAAAGAACGAGTCGAGAGGCGGCTTTTTGCGCTTTGGGAGACGAGAGCTCTCTACGGCTCCCAGTTCTGGCGGTGGAGAGGAAATAGGCAGGTCGGTCGGTAGGAGGGTGGAGGGCGGCCGGGTAGATGTGGGACGCCTTATTGTCTTCCTGGGACTTTTTTTTTTGTTCCTCTTGATTTCGCCCGGATAAGATAAGTCAAATACCCAAATAACCTCTGGAGGGGTTTTCTCAGGATGGGTTAGACTGTCTGTCGCAGTTCTGTCCAAGTATCCAAGGGACTCCCAGCCACCGGGGAATGGCGGAGCGGCTGCGGGACACTAGTAAGTTAGTCCTAGACTCCTGGCTTGGAAGAGGAGCCAGCACAGGAAACACTGTGTGGATTTCGATTTCGGTTTGATTTCGCTTCAGCACGACCGTCTTTATGGTCTTGTATTTGCTCGCAACGGTTGGTGGTTGGTGGTTGGTTGGTCCTCGGGAGTCTGGTGTTGCCTGTGTCTCGTGGGTCGAAATGGCCATGTAGAGACGATGCGAGACGATGCCGTAGACAAGACGACAGGTTTCTGCAGTGTCTTAATCCGGGGATAAATCGCCTAGCACACGATACACGAACGAAAAAGACGTCACGGCCCGGTCGCGGGGGAACCAATCGATGTTCACGGCGTCCTCCCTGGAGACCCGGCGTTGGGGAGATCGGATTCCAGTCGACACAGGAAAGAAGGGAGAGCAGGGACAACCCCTTTCAGTGAGACAGGGTGCAAGGAGAGGCTAGAAAAGCGCGCTGCCAAGGTCCATTCACATCCCAAGAATGACGAGCGACTTTGCCTTTTGGACGAGAAGGCGTCGCACCAGTTGGTCTTGCTGGGGCAGCGTGCGTGACACGCGGGTGGCGCTGAGATACGGTCAGAGGCTCCGAGGCTTACTTTCTGTACAATCACGCGCATACGAGCCCGATAACCCGCTCGCTGTGCTGTGCCGTGCTGTGCTGTGCTGTGCTGTGCTGTGCTTTGTTTGGTGAGCCGTCGCCTTGCCGTCTTAGCAGTATGGATCTACTCCGTTAGTAGTTACCAATACCTACGTAGGCTGTTTAGAACAGCTGACATGCAGCGGCAACCTTGCGCGTCATCTGCGCACCGCGGGAGGTACCAGTAGTAACTGCAGAAGTGGCAGTGGCAAGAGGTTACCGCTGAGTGCCTGCTTTGTGGTAATAAGGGAGGGGGTGCGCAGGGCGGGAAAGTCAAGCCAGACAGGTACAATACAATGGTAACGGTCATGGTAGGTTTTCGTTGGCTACCAGGCAGAGCACGCTGCACTTATTATCTACATGGCTCCATTTCCATCTGACCGCCTCTTTGTCCGATTCGGTCAACAACTGCATAACCTTGATCGAATAATAATGGGAGAATTAAAATTTTCAAATCAGAACGTCTGTCCCATCCATCAGTCACCTTTGGGCGTCAGGGAACAGAAAAAGCGAGATGGATGGCTGGGGGTGGGGCCAAGTTGGGCAACCACACAGCACACAGACGACTGACTGACTGAATGACCATGCCGTCACCCTCACCCTCACCTCACCAGACCCATTTCATGGGAAGGTGGGGAGCTTAACTCAACGATGAGTGGATGCCCTCAGAAGGCGAATTCAGCCGATGTGGTGGGATTCTTCTACATCTGCCGCATGAGCTGGACGCGCTGACGACCATCACCACTCAACAGGACAGCCTGGTATAGGTGGTTGGCTCGTGTTATTGTCTTACATGAGGAGGCTGCCAGGAACGAAATAGTTGTTATGCACAGAGACGCAGGCGAGGCCGATATGGATTTCTTAAAACACCATCATGCTACCGCACCCCTATGCGCAGGGGCTGCGTCGTGTGTACCAGCAAATCCTCCGAGAAGCCCCTTGCGTGAATAGCCGCGACTAGTTAGCAAACCACAAGCTTCAACCCAGAAGGCCCTGCGATGAATCGTGAAAACAAAATGGCATTTGTCTGTCTCTTCTCACGCGATAGATACTTTACTTCCGCTCTGCCGCCGAGGAATGAAGACCCGCGCGCGAGAGACCCTTGTTGCCAGTACTCTTTCGCGTCCCAACTGAGCACCAGCGATTGGGAAGCTCTCAAAGTTAGTAGCCCCTTCCCCGCCTAGATCCCTCCTGAGACATCCACTCAAAAGTTTACGAAACATCAAACGAGCTGTTTCGCAGTCTTTTGTGTATCAGCCCGGCGGCTGCCCCTGTACAAGGCCGTACTGGGTAGTCACTTAAGTTAGTTTGCCCTTTTCCCAGAGCAAAGCAAGGGCGGGCATGCCTTGGCTTAAGCGAAATGACGGCAAAAATTAGTCATGTACCAATAATGCCACAAACGAAGCTCAACGTCGGGATGTCGACAAGGGAGAGTCGAATCCCAAAGCTGCAATAGTTGGCAATTCACCATCACTGCCTTGTCCATCTATAGTGCCGCTGACGATAGTGTCAACGTGTCCACGAATATGTGCCCAGCAAAAGGGTCCCTGGACAAGGGCTGCCCACCAGCTTGGTGGGGGGGCTCATCAACCCCGCGAGGGGCCAGACCTGCGTCCGACGGCTAAGTTTCCCACCACGATAGACATTTGGCCTGTGTTGCCTGGTCGTGAGAATTGGCTCATGCACTGGGACGGAGTTGCCATCCATGCATCGCTGCCCAGTTTGCCCGCTTGACTCGTGGCGGCCCGCTGCATGGCCGCACCACGCTCCAGCTTTGTTCGTATGCAGGCAAGGCATGAGCATATTTGGTACATAGCGCACAAGAAAAGGGTGGTGATTTGGACCATGCCATGCCACTCAGCGCGGCTATCCGTGACGAAGAGAAATCCGGTTGAGGACCAAGGTTTCCGTTGCCTGCGAAGCATACTCTTGTTTGTTGCATTGGCGTATCAATTTAGCCAGCCCCTGCATATGGACTGCGCATCCAGATCGTACCACCATCTTATCTTTACCAATAGCTCTCCGCCAAAACAGGCGATTCACGTCATCTTCCAACTGTTACCTTTCCAAATCCTACCTACCGTCATCACATGAACGGCTGCGGCAAATTAGCAGGATTCAGCCACGCTGCAACAGGCCTTGACATTGTCACCATGCAATCAGATTGTTAATCTAAACTACAATTGTTGCTATGGATTATTACACATTTCAACCCTTGCCGGCGGAGGATCATGTCCCTCTGTTTGCTGCCACCTGAGGAGTATCCGCGTCAGCCAGGCACGATAAGCGACCCTATACTGTTCCTGGAATTTCATGCTATATTCATTCTCTTGTTTTTTGACAGGGGGTTATTCTTCTGTTGGTTTGCACATTTCTACCTTTATCAAATGTATACCTTCTATTCTATTCCTTTCGGTGTCCCATGTGTTCCGGCTCTAGGCTGCTGATGCCATGTTCAAGGCCTTGCTGGAATCGGGATACGTCCGCCAGGATATCTCCAGGCCATCCACAACCAAAACGAACCCCGATCAACAACTCAAAGAAAAGGTATGAGGAAAAGAAGTGCAACACAAGACCAACTGCCAAGAAAATCAATGGCAATAAACTAAAGTACAGCCTTTTCTCTGCGGAACTGAGCATAGGCACCAGTGCGGTATACACCAGACGGTTGAACGTTTCGAGGCTGAAGCAACCTGCAAGTTGCTTGTGCCCAATCCTTTAAAACCAATTCACACCCAAGCGGCCGAGTCAACACACTTTGCACACCACAGCCCCGAGAAACTGAGATCTCGACATATCTCCGTCGACTCGCGGCCCAAGGAGCCGCTCGGTCCGCCGGCCGTCATAGCAAAGCGAGTCACATCGGCGAGCTTGCCGGCCGGGCAATGCATCCCTTCCAAAAGAAACAAATCAAGACCGAAAAAGTCGCAACGGTACGCCAGATTCGGTGTGTGGATATCGCCCAGTTCCCATCGTCAGCCGCCGCCGTCTCACCGCCTCGAGCTTAACCGCCCCGTTAAAAACGGTCAAGAAACAAGGATCAGGCTGCGATTCTGCCCGTAGTTGGCGTCATCTGCTGAGTCAGGCAGGTTTTGTCTTTCCCAACGGCCGTTGTGGTTCCTAACAAGCGTAATGGAAGCAAAGTTCTTCTGCTCGTTTCCATCGCGGGTCAGTCGCCAGTCGAGAAACCTGCGTTCATTGGCCCACCCTGACAGCGGTCAGGCCTGACTACGTTGTTGTTGTTGTTGTTGTTGTTGTTGTTGTTGTTGTTGTTGTTGTTGTTGTTGTTGTTGTTGTTGTTGTTGTTGTTGTTGTTGTTGTTGTTGTTGTTGTTGTTGTTGTTGTTGTTGTTGTTGTTGTTGTTGTTGTTGTTGTTGTTGTTGTTGTTGTTGTTGTTGTTGTTGTTGTTGTTGTTGTTGTTGTTGTTGTTGTTGTTGTTGTTGTTGTTGTTGTTGTTGTTGTTTTTGCCTTGCTTGATTTGTATCGGAAAAGGGGAGCTGATGTCGTGAGATTGGGCGCTGCGTGCATTTCAGGCCGCCGCGCGGATCGTGAGGGTTGCGGCGGGCGGAAGGCCGGCTTCCAGCTGTGAATTCTGTTAATAACAACTTGCGGATACATTGCCCACCATTGCGCGACAATAGGCACTTGTCCAAAAAACCAAAAGAGATGAGATCTCTTGTTAGTGCGGAAATCAAAGGGACTCAGGAATGCCACGCCCGCAGCCGGCAAAATGTGACTCGGAGGCCCGGCCGAACGCGGCCCCACCTCGCCGACCTCAAGCACGTCGGCCCCAGAGGACGCGGGTCTCCGGCGCCAAACCCCCGTAGAGTCGTGAACTACCAACCCACAGCACAGCGTAGTGCCACGAAGCTCGTGTTATGGCAATTGCATCAAAGCCTCTTGTCATGACCAAACGTAATCAGTCGTCCTGACGGGCCGTAAACATGGCAAAAACCCCTCCCATTGGATCATTCCCTCCACAACTGAACCTCGCCAAGCTTCCCACCACGACATATTCAAAAGTTAATCTTATTTAAACGCTTCCAGAAGTCTGTAATCTGCCTCGAGGTGTCTTTCCAACCCCCCCTTGGCTAGCTGAACGCCCAACTCCGCGCAAACCACGCAAGGGGGAGGGGAGGGGAGGGGACGCGTAACTTATCGTGGCTATGCTGCCTATGGCCAACCCGTGCGCCTGGAGCTCCAGAACGATTGTGCGAACAAAGGTCTCAGACGATGCACGCCCCTCCCTCCCCCTGCTGCGGCTCCTGGACGCTTATTCAAAACCCTAATCCAGCAATAAAAACTAAGATCTGAATCTCCATGTGGCCGAGGCAGACTCGTTTGAATTACTAGCGGATGCGTCTGCCCTACACACCCCTCCCCATTCTTTTTCTTGTTTTGGGAAAGAAGTGAGAACGGCCAGATGAGGCAGGTAGTATGGAGATGGCAAGATTCTGACCGCTGTCGAGACGAAACCTGAGTTTCTGTGTGTCTTGTGGGCGGCTCGAGTAGCTCTGTGCAGAGATGAAACTGGAGATGCCGTCGCCATGAGAGACACGGCAATTGAGCGCTGGGAAACTGATCTGCCGAGGTTTGCAACCATGTGAAGGGTAAGCTAGTGCGTGATCGAGCTTGGATTCAGTAATTGTGTGGTATCTATGGTGGAATCCGTCTAAAGCCAAAGTCCCCTCTCATACCCGAAGTAGCCAAAAGAATTATACAACTCCAAAAAAATTGCACCTCTTCGAGAATCCTCGCACTAAATCTGGGATAGAGGCGCAAATCGCGTGGAACAACTCGGTTCCACCGCGGGAAGCGGCAGGGTAACATGCCGCAGCAAGAGCACAAATCAAGGATTACCATGATTACAAAGATTCATAGAGCTTGTCGTAAACAACGCCTCGGAGAATCCAAAGAAAGGAAAAAAACGGATTACCCCGTTGGAAAGGTATCTCAACGCCCACCCATGTCACTACTGTATCCCACTTCGCCAAAATTTTGCGACATGCCACCTTCGCCGTAGCCGGTGCCAGGGCCGCTCATGTAACCTCCATCCTCGCCGTCGTCGTAGTCGCTGGCATCAAAAGACGAACGCCCACTAAGGTCGTCTTCCATGCCAGCCATCTCCGGTGCTGACCAGTTCATTCCTGCAAGCGCGGGATATTGCGCCAGCAGAGCCGCAGGTAGCGCATAGTTTCCGTTGTTGTCGACGGGATAGCCAGTATTGGCGTCTATTGCCATGCCCGGCCCTGTCATCGCCATGTCTTGCTGCATGCGCTGTTCTTGCCATTGCCGTTGGCGCTCAATCATTTCTTCATCCAACAGTGGTTTGATGCAGATTCGACCCGCTTCGGATCTGAAGTGACGACCCAGGGCATCGGCGCGCGCAAAACGCCGCCCACAGCCCCATTGACCACCGGCCTTGAGCTCACCCTTGCAGACAAACTTCTTTTCACCAGAGTGCAAGCTCTCATGTCTCTTCCGGTCGTGTTGTCTTGCAAAGGCCTTGCCACAGACAGTACAGACAAAGGGACGCTCGTCGGTGTGCGTTCGTAGATGAGAGCGTAGATTATAGGCTCGGGTGAAGCGCTTGGGGCACAGGGTACACTGGAAAGTAGCCGGATGCTTCTGTACTCGCTTTGGCCCGCCGCTTTCTGAGCCGCCCTGATACTCGGGGTCGGCTAGGCGCAGGGCGATCACGTTATTTGGTACCGCAGATGTGGATTGTCGTCTGCGAGCAGCAGAGGATTGCCGATCACCGGGCGAGAGAGATCGGGAGACTTCCTGGCGCGGCGCCAGATTGGAGCCTAGCGTTGCGTTGACACTGCTCGGTCTAGGCTTCACAGCAGCTCCGGGTTGGAAGGGATCTGTTACTGATCGAGGACGTGATTTGGGGCGGCCTGCGGAACTGTTAGCTTGGAACGGCGGCAGAGTCTACAGGAAAACATACCCCTGTCTGGCGGCAGTAGTGAATCTTGATCCAATTGGGACTTGGTGGCGTCGAAACCAACAAGCTTAGCATTGTTGGCAGGCGCGAAGTCAATATTAATAGCAGGGGCCATTTGCGGCATGTCTTGGCTGTTTCCGACGAAGGTGCCGGAAGGATCTTGAATGGTAGGGTAGGCGGGGATATTATAACTAGGGTTGGGCGCTGCTTGGTACTGCATGTCTGGTAAAGGTTGCGCGCCAATGCGAGGACTGATGGCAGGACTGTGAGAGGGACTGCGGCCATCGCCGAGGTTGAAGGCACCTATGCTGAGCACCTCCTGGTACATGCTGCCGTCGGACGGTCGTTGCAGAGGCGAGTGGCCGGAACCATCGTCGAAACTGTCATGCACGTTGAGATTGGGCGAATGAGTGACGGAAGACACGTCTGAGTACTCGGAGGGGGCGCGGCGGTGGCCGGTGAACTGGGCACCGCTCCACTCGTTGAGTTGACCAGGCATAAGGGCCGCCTCGGGACCAAGAGAAACGTTTCTAGAATGGACATTGGGCGATGAGAACTGATGGTGCTGAGCAAAGGAGGGAGAGTGGTGCGCCGAGCTGGGCGAGTGCTGGGACTGGGGAGACGCCATGTTATCGAGGTCGGCGGGACTGAAGCTGGAGGGTTCGAAGAGCGGCGCGTTGAAGTCGGCCTGGCTTCCGGTGGAGGGGAAGAGAGAGAAGTCGCCGTCGGCGATATTTGGGGCCAGAAAGCTTTGCTGGGACGGGGAGGTGAAGGGCAGGCTGGTTGCGCCCGATGTTGGTTGATGCGCGAAGCTGGCGGAGGGGTCAAAGGCGGGAGGGTCGACGGTGTCGGCCGGGAAGGACTGCGACTGGTGCTGTGTGGTCAAGAAGCTGTCGGCAAAGGACGAGTCGAAGCTCGAGTCGGGGGCAAACGGCTGCTGGGCTGTTTGCTGGGTGAGAGAGGACTGGTCGAGGGAGACCAGGTCGACAGTGTTGGAGTCTGCGGTCGGCGCAAACTGGCTCGGCGACGGCGAGTGCGGTCGATTTATAACAGGCTGGCCGGCAGCAGCCGACGACTGGCCGTCCTGCGACGACGACGACGACTGGTGGTCCATGCCGGGGGAGGAATGAGGGAAAGCGGAGCGCCGTTGGAGACGCTTGGGGATATTCCGGGAGCAAAGGAGGGTGTACCTGCGTATCGGAAGATGGGGCTTGACGAGGAGCGGCGGCAGGAGCAAAAGGCCGGCGGCGGAGGGGCGTGTGTAGAGCCAGAGTTGGGAGAGAAGGAGGGGGCGTGAGTCTGGAGACGATGGATGACTTGTTTGGTGAGGCAGATTTCCGAGTCAGCCTTTTTTTTAACGGCGCGCGCGCGTCGCGGGAGTTGGGATGTTTGGTGGTGTACTGGTAGAGTGGTAGTTGAGTCGGAGGAGGCTGTGCAAGCAAGCTTGGTTGCGGCAAGCGGGTTTGGGATTGCGTTGGTGGTTGGCTCACACAGCCCAGGGCCGCGTGGAAGGGAGGGGTGGTGGACAGGGAGAGTGTGTGGTCGGTAACTTTGTTGACGAGGTATTTCGTACGGTTTTGAGCGAGGACCACGGCGCGGCTTATTCTCGGTTTGGGATGATGATAAGAGGAAACTGGGATGAGACGAGGCAAAAAAAAAAAAAATGAGGTGCCTCTCGAAGCGTCAACCAAGGCTGACAGTAGCGCGGCGCAATCGGGTGAGGGGAAGAGCTTGCTTGGGTACGCATGCTGTACGGAGTACGGAGTACGGTATGTATGTACATAGGTAGTATGTAGGATACTTTTAGTAGGTATCGTACGCGAGACAAGGCGTGGGATGGCCCAATACCTGTCGACAGTTGCGTATCCGTCACCAGCATCTGAGGGAAAAATTATCTTTCCATTCAAATTCACCCGCATTGTCTCCTAAGAGGTGTTTGCTCTGCCTTGGACGTCACCTTGGATGTCACGTTGAGCAGATCTCGCCCAATGCTACACGAGTGGTCCAGTGAATCAATGTATCACGGACCTGTGGGTTATTGGATGATGTGACCCGCGAGGCTAGAGAGAAACTGGAAGCTCGGTAGAAGAGCCAGGAAGAAGTAGAGAGTGTGTGTGAAACAAGAAAAAAGGTTCTAGATTCGGCCAAGGTGATTTGTTACGGTGGTCTTGCGTATTCATTGATTCTGGTCCATATTGCGATGCAGGTCAAAAGGCGACCAGCGACGACACAAAGCGACAGCGGGGCATTTTTAGACAAGTCAATTGGCAAGGAAGACGGGCTTGATTGGTGGGCCCGGCAAGCGCCTGGGCCAATTTCCGTTATAGCGCTGCCTGAGCCTGTGACAGCCATCCTACAGGGCTGGGAGGTCCCCTGTACTAAACCCACTGGCATTCCACTACATTTCCATCCATCTTGATGCAAGGCCTCAAGCCCTGCCGTGATGAGTGCCTGCCCTGTAGCCTTGTTTATCCGCGCCGGTGCCAGTGCCGTGATTCACCAGGACGCTAGCGGGCGATCAAGCAAGACTCGGGACAATCACTCTACTCTTTCAAGCCAGTGCATGATAGAAGGCTGAGAATTCATATGTATGCGACAGTGAATGAAACGGTCTATCTAGTTTCTTTTTTCCTTCTGTCTCTTTTCTTCTTCTTGGCTCAAGTGATGAAGAATTCCTGTTTGCCTTTTTTTCAAGTCTGAACAATGCTGCTCACTGATCAGTGGAGCTCCGAAGCTCTAGAGACAAAGAAAGACCTGTAACGCCACGACGCATGCACAACAGCAATGGATTCACACTATTCCATGTATACAGGTCGGTACGTTAACTCGTTAACTAGTTAGGTAGTATCCAGGCGCTGCGTACGGATACCGGTATAGCCAAGCGCTAACTCACTAGCCGCAACGGGTCATTTTGACACATCGTGCCCATGAAACTAATCAGCGGTGATAAACGAGCATGAATGCAGGTAAAACAACGAAGCTCACGGCACTACGGCTCCCGACGGCCCCCAGCTCTACGAAAGCGTTGAGTTGATAGTTAGACATTTAGTTCCCGTAACAGCAAGGAAGGTTCGGATTACTCGGTGCTTCTCCCTCGTCGACCAGCACCTCACAGTCAGAGACGAAACTTTTGTTTCCTTCAACTATCAACTATGAGCTTACTATTATCACGCTCAACCCTCCTTCCCATTTTCTACTCACAATCTACAGAGATTCAAGCCGTGGGGTGTATATATTATGCATTGTAGCATCAGACTGCGCCACTGTCATCTCGGCCTCGCACACACCCCCCCTTGGGACGAACAAGACCATACTATCTTGCTCAGTCTGGTTCCTGTTGGCGGTTGTGGCGTGTACACCAAGGCCCGACCGCCCCCCAGGAGTTTGCGTATTATTCGTGCGGCAAAAAAAGAATGCCGTTCTCCTCTCCCACGTTGTTCCCCCTAGTCTGGTGACGACTTTGCGCCCCCGCCATCACGGAGAGCAGCCCTATCGCGTGTCGTTTGACACCGCATCGGACGCCAACCGTGACAATCTCATCGCCCTTCTTAGCGAGGTAAATTTAGAATGCTGAGCCTCAGTTGCGCGTCCCGTCTCTCGTACACTCGATATACTGGATTATTTGCGGCATTCTACGCACACCCCAAGTTCCCACACGTCATGGAAATAAGATAGGATTTCAATCACTACAGGTAACGACGGCACGTACTGGTAGATACTTGTTCCCCTTCCAATATGTTTAACGGTAGAACCAAAAGCAGACCAGTACAAGTACAGGCAAACCAAAGCAGAGGGCTCCACGCAATGACGCGGCCCTCCCCCACGGATGTCCACCCCTAGCAAGCCGCCAAACGCCCGGCTCACTACGCAGTTCCCGCGAGTAAGTCAAGCTGTAGGGCATAGCATAGTCAAAAGTTCGCGGAGATCGCACATCACTTATTAATTTGTCCGAGAATGTCGGGCCAACGATCATTTAGTAGTTAAATTTCACTAGTTTTAAGTTATGTCCTGAAGAAAGAAAAAAGCGCATGGTCTCCGTTTCCGCGTATCCCACCAACAACCACTTCAAGCCAGCCATGTCAAGCATGATACCCGTATGTGTCAAGAAAAGGTACCAATCACTACCAGCATCCGCAAAACGTCTGATTAGTCGTCGTCACTTGCTTCTTGGCAAAGACACCGACTCTGGTGATGCATGCCAACTCCACACGTCTTGCCGCCATCACTCCATCTCACCCGTGTCGTCTACGGTCTAGAATCCTCGTGTACATGGGTATTGCCTTGTCTGACGACTGTATAGTTGGCACCTTGTCGTATTGTTGCAAGCGCCGTCGCTGTACGAGTATGCCTATTCACAGCTTGGCAGTCGGAAGGACAAGATTCCAAAACATCGCCTTTGGATTCCTCCTTCACTTCAGAACCGGCGTTCCACGGACTTTTTACTCTGCTTGTAATTTCATGCGTCCTTACGATGCGCTGGTGGACGTGATGTGTGTTATTCCCCACTGACAGCCTGTATCCAATCGGCCTGCCCGATGCGCATACATGCGCACATCTCAATAAACAGGATGCACGGAAGCGCCCTCTCACGCGCCTCAATGTGACAGGTGAAGTGCTGCACTCCGAACATGCACGCCAATAAAATGTACGCCGATATTGATACCCTTGTACGGCCCCAAATTGAACAGTTGCATCTCGAAACCGGGGAACCTCAGCAAGCCCACGGCGGCAGACCGGCCAGGGGACGTGGTACGGGAGTGGGTCTTAGTAAGGCGAGGCTTTTCGCAAGGCGTTTCGGAGGTCGGGGACCCTGGGCCTTGCCTACATAGGTACGGTACCTACCTTATGTTCATACCTATGTACATACCTGTACCTACAGTACATAGGTAGGTTGTGAGTATGTACATATGTACCTATGTACAGTAGGTAGGTAACTAACCTGTACTGGGAGGCCGCCGCTTCACTGCTACCAGCCAGCCAGGGGTTTACCCAATTCCATGTCAGTCACACTTTAAAAAAGGCCAGAAAAATCACCGCGGTAAAATTCTCTCCGCCATAATAAGGTTGATCTTCATCGGGCTTTGATTCTCTCGAATGCTACCTAGCCCGCTTTGGGCTGCGTTGATCAACGCCACACCACACCTGTTGGTCTCCATCCAATCCTTCGGTGACAAGTGCCGGTCCGATTTTCTCACCTACCGATGAAGTCACTAGACGGTTATGTCCCGATCGGGAATGATAATTTCCAAATCATGCTCCTGAAGCAAAAGAACCTTTGTACTGATGACGCGTATAGTAAAATTGCTAGGGGGCATCGGGCAGGAGCCGAAACCATCTAGGGGGTGTAAGTCGAATCGTTGCGATCGTCGCCTCTTTCTCATCTTGGGCCGTAAGGCTGGGAGAAGGGGGGGGGGCAAGTTCAGTAAAGTTGGGTATTTCCTTGGCCGTATGAGTCTAAACCTTCTCGACTCATCCCAAAAAAAGCCGTGCTGTCTAGAAATTCTATTCAATGCCGTCGCATCACAAACGTAGAAAACAATGCCCCTCGGGGCAGAAAAGAGAGTGCGGGGACTGTTTATCCCTGACGAAACAAGACAACGTGCGTGGCTCAAACAACCTCGTCACGCTCGAAACCAGCCGGCTTCAGGCTCGGATTTGGTGTCTCCTTGTGATTCTTGAACTTGCTAACGAAGGGATTGGGGTCTTCCTTTTGGTTCAGGTTTCCAAATGTGTGGTTGACGCCTCTGTGGCCGGCCTCGTCGGCGCGAATGTATAGCAAAAGATCCTTCATGGTCTGATGCCCTTCAGGCATTCTCCAGTACTGTAACACGTTAGTATCTACTTCTTCTGTCTTTTATGGCTTGCGTCAACTGACCTGAACGGCGATATCAGGAATGTGGAACTTGGGATCCGCCCATCGAGGCAATTGGCCGTCCTCTATTTCTTTGATCGACCTCGTGTAGGTATGCACGGCCTCCTCCTCGAGATATCCAACGAAGCGGTGCACAATTTTGGGGTTCAGCAGATACATGATGAACATGCCGTTGAAGAAGACGCCTTGGGCACCGATAATCATGAGCTTCATGAACCAGCCCGGCTCGCACATCTTCATAAATGTCAGGAGATGCATCCTCTCGTTGTAGCTTTCTTCCAGAAGAGTTTCGATCCAGCCGTTATCGCGCTTCATACGGCGCAAGCTTCCCAGATGTCGAAGCATACCGCCGACCATGCCGGGCACGCCAGCAATACTCTCAAGAAAGACGAACCGAATGAGCTATTTTCCGTGTTAGCGATGTCTTCCAAGTCATAAACCAGCACGTTCAAGTTTTCTTATTCTCCTTTCCTTCCTACACAAACTTACCCATTGGGCTTCGGTCAAGGGCTTCTGCGCCTCGACGGCGGTTGTGGGATGGGCCTTGTCGACCTGCTGCTCGCTGTCCATGCCCGTGGCCTTGTCCATCCAGTAGCGCGCGAAGCGGACCGTCTTCCAGGCCAGCCAATCGCCGAAGGTGCGCGGCTTGCGGTGCGCGGGCACGACGGCCTTCATCTCCTCCAGGGTGTAGCCGGGATGCGGCCACGCGGCCGGCGTCGTCTGGATCAGGTGCGTGTCCTTGGCGGGGAAGAAGTCCCTGAGCTGCGCCGCAGGCGTCGTCGAGAAGGCGCGGCAGCCATGGCAGCAGTAGTAGGGCGTCGTCGTCGTCGCCGCGGCAAGGCGCAGGCGTAGACCAGCCTGCTGCGGGCTCGGGCCGGCCTTGGCGGACAGGATGGCCGCTATGGCGAGCTGGGCGGCCTGCCTTGAGGCGGGTGGTGCTCTCGTACGCGTGGTGGTAGATAGCATTGGATGTCCGGCGGGTTGTGAGAAGGGGTTGATGTAGGGAGACAGAAGACGCGTAGCGGAATTCTGAATTGAGTTTGTGGTGGTAGTTGGTGTGTATTACTTTGTTGGGTTAGTATGCAGTTGAAACTGAACGCAGGTATAAGTGACCGAGAGGGCGTGCTCCTTTTATACCGTCGTGGGACACTCCCGGGGAAAAGCATGAAATTAGCATGACAGAGCCGCAACGGGTCCGGGAATGAATACGAAGAAAACTTACAGTTGGCCTAAGGACATAATCGGGACAGAAAAACACAGGGAGCAGTCAGAGTCATCACGAGAACGACGAAATTTCAGGCATGGCGATCTATGCGCTGCAAGTCCGAAGCAGCCCTGGCCTGCCCTGCTGCGGCGTATGCCTGACCAAGACCGGAGCTCCCATTGGCCGAAGCAGCCTTTAGTATGGCTGACGGGCCCACTTCACTCGCCGAAGTGCCAGCCCGGGTTGATCCGGCGCTACCGGTAGCCTGCGCCCAACTCTCTCACTCCTACCTGGCTGCTCCTCCCGTGCTATTTTCGATGGCGACCTGAGGCTTCCACGGAAGAGACATTTTGCGCAGAATAATTCTCGCAAAGTAGGTCATCTGACCATTCCTGGTTTTCGCTTCCCGTACCTCCGTCGTGGGTAAGTGGGCTTTGATCCCTGCCGAGCAGACGGAGCCAAACGCCTGGGTATCTTTTCGCGCGTCTGGCAGCATGTCCGGTACGTCGCCGAAAACCCACTTTCGCGCCAACCCACCCACCACCACCGCTGGAATGGATGTGACAGAGCGAAGCCAGCTTTTAAGGGTGCCTTCGATAAACTAGTCAGTTTGCCATGCTGGATATATAAAACAAGCACTATTTTCATCTTCAGACGCCGAGGTAACCCCGTTCTACCTAACTACCGCAAGAAACCACAAGACGTTCTGCCAGGCAACAGAAAGCTTCTCACAAGACTTCAAGGGACTGTCAGCCGCTGCATGGAAAATGTGTACGCCAAATGGCGCAATCATGGTATAAATCGCTATAAACGCCGTATATGAATCTGGCCGGCCAGTATCTTCCGTCCACTCCACAAAATCATCAAAGTTTCAAGCTACATATGTACAGAGTATACAGCTGACGAGGCAGCCATGCGTTAATTAGTATACCGGGATCCAATGCCCAGACCTCGAGCTGCGCCGCAGCACTTCAACCACCTCTCCCGTGCTGAGCCCGATGCTGAGGTCGATAGTTTCGTAGGACTCGCGTCGATGAGAAATGTGCACTACCGTGCAGTCTGCAAACGATTCGTCCATCAACTCCTGAATCTGCTGGTCCATCTCCGCATCCAGCGAGCTCGTCGCCTCATCAACGAGCACAATCTTAGTGTCCATGATTTCCCGATGCAGAATGGCACGAGCAATGAAAAGAAGCTGCTTGTGGCCATGCGAAAGTCGCGTATCCACAATATCCGCATCTAGTCCGCCGTGCTTTTCAATGTGTGCCCAGAGTCCGACCCCCTCAAGCGCAGCGATGATGTGGTCATCTGCGGGCATTGGTGCGTCAAAAGGAAACATATTAAAGCGGATTGTGCCCTTGAGTTCCACGCCATCCTGCGTCAATGTTGTAATTCGAGACCGCAGTAGGTTGTGCGGGACTGTCTTGATCTCCCTGTTATCCACGCTGATGCTACCCGAAAATTCAATCAAGTGAAGGAGGGCAAGCATCATTGACGACTTGCCACTCCCCGTGCGTCCGATGATGCTGACTTTTTGGCCGTGCTCAATGCTCACCGTTGCATTGTTGAGTGCTCGACGCACCTCCCCACCAGGGCCTCTGTAGCTCGCCGTGACGCAATTGAAATCAATTTTGCCAGTCGTGGGCCAATCTTCCCCAACTTCCGGAAGGACAACACGATCCTGCTCCTGTGGTGTTTCCGCGCAAAACGCTTTGATGCGTGAGAGGCCACCCAAACTAGTCTCCACACGAACCCAAACAGACAGGAACAATGATGCTGTGGTACTGAAAGAGATAAGATTGAGAAGCGCCAAGCCAATAGCACCGTCTGATGTGGATTGCGGGAACACCAAGGATATGCTGACGAGCGTGACAGCCGACACAAATGTCATCGTATCAAGCACAAAGGTAAGCCACTGCTGGATGCAGAACAGGTAATAGTATGGCTTTTGCGAGGAATCAAGTCGTTGTATAAATTCGCGCTGGAAGTAGTATTGCCATCCGAAGCTGCGGATGTGTGCCATCCCAGAACTGGATTCCGTCACGTGTGTGATGAGTGGTGAAGACGTCTCAAGCTCCAGTAGACGCAGTTGACGCGACGTCTTGAGATAGTAGTACTGGATGGCATAGAGGGCCACGATGAAAAAGACGATGATAGGCGCAGCGTACTTAGCTCCAGAAGATATGACGCCGATATCCACCAGAACGTTGAAAAACATGGAGACAGTTGCCATGAATAGTGTCGGAAGTGTCTGCGAAATCAAGGCTACATCTTGACTGAAGCGGTTGAGCAGTGATCCTGCATCCGTATGGCTCAGGAAAGACAGTTTGGCCTCCAGAGTTGACTGCAACAGGTCCCAGTGGAGCGCTGCCGACGTCTGCGGGACAATTTGCTTGAAAAATTGCACGCCAACGATTGAAATGGCGAGAATGTCTGAGACGCTCAGCGCGACAAAGCCCGCAAAATACGTGTTATTATTTGCATCGATGCTGAGCCAGATGCGCATAAAAATTTGGGGCATTCTTTCAAGAGCTGATGCAATTGCAACGCCTACAAACCACAGAATAAGCATGAAAATGCTGGTTGATTTGAAGAAGAATCGGTAGAGGTGATAGTCGCTCTCTTTTCTCTTATTGTCGTTGCCGACTTCTGGCGTTTTGGTTGTGTCCACGGCGGGTGGCCCCTTGACTTGATCAAGCAAATCCTCCTCTACTTTGTCCGCGGGCTCAGGAGTTTGGCCTCGCAAGCGCGAAGGTGTTGTTGCATGGTTGAAGTTTGGACGAGGAAGCGGCATTTGAACAAAATTGCCATGCTGCGAAACCTCAAAGATCATATCTGCGGCGCTCAGAATGTTGAGGTTCTTGGTGGTCATGATGACAGTCGAGTTCCAGCTGCGCAGTAGACCGTTGCGTCCTACCAAGCGCTCAGTAATTGTTGTGGCGGTCATGTCATCCAAGGAGCTGAGCACGTCGTCGAGAATGATAATTGAGCATCGCGAGAAGAGGGCTCGAGCGAGTCCTATGCGCTGTTTCTGCCCTCCACTAAGATTGCATCCGTTGCTTCCCGTCATGGTCTGGTCACCGTCGGCAAGATCATCCAGATCCTTGGCAAGATCACATGCCTCTATCACATCGTCATAGAGTGACTCGATGAATGGGAATGCACCGATAATGTTGTCTTGAATGGTTAGGTTTTGAATCCACGGCGTCTGGGCGGCGTAGGCAACGTGTCTTGTCGCAATATCGATGGTGCCAGTGTCAATAGGCAGTTCTCCAAGAACTGCACTGAGAAAAGCTGATTTACCCGTACCAAGCCCACCATGGACCATTACGACACAGCCGGTAGGAATCCGGAGAGTCACGTCTCTGAGAATTGGGCCCGTCAGGTCAGAAGTGTACGAAACGTGGTTCATTTCGATGGCATATGGGCCTGGTTGCACCGACAAACAACTCTTCTCATCATATTCAGCGCTACGCGGCGTCGGCAAACCGCCACTGTCACGTTTGTCGGATACTTCGGGGAGCAGAAGGAATTTTTGGAGGCGCACAAGACACGCCCACCCGCCGGCATAGTAGGGAAGATAGCCCAGGAGCTCGCTAATGGGCAGTGAAACAATCAAGATGATGGCGTATGTGGCAAAGACTTCGGGTACAGTCATGGGGTTGGCGGCTCGTGTCCAGAATCGAGCCCCGCCGAAGACCGCGACGGGAGCCATTGTGTTTCCGAATGCGTCTGTTAAGTTGCGGTCAGTTTCGTGACGGCTGGCGAGTAATGGAAGGCAGCTTACAGATGGCAAAGATGAAAACACGTGCATTACGTTCGCTCATTGACGTATCGATTTCGCTCTGGCGCTTTCCTTGCAGAAAATTGGATATGGCGGTAGTCAGACCCATGGCTTTGATACTCTTGAGCTGCGCCAAGATGTTGGACGTTGAAGCGACACGGGACTGGATTTTCTCGTTCCAGATAGTCCGGGCTCCTTGCATCTTCTTTGACGTATAGTAGGTGGCTACCGAGGCAACTGTGGTTGGAAATATTAGCAAGGCAACGGCAGGACATAGGCTAGAAGGACATACTGATTGTCGGTATAAAAATCAAGAAACAAGCTGCACCGACGAACTGGTAAAGAACAAATATTCCGAGGCCAAGTTCAATACAAGAAGCCCAGGTGGAATGCAGTCTGGTCAAGAGTTGATCCAGACCAGCGATGTCGGCTGTCATCAAAGAAACAGCAGCCGAAGCTGCTAAATCTTCCATGCCTAGTCGTTGGATTTTATCATATATAGCAACAACGAGAATGCCTCGTACACATGTCTTTGCTTGGTATTGGAGCCGTTCGGAAATTGCCTTGGAGATCTATAGAGAGAATGTTTAGTCATGGAACACGTCCTATTTGAGGGAGAGAAGAACATGAACTTGCCGCTAGACCACCAAATATCAAAATGGTAGCTCCAATCAGACCGTTGACTTGTGACCGGGAGACCACGCCCTCGCTGATAATGTCCATAACGCGCTGCATCAAAAATGGCCGGCCAAATGAGAACCCAACTAGACATAGTCGCGGGAATACTGGGCTGAGGAGTTCCCAGTAGAGTGTACGAAGTCCAGCTCTGACTAGAGGTCTTTTTGACTTCTTGGAGGCTATAGCTTTCTTCCAGAACGGGGTAAAACGGTCGAACAGCTGCTCGGAACTGTATTCATGGCCGATGGGCGGAAGATCTTCTACTCTGAGATTTTTCCTGGCGCCCTCGACCACCAGACGAGTAACCCATATCATCATGGAACGGTTCCAGAAGCCAATATTCTGCTCCGGGCCTGCAGCATCGCGAATATGGTCCGAGCAAAGGAGGTCGCGTTTCGGTATCTCTTCCAACACAGCCAGTGCTAGCTTGAGGGAAGCAATCGCCACCTGCAGAGCAGCAATAGTGCCCATGCCACCTCTCATGTAATAAGACCGAGCCATGGTGATATCGAAGAGCATGGTGATGGATAAGAATACGCTGAGCAGTGCTGAAGACTGCACTGTATAGATGTGGGTGATGTATATTATGGCAAGGACGCACAGAGAGGCGACAAAGGACAATATTGACGCCGCAAGTGAAACAGGTGTGCGAGTGGCGCTGTGCCATAGTATCAGACTCGCGAGTTGGATGGCGACCAGAGAAACGCTGAGGATGAGCTTGAGCCAGAGTAGAGCACCTGGCCGAGCCTGGCGGGAAGCACGAGTGGCCTTTAAGAAAACCGGCAGGGCCAGGACGACGATTCCGGCGGGCACCAGACCAAGCATGGCATGCTCGAAGAAGATGGTGAAGTCGAAGCGACCGGCGTCGACCGGGCCAAACTGAGTGTCCATCTCGTCGAGCATGTTGACGAGAGGCCCGAGACGGACGGGCAAGGACGGAGAAGACGACGAAATGCTTGTTTGTAGCGGCAGCGGCGGCGGCAGCAGCAGCAGAGTACTAGATGAGGAACCCCTCAGCAGACAGCATCTGCGCCACTTTGGCTTTTGAGGTGTTGGAGGCGGAAAGAGGTGGAGGTGTTCCCAACAACGAGACGAGTGTTGTTGGTAGTGCCCACGAGCGGCAAGGGTTATGGGAGCATGGGAATTAAGCGATAGAGGATGGTAGGCTGGGGGGTCTTCCCTGTAAGCCACAGGTTGAAACGGAAATGTCGGCCGCAAGCCTCTCGCATCTGTGTGCTTGCCAGGTTTGGTTGGAGAGTTGGCACCATGCCTGCGGAGAAGGCATCGAAGAAACGGGGATGATCGAAGCGGCCCGGGGGAGCACTGCTTGGCTCACTTGGGGGCACAAAAGCGGCGTGGCACTGGCGGTGGAGATGCAGAGGATCCCCAGGTCGCGAGCAACCAGAGATGAAGAGGAAGTGGGAAAAACCAAAAAGGTAAAAAGGGATGGTGACAGTGTTGGTGGAGGGGACCGGTTTAGCTTGGTACTTTTGGTGGTTGGCAGGTGGTCAGCGGTGCGACGCTGACGAACGAGCGACAACTTTCTTGTACCACTGCTCAAGTTTGGTAGCGGTAGGTATGGTACTTGCGACACCCCACCCAGGTGCACCATCGTCACCACCACCAGATTGGGCTGACAAGTGGCATTGGCTGTCTCTTTTACCCTCGGACAATGCATTTCTATTCTTATCGTCAAATCACACACGTGAGCACATTTTTGCAGGCTGCAGAAGACGGTGTAATAGAGGGACTTTTGATGCACTGTTTGGCAGTTCGGGTTTCGCAGCGAACCGCATCTTTCCACGTGGACAGGGGAGCCCGGCTGCCGGCGGCAGCAGGATGGGATGGACTGAACTGGTGTGGTTAGGAGTTGGGGGCCGGAAATGAGACCAGGAAAGCGGTGTTTCGTTAAAAGTCACGGCACCCGGTAAAGGGGGGAGAAGCTGCGAAGCGATGCCAGGGAGGTTTGTGAATAAGCCGCGGATCAGCAAGACCTCAGGATCATCGGCGGGCGGGAAGGGCTTTGTATGTACGGGCAAATGACCGGAGTGCCAAAGACGATGACGGCCGGCAAGCTGTCTTCTGTTTGCGGAGTTCTCTGTGGGTTGGCTGGAAAGCAATGCATGATCCAGCAGGCTGCAGAGACCAGACTGCAGCAGACTGCAGAGGTGGCGCCGAGACAAGGCAGATGGGCCATGAGAACCCTGTGGGTTTCTAAACTTGGTGTTTTATAAGTTAGCAATTGGTGATTGTTTTATTGATAAATGATAAAATATTTTATTTAGTGTAGACGAAGGCCCATCATCGGATATGCCAGCAATAACCAGTGATGTGTTGTCGCAGCTTTGTTGCACCCACCAACCGTGTATTCGGCAGGTACTTACTTACCTTAACAACAATAGACTCGCGTGTGCATACCAAGGCATAAAATCTTACCAGGCTCGTTTACTCGGCTCTTCATCAGAGCCGCAACAGATTCTGATTCGCTTCTACGGCCTAGTCTGTACTTGTTACTACTAGCGTTTCTCGCTGTGCATAATGCGGATTGACCGAGTACCAGTTGTTGACCTTCTCCTAACCATACTGTTACGTTGTGTCATGAACAACCAGTTCCATAAACGAGCCAAAGCTTCAGCCTTGACTAGATAAGGCCATGCTATTGGTCCATTTGTCCACATTTTTTTTTCGGCGCGGGCTGAACGAGGTTCGTGGGGCCACAAAAAGAGGGAGCGACGTTGGTGGGAGGGACAGCAAAACCAAGGCCTCTGATACCAAATCCCGCCATCACCGGAAGCTTCCTGTCTTGGCCTAGCCGGGGTCGATCCTACAGCGGCGTCGTTCGGACCTGAGTAACCTGGTCATACGCATCCAGCGCAGACGCGGAGGTGGCAGGGCCTTCGGCGCTGAGGTGGCGACGGTGCGCGGTGAAAATGAAAACAAGATCAATGAAAATACAAGTACGGATAGCTGCATACAGGGTACTCATGTGAGAGACTACCCACGCGACTTGTACAGTCGGCGTACCGTCATCAAGCTTTCGGCTCACACCATTTGTCGCAGGTGTGGACCGTTCATTCCTGCGAACTCTCATGGTGCTCAGCCATACGCTGCTTCAGCGTACCTATGCTAGACAACCTCGAGATAGAGCGAGAAGTTGGTCAGCGCCTGCTGTTCGGTGTGGCCGGATGGCAGGGTTGATACAATTACTGGTAGAGTGAGACTGGGGAAGTCCGCCAGGGGGTGGGAAGAGGAAAAGGCGGAGAGCTACTTGTACGAGTGTTGATTGAGTGATTGTGCAACCACGGAACGCAACCCACCGGGACTCACACGACAGCATGATATATGTACCTGTGTACGACTTCCAGAATACAGCATCTTGGCTGCCATGTGTTCCATGACAAATTCCATGCAAGTCCTACCGCTTGTAACCCCTGGTACATGTCGCCTCCATGTCTGTCTCGTCGCCAACGGTGGTTCCCAGTAATTCAGTCCTTTGCTGTGGTTGAGTGCCAGGTGGCGCACCGCCCCTAGTGCCATTTTTCTGCACGTGCGCTGCAATGGCTGGCGATCACTCTGAGCACTGCGGCCTCTTACTGGCTCCCAGCGCGGAATGCCAGCACAGCGTGCCCGAATCCCCGGTTCCGCTCCACCACCTGGTCTCCTCAGCGCACGACAGAGGTACAGTACGATAGACAAGACAGACCAGAGGAACAGGTGGGAGGCGACGGGTTCCCAGCGTTGGTTGCAAATGAGAATACTGAGAAAATTGACTTGGACTCGTGCTGAATGCGTCTATTGGTGCTGTCTGCTAGCTCATGGACACCATACTGCGCCTCCTCTCCTCTGCTAGGTCTACCACATCCCCCGACCTCTCCATCGTCGTTGCTCCCTCCCTACTCGCTCAGAGGATCTCTGCCCAGGACAGCGTCTCTGTCCGCTCCCGACGTTTCTGGCTCATAGGCGATATGGGCTGTCATCGGGCTGTCCGTGATGGCCATGCGGCCTCTGAATAGAAGATTGCTGCCAGTGCCCACTATGTACGTAGGGTTACACTTATTAGCAACCCGGCACTCGCATCAGGACCAGCGAGCGCGGCCCGAATCCTCAATTGCGCAAGAGCTTACCTGGCTGTGCCTGCACCACTGATAATAACAGCAAGTAGTAGGATAGAGTGGTATAGAGCATTTTGATTTTGACTCTCGCGGTGGACAATAATAAGGGGGGTGTTTCGGCTTTGCTCTACCTCTTCTCAAAGACAAGTCGTTGATATGGTTCGAAAGAAAACGGGCATCACCGACATTTTATCACTTGCCTTCTCCAGTTTTAATATCGTCCGCTTTGTTCTCTTGACAAGCCTCATCCAGCGGATGGGCTTCTGAAATAGCGACGAATGGAATGCCAAGAGGGCACTTAGCAGCGCTACTGAACGCTTCCACGTTGGCCAGTGGCTTACGTGTGTTGTGGTTATGGCTACTTGGCCAAGCCTTTACCCGTCAGGGACAGGGAAGAAAGCCACAGAGTAAGGGTGGCGGCGCCGAGTCAGTTGGGTAAAATGATGCAAAAAGCTGGAAACAAAAAAACCATGGAGTTCTATGCCACCCTACCACCATTTATTATGGCTGATGGTTGCGTCTTAGCGCGACAGGGAACCGTCGGAACATGGCGGTGGGTGACCGAACTTTGGCAAGTAATTGCGATTCGACGTTCCAGTTATCTAAGTTGGTTAATTAGCTGGTGAGTTCCGTGCCTCTCTGCTGGTTGTTAGGTACCAATAATAGCTTCTGCTGTGGCGAGTTGTGTGTGTGTTCGGGTTGAGCCTTTGTTGCCACCATAATCTCTCTTCAGCCATTACGTGATGGAAGGAGAGAATAATTGGCACGTCCACTGGCGTACATTCCGAGACACGTTCGGGCAGAGTGAGTGTGTCGGGTGAGAAGCCCTTGTGATGACGTCTTCGCTGCATGTTGACATTAGGGAGGGAACATGGTGATGTAGAAAACTGGTCGAGAACTGACAGCGTGGACAAGTGGAAGGGTTGCACAACATAACTAGGAGAGTGAGGGTGTGATAGCTGACACCGTGCCAATGCCCAACGTGCCAGAGTCGCCTTGGGGCCGTCTGCTCCAGGCTGTGTTGCCGCTGGCAGTGGTTGCAGAAAAGTTGAAGTTCTCAACCATATATGTACAATGATGCATACAGGTATGCAGTTGGTGGCTTGGTGGTTCGCTGGGCCGGGCAGCTCCCGGGTAGGGGGGCACGTCGCGTCTCGTCCCACTCGGACTTGTGGAGGGGTAATTTTGACCCCTCGCATGGCATGATGCTGTGACGCCAACATGTGCCTGACACCTGCCCAAGGAGGGGTTGAAAGCCCCCAAGCCCAAGCCCCTCGCGGCTCACAGCCGCAATCACAAGCACACCAAAAAAAGAAAAAAGTAAGTAGACTGACCCTCGCTGTAGTGGAGTTTCAGGTAATTCCGAGCAAAAAATCACATCCATCGCGACTCAGAATTAGCTCCGGGTAGAAATAGCTAACAAGTTTGTAGTTAAGTTAGTAGATATGCGATCTGTTGCTCGCTGTTATGGCGTTCCCATCCTGGCCCAAGCCGAGCCCACGTTGGTGACTCTTAACCCCTGCCACGTCTGCCAGTTTTTTTCCGCCCGAACAGAAGGCCATACAAAGACTGAGCAGGAAAAAAAAAGTAGGGCCACATACCGCAGAAAATTAAACCCGATCTCCCTTCAACCACCAACCTGTCATCTCCGGCTTCGTCATCACTCTCAACTTCCCATCAGACCGACTTATCAACCTGAATCGAACCGAAAGCACAGCAAAGGTTTGCTGGATTTATTATCATGCCTCCCGCAAAACAATGGGGTAAGTTTCGCGACCGTTGTTGCCCGACCGTTTGAACGCGCTTCCTACGCAAGGTTTGCGCGCAAACCCAGTGGCGGATATTGATTTTTCATGATTCTGCATCTCACGTTGGCGTGTACGCATGAAGAAATCAGCACACCCCCAAATATACCAATACACGTATGCACCAGGCTAACCGCGCTTTTTCCACCTATGAACAGACGAAGAGTCTAGCGACTCCGATACCTCCACCTCCCCCGTCGCTGCTGCCCCCCGCCGACGACAGTTTGACGACGAAGAGGACGACGACGATGTAAGGCGCAGATCCCGAGCACGAATACATAAAAAGCCTTCTGCGCAGAGCTTATATAACCATGATTGCTAACCACCTTTAACGCAGGTTCTTGACTCCTGGGATGCCGCCGAAGACTCCGAAGTAGAGCGCGAGAAGGCCAAAAAGGCTGCTGATGCCAAGGAGAAGAAGGCTGCTGAGGATGCCGCCAACAAAAAGTCGAAGCTTCAGCGTATCGCCGACCACCAGAAAGAGCGCGCGCGCATGCGTGAAGAGGAAGAGGAAGAGGAATCCGAAGAGGGAGAAGACGAAGCTGAGCGCCGTGCTCGTCTCCGCCGCACCGAACAGGAAGCTGACCTGCGCCACGCCGAGGATCTCTTCGATGGTATCGGTATCAGCAACAACCGTGCCAAAACTATCCCCGGCTCCAACGTCGTCGTTGATTCCAAGGACCCCGGCAACACTGTCGACCTTGCCAAGCTACCTATCTTCAATCCCCAAACCAAGAAGCAGTTTGAGCAGCTCCGCCAGGTCCTTGTCCCTGTCATTGCTGCAAACGGCAAGAAGGGCCACTACGGTCTCTTCCTCGAGGAGCTTGCCAAGGAACTCTCCAAGGAGCTGCCCAGCGAACAGATCAAGAAGATTGCAAGTTCGCTCACCCGCGCCGGTAACGAGAAGCAAAAGGAGGAGAAGGCCGCCGACAAGACTGGCAAGAAGAGCAAGGCTGCCAAGACTAAGACCTCGCTCGTGACTACCCGTGCCAACACCAATGACATGGAGACGTATGATAATGACGCTTTTGGCGAGTGAGTACATACATAGGAGGCTACAATTGCGCAAACACATTACTGACAAGACATCCAGCGACGATTTTATGTGAAAAACGAATACGCGATTTCAGCTCATTTATGCAGACCGACTGGTATCTGCCCCGACAATATCCAGCAGCACTATCGGCTTCATCGGAATGCACATGACGACTGCAGCATTAAATGCCGCGCCAAGAAAGAGTCTCCTCGGGGTAAAAGAAAAGGGGAGGGATAAAAGCAACACAGGCCCACTGAGCTTGATCAGCCCTCGAACCTCCCCCGTTTCTCTTTGTTGTCTCGACTCTCTGGTTAGAGCTTGGTGCTGTTACCGTTCGGGGTTGGAACAGCGCGTTGGACTAGGGAGACGGGACGACGCCTGTAACCTGGCTGAAGGAGACCCTGGTAGGGGAAAGGTCCAGTAGTTCTGTTGTTCCTGTTTTCGTGTTTATTTGTTTGTGTCTCTTAGTTTCGATCTCATTCTCGCATTGCGTTCTCTCAGCATCCATCTATAGCAGTCGGCCATTTTGAGAGTGCATTTTATCGCTTCTCGTTAGAAAGTAGACCTCACTGCCCTATAATATCACTACTATAGGTATCCATCTCCTCCTAGTCTTTGTCTAGATAGACTGTCATTCTCCGGCTTAGTATGCGCTCTATTCGTTCCTGATTTGCGGTATCATTCCAACCATGACCGTTCCGTATCCTGCATCGGCCGTTGTGCAAGATAATAGATAATGTACATGACGCCCATCGACTCTTTGCTTCACACCAATCTCAACTGCCTTTCCATCAACTCCCCCTTTCTCCGTGTATAGATTGACCCTACCAGTGTCGTAGAAGACGCAGCCCCAGATCACCAAAGTCGTTAAAGGAGATTTTTAAAAATAAGCATGTCAAAACTCCTACCCAGAAAAACGCCGTTGTCAAATGCATAGAGTAAAATCCCTTTGCTGCCAAAGAGTACAGAAGAAAAGCAGTTCAAAACGCCGAGAGCAGAAAACATCACCTGCTCCATCGCTCCAGAACAGAAAGTAGCGATATTCTTGTTTGATGTATGAGATGTGTCGTTGTCGCTTGATCAGTATCCACACGGTGTCGACCGAGTTAGACTACATTGCCTGCCATGCCCATGAATAGAGCATGGACGGCAAGGGACAGGGTCCAGAAGCCAACCTTTTTGAAGCGGCGGACGCGCGATTGCCGGTCTTCAATGTCCTGTGCAAAGGCCTCATACGTCTCGGCCGACGCGTCGTCCATTAGACCGCAGTCAAACAAGGTCCAGGAGCCGTCAAACTCACTGACGCGCTTGACGATCCGGCACGAGATGGGAATGTATGTCTTTTTGGCGTTGATGTAGGCGACAATGGGGCGAATCAGCGCCTGGTTGACGTAGGACATGTCCTTAGTGAACAAGGGCATCGCGGCTTTAACGTCGTTTAGATGGATCCGGAGATCCATGATAAAAAAGCGTCGGTCTTCGTCGCCAGAAGTAGAAACCACTGCTTTGTGTTCTTCTTCAGGCGGCGACGGCGGCGCCGTAGCAGCTTCTGAAATGTGACCGGACTGGACCATTAGAGGCTGGGGGTCCTCGTCCTCAATTGCATTGCGAAGGAACCGATTTCTGTTGGCAACAACGACTTCTTCTAGTTGATCGTAGAAATCAGCCATGACCTTAGTGAGACTCTCATCGTTGTCCGCGGGAAACATCACATCGGCGACAATGTCGACATCGCCTTCGTAAATCCACCCAAAGGGACCCTCCACGCCACGGTTTAGATGGTCGATTTTGAGCCCATCGATCCTGAGGCGACTCGACTTCTTCCAGGCCTTGGTTTCGCCAGCGTCTAAAGGCCCTCCTTGATAATGATTGGATGGAATGCCGTGCACTTGGCGGGGGTGTATTGTGAACAGAGACCCGTCAAAGGATCCAGAAACGTGTGTCGCAGCCAAAAAATCATAAAAGAGCCACTGTTTCCGTAGCTGTGGCAACTCGCATGAGTATATGCTCACAGAAAATGGCCGGAACCCGTTTGGTTGATGGATGGTGACTAGTAAATCTTCAAGCTTGAATGATTCAATCTCGAAGTCACCTGCTTGATGCTCATGTCTATATGAGTAAGGGTCTAGAGGTACAAGTGGCCATTGCACGTTCGTACGATCGACCACACCTCGGACGCCATTAACTTCGACGTCTTTCAGCAGACCTTTTCCATTCCACCAGTTTAGAAAGGAGAGGGTCACATTGACGTTTGCAATAGTCACGTCAAATTGCGTGTAGTTGCCATCGTCCTCTGTATCATCAAAAGCGGTAAGCTGTGCTTGACGGCCAGCCGCCGCCGCCGCAGCAGCATTATATGAGCCCTTGCTAACGGACGACTTGACCTGCCCTGGGCGACGAGACACGAATACATTGCGAAATGCAATCACACCGTCCCCCCATTTCGGAACAATGGCGGATTCGAATACAACGGTGACGCCTGCGGACTGAGTCAAGTAGTCTCCGACCCATTTGGCGAGGGTTTCTAAATGTTATTAGCAGGAGGCGAGGGACTTTTTTGTGCGAATGGCCTACCTTGCGCAAAGACGGTATTGATGGAAAGGATAAGAAGGGAAAAAAAAGTCGTAGTTCCAACCAAGATCCAAACAATATGGCCAAATAAGAACCAGGAGACGAATGCTCCCCATTCGTCCACGTTCCATGGTCTCATACTTCTGATGGACATCCATTTGAAGCGCACCCTTAAGCGTTCCCAAAAACCATTCGCCGCAGCCAGCAGTTCCTCCTTTGTTGGGCGATGGGGCATCTTTGGCAAATGCAAATATTTAGATACAGAAGAGGCCAATGATTCGGCTTGGCTCTCCTTGAAGGGTTCTGGAGTACTAGGGACGCTTTGCTGCGTTTCGCCGCCGTTCCTCGATTGAATAGGGCTTGAGTCTTGGCTTGCCACCTCGTTTGTTCGTGGTTGTTTGTTATTGGAGGCATTACTGCTGTATGGTCGCCTTGATAGCATGCATACTATCTGAGGGTATCGGTCGTTGTAGGTGTATGCCTTCAAAGAAGGCGACGATATTCTGCTTGTGACGAATGGGGGTATCTGATTTCTGTTACTCTGCCAACTGCGTGATCTTGGAACAAGGATAGAGGCTGCACGCAGCTGTAGTGCAAACGGGAGATCCTCATATCGTCCGGAGGTTTTTGATGGGCGAAAAGCCTGTCGAAGAGCTCCCAGCCCTACAGGGGCAGGCGGACACCCAGCCGCGCCGACGCGACCCCAAACGAGCCACGACGGAAAATATCTAGACATTTTCTCGGATCATGGCGCTCGCAGCAGGATAGCGAGGACGCTGGAGTTAGAAGGGAGATGATTCTTGTCCCAAAAACCTGGATGATGGCGCTCTTCCCAGAAGCAAGAGGCTGCTTGAGCCAGTAGCAAGTCGCAGATCGCCCATTCCATGACGCGCTATAGTACCGGTGCCGCTTTACGGGTCAATGAGCTAGGCAACTCCGTACACTGCTTCAAATCCTTGGGTAAATTAAAGAAGCAAGCGGGCTAGACTAAAGTAGGTAGCTATGGCTTGTCCAATCGATAAGCAGGACCGACCCACTAGAAATTTTGGCTAGCCTGTGTGGAAAAGATTATCAGCGATCGTGTGAGGGCCTCTTTTGTCAACTTTCAAATTTCAAACTGACGATTATATTTTCCCACGAACTGGAACGGGGTGCCTTGCGAGAAAAAAAAAAGCCATACAGCCTATAGATCGACTTGACGAATCATAATAAAATAAATACTCGCTATGCCCGCGCCAACCGCCCTGAAGGTGGCCCACGAAGCCCCGCTTCCCGTCGAAGCCGATATTGTCGAGCAAGGTATGCAAGGGCTGCGAGAGGCGAGTAGTCGCGGCGCTGACAATTTTTTTCTAAAGGCGAGGACGAATTTATCCTCGACGCTTCCGAAGCTGTGGCTGGCGAGGGAGAATTTTTGGCTCCCCAAGAACCTGACGGCGACGAGTTTATGGCTATTGACGAAGAGGGCCGACCTCGGTTTGCCCCCGCCAAGGACGTTGTATGTTCCTACATGAAAGGGTCTTGGGAGAGAATTTGCTGACTATTGTAGGACCCTGTGACACGAGTTGAAACTCGAAAAGTGCCGATTCCACCTCACCGAATGACGCCGCTGAAACAGAACTGGATGACAATCTACCCTCCTCTTGTCGAGCATCTCAAGCTCCAGTGCCGTATGAATGTGGCGCGCAGAACCGTGGAGCTAAGAACATCCAAACACACTACCGACTCCGGTGCCCTACAGAAAGGCGAAGACTTTGTCAAAGCGTTTACCCTCGGGTTTGACGTCGACGATGCCATTGCCTTGCTGCGCCTGGATGACCTCTATATCGAGACATTCGAGATCAAAGACGTAAGGACCATGCATGGAGATAGCCAGGCCCGTGCCATCGGCCGGATCGCAGGCAAGGACGGCAAGACCAAGTTTGCTATCGAGAACGCTAGCCGTACGCGAGTCGTCTTGGCTGACTCCAAGATTCACATCCTGGGAGGGTTCAAGAACATTCACATGGCCCGCGAATCTATTGTCAGCCTCATTCTTGGAAAGCCTCCAGGCAAGGTGTATGGTAATCTGCGCACCGTGGCTGCGCGCATGAAGGAGCGATTCTAAAAATACATAGCATGGCTTGTCTTTTGCAAAAGCGATACAGCGGCGTTCTGGAGTGTGGGGATTTCTTTTTTTGGAAGAATCTGGATGGAATCTAGACTGATGAATATGCAAAAAGTCGAATTTACCGTCAGAAGTCGTAATTATTACCTACCCAGGTCCAGGTACCTACTAAACGTTTGTTATCTGACTCGGGGGGTTGTCCGGCCGGCTGTGACACTGGCGGTGACAAGTGCCCCAACTGAATTTGTGTAATGCGGTTGCTTTGGTGAATATTACGTGTGGCAGATATGCGCTTCTATGCATAACAATAAGAACAATTGCTGTTAGTACCGGTGTTAGTATTAAAAATGGAGAAGACGCGCCTGTCTACCCAAACGGGCCGATCCTCCGAGCGATTTTCTGCGGTCAGTGACCAAGAAAGGGCCATGGATTCGCGCCTGAGGTGAGCCAAGCTGGCCATGATTGGAGAGGTCTACGATGGAGTGCGTGAGTTAAAATCAGAGCTATGTAGGCTTGGAGTGAGGCACCTCCTTGGTGGGTGGTTGCAAGCAGCGAAATCGCCAATGTGGGCTGCGCTGTTGCGTCGCTGATTTGGGCTGGAAGCAATCAAGCTCTGCAGGTGCTAAATAAAGGCTGTCCCGCTTTTTTGTCAGAGAGTTTCGAATGCTGCGACCAGTGTGAAGCTGGTGGACTTATGAGCAAAGATGGCAAAGTGCCTCAACTGGCTGCCCACTAACAGCGCTATCTACTGGTTGCACCGGGCACTGGCTCATCTGCAGCTGTTGTTGCCCCTCTCTTGCCCCTCCATGGCCTCTGGCTGATAAACAGCTTCCTGGGCATTGTTGAAACCTCTTCCTCCTCCCAACATCTTTTCTTCACCATACTTTCACCTATATCGGAGATTCATAGAAACACTCTCTATTAGTCTCAGCTTACGGTAAGTTCTGTGCTTGTCGATAGCGTTCGACACTTCTTGATATTTCATCACGACACCAGCTCTCTATGTTACTCGCTGCCCCGCCATATGAGCTTGTCCTGAGCTATGCGAAGACTGTGTTGCTGTTGAGGCATATTCTCAGCTAGCTGCTTTACGAAACACAGTGGACTCGATAATCCCTCATGACATTCAACGTTGTTACTCGAGCTGTCTTGGCGCATGCTCAATTTTTGCAATACCTGCATGCTGCTGATATGCTCCTCATTTCCGCCCAATGGCGGGGTCTTCTGAAAGTTTCACACCAAACAGGTCGCTGACGCTTTCTTATCCGCAGAACAACGCCATACACCATCAATTCAGTCAAGATGGCCATTACCAAGGTTCACGCTCGTTCCGTCTACGATTCTCGTGGCAACCCCACCGTTGAGGTCGATCTCGTCACTGAGACTGGCCTGCACCGGGCCATTGTCCCCTCTGGCGCCTCTACCGGTTCGTCCCGACCACCCCGCCTCCTCCTACCGAATCAGCGTTGTAACCGATTATCACAGGCCAGCACGAGGCTGTTGAGCTCCGCGATGGCGACAAGGCCAAGTGGGCTGGCAAGGGCGTTTCCCAGGCCGTCGCCAACGTCAACACCGTCATCGGCCCTGCTCTGATCAAGGAGAATCTTGATGTTAAGGACCAGTCCAAGGTCGATGAGTTCCTTAACTCTCTCGACGGTACCGCCAACAAGGGCAAGCTTGGCGCCAACGCCATTCTCGGTGTCTCCTTGGCTGTCGCCAAGGCTGGTGCCGCTGAGAAGGTAGGCACAGTCCGCAAGCACAAGCAGGTCACAAATCAGGCTCGGGAAAAGGACTAACGATAATCTAGGGTGTCCCCCTGTACGCCCATATCTCCGATCTTGCTGGTACCAAGAAGCCCTACGTTCTCCCTGTTCCTTTCATGAATGTTCTGAACGGCGGGTATGTTGCAAATTCAAGCACCTTTTGTTGTTGCCTGTTACTGACTGCATTGTAGTTCCCACGCTGGTGGTCGCCTTGCTTTCCAGGAGTTCATGATTGTTCCTTCGTACGTTGTTCAAATCCATTCTCCACTATGCCGATGGACTAACCCGTTCGCAGTGAAGCCTCTAGCTTCACCGAGGCCATGCGCCAGGGTGCTGAGGTTTACCAGAAGCTCAAGGCCCTCGCCAAGAAGAAGTACGGCCAGTCCGCCGGCAACGTCGGCGACGAAGGTGGTGTTGCTCCTGATATTCAGACTGCCGACGAGGCTCTCGACCTCATCATGGAGTCTATCGAGCAGGCTGGTTACACTGGCAAGATCAAGATTGCCATGGACGTTGCTTCCAGCGAGTTCTACAAGACCGAGGAGAAGAAATACGACCTGGACTTCAAGAACCCCGAGAGCGACCCCAGCAAGTGGCTGACCTACGAGCAGCTGGCTGCTCTCTATGGTGACCTCTGCAAGAAGTACCCCATTGTCTCCATCGAGGATCCCTTCGCCGAGGACGACTGGGAGGCCTGGAGCTACTTCTACAAGACTCAGGACATTCAGATTGTCGGTGATGACTTGACTGTCACCAACCCTCTCCGTATCAAGAAAGCCGTTGAGCTTAAGGCTTGCAATGCCCTTCTCCTCAAGGTCAACCAGATTGGTACCCTGACCGAGTCCATCCAGGCCGCCAAGGACTCTTATGCTGATGGCTGGGGTGTCATGGTCTCGCACCGCTCTGGCGAGACTGAAGACGTCACAATTGCTGATATTGTCGTTGGCATCCGCTCTGGTGAGATCAAGACTGGTGCTCCTTGCCGCTCTGAGCGCCTGGCCAAGCTCAACCAGATCCTTCGTATTGAGGAAGAGCTTGGCGATTTAGCTGTTTATGCCGGTGCCAACTTCCGCAACTCTGTTAACCAGTAGCTCCGTGGTTACGAGGTGCTATCATATGGCCTTAAATAGGCATGGAGATATGAAGAAATCAAAAAGCGATGAGATAACGGATGAAGCACTAGTCCTATATATTATAGGCCAAAAAAAACGATTCCCTACAGTCTTCGCATGACAGTCAGTGACATGTACGGATGTACTGTGCAGTAGCTCCGGTGGGGTTCCAGCTCCCAACCTAAATTGCGTCACCACGGCAACGGGGGCTGGCAAAACAACGTACACGAAGCCTTGAAAACAACATCTAAATGAGGAGGATGTGCACTATTCTCTAAACTAAAATGCCATTTTGAAGGCTACACTAAACCCAACAGCAAAATCGACACCGAAATCACGGTCGAGGCTACGCGCGCAAAATCATGGCGCTCTCGGAAGATCTCATCAACTTTGATGTGATTGAGGGCCAAAAGGAGAACATCCAGTCTCTTCCTGGAGGTCGTTCAGCTAAGAAACTCCACGCGCGATACTCACCAACACCGCTGCAAGGCCTCTCGACACCTACCCCTACTGCCACTAAGAATGTAAACGACTGCATTCGTGCAGAGTATGAGGCGGAGGTGCAAAGCACCTCCGAGTCAGACGACCCCCTCGACGTTTACGACAGATACGTCCACTGGACGTTAGACGCATACCCCTCTGCACAAGCAACGCCACAATCACAGCTTCACACACTCCTCGAGCGGGCGACCAAGGCCTTTATCGGCTCATCACAGTACAAGAACGACCCGCGCTATCTGAAACTTTGGCTGTACTATATCCAGTTCTTCGCGGACGCCCCGCGTGAGACGTACATGTACTTGGCTCGCCACGGCATCGGCGAAGGCCTCGCGTTGTATTACGAGGAATATGCTGCATGGCTTGAGGTGGCCGGTCGATGGGCCCAGAGCGAAGAAGTATACAGGCTGGGGATCGAGCGTGAGGCTCGCCCCGTCCAGAGATTGCTTCGCAAATTCAAAGAGTTCGAGGAGCGACAAGCCCATGTTCCGGACACAGCTGGTGCCCCATCTTCACCAGCTCTGCCTAGCATTCGCCCGGCACTCGCTGCTAAGGTCGATCCCTTTGCCGCCGCCGTCCGCGCGGATCCGCAGGCGTCTAGACCGGCGAGCAGTGCGAGCGGCTCCTCAAAGCCAGCTAAGTCCAAGTTAGCCATCTTCTCAGATGCAGATGCCAAGCCTTCTGCTCTGTCCTCTCGTGAGGAAGGCTCTCGGGGCTGGGAGACGATTGGATCGCTTTCGGATCGCAAGAAGGAGAACACGATGGAAGCAAGGCCGTGGGTCGGCGAGACGCTGAAGGCTGGTGGAAAGAAGCCAGCCGCTGCGGCCAAGATGGCTGTGTTTAGAGATACGGTAAGTCCTACTTCAAATTGCACCCCTATTTCTTTCTCCCATTGATGGCCCATTAGGACTAATGTATTGGTTTATCGTGTTCTTCGTGAACGCAGTCTCTTGCGCAAATACAAAATATCGTTGTTGTTCCATCAAAACACCAAGTGACAGTGCACCCGCAAACCGGGAAGAAGGAGTATATCTTCGTCGATCTCGCCGCAGTTTATCCCACACCGGACGACCCTGGCACGGAAGTCAGCTTTGAGGAGATCATGGCGGCGAACCGTGGCTGGTTAAATTGTATATGGGAGAATGAAGACTTGGTAGAGCATTACGATGATGATGTCCCCATGCAGCTGGACGAGATCCAAGGGATTGGCAAGCTGGCTATCCACCGGGACGCCGTAATGTACGACGAGAATGGCGCTCTGCAGCAGCAGCCTCCTATCCCCAAACCTAGCAAGAAGAAGAAGCACATGGACGTCAACGAGACGCAAATAAGTAAGTACCTGAGCGACGGAAATTTTTTCAAAGCAGTACTAACAGCAACACAGTCAAGGCTAAGCTGGATTCACCGTCTCGACCGAAGATAAAAAAGCGAAATACATCAGAGCCAACAATGACTCTGCACACAAGGGCAGCTACGGACGATATATATGACATTTTCAACGCTCCCATCAAACCTCTTGCCGAGAATCACAACGAGAGTGCTGATGAGTACGAGTATGAATCAGATGGCGACTACACTACTGATGCAGAAAGTACCGCGGCGACTCGTAATGTCGAGCCCAGTGAGAACGGAGACGAGGAGATGACTGATGCGAAGTGCTTGAGCGAATGGTTAGATTTTTCAACTCGCAAGCATGTTTCGGATGTCGACGGCGAAAGCAATCGCACGCTTGATGGCGCCACCACCTTCAACGAAGATTCCACTTCGCAGCAACTGGATCCGACAAGGGATGAGGAAATGGCCGATGAAGCGGACGAGCCTCACTTAGCCGAGCAAGACTCGCCTCCACGAACCAGAACAGTGTTTGTTCCTATCCCGCCTGAGGATTACGACCCTCCTACTCGTCCGTATAGAGATGCGGCCGAGGTGGCCAACAACAGACTGCCGTTCATGACGCCAATCACGGAACGGACCGAGGTTTCTCTGAATCTCGACGAAGCCTACGAGAATGGTGTCGAGCAGTTTAAGACTCCCTGCAGACGGGAAGACTATGAAGCATCAGACCGCCTACATACCGACTTGGAGTCGCTCAGCAGTCCCTTGAGAGAAATAGTTGAGGATGATTTTCCACCCCCAAAGATTCCTACGGCACTTAAGCCAAAGGCCGCTCCTCTTTCGGTCATGTCAGCCAAGACTCTGCCCAGAAAAGTCCCCATCATCAAGGACGTCATGTGCAACCCCATGGATGAGAATGTGCGCGGAGAAATCCTGGCCAACATCCAACCGCCCTTGAGCTCGTACGCTGGGTTTTACGACCAGCGACACGACCAGTCCGAGCGTAGTGGCGCTATCCACAAGTTTATCAAGGCCCTCAACAGCAAGCCAGGTAAATTGAGTAACGAACGAGGCGGGTCACTTCCGCCGCAAGTTGTCCTTGACTTTGCCAATGTTGACGCGTCCTATACGCTCAAGAGAGAACTTGGGGCCGGTGCCTTTGCGCCCGTCTATCTCGTCGCCAACTCATGTCCTGAGGAGCCAGCTGGTGATGAGAACGCAGTAGCCGTCATGGGCAAGGGCGCGTTTGCCGTCAACAAGCGTGCGGGCTTGGAGGCTTTGAAGATGGAACACCCCCCTAGCCCATGGGAGTTTTACATGATGCGTCTTTCACACAGTCGCCTGGGCCCGCAGCACCGCGTCTCTGCGTCTCTATCATATGCTCACGAGCTGCATCTGTATCGAGACGAGGCATTCCTGTTTCTTCCTTATCACCCCAATGGAACGCTGCTTGACGTAGTCAATTACTTTCGCTCCGAATCCTCTGGAGTAATGGACGAGCTCCTTGCCATGTTCTTCACCGTTGAGCTCATGCGCACCGTTGAGGGCCTTCACGCCAAGCATCTCTGCCACGGTGACATCAAGGCCGACAATTGCCTTCTGCGTCTAGACGAGCTCTCCGGCACCCCACTTCTCGCCAACAAGTGGCGGGCCGATGGCAGCGGTGGTTGGGGCGCGCGGGGCGTCACGCTCATTGACTTTGGCCGCGGCATTGACATGCGCGCCTTCGTGCCGCACGTCGAATTCTTTGCCGATTGGAAGACGACTGAACAGGACTGCTCAGAAATGCGGGAAGCGCGGCCCTGGACGTGGCAGATCGACTACTACGGCCTCGCGAGCACGATCCACTGCCTGCTCTTTGGCAAGTACATCGAGACGGTGCGCTGCGACAGCGGTGGCATCGGCAAGGGGCGCCAGTACAAGATCCGCGAGGGTCTAAAGCGTTACTGGCAGACGGACATTTGGGCCGACTGCTTTGAAGTGCTGCTCAACCCCCTGTCGTTTGTCGCCGGCGAGGAGGGAGGCACCATGCCGATGCTAAAGTCGATGAAGAGGGTGCGTGAGAGCATGGAAACGTGGTTGGAGGCAAATAGCGACCGAGGCGTTGGGCTCAAGGGCCTAATCGTAAAGTTGGAGTATTACGCCAAGATGAGGAAGTAATTGCTGGCCGGCCGCTGCTTGTAGCATGCATGATGGTCTTTTTGTTCTATACTTGTTTGTTGAATACGGAGTTGAGTGACTTTGTTGGGGCATTTATTTACGTTGATGATACCACCTTATTCATGTTTTCCTTACTACTGTGAGAGACGAAATGGACCGCTTATAGACAGTGTTTGAACCTTCAACTCATATTCTTTGCCTTTATGCTAGCTCAATCTACTCGTACATGTTTTCTTCTTCTTTTTTGATAAACAAAGGCTGGTCTTCAGTCAAGAACGCCTGGTCTCGGGTTAGTCAGTCTCATCATCAGTATCATCGCCCTTCTTCCTCTTCTTCCCTGCCGCGAACTTTTTGCCGCCACCCTTGGCGGCCTTCTTCTTGACCTGGTCCTGAATCCGCTGGCGCTCTCCTGCTCCGCGCGCCTGAAGCTCCTTCTCCAGCGCAGTAAATTTCTCGCCATCGGCGTCCATGCCAACAAGGCTCTCGAGGAGCTTGATCTCGTCGGCCCATACCTGCTTGTCCTCGACGGACTTTCCCTTGGCGTCCTTCTTGTCAATGGGCGTCTCGAGCACCATAGGCATGCCGCAGAAGCTGTCCTCATTCATGACGCTGTGGAAGGCCCGCAGGCCGAGAAACCCGGTACCAATGTTGGCGTGCAAGTCTCGGCTAGAGCCAAAGGGGGCCTTGCTGTCATTTACTGCGTATGTGGTGTAAGCGTGGATGTCATAGCGGTTGAATTTTCTGGCTCGCTTACAATGGAAAGCCTTTAAATACTTGATGCCAACAATCCTCCTGAACTCGTCGAGCGTCTTGCGAAACGCCTCTGGCGTGCGCAGGTCGTGGCCGGCCGCGAAAGCATGGCACGTGTCAATGCACACGCCGACGCGAGACTTGTCATCCACAAGGGCAATGATGTCGCGCAGGTCCTCCCACGTCGAGCCGATGGTGTTGCCGCTGCCGGCCATGTTCTCCAGCACCGTGATGACGCTGCTCGTCGCCTTGTGGGACTTGTTGAGCTGCGCGGCGATGCGCCCGATGGCAGCCTCTCGGCTGTCGCCGAGCGTGGACCCCGGGTGGAAGTTGTACAGTTTGATTCCGAGCTGCTCGCAGCGGTTCAGGTCATCGAGGAAGGCGTTGTACGCCTGCGTCGCCTTGGCCGGATCCGACTGCGCGAGGTTGACGAGGTACGAGCCGTGCGGGAGGGCGTGCTCGGCCGCGTTGTAACCATGGTTCGAGCAACCGCTCATAAAGAGGCTCTTCGCCTCGGGATTGATGGGCGGATTATCCCATTTGCGCTGTGACTTGAGGAAGAGAGCGAACGAGTTGGCGCCAATGTGTACTGCGTTGGTGATGGAATTGTTGACACCTCGAGGAAAGAGTTAGCTTGTCTGACTGATCATTTGCAGCCTGAGAGATCGGAAGCGTACCACCAGCTGCGCTCACATGAGCGCCAATGTACATTGCCTTCTTTAGCGACGAGACCGCGGTGCGGTCTGCTAGTGGCATCGCGTCTTGGTCGTTGGTCTTCGTAGTCTTGCGCTTTTTGGTTTGCTGCGGTTTAGTGGCTTCAGGCTTAGCCTCTTCAGCACCTTCGTCTATGACCATGCGTTTTGGTGCAGGTTTGGCTGCAAGTTTGGCTGCCGCTGACTTGAGCGACCCAAGCGCTGCACGGGCAGCAGATGGCTTCTTCGCTGTCTCGTCGCCTTCTTCCTTATAGCTCACAACCGGCTTCTTCCGTGGCGAAGAGCGGGCCATCTCTATACGTGGCCGTTATTTAATGGAGAAAAATGACGCAAAAGTACCCCCAAGACTTGCTGTTGGTAGACTAGCTGGCGAGCGCTGGTGTTGGCATCGCCAGAATCGCAACTCGCGTGCGCGAAACGTGTAGCGACCCTCACGCGTGGTCATGTGACGAACAACTCTCTTCTACGAGGGAAGTCGATGAGACCATACTTGACCGTTCAACGATCGTATTCTGATGCTCTGCTGCGGTGAATGCTATAATTCTGCTTTGAAATTAAAAAAATTTAAAGAATTCTCAAATTTGCCTCAGTCCTTGAAGCCTCGTGGCATTCCTCCACTCCAAACTTAAAAAATGCCTCTTAATGCAACAATCCACAGTGTAATTCAGCATTCAGCTTACAATCTCCATTTCGCTTACACGACCTGGAACAAAATGATCCTTGTAGGTTTCCCAGAGATTCTCCAACTCCCGAATATATAGCTCATGGTAATAATCAATTTCGTCTGCCGTAGGCTGGTGGCCGGGAGCGAAATGTACTCTGATCGGCTTGCCGATAACGACGTTGACTGGTCGACGATAAGGCATGAGGCCGACATCGTAGTTAAGGAGACCGCGTCCGTGGAGTGCTGGCAACGTAAACTTGAAGACCTTAAGAGTAAACATCTGAAGCTTGTGCACCAGAGGATGGGTTTTTGGGCTGAGCTGATCGTAGATATCGTTCTCGCCAAAGCCGATTACGGGAACAAGGTCGGCGCCACTGCGAAGTGCCATTTTGACGAAACCTTTGCGGCCTTTGAGAATCAGGCGGAGGGTCCCGGGCTGCGCCTCGAGAGACTCGCGAGCGCCTCCGATGACAATGGTAACCGCACGACCTTCTCCATTGTTCTTTGGACCGCCCTTGCTCAGAATGTTGCGAATTGACTCTTTCGAGACGGATCGAACACCCATGGCAAGTATCCAATCTCTGTAGAACGGAATGCGAAAGTTTGAATCCAGAGTGAGAATACTGTTGGTGATGCCAGGAAACTTTTCTCTGAAACCAAGGGCATTCGTCGCGAACGAACACCAGGCACCGTGTGAGATTATGCCGTGTGGGTGATATCCAAGAATGTATCGCCTCTTGGGATCAAGGTCAAAAGTCTTGTGCAGCCGAATAGGAAAGTATCCCGCGAACAGCTTCCACAGCGGCATGGAACGTAGGTACTCGGAGCGATAGGACAAATATCCATCAACAGCTGCCGTGGAAAATGTCAGGTGCAACAGATATGGTATCAATATAGGCCACATGAGAGGGTTGGCGCAGGTAAACCAGAACATGGAGACCAAGACGACGATGGACATGCAGTGGAAGAGCACTGCTCCCGTCTGTAGACGGCGGCGCAACGGTACTCGTAAAGGCGCGAAGCGAATACCTCCGGCCTTCCATGAATTTGCCTCACTGTTCCTAAGCGACCTCTCGCTCTTAAGGACTGGGTATTTCGTCGGAGGCGGCTCAACACCATTGACGGCCGGCTTAACAGCGTCGGCATACGATTTCGAGTCTCCGTTCGTGGCGCGCTTATCGGTATCATGCGTCGTATCGTTAGTAGCTGTCGCACTTTTATGGATAACAGCCGGCACTGTATCCTTTCTATCCTGTATCATCTTCTTAGCGATAACATTCGGTAGACCTCCAGGTTGGGGGGGGGGGGGGGATTGTCCGGGTTAGGAACAAACTGGACTTTCTCAAAGCTTTCATTTGTAGCTTTTGGCACGCCAGAAGTTAGCGTAATACTTTGACATGATACTCACGGAGCAGGTGCCGGTTGCGCTCGGGCGGCGAGCATCGCATGGCAAATAGCGCAGGACTCATCTAATGCTCGCAGTAGAAGCGAAACGTACCGCTCGGGGGCAAGCCCATTAAAGTGCTCGCCATCTCGTTTGTTGGAGCGAGTCCTGTGTCGAGTTCTAGGTACAGCGGGCAAATCTTCAGGTATCGTGATTAGAGTAGAGGTCGCGATGAGGGCGGGGTGGGTGGCTGGTAGCGTCACAAGGCGCAGCGGAATGTCACAGTGGCCCTGTCAATTTCTGTAACGTGTTGCAACGATGCAATACTTGCTTGCAAATACACCGGGCACGTTGAGAGGATAGAACGGAGGAGTTGCAAGTTTTTATCGCGCTCCTTTGACTGCGTTAGGGCTCAGCGGTGCGGGAGCTGGGTAAGGGCAGCAATGACGTTGACAGCCCAGTACCTTGGTAAGCTAGCACGTGAAACTGGTTGGTGTGGGCGAAACAGACAGACCTGTGTGCCGACAGCCTTTGGAGGCCAACAAGTCAAGAGGTTCACAGTCATAGTGAACAGTGAATGGCCTACAGAACTTTAGGGCGTTAATCTTTGAAGGGGTTGATGGAGCTTACGAAGCTAAAGATGAACAACTAGTGTTAACAATTCAGCTACGCTCTGACTGACTTGTCCTGAGCGGGGACAAGATCGCAAGGACAGAAGCAGTGTGTATAATACAACATAAATAGATTCCATCATGAAAAAAGGATGTCTGGTTCGTTGCTCCTTGACTTTGTGCAGGATCGCAACACAGACTTTAAATCAAGCCATCATCCTATAACGCCATTTCCCATTCTTAAAAACTTGCCGCCTCCCTGCGGCGAATAATTGTAGGCTGACAGGCCTCCCCAATTGCTTTTGTTTTGCATACACATAAACGAGTACAAATAGGCGACATCCAGGCAGCCTATTTCAACCGTTGATACCAGACTCGAGCACTTCCACACGCTTCTTAAGGGTATCAACCTCTTCGACCAAGCCTTTCATTTTTTCTTCCATTGAGTGGATATATTCCCAGACACCTGGGTCGCTCTGAGCAAACATGTTGGATTCAGCCGGGGATCTCGCGTGGTTGTAACCAGCTGATGCTGCAGCCGCAGGGAAAGGATGAGATAAGCCCGGCAGCTTGGGTCTCTGCCCGAGAGGTGGCGACTGTCGCCGTGCGGACTGCGCCTGTTGAGTTTGTTGAGGAGATTGGGGGCGGCCCGGAGCAGGTGCCTCGTGTGTTGGAAGTGCGGGACTCAAAGCCTTGGGGCTCTCTGTCATGGTATTCTGAGAGTACAGGCCAGTGTTTCCACCCGCGGCCGCGGACGATACGCTCGTGTTTGCAGTGCGGGCCGTGCCCATGCTGTTAGGAATCGATGATGAAGCTGTACTGTTGCTCGATTGTGTCTGGCTCGCATTGGGTGGGTATAGTCCGCTAGCCATTGCAGCAGGTCGAGCACCCGATGGCGGATATGAGCGCGATTGCGCCGAGTATTGGTCAGGCTGGTGACCACCAGTCGGAAGGCTTTGTCGGCGCAGCTCGTCCTCGTCACCGTGGTCGTAGGTCATACCAGACATGGCAGAATCGTCGCCTTCCGCCATACTGCCATCCATTTCATCACCTTCGGCGAAGCTACCCAGACTGTATCGTCGGCCAGCACAGCCGCCGGCTCCTTTTGCATGTCTTGCAAGAGCATCACCTCTGGCAAACTTGCGATCACATTTAGTGCAGATGTGTGGCTTCTCTCCAGTATGAAGTTTGCCATGGCGCTTGAGGTCGTGCAGGCGGCGGAAGCGCATTTGACATGAGGTACAAACGTAGGGCTTCTCCTGGCTATGCGTGAGCAAGTGGCTCTTGAGGTTGTGATGCCTCGTGAATTCGGTATTGCAATAAGGACACCGGTGCTTTTTGGTGCCGGAGGAGGTTGGCGAGCCTTGAACAGGCGATGGGCTGGGGTAGGTCATCCCTCTTAGGCTTTCAGTAATGTGAGGCGTAGCGAAGGAGTTGCTAGTATATGGCATGGAGCCGGACTGATGCCGCACTTCCTGGCCCTCGACATGCTCGGGGGAGAGATGCTTCCCGTCATCAACATCCATGGGACCAGGGCTGGCGACCAGCTGTGGCGCGGCAGAAATTGGTGTTTGTTCCACGGCGGCATCAGCAACACTTTCTTCTAGGCGAGCAGCGCTATTGGCAGCAGCAGCGAGTGCGCTGGCCGCCTTGGCCGCTGGCTCCATGTCAGCGGTAGGCGCAAATTGAGGTGCGTCTGTTGGGCGGCTCATTGGTTCGATTCCGCCAGACATGAGTGAGGTCAGGGCGTTGTGGCTTGGGTTCTCTGTGGTTGATAGTTGTGTTGTGAGCCCGTCTCGTTCTTGGAGCTTCCTGCGTTGTAGATCTTGTAGAGATGCTGCCCCGGTCAATTGCACAGAGGGGTGAATGGTATCCCACGCGATGCGAGCGGCTTTAGTGGGGGATTCGAAAGGATCGGCTCGACCAGACGGCGGATGCGGAGATGGAGAGTCGCGTTCGCGCTGTCGCTTGGTGCCTGCCCGGGCAGCCGAATTAGACGGGGGAGCGTCAGGCAGAGGAGGCGCGGTAGAAAGAGTAGTAGAGGTGGCGTCAATGTCGACTCCAGCAGATGCCATAAGACTCAGGTGCGACAAAACAGTGCGGCGCAACAGAGAGAAGAAGCGCAGAAAGCATGCAAGTGACACAGGTCAGAGCGGGACATCAAGCGAGCATGTCGTCCGCCCTCTAGTGTTTTTTGTCTGGGCGAAGCGAAACGAACGTGTGGCTGATGAACGTGGCGAGAGCTGGAGGCAAGTGGATGAATTAATTTTTTTTTCGGCCTACTGGTTGACTCGCGCGTGGAATGCACGTGAGAGATAAGGGCGAGGACGCGGTGGCGACACGTACAAACAGAGGCAAGAGAGACGAAGACTCGAGAGAGGGTTGATGGATGGGCAATGGGCAGAAGGCGTAGAGCAAGAGGTCGGGTAGTGGCGCGTTGGATGTTGGTGAAGAGCAACAATCATTAGTGACGATGGAGAGGAGAGAAAAGGTGACGGGTACTGGGGCTGGGTGCTGGGCATGGCCGCTAAGCAGGGCTGGCGCCTGGCCAGGGAGCTGGGGCGCGGGCGGGCTGGAGTGGGGGGACGTCACTAAGTAACGACAGCGGACCTAGAGGTAAGAACGTCGACCGCAGAGGTAGGTAGGTACTGGTAGAATGGAAGCGCCACGGGCTCGAGGATATGTTTTGAGGTGTGGGTGTGTGCATGCGTGTCTTTCTGTCTGTCGCTCGTTTGTGTGTGTGACGAGACCTGGCATGTTCGAATACAAAGACGGACGCATTCCCGTCGAGGCGCAAGATTGGTGGCTGTGCTCATGGATGCACCTATGTAGGTACTGGTTCTTTGGTTTGAGGACTCTAACAAATTGACGGCCGCCAGAAGATTCAGAGCACACCTAGACCTAGTAAATGCCTGGGCTGGAGGCCAAAAACGTTGCCGCGACGGTTACTCGGGCTATATTGATATTGTACTTGCAGCACAACTGATGATGGTGGGTGGCTCACCCTCCTCTGCCTGACGCTCCCTTCTAATTCGGCTGCCCGGGCAGGGTACCTACCTACCGAGCGACTAAGTCTCACAGTACATGTTAAGTACACTCAGTTTGCTACCTATGAATGCAATGGAGCATGTATCTTGTCTTTGTATTGTAGGTACTGCCAGACGCGACGGAGAGGCGGCCCACTGCGTGCACTGCCGTCCGTCCACTCACTAGGTACTATCTCAGACTGACCTGATGTCAATGACAACGGTAATTTTCTCTGGCACTGCACCGAGGTAGTACCTTACTAGTGCTGGTTATTGCTCCTGTGGCGCAACCGCGCAGAACACTGGTGATGACCGATCCCCGTTTATCTATACTTGCGGATCCGGTGTACTGTAGGAGATGGCTGAGGCTGATCGCCTTCAGCAGCAACGGTCTGACCAGGTTTATCGTAAAGTCGCCCGAATATGTCTTCCGCCATTTAAACATGCACCGACGACACCACCGCCCTTGTCTCTTCAATATCCTTCGGCTTTTCTGTAAAGAGTCTCTCACTCTAGCTATTCCCATTCCGCCGCGCGTCGAGCTTGAGGCGCAGTTAGTGGGCCAAGCCGAACAAGCACCCTGCGTCAGCAGGCAGAGCCAATTGTGGGCATTACCAGCACTGTTCCTGGTTATTACAGTTTGTGGCAGCACTGTTTGCGACCAGCCGGCAAGGCTGCCAACTCCAGAGCGCGCCAGCGAGGCTGGACCAGTGAAAGGCATACGAAAGGAAACAGCTCGTCACACAGCCCCCATGCGGCCTGAGAGTCAAAGATGTTTCGAAAGGCGCAAACAAGCAGTGCCATGCCTACTTCATACATCACAGTCTGCTACCAGTAGAAGCATAGGTACGGAGCCTTTGGATCGCAAAATTCATACAAATTGGCGAGGTCCACAGTAACAGCATCAACGGCAACGACTCACAGGCATAGGTACTTACATAGGTACTTGGGGGGGAATAAGGGCCTCTATGACTTTCTGCCTCCAGGTGCGCAATCTGCCTCCAGGTGCGCAAGTACCGCTCGTCATTGAGCTTGGAATCGGCATGGTGGACATTGGATTTGCTATGTGCGCGGTGACCTGTATCGAGAGGAACCGCATGACGTTCCTCTGCCATCATGCACAGGACTGTGCCCCAGATGTACACCCTAACTACTACCTCAATAGAGTTCAGCCCTCTCCCTCGTCACCTAACGTAGGATTGCATGAGCGTCATAGGCTACTACCGTTCAGCACATTGCAGGCACTGACTTAGTGACTCGCCGCGCGATAACTATTTATTAGTACTGCCACAGCTACAGGTACATGTAAGGCTGATTCGATGCCATCAGATCTGTCGTTACCCAGTCGGCTCCAAAGGCTATAACTAGCTGTAAGCCATTGGCACTGGCAGGTAGTAGAGGCTGTTTATAATTACCAGATTAGACCATGAGACAGCTTCGTCAACCCTGTTATTGGCCATTTGTTTTGTCTCCGTTCTGTTCTGTAACAACAGTTTCTCACTAAATGCATGGTCGTGCTGGATGACGTAGTTGACGCCTCCAGCCAAGCTGCCACAAGCCACTGACAGTCGTGGGCTGGATGGGCTCCGCGAACCAATCATGAAGCGTAGCTATTTCGTCCTGTTGGTACCAGCTACCCTAGCTGTTGACCTTTGGTCACAAGGCAGCTGGTAAATCCCACCACCAGCAAGTTAGCATGGGCACTAAAGTCAACCGAAAACATGACGCGTAAAAGAGGTCATCTTTTTCTGAACTCTCCACCTGATCAGCGAGTAGGCGGGAGACAAACAAGAGGTCTCGCTGTTGTTAAGCCTTAAAACCGGGTTGGAGCGGCCTTTGTTTAGATCAGGCATAGAATGGGCAGGAGACAGTAAAAATGACACTTACTAATTAGATTACTTCGTACAAAGAGGCCAATGACAATGCAATCCATCGTTGAGGAGAGTTCAGGTTGCAGCGCTTGCGAATTTATATGCTCAAAATTCAACACAGCTTCCAGTCTAACAAGGTTGTGAGCCTGTATACCAGCCGCCGATGAAATGTAATCTGTAGTTAGCCTGTTTGCCTGCCTTAACTCGATATTATACGCATATGGGAACCGTGTACGGATAACGATGAGTGGAAAGAAATGCAACGACGCTGATGCCGTTCACGAAATCCCTTTGAGTGCGCGAAGACTTCAGTAATATTTCTATCCACTTGCAGGAACGTACATTTGAGTACAGAAAAAATAGGGATGATAACCTAGATCTACACGTACCTATGTGTATTTGATTACGTAGAAGGTACATTAACAGACTAGGGATCATCACAGAAAATTAAGTACCTAGATTCTTATGCGCTTTAATTGCTTCAGGTTCCTGTGAGGTACAACACCGCACTCAAAGTGATATGACATTCAGCATCTATAGTTGGAGATGGTAATATGACGGGGTTAATGTCAATATCTGATTTGCACAGGTTACTACCAATAGTTATGGAGTACGTGTGCTCCGTATGAAGTACTAATAATATGCACACCGTTAGTTGTGCTGAGGCTTCAAGTTTCCAGTAATGCTGTGGCCGATGTCTTCGGTATGGGGTCTGGAACGTCCAATTTCGGACTCGTATTGGCGCCAAGACCGCAACAATCCTAGTCGCCAAGAAATACCCATCAATACGGTGAATTGCAGAGTTGTGTAATTTGAGATATATAAACATCTAGAGATAAGTAGTTAACACGCGAGCAGCAGAGTTTAATCCTCCAGTACTTCGTACAAACAAGCTTTTAGTATCTATTGCAGCTCTGACAGGATGCGATGCATGAGGGGCCACAGCAAAGGGGCTGTTTCAGATGAGACTGGTGGGCAGGGATGAACCTATTATTTTACGAGGATCGTCCAAGGCGTGTGGCTGGCTGGTCTTTAACAGGCAATATTTGCCCGCCCTCCACATAGCTTGAGGGGCTTTTCTCCCATTTTTTTTCTTTCTTTCTTTCTTTTACTTTTTCTTTTTGGCCAGCTGGCATGTATTGGCTGCTGCTCGAACATTAGACCGTAAAGGAAGACGCAGAAGCGCAGACGTCTCGATGTCCCCATCATAATGGTAATGGCCTGAGAGGCAGAGGAATTAGCCAACCAGATAAGTACGGGGGCGTTGCGAATCAATAAAACAGATTGAGATTATGATCCTCACAGACCTCTTGTGCCAAGTCCTGCCGGTTTGCATGGGCAGTTGCTGTTAACCATCAGATGGTACCTGGTTATCCGTACAAAGAGGCGGCTTATTAGTGCTAGGAACAAGCCACACGCCCACTGTTCGTACGACGTCCCCCTTTTTGAGGCGCCAAAGCAGAAGGAAGGCCTGTGCTTTCACTTCGCTGTTTGATCAAGGCGCGCCCCAGGTTTTCGCATTGTTGGTCATGCTGAACAGATACGATGGCGTGTGGGAGCAATGTAGGTGAGGAAAGCTCAAATGGCGTTTCGGTGTGTCGCTGGCTACGGCCACACAGTCTTTGAAATTGTCCGACGCCTGTCGAGGTTACCGCGTGTACTACCCGCCCGTGATGGCTTCCGAGGCTGTACAGAAGACTGTGCCTATCGATAGGCCTACCTAGAAGCACATCCATGCTCGCAGCTCAGGTATAGGAGATAGATGATGCTCCGCTGTCGACGCCTACCAACCTTTATTATACTGGTATAGCGTGTGAATACCTAGGCATCGTGTTTATGAGGTTTTGTCAACAGTGCCGGCACTGGCATTTGCGGCAACGCGTCGTACACAAGCTGGGCCGAAAAGCCGGCTGCAATGAGAGGAAGAGAAGCAAGTTTTACCTTAAAGAGTCATAGCCTGGGCCCTAAAACCAGTACGTTAGCACGTTTTCCTTCCCTGCGACTCTGCACTTTGTACTGGCAATTTGGGTTTGGTAATACGGGCGTCTCCCACACTTTGGACGCACACGCCCCCTTGCGGGCATTCTTCGCGCTCTCGGGTAGACGCCGCCGGCAGCCCTTTTACAGAGAGAAGAGAACAGCACAGGCTCCCTGCCTTCCTGCTTGCTTGCTTGCCTGCCTCGGTCTGTTGCCAAACGTGCCAAACGTGCCAAATAACAGGCCCAGCGTGCCACCGGTGCTAAATCTCAGAATTCAGGTACGCGCCACACCCACCCACCCACCCAGCAAACCACTCAATCTCCACACGCCCCTGGCGCCAGCGTCCCCCCTTTGATGCCCTTGTAAGTTGTTCCTGGCCTGGCGTGACCATGGCCACCGGCCATCATTTGGACTTTCCTGGGTCACGCCCCTCGACCCCCCAGCAACTGCTGGACCTCCTCCTTTTCCGTCCCCATTACCTGTGGCGATTCGCTTCGTCCTTTTCCATCTTCGTCGCGCCGTCAACTTCGTCCAACTGAGAGTTCTTGCTCTCTACCACGCTCCTTTAACTGGCCTACTCCCTCCACCTCCGCTCTTTCGCTCAATCCCTTCGCTTTCGAACCCTATATTTACTCGGTTATCGTTATAGTCCTCTCAGGTGTGTGGCTCTCGGCTCTGATATGCTGCAGCTCCGCGGTGTGATTTGAACCCACTGATGGGATCATTTCCTCTTGGTTGCGCGATGCCCTTATAAGTTGGGGCTCCTAGCCAAGCATATATTTCTAACAGCAATCATCCGGCTGTGCGACAACGTTGTTTCTCCTGGTATGATGCTGACATATTCTTCGATAGGCATTTTATCATTATGAAGACCTTCATCCAATTGACCCTCGCGGTCACCCTCGCCGCGACGGTCACTGCCTCGTCTCACCACCACGGTCACCGCCATCTGCACGTCAAGAAGGATGCCACCAAGGTCGACAAGCGCGAGCCCGACGTCGTGACCAAGGTCGTTGCTGGCCCTACCAAAATTGTCTACCAGCTCGGCAACAAATTCGTCGACGCCACGGAGGCCAAGAAGGGCCTGGACAACGGTGACTACATCATCGTTGGCGAATCGACCCCGACTTACACGCCTCCTCCTGCTCCCTCCACCACCAAGGATGTCGGCGCGCAGTTCATCGAGTCCAAGTCGACCACCACCACGACCACCCCGCCTCCCCCTCCCCCGACCACGACATCGACTCCGCCTCCCCCTCCCCCCAGCTCTACTGCTGCCGCTCCTGTTGGCAACGCTGCTTCTAGCGATGACGGCGATGCCAGCAGCTCGGGTGGTGAGAATATCGAGTTCCCCAGCGGGAAAGTCCCGTGCTCCGAATTCCCCTCCAAGTATGGCGCAGTTCCTGTCTCTTGGATGGGCATCGGTGGCTGGGCTGGTATCCAGAAGGTGGCCAACTACCCCAACGCGGTCAGCTTCGACAATATTGTTGAGGCCGTTAAAGGCGGTTCCTGTACCTCCGGCTGCATGTGCTCATATGCCTGCAAGCCCGGTTACCAGAAGAGTCAATGGCCCACAATCCAGGGTGCTACTGGACAGTCCGTTGGTGGTATCTACTGCAACCAGGATGGCTACCTCGAGCTCACTCGCGAGAGCGTCAAGCAGCTTTGCACTGCTGGCGAGGGTGGTGTCTCCATCCAGAACGATCTCGACCAAGTTGTTTCTACCTGCCGTACCAACTACCCGGGTAACGAGAACATGAACATCCCTACTGTGGCTGAGGCAGGCCAGACTGTGCCCCTCACCAACCCTAGCCAGTCTAATTACTATCAGTGGGAGGGCAAGAGGACTTCGGCTCAGTACTACATCAACCCCAAGGGCGTCGCAGCCAAGGATGCCTGCCTCTGGCAGAGCCCCACGTCTCCCAACGACCGTGGTAACTGGGCTGCCGTTATTGCTGGTGTCGGCAAGGCTGACGACGGCATCACTTACATCTCTCTGTTCCTGAACAAGCCTACCTCCTCTGCCCAGCCCGACTTTAACATGGAGATTATCGGCGGTAACACTAAATGCGGCTACCACAACGGCCAGTGGATTGGCGGCGACGGCGGTTGCACGGTAAGTGTCCCCGTGCTGCTACAGATGGCAAATCATACTAACTGCGAATGACAGACCGGTGTGGCCTCAGGCAAGAATGCCATCATCCGCTACTACTAAGCACCGCGGCGCCATCGTGCAGCAGCAAAATCGCTATTTCTCCTTGGATCTTAATGTGAATATTCTTTTCGGTAGAGGCACCACTCGAGGGCTGAAATATGGTCGGGGATCTAGATCCATCCATGATTCGAGACGCAAGTGTGTTTGATCCAACTTGTGTCTAGTGTTCGCGGGCTGGTTGATGTGGATGATGTAGGATTTCGGAACACAACAGCGCCACCTTGGATATACTGCGCTGTGATAATTGGCTATACTCTATTAATCGCGAGCGGCGTTGTTGAATGGTTTATCTCCTTTTCGGATCCTGCTTTGTCCTAACGATTCCTTGAGCACCTTGCAGTTCATCCTGCGTGAACTGCGCACAAGACTCCAGTGGGGTTGGGGTTGGTTTCGAAATAGGAACTTGTTTTTATTTGGCTACCTAGTTAATTCTCGCAATTGATTTTATCTTGGTACGAGTTTACGTGCGACAGGCTTGTGAATTGTATACATTGACTGCTTTGTACTGGTGAGTTTGACTTTCATAGCAACATCCACCTCAATAACCCATAGGTTATGTATGTGGGCAAGTGCACATGGTAAGGACACTGAGTGTACTTTGACAAGGAGAACTCAACTTCCATTTGATTTGCTTGGGACTGTTTCAGCCCAACTGAGGCCCCTAGCTTTTCTGGCCAACTATCCATCCTCCCCCCCGTTCTACTACATCTAAAGCTCCATCGGTACAGCAGTGCCCGACTCTCTTGCTAACCGCAGCTCATTGCTCCGCTCCTCATTCTCCTCCTTGAGACGCTGCTCGACGTCCTCGCGGATGCCGCCAAGGTCGGGTGGGATGGCCTGCATCTGGACGCTGGGCGCGGCCTGGACGAAGCGCAGCTGCTCGGTGACGTGCTGGAGGATATCTTGCAGGCGCTTCTGCGAGTTGCGGTTGGTGCGAGGCTCGCCGAGGATCTGCTCCAGCGTGGGAAAGAGCGTGTCCTGGCGAAATTGTTCGCGCCAAGGCACATGCTGTGGCAGGATCGGATTGATCTTGTCGTCACAGCCGATGGCAATAGACGTCTCGTAGGCCCATGCGCGAGCGACATTGCGCGGCGTGTAGCCGCCGCCGCCAAAGAGGATGAGGGGGAGGTTGTATTTTTTGCAGAACTTGACGCAGGCGCCGTGGCCTTGGACCTGCAGGTTAAAGCGGCCAAGACGGTCGCCAGCCAGGGAGTCGGCGCCGCACTGTAGTGCAATGGCACCGGGGCGGAACTTTTCGACAATGCGGCCGATGATGGTGTTGAAGAGCCACTCGTACTGCTCGTCAGTGATGCCGTCATTAAGGGGCACGTTGACGGCGTGGTGCGCGCCGGGATTATGCTCGCTCTTAGGCCCATTGTCGTCGAGCGCACCTGTGCCGGGAAAGAAATTGTTGGGGTCGTACTTGTGGAAGGAGACAGTCATAACGCGGTCGGTCGAGAAGAAGGCCTCCTCCACACCATCGCCGTGGTGCACATCAATGTCAATGTAGAGAACGCGGGGGTAGTATCGCAAGAGCTGGAGGATGGCAACGACAATGTCGTTGATATAGCAAAAGCCGGACGCCTCGGCCTTTTTCGCGTGGTGCAGGCCACCGCCCCAGGCAATAGCAATGTCCGACTGCTTGGAGCAGAGCTTGCGTGCGCCGTCGAGCGCGCCACCCGCCGACATGGAGCAGTAGTCGTAGAGTCCGTCAAATAGTGGACAGTCAGAGCCTCCAAGATTAAATTTGAGATCTGGATTTTGGTTCTCGAGATCGCGCGGAACAGGCTCCGGGAGAACGGTGCCGAGGAAGTCCAGGTAGTCGGTTGAGTGAAACGTAGCCAGCTCCTCGTACGTGGCTGCACGCGACACATAGTTGTCCATAGCGAATGACATGCCATACGAGTAGATGAGGGACTTGGAAAGGGTGAGGCGCCAGGGCTTCATAGGGTGCGTCATGCCAAAGTGGTGCTTCTCCATGTCCGGGTTGCAGTGAAATGAGACGTTGTAGCCTTTTGGTCGGGTGATGCCGGATTCCTCCGCTATGCGCTTGCATTTGCTGTAGAATTTGGCATTTTCCATGTCGCTAGCAAGCCCAAGCGGCGAGCCATACTCTTCGACAATGTCAATGTCGACATCTTGCTTGTGAGGGAGATAGTTGGGCTTGGGGACGCGAAACCGGTATGCATCCATGGCTCGGAGGCCTGCTGGCGAGGCTCCAGGACGACCAAATGAGGGTTCTTTGGCAGTCAGTTGCAGCTACACTGCTGAGATACGTATTCGAATAATGCGCGATGTTATCTCGCCCTTGCAACTCGACGTGGGCAGTTGAGGTTTTAGTCTCAATCAGAGACAGACAGGCCGGACCAGCACAGAGGTGGGAAAGGCGGAACGGTGCGTAATGTTTCGCAAGTCGAAATGGCTGAGAGTCGGAGAAGGGTCAATTTCAGTTCCTACACACGAGTCTAAACTGTGTTGTCGCGATTGCAATGGAGTTGTGCAGAATCAGGCGAGGGTATGAAGGGTCGTGAGAAGAGTGAGTACCTTGGTACATTTCAGTGAAAGGAAGCGCTCAACTCCAATCCAGCACAACTCGCTCAGTGGCGGGCTCTGGGCTAGCCTGATTGGAATATAGCGCCATCTGGAGGGCATGGAGCGAGGCCACCAACTCGCCGCAACCACAAGTTTGTCTCGAAAGTGGTCGCTTGCGCAGGCGTCCATCGGCCTGTCTGCCTTTCTGACCTGTCTGCCTGCGCCTTGCCTGCGTCCACTAATCGCATCGCTATTTTTCCGTGGCCCCGACATCCCGCACTTTCCCATCCCATCCAGAAAGTGAGTGCCTTGCGCAGCTGGTCCAATCCTTCACTCTTCATCGCATTCAACCGCAAAGCCACACTGGCTCCCAGTTCATCCTTCATCCTGGGATCGCAGGCAAGGGTTCCCCTGTCTGAGGTAAGTTGATTGCACTTTCTTGCGACCCGCGCCTGCTTTTTTTCTGTCCCTGTGCCGCTTCCGTTCGCGGGCACCATCGCAGGCTGCGCAAAGTTGCGTTGCTCGTGACAACCACACCATCTCGCCCAACTCCCAGGTTACGCCGAGACGAGCAGATTTGCGGAATTGATTGTCACGCCTGACATTGCATATGTATGGCCCTTGCTACTACACCAAACATTTTTCATCTTTTATTTCTGCCTCATCACCCCTCCATTGTCCCAAAGGTAGTGGATTCCGTCGGCTAGCCATATTTATTAGCTGCAGCCGCCGACGGCTTGCTAAAGTGGCCCCATGTCATCCTGATCCCAGCCCACCTCTCGTCAATCTGATTTTGCTTGGCTTAATTTTGCTCTTTCTACACTTCTGTCCACCTCTCATTCCTTTCCCTGGCCTCTAGCTCTGCCATTTTGAGCCTCGTGGCTCTATAACTACGTGCTGTTCAACGCAAGAGTCCTGCGTCGCCTGCTTTGTGCCTCTCCTTCGCGCTTTTCAGCGCCCAAGTTGTTAACGATGCCCAGAGACGACTTGTCCATCGATTTCGTCAAGAGGATGCCTCAAGCTGAGCCCCTCGACCCGAGCTTAATACTCGATGATTGGATCAACCGCGTTCAGAATTTCCCCGAGGAGATTCGCTTTATGCAGGATGAGATCGCAGAGAAGGACCGACATTATAACGAATGCATCCGGATGATCGAAGACCGCGACGCTAAGATTCAGAAATGGATCAAAACCAATGGCAGTCATGAACCGAACCCCAGAGAAGACTTATTGCGCTCCCAAATCCGAGAGAATTACGCCAAAGCCGACCGTCTTGCTCAGGAGAAGATTGATCTGGCACGAAAGCTGCAAGTGACCATGGACAAGCATCTACGCAGTCTCGACATACAAATAAAACTGTTGTATGACCGGGCTGAGCCCGGATTCAACGACCCCGATGAGGTTCCGTCATTGCTACGTCCCAGCGCTGCCAACATTGCCGCGCCGTCGATTCGGACAAGCAATCCCTCGAGTATGACGGTAGGCCCGACTCTCGCTCCCATCAGCACTGGATCCAATCCTGCATTGGCTCGACTACCCACACATCCGCATATACGTCAAGCGCAAACACCACAACAGCAGCAGCCACCAAATCAGCCACATGCTGCTTCAGCACCGGCAACTCCTGCTGCGAGCATTATTATTAATAGACATAGGGAGGGCTCTGCAGGACCGGCCACGAAGCGAGGACCTAGGGTAGCCCCCGGAGCAGGCACCGCCCCAACCACGTCGAGCGGGCTTGCACGACACTCATCTCTAGGCCCAGGAACCACGAAGAACAACCCCGCGACTGGTCCTAATGGGGCCGTCCGAGCTGGCAGTGCTGGCCCAAGGGCCACAACAACCAAGTTAGGAAACGGGCCAGGCAGTCGACGAGGCACACCCACTGCGCCGAACCGCAAGAAACCCCCACATAAGTCCAAGCTATCCCGCGTCAAGAAAGCCTCTGCTAGAACCTCGCCAGCCTCGACAGCAGAAAGTGACTTGTCAGAGGCCGAGAGTGGCAGCGGCGACGATGCTGCCCGGCGCTCTGGGTCTGCCGCTGATAGCAAAGATGCTGATGGCGATGAAGTCATTTGTGACGTTGATGATGATGACGAGGAAGAAGAGGAAGAAGGCGGCGATGATAAGAAATACTGCTTATGCCACCATGTTAGCTACGGCGACATGGTTGCGTGCGACAATGACAACTGTCCTTACGAGTGGTTCCATTGGTCCTGCGTTGGACTAAAAAGCGAACCAAATGGCACTTGGTACTGTCCAGTGTGCTCGGAGAAGTTGCAGAAGAAAGCCAAGTAATGAGGCTTTGAAGATATGAATTATGAGAACGGTCAGGTGGCGCATGATTGCAATGAGAGTTGGGTAGGTATTTGAGGCAGGTTGTACGGCGTTGTTGTTTTCACCAAATACCCTTGGGCAAGTTAACTGGATTGGAATACAACTTGAGCAATTTCAGCGTTGTGCATTGTGATGCAACATCATCTCTTCATATGTTCTCCTTGGTTGTATTTCATTGTGGTCTACTCTGGCAAGGTGCATTTTACAACGCCACGTCGCACGCCGTCCGATTCTTCACGCAAAGTTATGACCTCGCTCCCACGACTGCGCGCCTGTTCAACAAAGTCATCCAAGGAGCCCCCAACACCGAAATACAGCCTTTTGGCAGCCACCAGCGCGACCGCCGGCGATGCGTTTTGCTTCGACTTTTCTCGTCGCAATATTGAAAACGTAGCTTCCGTAAATGCCTGCAGCGCAAACGGCGAGTAAATTGTTTCTGCGCCGAGTAACAATGTGGCAGCGGCAGCACCCGAGCCAGTCGCGTCATCGGGGATGATGCTATAAACGAGCTCAATAAACTCGGGGGACCACGCTCCAGAGAGGAATGTAAGAGAAATGCGGTTAGCGATGAGGTAGGACTGGAACGCCGCAACCACCTCAGGGAGAAGCTCCAGCTCGTCGTCGATGGAGAAGGCGTTGCGTAAGGCAGGTGTGTGTTCACGGGTGGAAAGAGCCCATGCGAGAATGAAGTTGGGCAGCGTGACGAGCTGCACGACGGTAGGGTTGTAGTCTGCTACAACAAAGGATGTTGGCTGGCGGGTTGCGGCAGTTGTTGGCGTGGTGGCCTCTATTGTCCATTGGAAGAGGGAAACGGAGGGCAAGGCCGTTCCGCAGCCAAACTGAGTTCATGTTAGAGTGAATTTCCTTGCAAGTTTTTGGAACCAAGAGGCATAAGATAGGCGAGGGTTCTTTGCTTGTGCGACGTACCTCTATAATTCTCATCGGCAGATGTTCAGCAGCAGACACTTTACCCTGCGCAGCCAGCACTTTGACCAAGTCTACGCTGCTCTCCCAGCTCTTGAACCCACCCTCATACACGCCCGTCTTGACATCATGGGCGCCCAGGCCGGAGCCGTCGGCGTGGACGCTGTGCTCCGCGTCCTCCTCCTCTTCCGCCATGAGCTGCACCCGCACATCCCAAAGCTCGCGGCGGGGCAGCCGCACGACGCTTCCGTCATCGAGGGTCACGTCCAGCAGGCTGTACGCGATCTTGGAGGGCATCGCGGCGAGCATCTGACCAATGTCATGGCATGCGGCGGGCAGCTGAGGCTCTCCGGGGACGGGAAATGCGCCAGCTGTCGAGGCCGCCGCCGCCCTGCGGGCGGCGGGCTGCCGAGTCTCCGCCGAGTCTATGTCGGCCCCGGCGAAGCCAAAGGAGAATGACATGGCGGAGTTTTGAAAGAAAAAAAAATTATCTAGAAATTGAATCCAGCGTGTAGCTGCTACCAGGTGCCTTGAAAATGCGGTGATTCTGAGTTCTGATTTTGTTGTGGGGCCGAAAATTCGGGCTCGAGCTGCTGCCACCTGGGACTGCGCCGAGAGGTTTCTCAATACTTTTCCTATTTGAACATCTCTTCTAGCACAGCTTTCTCGACAGCGTTGGTCTCAAGTGAACAAATTGATTTGATTTTTTACACTTGCAACTTTCTTATCTGAACTTTCGAGCTGCAATACACGCGCTCTCTGTATTACGTCGCTTTGCGTCCATTTCCCCTTTTGTCACTTGCCCACTAGTTACACCTCAATCATCGCCATGCGTCCGTCACTAGCCAGACTCGCCAAAGCCGCGTCCACACAGAAGGGTCTTCGACCTGACCCCATGGCCTTGCTGCCACCGATTCCACTCTACCGACGCCTCTTGCGCGCGCACCGCAAGTTTCTCCCGGCGGAGCTGCGCGTCCTGGGCGACGAGTACATCAAGGCCGAGTTTCGGGCGCACCGCAAAGTCGACAACCCAGCGCATCTGGTAAGCCGATGTCCAAAATCAACCCATTGACTGTGTGTGCTAGGTGAGGATGCTGATGAATAGGCTGAAGATTGGCTTCTTGACGGAGTGGCAAATGTACGCGCAAAAGATTGAGGGTGATGCCTGGATTGGCGACAAAATTGACGAGGGTAAGCTGGCAAAGCTGAGTGATGAGCAAGTGTATCAGCTTTACGACTTGATGCAATCGATAGAGAAACATCGCAGGGGCGAGTAAGTGTGGAATCAGGTGATTTGAATGGGCTCTGTGTACACTATGGGTATAAATTTTATGAACTAGACTCTGCACCTTCTGCGACTTTCTTGCCATCTATTATCGTTTGTACTTTCGCTCTAATGCCTCGACGAGCCACGTCGTCTGAATAACGCTGACCTTCTTCGCATAGTTCTTCTTGGTGTAAACCTGCTCAAGAAACATGATGGCTTCTACCCTTCGCCCGTGGAGCACACTTGCCGGGTGTATGGCCACAACATGCTTGCCCTGGCTGGTCACATAGCTTGCATCTGGTGCGAGCATTGCTGTCTTCATTGCAAACCCACGGATAAAGCATTTGAGAATTGTCTCGGCGCGCCCCGGAGATGTTGGGGTGAATGGCTGCGGGTCAGCCGGCGGCGCCTCATTGAAGAGCTTTTCCTTAACGCACATGCCGCGAAGCTGTCTTCGAATATTCAGCGCCTGCTTCATGGTGCGTGTGTTGAGCTTTCGCTTCTTACACCACTCATTTCGGTCGGCGTTTTCAGCTGTGTATTGCTGCATGGTGGTGAGGTATGTGATGATGTCGCCTTCGCGTCGTTGAAGCTCCTTTCGAGATTCCTCGACCTCTTCCTGGCCTTCTTCCAGATGCACAGCCAGGAAAATGTCCTCGCCTGCCGTGATACATGATACAACATCAATGACCTCCAGTAGGCAGTCGTATTCTGGGTTTGAGGCCGCAATCAGAACAGCGCCTAAAGGAGCCGAGAGGGGCAGCTTGGCCATGGTCTCTCCAACACTATTAATATTCCCATCGTCATCCAGCGCCCCAAGAAAGTGCAGATGCACCAAAGCACGTTCGATTGCTTCCGTTTCCGGAGAATCCATTAGAGGAAAGGAGAAAACATCCTGAATCCCGCGTGCCTTCATCGTGAGGACTGCGCTGAGAACGTCGTTGCGGAGGATCTCTGGGAGATCAGCCGACTGCAGCGAATCGAAACTCGCCTCAGTGTAGAGACGGTAGCATTTTCCAGGCCCTTCACGGCCGGCACGACCCGTTCTTTGGATTGCTGATGATCTAGAGATGGGCTTAGCGAGTAGCGATTCCAGGCCCAATCGCGGGCGGAACTGTTTCATCTTCGCTTTCCCGCCGTCCACCACATATCGAACACCGGATACTGTGACCGATGTTTCTGCAATATTCGTTGCGAGGACAACTTTTCGTGTGAACCTGTTCTTAACAGGAAGAAAAGCCTCTTGTTGGGCTTCAATCGACAGCTGCCCATATAGGGGTACCGCTTTAATCTTCGGCACGTTGGAGGCAAGGCTTGCGCAATACTCTTCGATCAATTTTTGGGCCATGATGATCTCCTCTTGTCCCGTAAGAAATGCCAGGATATCGCCAGGAAGCGGCTCTTCCGTGTGTATTTTAAAGATGCGTTTCAACAGCGCGTCCTGCAGATCGGCAACGGGCCGAGATTCGTGCTGAACCTCGACGGGAAATTGTCGACCCTCGATCTGTAACATATCAGCACCTTTGTGATTGTGCTGTAATATTGCATCGTCGTCAAAGAACCCCCTGATAGCTTCGATATTGACAGTAGCACTCATAATGACGACTTTGAGCGGAGCGCCGCCACGATGCTTCGGCCCTGCGATCAAAATTTTCTTTAGGAAGCCAACTAATAGATCAGCATCTAGGCTGCGTTCGTGGATTTCATCAACAATGACGGCACTGTATTTTCTCAGGTATGGGTCGCGCAGGAGTTCCTGAAGCAATGTGCCCTCAGTGAGGAATTTGATTTTGGCGCCCTTGGGCACCTGGTGGTCGAATCGAACGGAGTATCCAACTTTGCCATCTTTTCTCCATTTTCCCAATGGCGTTCCTGCTTCTTGGGCCACACGGTGCGCCAGAGTTGTGGCAGCGACTCGTCTTGGCTGAGTAATGGCGACCATGCCACCGACAAAAACTTCATCTGATGAGCCTGCAAGTTTAACTTTTTGACGCCTACACCAAGGCTCTTCGGATAAAAACTGAGGAACTTGTGTACTTTTGCCAGATCCAGTCTCACCAACCAAAACGAGGATATTGTTCCCAGATCCACGCAAAGGCTCTAGAATTTCTTTTCTGTGTCGCCAAATGGGAAGTGCTTGCCTCGCTTGCAGAAGAGCTCCGCCCCCAACATTATTTGATTTGGAGTGTGGACTCTTTGTGTCGGGTCTTTTCGAGATATCCTTGTCAGGTTTATCGTCTGTCGTTTTTCTTTCGCTCTCTGCAATGGGTTTGAGAGGCGGCTTTGATTTGAGCGGGCCTAGGTACCCGTCCAATGAAAGTGTTTTGCCATTGCCAAGGCTGATTATGTTGAGACCTTGGCCGCCAGTTTTTCGTTTTTTGGCAGGCTGGCTACCATTTTCTGCGGACGCCATGTTACTGCTGAGGAAAATTATTGTTCATTTGATGGCTTGGATGAATGAAGTAGCTATCAATGCTTTGAGCTTTTGTGGGCTACACGTGAAAAGTGGGGGCTACCTAAGTTTATGTGCGAGGAACATGTAAATAAAGGTATATTTTCCACTACCTAGCAGCAAGTATTAAGGTAATTCAGATGTTGCTTGTCAGAAACGTTCACTATCATGTGCGATTTTTGTATCAACCAGCTTTCGTCGACACTACGTTTGAGAAGAATAAGAAGTAATATAGAGCAGGATTGAGAATGTAGCCGCTTTTATCCAGATTCCCATTCAAAGATTTCCCCCATCAGTTTCCCAGAACCAAGCCTAAGTCAACAACTAATGCCACTCTGGCCTAGATGATGAGGTAACGTCAAAACCGGTACCGAAGGCAACACATACTCTAGCGTTCTGGCGCAAAGCATGAGCACGTGTTCAAACAGCGATCTAGATTTCTCAGGCCCAATAGCGCAGTGGCTCGATTATTTGATGCGGGCCAATCTCTCGCGGTTCATGCGAGTGGCATCATCCACAGCATCGCTCTATAACCAATGATTAGTAACCTGGCTGAACACACGGCTGGCATGCTAACCTTTGACATGATTCTGTCAATTTGTTTGTTCTGTGAATCAACCTCCTTTCCGATGGCACGACCAACCATGTTCATCATGGAAACCTGACCTTCGAGCTCATTGATACCATCATCAATCTGATCCTCAAGCTCATCGGCGCCTTCTTCATCTTCCAGGTTGAATTTACCATAATCCTTTTTGGTACGCTGCCAAGGTCCGCCAGCACCGGCGGTGTTGAAGTCACGAAAATTCGACTCCATGCGCTGGTTAGCAGAGAAACCCTCGCGGCGAGTTGCCTCTCTCTGATCGCGCTCGGCTCGGTGACGGTTCATTACTTCCTCATCCGCCTTTTGCTGGCGCTGCTTCGATGTAAAGGGGTTGGAGACATGGACAGCAAACATGCTCCTGTTGAGCGTTTTCAGCTCCGCTGCTCTATCTTGCGCAATTTTGTTCTGGTTGGCAGCAAGGTCCAGGTTCTTCTCGGTGTTGTGCAATCGTTCACCCTGTGCTCCAAGGCGCGCGAGCGTGGCGCGGCCGACTTCGTTCGCTTGCCTTGCCATCTGTACTGAGCGCGAGACTGATGCGGAACTTTCCTGTTGCACTTGGCGTTTTTCAGCAAGAATCGCTTGCGTTTCGGCTTCGTCTTGTTCTTCTGCTGTCAATTCTCGCTGGTCACCATATCCGCCGTAGCTATCCTGCGAAGTAGTGGTTGCGCCGCCTTGGCCATAACTGCCGCTGGTCGCACCTGTTTGCTGTCTCTGAGCATATCTCTCCTGCGCACCACCAAGAAGGGCGTCTCTGTTGCTGTCTTGCTCGTCCTTATCGTTCCGTCCGAAGCCACCATAGCCACCAGGGCCTCTAGCACCGGCGGTGGATGCTCCATATCGGTCTGCTCCAGCACTGCTCTCGTATCTGTTTGAGCCATAGCCACCTCCAGATCCGTATTTTTCGGAGCTGTATCCGCCATAACCGCCAGCACGGTCCGGGGCATCCTGTTGTCCAGCACCAGGAGTACCACCTGGTGCACCACCTCCTCCAAGCTGAGAGCGGGCTTGTTGGTAGGGCGTCACGTTCGCATACTTTGCAGAATCGGCATATGGGTCGGCTGTGCCTTGAGGGTCTTGCTGAGCGTACGGATTCTCGGACTGAGCAGCCCCAGTTGACCCCTTCTTGCGACTTCCAAAGAGAGCATTGCGGCTAGCGTCGTCGCCGTCGTCGCCGCTCTTCTTGCCAAAGCCAAACTTCTTCATATTGGGTATTCGTGGACTATGTGATTCGATTGATATCGTGGCCGAAATGGAAGATCGAAACAGGCAAAATGAACCAAGAAGGGGAAAAGTCACATGGAACGAGGACAAAAGTAGCGTACCTGCCTAGGTGGCAAGGAGGCTTGGTTTAGTTATGACGGTGCACGACCAACGTATCAGGCGGCGCCTACCAAGATGATTGGGCAGCAGTGGGGCTGTTGCTATTAACAGCATGATCAACGGTACCTAGTTACAGCCTCCTTCTCTCACAGAACCTGAATCCACGTAGCAACCTAAAACAGAGCGAGCCCTTTTCCAGAAATGACTAGTATTTATCAGGCCTGGACAGTGTCTGGACCATCTTTTGACGTATGTTACTAGGGCTCTGCATTGACAGTGTTTGGAGCCGCAGGGCCGTCAGGCAAGGCACATACCCCAAAGTACCTGCATAGGTACAATTTCATCACACAGGGACAAAGCTCAATTTACCAGCACGGGGAAACGTTGTATAACTAGCTGGCAATCCACATGCCCTTTGGCGGCAAGTTTGAAGGCCGAAGCTGCGTCCCCGTGAAAAAGAAGAGGGGCAGGCAACTGAAAGAGGAGAACCCCACCAAGCGATGCGCCTGGTTTGGTACTCCGTACAGGCGACAGCGAAGTCGCTGGCCAATGGCGTCCCCCCTGGGGGGTACCAGGTTGTAGCCAACCTCATCATTACTCACACCGCGGTCCTCGATAACATGTCACAACCTCTTGCTTGGTATATCAAGCACCACAAGCTGCAAATTCGTGTACGGCATCTGCTACCAACTCCTTTGGCCTCATTCGAAAATTCGAATAGATTGCAGCATTTCATATATCATCTCCTCGCCACAAGGAGCCATCTCTCCGTTCGGCACAAAATGACTACAGAGTACCGTCATCTACAAATACAACACACAACCCAGACAACACGCTGAACGGTACATAGGGCTTGCCCACATCGAATCATATTCTGGCTTTCCCCAAATCTTTAATAGAAAAAACGAACACCATGGCATCCATATTTACCTTCGATCCAGACCCGCCGAAGGTATCGTCGCCTTGGATCCCCCCGGCTGACCCTATGAAGCCATCTATGTCGGGCTCTTCGCAAAAAGAAGAAGATAACGGCAGGCATGAGTTGCTATCAGACTACGGTGTCACCAAATTAGAAGCAGAACCTCAAGAAGGGCCTACTGAGTATAAGTTGCATCTACTATTGCGGCCGAGGAGGGCCTTTACATACATGTCAACCCGCATCAAAGACATAAAATCGAATACGGGTACACCTGCAATTGGAACATCTGGGAAAACAATTCTTTCAACAAATATTGTTGCTCCCCAGACTCGACAGCAGCGTCTCCAACATCTGACGACACAGCTTCTCTGGAGGATGCAGCAGTCTTCACCCTACCACGCGGCGCGAACCAAAGAGTTGGTGGTTCCGCATTGGCCTGATGGTAATGCAGACTTGAATTCCGCCATTCAACTTGCTGCTTTAATCCCAGGCTTGGAAGAGTCGGGTGGTGCTTTGTATGAAATCGGCGTGTCCGACGACGGAACGCTCGTAGGACTTACAGAGGACGAGATGGATGAGAGCCTACTTACTTTGAGAATAATGGCCGCTAGCCTAGGCTGCACGGTCGAGGTCATGCGCATGGTCATCGTTGGTGAATGCGAATGGATGGAGTCTGTTGATCTTGTTGACGAGGGTGACGACGCCGTTCGCCAGGTCTCCAAGAAAGATAAGCTATGGGTAGCAGAGGCCATGGTTACTCCATCCTTCAAGCAGCATGATACTGCAGAGTTTGCCGAGAATAGGTGGCAAAGATCCAATGCCAGAAACCAGCAACAGCACCAAAGCCTTGCAATCACCAGCCGTGGCAGATCTACAACTTCACAGTTGAGGGTGACCCTTACGGGCCCTACCACTTCTGGGAAGTCTAGCTTGCTCGGTACTCTCTCTACGGGAACCTTGGATAATGGTAGAGGCAAAAGCAGGTTGAGTCTCTTGAAGCACCGCCACGAAATGGCCTCTGGCGTAACCAGCTCCATTGCGCAAGAACTTGTGGGGTACAAAGACGGTACGATTCTCAATTTTTCTCGTCCGGATATAGAATCGTGGATAGATATTCATGATCAGGCGCAAGACGGTAGGCTTTTGTTTGTGTCTGACTCTGGTGGACATCCTCGGTATCGTCGAACTGTGCTTCGAGGCCTCATGAACTGGGCGCCGCATTGGAGCATTCTCTGCATCGCAGCAGATGATTCTGAGCAGACCTCAACCGCCTACGGTCTTGTTGGCCAGCAAAACAATAGCGTGGAATTACCATGCGTCGACCTCGTCATGGCACATCTCACGCTATCTCTCAAGTTGGACGTTCCCATGGCCATCGTCATCACAAAAATGGACTTGGCCTCCAAGTCCGGGCTTCAAACGACGCTTGCCAAAGTTTTAAGCGCGATGAAGGAAGCTGGAAGAGCACCGAAAATTCTGCAGCCAGACCAGAAAGAGCACAGGGAGCTGGTCAATATCCCCATGAGCGACAAGTTAAAGGTCGGCCCAGTTATCGAAGCAATGAAAACCGCCGACGGTTTGACTAAGATTGTACCAATTGTGCTCACTAGCGCAATGACCGGCTCCGGCATAGGCCTGGTTCACGCTCTGTTGGAAAGCCTGCCACTGCCACCTCCGCCTACACCACACGACTTTGTGGGCGCCGTGCTGAATCCTGAACAGCCCAAGTCGCTTTTTCATATCGATGATACTTATAACCTGCCTATTTCTCAGGGAAGCTCGGCTACAGAGAACGGAACTGCACAGAATGGTCTCGTTGTTTCGGGGCATCTGAGATTCGGCAGTTTGACGGTTGGAGAGAGAATCGTGGTCGGCCCGTTTCCATATGAAGACGAAGATGGAAAAGTATCTGTCCCAGCGGATCGACCGTCACCAAGCAGTTTTGGCTTGTCGATATCTCACCCAGCTTCAGCAGAGCTGGCAAGAATTGCCATGAAGAATGCCATCTCCGCGTCGGAGATTGCCGGCGAATGGCTAAAAGCTGAGGTCGTTAGTCTTCGAAATTTGCGCCTTCCAGTAACAACTCTAGAGGCAGGTCAGGCGGGTTCCATTGGCCTAATCTTGGATAGGGGCAAGGACCATGCACCCAGAAACATGCCGCGAATTCGCCGCGGCATGGTGCTGGCCGTGCCATCAAAGCACATGCTAGATACCGGTCTCTCTTTACAGGCCGCAAGCGGGTTCACCGCTGTGTTCAACGAACTCGACTCAAACACCCTTGCCATCGGTGCCCTCGTCAACGTGTATGTTGCCAGTATTCGGGCCGCCGCTCGCATTTCAAAGATTCAGTATACTGATCTTCATGCGCCTGGTCAAGAGTCCGGAAATACTGCAACGGACGAACTTGGAGTGTTTAATTTGAACGACGAGATGGAAACGGTAGCCGCACGAGACTCAGAGGACACTTGCGCGACTGAAGTGACATTGGAGCTGTTGCATACCCGAGAGTGGATTGAAATGGGGTCGCGCATAATTCTGCTAGAAGGTGGTAAAAAGGATAGATCGGGCCTAGAGGGGAATATTGGAAAGGTGGTTGAAATTGTCGACTAAACGGCTGTTTGATTGTGGTTTGTTTGGCTTGTTGAAGTTGTCGGCATGCGCAACAATTCACGGTTCAAGGTTAATTGAGATCTGGTGCAACTACAATAATACCAAAAATATATTTCACACGGTGTCTACTTAACCCTAGGCTTGTACTAGGCCATAGAAAAGGGTCCACGTCAATATAAAGCCCGATAATCCATTGAAGATGCCGCCAGTCCAGAAGCCCGCGGCGCCGTAGTAGTAACGGCTGGCATCAAAAGACGCCTTTCCAGCAGCGAGCGAGGAAGGCGCTATTTGGACGGCATAGAACATGACCGTTGCAACGATGGAGAGCACAAAATAAAGAAGAAAGCCAGTATATGATTCTAGGCCGAGGACGCCAGCGGTTACGCCGAATAGGGGCGCTGTTATGCTCTGGTAATTCGAAAGTATCTATGAATAATAGCCATCTGTCAGTATGCATCTTATCTCGGGATGGAGGTTGTTGCTCCTACCCTCCCATTATGAATCATGGACTCTTGGACCAGCGGGTTTATTTGGTATTCTCGCTCCGACATCTTGGTGTGCAGCTGGCTGATATCTGAAAAGATTGACGCTCGGTGTTTATGTGTAGTCGGAACCTATACAAGAGTACGCACACAGGCAAAGAGTGGCAAGTCTCCAAGGAATTGAGATGGGTAGTTGCTCGTGACGGGTGGTCAAACCTGACTTGCTCAGCGACGTGACGTGTGCTCCAGCCGATTGGTAGTGGCCCTCTTGGTAGTGTGGCTGCTGCATCCGGGCCGAAGGTGCTCCGACGCCACGAGGTACCCTACCTATAGTTAGAAGGTGTACTGCCCCTCCACAAGTTATCGCGGGGAAGTTCTTAAATCATTCACATGCATAATTCCAATTGCATTGACAAAATGGAACACAATTTCAAGCCACTGCAAAACGACTTACTGCTTCGTGCTGCTCGCGGTATGAGTTTTAACCCGCGAGATATTTGCAGGTTGGGTGGTGTATAGGAGGTATGCGAACTGACACTGTTCTTGTAGGCGAGGTCGTCGAGCGTCCGCCCATGTGGGTGATGCGGCAAGGTAAGAGAAAACCAGAGCGGAAATCCGACATCAGAAGGACTGAATCTAATTATCTTTGAAAAGCTGGTCGTTATCTTCCCGAATACCATGAAGAAAAGGCTGGTCGTGACTTTTTCGAATGTTGCCGGGATCCCGAAGTAGCCTCGAACCTTACTCTCCAGCCGATCGACCGTTACGCCAATCTCATTGACGCAGCCATCATATTCTCGGATATTTTGGTCATTCCCCAAGCCATGGGAATGATAGTTGAGATGGTTGATAAGAAAGGTCCGCATTTTCCGGAGCCTCTCAAGACACCCGACGACGAGCAATACGGTCTGGTCATGGAGCGCAACGTTGACGTCGCCGGTGAATTGGACTATGTCTACAAAGCCATCACGCTCACGCGACAGAAACTCAAGGGTCGTGTGCCCTTGATTGGCTTCTGTGGTGCGCCGTGGACGCTGTTTTGCTACATGGTCGAGGGCGGCGGTACCAAGCTCTTTGCCCAGAGCAAAACGTGGATCTACAAATACCCCGAAGCGACGAAGAAGCTATTGGCCAAAATTGCAGACATCTGTGTGGACCACCTGGCTCTCCAGGTCAAAGCGGGCGCTCAACTCGTTATGGTGTTCGACTCGTGGGCCGGTGAGCTGGGACCGGATTCATTCAGCGAGTTCTCGGAGCCTTATCTTGCGCATATTGCGCAGAAGCTACCAGGGAAGCTGAAGAGCCTCGGTCTTGAGTCTGTTCCCATGACAGTATTCCCCAAGGGCGCCTATCATGCTTTGGACAAGGCTTGCAGCTTGGGGTATAATGTTGTCGGCCTTGACTGGCTGCATGATCCGGTGGACGCCGTCAAGATCCGTGGTGATCGTAAGATCGTCTTTCAGGGCAACGCCGACCCCGGTGTTTTGTATGGCACAAAGGAGGGAATCACCAAGGCTGTCCAGCGGACCGTGGACGGGTTCTGGGCCGGCAGAAAGCAGGGTTGGATTGCCAATCTAGGACATGGTAAGTGCATCCTACTCTGCTGCCGAGCTAGATACTAATCCTCTATAAAGGCATCACTCCTGGTGTTAATCCCGATAACTTGAAGCATTTTTTCGAAGAGATCCACCGCCTCACTAAAGAGTGAGAAAAAAAGACGGGAAGTTGTCCGCATCACTGCTCAAACCCAAAGCACTTTGAAAGCTATTAAAAGGCATTTCTAAAAGTAATAAATTCATTATCAGGAGAGCTTGTTAAAGCGCGTTCATGTATATCTCAGTGTAGACAGAAAAGAATCAAGAGACTATTGTACATCACTCTACAAGCACATGGAGATATGACCCTGCTCTCAGAAAATCGGGCTAAGTTGCAATACATGCCTCCTTCGTATGTAGTCAAAAACTTGGCAGTTATGAGAGTGGGCCACGGCATAATATCGACGGATATGTTTGTGAACCTATGACGAAGTTGTCGGAACACCCCCGATAAAAATAGCACAAACTCTAGTCTGCGCTGTTGGTAGGCACAAGGCTCAAGGCCAGTAAGGGCTAAGGGCGCAAAGGCGATTTACCCAAGCCGCGCCTGTTACGCCTTCTTGCCGAACGGCCAGCCCTTTCGGAGCTTAGACGGAGTCCCGGGACGCTCTGCGTCGTCGGCAACAGCTTGCTCGCGACTTGTGGTGCGGGTCAATTCCTCGGCGTCGTCCTTGAAAACGTTGCCAGCGCCGCCTCGACCAGCGTGCTGGGCGCCACTGCTGTAGCGACGGGGAACACTGCGTTCAACAGTCAAGGTCAGTAAATCCAATTCCGTGAGGGAGTATGGCAAGCTGATCGTAGGAGGCGACTCACGGTCTGACGTCTTGGCGCAAACGAGTTTCAATAGGATCGTTATTCTTGGCCATGTTGCCTGTCCCGCCGCGGCCGGTCGTTACAATCGGGGTCTTGAGCGTCGGGGTCTCCAAATCGGAGGGTTGGAGTTTCGGCGAGGCCTTGGCGTCGGACATGTTGCCCGCGCCGCCGCGACCGTGTGAAGCGTACTGCGAGCTCATGGTTTGCGTAGCGAGTTCGGTCAAGAGTCGCCCAAGTTGGCGCAAGAGCAGTTAGGTAGTGACAGTGCGCGCGCGCGGGTGACCGCTGCTTGCGCAGAGTTCAGGGAAAGCGAGACGGCCGTCGGGGGAGAAATCGGTGGCGTCCAGGAAAAGGAGGGCAGAACGTCGGTCGACTTGCGCAGGTCGAGTTTGGCTGTCGCTGTTTTGTTTCAGAAGGCTTCCGAGAGTAAATTGGAAAAGGTGGAAAATCTCGATATCGGCGGTGAAATTTGTCGGACTTGGGAGCCAATTTTGACGAGGGGTACTAATAAGGAAACGAATCTTGTGATGAGCGCTCTTGGCAGCAAAGAAGCCTAGTCGCATTCTCCCCCCCCTTCAGCTGTTTGCTGCTGGCTTCGGTGGTGGCGAGTGACAAGTGGTGAGAGGCGGACTGCGCCAAAAAAAAACTCCACCAACCCACCCACCCAGCAAGTTGGAGAATTGCTACCCAATGTCTCTTCTACGCCATGACATTATTATGCCGTGGACTATATTCGAAGGCTCATTATGTATGTACTATACAGAAAGACTAGGCGATGTGCGCAATACAACTATGGGTTGGGAAGTGTCTTCTTGTCAGCTCATGAGAACACATTTCTCAGACGTGTTTGGCTATCGTCTTCCCACGGGCTCTCAGGCCAATCAATGGTTGGCTGCTGGAGTAGAGCAGAGGCTCTTGCTCCTCGGAATGAATTACAACCTTATATCTAAGCCAAAGTAGCCGTAGGTAGCTTATGTTGTTGCCCGAAAGATGAGAGGATGACCAGCTGATCTAGAGTAATCCCGCCCGTCTTCATCTGAGTGTTAGACAAACATTACACCAAACTGGGGTCCCAAAAGTATTCAAGCATTGGCTCAGCAAGGTTGAAACCTATGAATCGCTGCCAGCTTTAACTGAAATCATTTCTGTGCCGCCATATCTAAAATTTGCACTTTTCCTCCCGGGTAAAAGCTTTCCTTAATCCCCGTAGCCGTCTTCGTCATCACACTTCCCGCCGGCTTCCTTTCGAATTGGTATCTTGATTCCTTGCACCGCAAAGGTTTTGCTGAGGGCTGTGCTCTCGCAAACACCTGGAAACTTTTTCGCAGAGAAGACACTGAATACCTCACTGCAGGAAGATGCGAGGATGGGCGCTCGGCCAGTTGTGACTTTTGCCGGTGTACCGTCTTGAGGAGCACGGCCTCCTCGAGGGCCTACATTGACAAACGAGAACCTAAGGCTATTGCGCCTTGCTTAGCGCCAGTATGCCGACGACATGGCGAAAATTGACTTACCGGAAGTTTCCTTCAGTTCGTACGCTGAGATCCTGTAAAACAAACCAGATACCTCGCTTGCCTTCCGTGTCACACAAGTTGAATGCACTGACGGCAACGCTACCAATCAAATTCCGAGTGAACATCCCCTGTGGTTGTCCTCCACCGACACTCATTCTTGTCATATTACCCGGATCTTGACCACCCTCAGGGGTCGAAACCAGTCGCGAATGGCCACCGTTGCTGTCTGGCACCATCGATTGCTCCGGTCTGTAGGCTTGATGTTGCGAGTAATGCTGCGATGAGGCGGAATAGGTGCCACCCGGACGATATGTGTTGTTCTCTGTCCAGAGAATCAGTGACTCGTCGCAGACATTTTTGTGTAGAAAATTTCTCACCGTCATTATAAGTTGCTTGGGAAGGGTATTCCGACGAGTACGAAGCCGCACGCTGCTGCCTGTAGGATGCGTCAGGCCCCGGTAGCACCGCATGCGCGTCTTGAGTTGGCTCTATTGCACTGTACGACGAAAACCCATGGGGGTTCGCCGATGACGATGCGCTAGACGATGCGGCGGCGGATGAGCGAACAAGGTTTACCTCTCTTGTTCCGTCGGCATTCCAGAGATCGACATTCAGGACGAACATGGCGTGGTCAATTTCGCTGAGTAGGAGGGGAGCAGTTAGCTACTGAATGCGCTGACTTGAGACTTTTTCCCCGTGGCCTACTTGTAGTTGATTTCTTTGCCAGTGGCAATATCAAGGATTGTCAGTCGAACACAAGGTGGCGGCGTGATGGGCCGGCGATCCTGTATCACAGTTAGTATGGTGTAGGGATGCAACATGGCAAAATCGTCACCTTGTCACCAAAGCCACACATTCGGGCTCGCTTTGGCTGTTGTATAACATCAAGCCTTGATACTCGATTAGCTAGACACGAGAATGTGGAGGCCTGGGCTCGCAGCTCACTGATATTTATGACCTACAACTTCATCCACATGAGAGACAGACGTCAGCACAGCCTGTGGAGGCTCGGCATCTTTTGAGGAGGTATTTGCGGATGCGTAGCCGGCGTCATTTGCATAGCTCTCTCGCCTTGAGGGGTGGCTAGGGGTCAATGCAGAGGGCTGATGCTGTTGATGAAGATGTGGCTGATGTTGTTGCTGATGCTGTGGTTGTGAGTGTGGAGCAGCCATTGGTTGGTGAGGAGGCGGAAGATTCATTGATGGATGCTGATAGTGGAGCTGACTTTGTGAAGAGGCCTGGCGATAAGAATCGGCGTACTGGAGCAACTGTCGGGGTGCCGGGAGCTGAAGCTGTGAGGGTGTAGAGCGTTGGTAGTTGGGAGGGCCGTCTGGAGGTGGCATCGACTGTGGAAAGGCCTGTTGTGGCCCGGGGGGTTGATATGGAGGATTCATCTTGGCAGCGCAGAGCGCGAGTCTGGTCTGGCAGCGGGTGGTGGGACGTGCCAGCTAGATTGTGCGGCAATCTGCCTCTATTTAACACTCGACTGCCACCCTCAAAGACAGATGAGAAGGGAGCGAAGGGGAGGATTGTGACAGTGGCAAGAAGAGGAGGAGTCGTTGGTTGAAGCAGCGTGAGACAGCGCGACAGTATGTGGTAGCCAGCGCTTGTTAACAGCTGGGTTAAACTTTTTGGAGGGCTACGGGGCCCAATCAACATGCGTCTTGGCTGTGTGCTCACTACCTACTAACCTTTCCGTCAAGTAGTTAGGAGCAGCACCCGCCATGTTCCTTTGCGATGCATGAGTAGCGCAGCTGTGGCGAGGGTAAAAGAAGAGGCAAGGGTGGCTCCGAAGTTAGGTTAGCTGCGTTTTACAGGTCGTTAGCGCGCAGGCCTACATTAGACCAGTGCAGGTAACAAGGTCGAGCGAGGGAGGTGGTGGCCCCCCGGGGGGTAGTCAGGTGAGGGGCAGAGAAGAGCCAGGTCCTGCCTGGGTAGACTCAAAACTTTATCTTCGACAAGGCAGGGTGCAAGCGGAAACAAGAAGCAAAAACGGTGCATGCCTTACCGGCCCGGATACCTTGGCAGGTAAGGACCTGGCTTGGTACCTGGTAAGTTACTAAGACAGCGGCAACCTCGGCAAGGCCTCGTCAGACTTTAACGATGATCTGATCTTGATTCATCGGGGGGTTCGTCTTAGTCAAGGTTGACAGGAAACGCAAACCGCCCAACTACAAGGTAAGCGGCCCAACCGAAGAAGCGCCCCGGCCTGGTAATTCCCAGAAACAGCAAGCCTTGGCAGAAAGTCCGAGTTTTTAGCTGCAGTGGCACAGTTTCACTGCACTAGCACACTGGGTAGCTGGAGAAGCGAGGGGATTACTCCTACCATGCTGTGGTTCTATTCTTACACCTGCAGCTTTGTCTCTTTCAAGATGCGGTGACAAGGCGATTCGCCGTCAGCGGGACGCGGTCTGTACTAAGAGGGGCCAGTATCAACAGGGGAGGAAGGGGGCCTATTATTGTTACTGGTCAGGTTTCAGACCTGATTTGCACAGGTGACACCAATGATGCCGGCCTTTCCAAATCGGTAATACGGGTTGGCATGGTACCGACAAGGTCGGACAAGCGCTGGTAAGCCTGGCGCTAACACGGATGTCGGGGTTGTTGGACGGCGTACTCCGTGTATTGTACAGATTAGTTAGGATGGGACTGCTGGGTGACCCGGACCAGGGTGGGGGCCGGACACAATGAAAGGACTGGCATTTGCTAAACTCACTTTTCATAACTGTTCTATTCTTACAGTACACAGCTTGTGTACAGAGGTAGTACTGCGGCGGGGTGCCGGAGATGGGTAACAGTATGTGAAACGCCGAGTTACATTAAAGGCGTTTGCGCCGGGCTGGGTGGGAGGACTGACAGTTTTAAATCAGCGACCAACTACCTACCTAAGTAGGGCTATGTCCTACTCCCTAGCTGACTACATAGGTAAACTGTAGAGAAATGAGCCGCCAGCTCGCCCCCTCTGAGCTTACTCTTCAAACGCTCACACAGAGCGGTTCTCGCAGGAACAGCGGTGCTCAAGACGAGATAAGCCGTATGTATACCATTCGTATTTGCTCTCTACTATCTCAGAAATGAACAGCTTGAGCTCTTCAACTTTGCCAATACCTTATTCTGTCTTCTCTTTTCCCTTTTTAATGAGTACTAGTCAGAGCCGTCGTTGGCGCTTGCAGCCCCAGCCAACACGTGTTGGCCATTCACGCATCCGTATGGCGAGTGCGCATCCACTAACCCAGTGCCAGCTTGTAGCATTTTATACCACGATAGGGGGAGGGGGTGTTGATGGTGTTGTTCTACATCGTGGAGCTTCATGCATTATGGTAATGGTTATCGCGGTCTTCTATGCGTGTTTCTTGTTAAAATAAAAACAGCCAGCTCAAGATGCGCAACCTGGAAATAATTGTTGTTTAGGTCCACAGTCGATATTCTGGGTACCTACTCGGCAAGGTACCTGTAGGTAGTCCGATTGCGGCATAGGTACTCAAGCTGCAGGGTGCCTAGATAAGAGGCGGAAGGCAACTACGTCAAGTTTGCCCCGCTGTCGGAGCAGAAATTGTAGAGCTTCCATCCGGCGGTAGCTATTGACTCACGGCCTGTTATTTTGGATATTTCACCTTGTCACGCCGCCGCCGCCTCATTCTATTCAATTTCTCGCCACAGGGGGCACACTTGTACATTCTATCTCCTCCTTAGTTTCCTGAGCCATGGATCTCGTTAATCAGTAAGAAGCACTTGTCAATGGCCGGCCATGCCGCCACCTTGAGCCCGCGCTGTGGTGCTAACATTTCCCTTCCAACAGCCTGGAAGGCCGACTTTTGTTTGCCGTCCCCAAGAGTAAGATTCATTTACCGTCCCTCCGAAATTTACATCCTTCAGTAAACGTGGCTAACATATCCTTGCAGAGGGCCGCCTTAATGCCGCGACGCTGAACCTGCTGGAAGGTGCCGACATCCAATTCCGGCGCGAAAACCGTCTCGACATTGCCCTCGTCAAAAACCTCCCCATTGCGCTAATATTCCTCCCCGCTGCCGATATCCCAACATTTGTCGGTCAAGGGCGAGTCGATCTCGGCATCACTGGCTGGGACCAAGTGAAAGAATATGCTGCCGGCGTCAAAACCCACACACCTGCCTCCGACAAAGGTGCCGGGTGCGAGACGGTGATGGATTTGGGGTTCGGCTCCTGCAAGCTCCAGGTTCAAGTCCCTGAAAAGGGCAAATATTCTTCAACCAAGGATCTCATGGGCCTCACCATCGGTACCAGTTTCCCCAACTTGACTGCTGAACACTTTGCCAAGATTGAGGCGGGACTTGATCCCGCGTCAGACGAGCAGCCTCCCACGCGACTTCTACGTACCAACATTATCGAGCTCAGTGGTAGCGTTGAGGCTGCTTGCGCTCTTGGTGTTGCTGAGGGCATTGTTGATCTCGTTGGTAAGATCAATATGCAGTGCTAATTGTACAAAAAGTCGTAGCTAACTGGCAATAGAATCTGGTGAAACGATGCGCGCTGCCGGTCTCAAGGCCATCGACACCGTGGTTGAGTCTAGCGCTATCTTAATCAAGTCAACGAAACCATCGAACGTTGAATTGGTCGAACTAATTGCCTCACGAATCCGCGGTGTCATTACGGCGCAAAAGTTTGTGCTCTGCCAGTACAACGTAGAGCGCTCCAAGCTTGTTGAAGCAACAAAGATTACTCCCGGGAAGCGCGCTGCCACCATTACGCAGCTTGACGCTGACGGCTGGGTCGCCGTTAGCTCTATGGTTGAGAAGAAGAAGATCGCTCTTGTCATGGATGAGCTAACCCGCGTGGGTGCTCAGGATATTCTCGTTCTCGACATCCACAACACTCGGTAGGCGTAGATGCAGCGGTGGAACCGCCAAACTTTGGACTTGTTTGCGTCTTCAGCCCTTATTGGCGGGCCAGGAGCCGACGGAGGCGCCAAGAGCGGTAGAGAAGAGGATGGAGGGCAGTGGGAGGGAGAAGTGCGCGGCGAGCACGTCGTGGTAGAGCGCGGAGGGCGTAAGGAGCCGCTGCGCGGCTTCGAGGGAGTGCAATACCTAAAAGGTGGAGGGTAGGTCGGCGTCTATAGATTTTCCTTTCAATTAAATGGATGATTCAACAGCGAGATATGCTGTGCTCGGGCTATTTTTTGCCAGATACCAAAGACCAATGTCCATCCCTCCCTCCATCTATGCATCCAGCGTGGTGCTAGCAACCAACACTGCACCTAACGCGCTTATTACATGCGTTTTAGTGGGCAGCCGGATTGGGCATCTTTGGGTGGTTTTCTGGCTTGCCATGACGCATGGTTGACGGTCGGAAGTGTCGGACAGAGCTACCAGGCCGTAACCAATCTCCCAAACATCTCTTCACTATCATATCTTCGGGAGTATCGAATCCTACCAGTGGCAAACTCTACTTCATCAAATTTTATCTTCACAGTCGTCGCTCAATATTGTAAAGCTGCCAACATGGAGTCCGATGCCCGCAAGAAACCAGCAACGCCTCCGCCATCACTGCCCCACTCTCCAGAACTCATGGTCAGGATGCCTGCAGACGAGGCCGAACCTGGTACCCTGTACAAGGTACACGAGACATCTCCTTTAACGCTATATCTATCTCTGTCTAATACAATTTACCAGCTTTTTATGACCCCAATCTATTTTGTATCGTTCCTGGTGTCATTAACTCTTGTTGATATCCACTACACTCAACTTCGCATGCATACTCACGCCGAGTCCCGCAGCAGGTTACCGAGCTGGCTACATGACATTTTATACTCCAGATATTCGTACCAGGACTCACAGTGGAAACCCAGCGACGTGACTGAGCCATGGCACTACCACAGCAAACAGAAGAAACTCATGAGAATGGAAGCCGAGGATGCATTTCGACTTCGTGGCACCGTGATCGCTGGGCTTGCTGGGCTTGCTGTGGCGGCAGCTGCTGGGACAACAGCTGCACTGTATTCACTAAAAGTCCTTCTGTCGTGGCTTCTCGGGTGAATTACCAGTGGTTAAAAGATTGCCTTGATAGCATCTAACATGCGATTGAAACAAAGAGCCTTGGAAATTAATACTACAAACTCATCATGACACTACGAGCCACACCAACTGGCTCAAAGCGAAGCGTGCTCCATGTCAGACTCTGGCCTCTCATTACATAATAAACGATTCCAGAAGCATGGGAGTTTTTCCAGAGAACTGATCAGTGATGAAAAGTGTATATTCTATGTCTGATGGCGGGCTGAACATAGTAGCCCAATTTTATGTATGTACTGCTCCGCAGCACCAAGTTCATCCGGCGTCTCCTGTGAGATATCGCCAAACCACCAGGGTCCGGTCAATAGATTCGAAAATATGCAAAAAGGAAAAAAAATAGGAAGAAATGAAGAAGGGTTTGGGGGTTCCGAGCCATTGCCGATGTGCTTTGGCGTGCCTGCTTGCACGATGGGGTCGGCTCTTCAGTGGCAGCCAATTCTATCTTCCACACTGCTCCAGTATACCAATGGCCGGGGTTCCAAAAGCCCAAATTCTTCTGGGAAGCTAGTTCGTTCTTGAACCAGTCCAGCAATGGACGGCTGCCTATTTATGATGCTGCTGATTGTGATGGCAGCACTGAATCCCATGAAGCTGGAGGGCGGCATGATGCTGCGGACGTGGCTTTGTGATGGGCTAATGCGAATAGCGGTGCGAAAGTTGCTCGGAATTTTGCTGTGCTGAAATCTTGACGCGACCATATTGACTGATTCCCTTTTATGGAGGGTTCGACGGATGTATTGGATCGTGGGGAAGGCTGCCGTTTTGCGGTTGGTAGGTGTAAATGGTCTCGTTCACTGAGAAAAGACGCGCGCGGTCCGGTTTTATCAAGATGTGTGTCTTGTTCAATAAATAACCCCTTAGCCACCGTGTATGGGCTATTGGACGTGAAAGAGACCAATAGTTCGCGTCCTGGTATTATTGGCAAAAGGGCAGGGTCGGAAATGGATGATGATCTGGTGACTGGTGACTCCCTTGGGTCCAGCTGCGGCTCAGCTTGCGATAGAAGATGAAGATTCAGAGGCCCGCAAAGTAAAAAATGTCGGACAATAAGGTATGCAGACTAACGAATGAATTTCTCAATATAAGTTGGCAGAATTTAGTAGGAGCAAGCAGCAAGTCTTGCAACTCCAACGGGGACAGGGAGAGAAGAGCAGTGTTTCCGATGGAGGTGATGTCTTGGGAGAACGGGCTAGCAGAGTTTATTTAAGCTCCTGGACACCAATCCAGGTCCATGAACACGGTCGCATCCTTCAGCCTTGACTTTCACAAGGTGTTAAGATACGGGCCGCAGAAAGCAAGTTTGCCGCTCCGTGGCATGTCTGAAGCTGTTTCAGGCATGCTGATTTTGTGACAGCCAGAATAGCGCGCCTCCAGTTCTGAAACCAACGAAGCATCAGCTCCTGAAAACGACGGGTAGGCATTCATGCGGCGCGGATGCTCCTTTATTAGTTAGGTCCTAGAAATAATTACCAGTATAGCCCTATCGTAAGACTCTATTTACTGTTCAGATACGCCGACCGGCTTCATGGCTTGCTATCCGATCTTCAGGGATTTGTCGGGATGAAAGAGCTGCGCAGCCAGCCGCATCCAAGCTTGCTTCACTGGAGACTATAGTAAAGTTTCCACCGCTATAACATGCGCTGTAATAATAAACCTGGTTTCATACACATGATTTTGGTTCTAGTCATGGTCCATTTAATGATAACATACAGGCCATGCTTAATAAGTTTCCCAACTTCCCAACGCCGTGAACGCATAAATATCGCAGAGAAATAAGAGGCAGCACTGCTTGTTTGGCCTCGTCAATCAACAAGATTGAACAAATGCATGCCGAGCACTTTCAACCAAGATCTACATATCTATAGCCTGCCTTGTCCGAACGACGAAGAGTTTTGCTTTTCCGAATACTCTCCACCCAGACCGAGTCATCCAACATACCTCGAGCCTGTGCAGGGCTCAACGATCTGCCCCTCCGATCGGCTTCTACATTGGAAGCATCCGAAGGACTCAATTGGAAGCTCGCCCGCATAGGACTCGCCGGCGGGGATAAGCCTCCTCCCGACGTCCTGGGGACGCTCAACGGATGCTGAGCGCCAGAGTCTCGCGGTGAAATCTCGCCAGCCCAGACGGATGGTCTCTTGGGCGACTCCAGATCCGTGTTGATGCTGGGAAGCAGCGGCCTATTTGTGCTGCCAGAAGCCCTTGCAACCGTGCCCGCATTTGACTCTTCATCATCAACCAAAATCTCCGGCACACTCAGTTGGGGAATCTGGGTCATGCGTGCTGAACGTTTCATGGCCATATGCTGTTTAAACTTCCTCGACCAGTATCTGGATGACGAATTAGTCCAAGCCACAGCTTGGTGGACATTCTTTTGTGTCTGCACTTACAGGGTGTCAAAGAAACCTAAAACAGTTCTTCGTCGAATTTCTTCATCCACGCGCTGAAGCCGAGCCCGTCTTCGCAAGAATTCATCTAGTCTATCAATTGTTAAAAATCGGTGCTCACAGAAGAAAGCTGGGACATGCTGCTAACCTTAGGCTTTTGCTATCGTTGATAATTTTGTAGTGGGCGAGAACAAGCAGAACATCCGAGAACGCAATACCTCGATCAGGATCTGCCGCAACAAGAACTTCCTCAAAAAAAACATTGAACACCCGGCGTCTTGCTCGGATTTTCTCAACGTCAAGACTCGCTAGTCTTTGGTTAAGTCTGCCGAGGTCAATGTCGCCTTTGGCGTTGGAAGCCACGATTGAGGAATGACGCGAGAGTCGTGCATCGTTGCGCACGTCGTCAAGGATTCTGGAGACGGAGTCTTCCGGGTCGTAGATCCTCATCTGAAATATACCAGAGAGTTCACCGAGCAGACGAGGAAACTGAGCTTTCGTGATATACCCAGATCCGGAAGGGTCAACACTCCTCCATGCCTCTTTGAAGCGACGAATCTCGTCTCTATCAACAGCTGCCATGCCACTGGATCGCTGGTATACATAGCTAAAGCTTTCATATATCAGAGAAACGAATAGGTTGACGAAGATGTACATGCTCATGATGTTCCACGCCACAAACAATATTCTTGCCCAGGGCTTACTTCCGCAGTCGCTATCGAAGAAGGTCGAGTCCTTCACACAAAGAGGGGGCTCAATACCGGCATAGTCTTCCATAATCTGATTCCAACCTTCTCCAAGACTCATTCGAAATAATAAAATGAGAGCATTGGGTACCGTGCGGAAATTCAGGTCGCTGGTTTCTTGCCCACCAAACCGCGTTAAACTGAAGGCCTGCGTCATTGCAATAGCAAACACCAAGAACAAAACAAGCCATGTGGCAAGCAAGTTGCTTATCACCGTCAGGCTTGCTGCCGCGGTTTTGAAAAGTTGATCCAATGCGTCGTTGCGGGGTATGAGCAAGAGAATGATGGCGACCAAGAAAATTTTGTACAGCTGTTCGTAGGCCTCGCCACGAGTATTGGCAATCAAAAGTGACAAGGTGGCGATAAACGCCCCAGAAACCACTACCAACGCGTAGAGGTCCCATGAGCTTTTTCTGAATCTGCTCCAGCCCAGTCCGAATATGCGGATTGCAATGTTGCTCAGGTAGACCAGCACGAATAACAAAGACACAAATTCTCGAGTTCGAGCCCACCATCGCGGCTCGTTGTTGAATTCCGCAACGAGGAGGACAAGATGAAGAATAAGCACCACTGTTACCATCTGGTACCACTTGCCACGTTTTTCTATGGCTCTTTTGTGGCACCAACGCTGCCATTCCTTGCCCTTGTCATTGTAAGAGCTCTTGGACGGAGAGATACGTCTTAGAAGTTTCCTCAATTCGAGCCAGGATCGTTGTTCCGCAGTGAGAAAGGCAACGCCGGTTTGCTCAGTATAGTTGCGCATGAAAACGGAAATGAACAGTGTGAGAATGAAGACGGTAGCCAGCAAGTTGAAGACAACGAAGAACATGGCGTTTCCCTGCGCGGCAAGATCTCGTGGCTGCAATCCTCGCCCGGTGATAGCTTGCGCAGCAAATGACACATCTGTCCATCCTTCTTGGCTGACAATTTGGTACAGTGTAAATAGCGACGAACCAAAGTCGTCAAATTTGAAATATGAGTTGGCTGCCACGCGAGGAGCTAGCATCACCCAGTCATCCTTGAAAGGGGTACTGCCATACTCGCCAAAGCATTGGGTCAGTGACGTGCCACCTTCGCCATCATTGCATAATATCATTTTGCCGTTGAAGATGTTCAAGCCGTAAATAGCAAATGGGATGAGCAAAGAAATAGAAACGAAAGCAGCCTGCGTATTATTAGCACGGACGAAACCAAATCGGTACAGGCCTGTCACTCACGCCAAAAACCTTCCACCAACCGAGAATTATGACAGAGTGAAAGGTATCCCGGGCGCTGTTGCTGACATTGAGAAGCCGCAATGCTCTCAGCGCTTTGAATGCCCCTACGGCTCGAGAAATGGCGCCATCATTGATAAAAAGCGTGACGACATTGATCCAGAGTGTCACCAATACTAATGTATCCATGACTCCCCACAAGCTCCGTAGATACGCGTTCGGGGTCCAAAATGCGCCGTCAGCAACAATTTTGATAGCTGCCTCAAGCGTAAAGACCAGGACAAATGCCAAATCAGTCCAGACAAACCAGTTAATATTGTCGGCTGAGTGTCCTTCTCTGTATTCTCGCTGGTAGAGTGGTGTTGTAACGCACGCAATAACCACCATTGCCACAACGCAGGCATAAATAAAGGCGGAGAATGCATACCATGCGATCTTGTTTGGATCCAACCCATCAACTCGTTCGAAGCCTCTGGCAGGGCCTACGAGTCTCTGGCAGAAACGCCGGAGTTTGCTCGTCGGTGGAAATAGATACAACGTTGTATTATAATTTGGGTGCCTCGCCAAGTATTCTCTTTGGGCTTTGCGCCTTGCAACTGTCGCAGATACAACCTGGCGGGCCATCTGTCGCGGATCTAAAGTATCGTTGGATCCTTCAAATTTGATGCTGGAGTAGAACGGGTTTGGTTCCCGGTCCCTGAGCCTAATTTTGAACCTTTGCCAGAGACCTGCCAGGCCGCGGCTTGGGTTTGGTGGGAAGCTTGATGTTTTCCCAATGGTTCCATCAGCTCTTAAAGACTCCTGCAGAGGTTCCGCGTTCTCATCATCAAGAAAGTCGCGAACTACTGCATCTTTGAGAAGCATTTCCATCATGGCGGGTCCGTAATCCAGAGGATCGCGCCTGCGGCGGGATTTGCCCAGGCTGAAGATCGATGAAAGCGCGAGATTGCTCGCATTGTGGCCTAGTTCCTTGCGCTTTAGAAAGGCCTTGACCTGTTCAAGCCGCTTTTCATCTTCCGACACATCAAAGTTTTCTTGGATGACAGCAATGAACATGTTGACCAAAATGAAGTACGAAAGAGTAAACCAGCCGATGAGAAATGTGGCACCAATCCAACCGGTTTTATAACCATGGGCATAACCTGTTACCGAGTAAAGAATATCGGTCCAATTCTCACTGGATAATATTTGGTACATCCCCAGAAAGGAGTTGTAGATGGTGAAAAAGGATATACGATTGAGATCGCCACCATTCTTGAGCGGGATCTCGCCGCGAAACAATTGTGCTGCAAAAATAGAAACCAGAAATGTCATCAGAAACACGAACAGCATCAGGTTCGCAATACCAGCGGCATTTCCGAGCACAAGCAGAATAAGCTTTCTGGTCATCGGCACTGCTAACACAATTCTGTAGGCTCGGACGATTTGAAAGACTGTCAGCCACCAATATGTCATTGTCTGGCGGATCGGCGGTATAAGTATGATCGTAGTGATTATTGCTAGCCCAAAGTCAAACAGATTTGCCGAGCTGCGATGGAAATTTCGCCAATTTGAAGCCAGACGCGCCGCTATCTCGATGTCCAAAAGTATGGTGACAGCAATTTCAGCGCCATCGATAAACTTCTCACGGGATGGCGACATTCGAGCGCTACGGCAAGCTTGGCATATCAACCCAAACACAATTATCAGTGTGAAGAGTGGTTTAGTCTTCGCGACAATGCGTTGCAGGGTTGACCTTTGAGTACGGTCATCAAAATGCGGCTGAGCAAATGACAGATGATCCGAAGTAAACGCGCTTCCCTTGCTCTCCTCTCTGATAACTTGAAAAGAGGAGGTAATCACCGCAATAAGAAGGTTGGTGAGCCAGAGGGTCATAATCATGATGCCAGCGCCGAAGAAAAGCGCAGCTTGCTGGTAATCGGAGGCCATCGTCTTATACATGAGATCCGAAAAGGTATTTGCGCTCATGATGACGAACACTAGCTCCAAAGATTGCAAGATGTTGTCAAAGTTAACTGTGCCATTGGATGGGTTGTTTTGTTGGAGACAAAGGGACCCTCGGGGGCAGATGAATCCTTTGCCTTTTCCGCCACCTGGAACAAGCCCATCCAAAGAATTCGGGGTCCCGATTTTGAGCCAAGGCATGATAGAACCAGTGTCATTATTCAAGTAGCCCCCGCAAAGTTGACCCTCGTTCGTGAATGCAGCTGATAGATTCGTCGGCTGAAGCGGGTCCAGCCAAACGCATTGGCGACTGAAACTAGCCTTGAAACTTTGCACGCCAATGATGGCAAACAGCAGCCAAAAGAAGCATAGAAGGAAGGCAACGCGGACCAGCAAAGGCGCTGCCTTTTTGAGACTGCGGAGTATAATTGCTGTACCATGCGTGAGAGAAAGCAGCCGCAAAATGCGAAGACTACTAAGCATCTTGAAAATGTATAAATGATGCCGACTTTCCAAGCCGGTGATGCCCAAAACAAAGCTTATCCAGAACGCAACAACGGCAATGAAGTCGAGTCTGTTGAATGAATGTCGCAGGAATGCTCGTCGTGCAAGCTGGAAGCGCATCTGAGCTTCCACAGTTCCTGGGCCACCAGGAGGCCCATGCATGAAGGTTGTGAACGATCGCGCGATGGTTGGTTGGTCCGGAGAATCTCGACGAGTACCTTTCACTGACCGTTGGCGCTGGGGCTGAAAGAAGGTTCGATATTGCTCAGAGATAATGGCGCGAACCCCCTTCTTTCGATCGATGGTGCTGTATTCCGCGGCATTCATGACCAACCCAGACACGACAATACGCGCTCCGATCTCCAGTGTGAATACTATGAAAAGAGCCAACATTGCCCAATCCATTATCCGGCCACCGAACCGCTCAGGTCGCCCATGACCTGGTGAAAAAACATCGGGTCCGGACTCGACAGCCAACAAGATGGCTTGAAGAACTATCAATAATAAGATGATTGGCTCCGTGTATGGATTCACAAGCGCATCGCAGAGTCGACGTCGCACTTTGCTCCGATGAGAGAAAAATCCAAGCGAATATCCTTTCAATGGGTTGGCCTGGCTTCCCGGTAGCCGAGGCGGCAACCCCGTAACAGTGCCACGGCCGGTACCTTTCTCGCCTGCCGCGAGACCAATCCGGGGATCGTACGAAGTGTCCATGTGAATTGAGTCGATACCGCCAGCAGTATGATCACGTATGACCCCATCGGATGCTTGAGAGTTTCTTGCCGCCTGTAATGATGCCCGCTGATTGACTGCTACTTCACTCTCTCCACTGATGTTGACGACTCTTTGTGACATAGCTCGTACAATCGAGCCAGCACGCTGAAACGCACCCGACGGAGACGGTGAGCGAGATGTGCGTGCCTCGCCAGGAGCAAGAGTCATACCATAAACGCGGCTGCGACTGCTAGCAAGACTCGGCAGCTTCTGGTCAGACGCTCGCAGCGTCTGCCTCCCTCTCGAGTCATCATTCCCCCAATCGGACGAAGCAGGCAAGCTACTGTGTGGCATCGGCTCGCTTCTATTATTCGCAAACGCTCCGGAAATAGGTTGTGCTTGTGATGTCAGCGGAACATTATCAGACTCCGCATATTCCTGGTGTTGCGCATCGTCGGGATATGTCTGCCTCGCATCGAAGGGGTTTTCGGGAGAAAAGTAGCGCTCATCTCCGTCAGAAAAGTTATGCAATTCAGGTGGAATGGCCATTTGCAACGCCGAATAGTCCATGGGAGACTCGGGTCTCGCATAGGGGCCCATCATGGAAGAAGATCCGAGAGGATCCCAGCTCCTCCCCGCATTGGTAACATCAGAGCTCGGCTGCCGAGAACTTGACGTATCCAGCGATGGATTTTGAAAATGTTCCAGGGTTTGGGCGCGATTTCCACCGCTCCCTCCGTGTGCTTGTATCTCTTGGCTTTGTGTCGAATGGCGCCGGCGCTGTTGGCTGCCTCTGGTGCTCGACAGCTCCATGATCCTCCAGCCTTCCCGCAGTTGTCTGCTATTTTTCCTTTGTCAGTATCATAGCAGAACGACGACGTAGAAGGCTATCTCTAGGAGACGGGAAAGCGTTCAAATATGTAGAGAAGATTCCGGTCGGGTGAGTGGTGACAGACAAGAACTTTCATCCCGACAACAGCATGACACCATGGTAACACATTTCAAACACAGGAGCTGCAGGGAGGCGCTCTCAGCCATATCGAGGCAAAACGCACTGTGAAAGTACAACAAATAATGTGGGTAATTTCACATATAAGTTTGTATTGATACAGTGTTAATATTGCTGGCTCTGTGTAAGCTTCAGGTGATGCGTACCTACCTACGTACCTATGTACATACATAGGTACCTATAGGTACCTACAAGGCTACCTATGTACATATGTACAAGGTACCTACGTGACTACCTACCTGTAGTACCTATGACATCCCCCTGCACATCAATTGGTCCGCTTTTATTGAAGGCTCGCGAAAGTCTAAGAGCTTAAGCTTCATGCTTCAACGCCCTGGCTCCAACAATGCGATACATCTAACGCGCTCGCGCAACTAGGTGCCACGCATGCCACGCCCTCATCGCCTAAAATCCGCCAAATTAACATGCCATCGCAGTCATGGACGGACATTCAGTCAATGCAGTTTCGCCGCTGCTACAACACATTCGGAGCATGTGGGAGTTTGCCAATCTTTGCCAGTGGATATACATCTTCGGCAAAGCCGCAAAAATTGATGAAGGTCTCGAAATCGAAGTGAGTGCGGCAGCCTATACAGTCCCGAGTACGGCGCGTTCTAATCGCATCTTATCCAGGATATCGAAACTGAATGCCTTAAACCCTCTTCAACAATCCTGTCCGGGATCGCGTTGGCCCTTCTCAAACTCGTGTCTTCACATCGCGGTCTGACGTTAGTAGCGCACCCTAGCTTCTCAGGCTGCAGGTTTTCTAATAAAGCTCTTCCAGCTACGAGGTCCTCGATGAACAGCTTCGGAAGGAATACATCTCCAAGTTGCCCGAAGAAAACCCGCTGGGCGATGGTGAAACGATTGTGCGCAGCTTTCGTGATCTTGATACACCGACCAAGGTGCTTATTCAGCCCAATCAAGCTGCGCAATGCAGCAAAGATGCTAACAAATTTGCCCGTAGATTGTTGTTCTTCAGCAGCTTACTCAATGGGTCATGAGTCAGCCTGAGCGATTGCGAGGGAAAATGGAGGAACCCCATGACATTGACCAAACTAGCTGGGTAGGTGATCTATCTTCCCACTAGATCAGAACAAGGAAAGCTTACACCATTGCAGAGAATAGAGCCCTATGGGTGGGATGCTGAAGATCGTACATATTATGTGTTAGACGACAACCGAGTCTACCGCTTATCAGAAATTTCCGAGCAACCGTTGCAGAAGCTGAGGAAACAGAAAACGTATGGTACGAGTCGGCGATCTGGTAGACGTCGACGCACATCCAACACATCAACGACAAAAGATTGCGCTCTAATGGAATCCATGCATACCCAAAGCTCAGAAGTAAAGAGTCGCCTCGGCAGTATGACTTGGGAGTGTGTGGCTGTAACGCTGGATGAGGTGCGACATCTCATCGACAGTCTTCAAACAACCCGAAATGCGAACGAGAAGATACTACGAAAACAGCTTGATATACACTTGTTACCAATACTGGAAAAGCAAGAAGCGTCGAGGAAGAGAAAGGAGGCGCAGCACCAGCGTGAACTATTGAGCCTTGCCAAGATGGCAAATGCAAAGCGTTCCAGCCGGATTGCTGGAAAAATCGAACAGCAAAAGGAAGAAGAGAAGGCGAGAGAAGAATGGGTGAAGGCTCAGAAGGAGCTTGAAAGTCAGCGGCGTGAGCGACAAATGCAGATGAAATTGGAACGAGAGCGAGATTTCAGGATGTTTTCTAGAGAAAGGAGACTAAATGAGAGGGCCGCAAGACGACGTTTACACGAAGAAGAGCTATCTCATTTGTCAGATGGTCACGGCTCTGCTCCGAATGGACGAACTCGAACATCAGACCGGCAGCTACAATCCGAAATCGATCGCAATAAACGGGCGCTTAAGACTTTAGAAGAAGAGGAGGAAGATTGGACTTTTGATTGCGTGTGCGGCTTGTACGGGCAGGTAGACGACGGTGCCCACAGTATTGCTTGTGAAGGATGCAATGTTTGGCAACATAGCAGCTGTGTTGGAATTGCAGAGTCAGAAGCTGACCGTGTCGATTTCCATTTTGTCTGTGGGACCTGCACGCGGCAAAAAGAGGGCGGCGCAGCAATCCGTAAGCCTGTGATCAAATTGAGAGTCAATACCTCAAACGGATCGATGCACCATGAAGCGGATAGCAGAACATTGGGGAAGAGCAACGATGACGAATCAGGAATTGAATCCGGGAAGAGACTTGAGGCTATTGCAAGGGGCGAAAATCCGAAACAAGAAACTGGCGACATCGACTCAACGCTGAAATCTGGACATGGGCCGGGCAAGACTGCGCATGTTGCCTCCGGGGGCGTACTGCCGCTCGCGACGAAAGATGTGCTGCAGGCATCTCCGTCTATCGACAGTGTGCGCGATACCTCTAGCACGGTTATGTCAACCAATTCCGCCGCCTTGCTAACGCACACGACTCAACCAACGGCACCCCAAGAAGTCTGCACAAAAGGATCGCCCGTGACGAACTCAACCAAGTCTTCGTCGGATCAAATTACTCTTACCCCCGTCAATTACACGATAACAGCGGCCCAAGGTAATCTTCGGCATGTGGTAAGGCCACTCACACATTTCGAATCTGGATCTCCTTCGAAGTTGCGGGGTGAGGAACAAAAGAATGGGTTCGCCAGTTCAGCGCTTGTACAGCCAGTTCTAGTGAGCGAGAGTGAACTTCCCGTGCTACGTTCAGAGGTATCGGAAACGTGCACGGATAGACTCGGAGACCTCACTCCAAAATAGATCACCATTGCTCCGGGTTCATCGGCCAGGAATCCGAAGAATGGGTGTTGTGTATATTCAAATTCCCTCCACGCGAGTAGCTTTAGCGAATCGCTCACATGCCCTTTTGGAAAACCTCGCATTTCATCATCTTCTCCCTTCCTGGGCTTTTAACCCTGAGATATCTAGTAGAACGTGTGGCAGGAGTGCAAGCATGAGTATTGGTTCGCAGAGCAGAGAAGCACCATCCTACAACGACTGCAGACTGGCTATTGCACTGGCACGAAGCACGACAAGCGTGCACGAGCACGGAAAGCAAACCGGATGGCACGCCGAATAACTTTCTAGGCGAAGCGGAATTGCAGCGACGTTTCGCCTGGCATCATATGGGGCCAATCACTCAGCTTAGAACAACCCGGGTTGCGTGTGCTTTGAACTGTTATATTTAGTTGGTGATGGTTGAGGATAGCCACGTGGAGAGCAAGGACAATACACAATGAGACTGGGAACTTGTGTGGCTCAACTTCAAGTATCTGCCCTATCAGCGTCTTTGTCTTTCCGTCGCCTTCGTTGTCTTGTTTCCCGCAGTTCGTTGTTCAAGCCAGTTGCGGGCGCAGTTGGCTGGTCCGTGACACCCCCAACTTTGTAAACCAAAGAAACATAGCCACGCAGTGGCAGATGCACTCTTTTTGTGGCATTTTCCGATCCACTCCTAGATCATACTGAGAAGCGTCGGCGGCTCGGTCTGAGGTTCTTTTGACGGCACCGCAAAGACCGACGGCTCGTGCGTGCCCGTCCAACGGTTTGTAATCTTGTAGCAAATGGAAGCAGCGGCCATTTGAGCCATTAACCGCAATATCTTCCGACACTTCAAAAGGAAGTATCTCCCTGCTAATTTCGGGTTTTCTTTTCTTTTTTCCAGAGCATTGAAAACACGACCTACTTTGACAGCCGTTCTCCCGATTGTGGTCTTACCATCTCCAACACCACGGGCAGCTTAATTGCTCTCGATCAACAACAATACAGAATACTTTTTTCAAAATACATGATTTTTTCCTGCTATTATTTTGATATTCATCTATTTCTAGTTGATGTTGTCTTTCTAAGAGGTTCACAATTCTCTCGAAGCTTTCCGTTACAGCATATTTTCCTTCAACATGGACACCGGTCCGAGCTCGATTCAGTCGACTGCGTCCATGAAGACAAGAGAGATACCATCTTATGCTGCCAATCATATTATCCGCAATTCTACATTGGCAGGTGCAGTCTCTAGTCTTACCTCCCGGTCGAGTGGCGGTGGTAATTCCGTGCGGCAACAAGGCAGCTCTGTTGTCCGACCAGCACAGCTCTCCCAGCAGGTATGCCTTTCAGTTGATCCTCTTTGGCTAAACGCTGATTTATTTCCTTAGGTATTTGCTGGTGAATCCTCGGAGTACTTGTCCCTAGATGCGGTCAATTCCATGACGAAAACTTTACATGGCCCAGGCCGAGATGCTAGGAGTCGCAGGAGCCAGAGCAGAGAACGCAGAGTCGACAAGCGGACTCAGAAACCCCCACCATCGGCCTGCCTAACAAAGTCGCTGTCAGAACTTGCAACAGAAGTTGGCGATCAAGGTCGTGACGCTGTCGAGATATTCGCGAGACGCTCGGCTGAGGATCGACGGAAGGAGTACAAGGAAGCTGAGAAAAAGCTCATGGAAGCTCCGAATAAGCCCAAGGCAGCTCCGAAGATAAAGCGGCCGCTTAATGCGTTTATGCTCTATCGAAAAGCCTACCAGGAGGTTGCCAAACTTCAGTGCAGTCGGACCAATCATCAACAAATCTCAACCATTTGCGGAAATTCTTGGAATAGCCTTGAGACCGAGAAACTGAAAAATGAGTTTCAGCGGCTGGCTTCAACCGAGAAGCAGAACCACGAAGAGGCCTTTCCAACCTACAAGTACGACCCAGTGCAGACAAGGAAGCCAAACCATGGTGTCATGGATAATCCCCAAGCTCGCGATTTGAGTGATGGCGGGTCGAGCTGTCCGCCCAGACGAAGTGACAGACGGCGGAGTGCTCGAGGCTCGTCTCGGGCGAGGCAGCCGTTTCCCTCGGAGATGCCTGATCAGTATCAATCTGTGCATGGACTACACTCTCAGCCCTCTGGCAGCGCCTGGGAACAACATCAGGCCCCTCCGTTCCCTGCATGGTATAATTCGCCGCGTGGTGCTGGGCAAAATCCTGCTGCTCCGGCTGTTGATACCTCGTACGCCTGCACCTCGTCGAGCCTGCATTTTCAGCCTTATTCGGCTTTCGTCGACCCATGTCTGGACCCTTCTCTGCGAGTGGATGTTCCGGGCTCACAATATGGGCAGTTCCTCGGTACCAACCAAAACATGCTGCCTGGCTGGATGAATGTCGGCGGTCCTCAGAACACCTCAACGACATTGGTGGCTGACTTGGATATTGCGGGTGCACATGCGGCTTATCTGCAGGGTGCAGAGGGAGACTGGCAGGTCGAGCAACTCGAGGACGGGAGTCACTTCACCGATTGGATGGCGCATGCTGGAAATGGCGAGCATCAGTAGAAAGCCAAGGCTCTTGGTACGGCTTGATGGGGTTTGTGTGGGGCGCTGTGGTTGATGTGGTTGGGGCGTGCTACCTATTGTTTGTCCCGGGGCGTTTCGGTTTGCTTCTATTGTTGCTATTTATGTGTTCATCTCATTTCTTGTCTGCTATCTTTCTGCTTTGTGGGAGGCACCTTTCGGTTTGTGTTAATGCTACTGCTTTTTCATATTTGGATTCATAGTCAAGGCTTGTGGCTAGCCTAGTAGCCGCCTGTGAAACAAGTTCGCGGTACTTGCTTTGTCCAGAGAACTCGAAGCGCATGCCATGTAAATAAGGTCCAAAGCAGGTGGATAGGGAAAAGAAAAAGCCCCCACGGGTCACCCGAGACAATTAAGAACGAGCCTAGGCGAGGACATACACCTGTGACCTGATGAATGTAATCCGTTGTACAAACGACAACTAGCTGAGATACAGGGTAAGTCAGTGTGTACTGGTCCGCCCTGAAGACCATATTAGTCATCGCGTACATGACAGACCTGGTACTTCGTACCTAGGTTGGCTTCCGAGGAATTCGCAAAGCTGCAGACAGACACACAGCTTCAATCATGACCTGGTTATCCCGATCAGTAACAGCCGCAGGACTGCTCCTTCTGGCACATGCGTACGAACTTTTACGCGATCAATCTTTTATTGTCCTAACAAACCATAGATGCTACTCCGCGCAGGAGCACGCGGCTCTCTCCGCAGCGCTCGCGAAACACGCCCTATCGCATCAGCAAACGAGCAGCCCCCTACCGATCGATGTATCCATCGAGGCGATTATAGCGACACTGATTATATGCATTGGACTTGTTTTGGGCTCACAGAACTTGCGCCCGATACAATGGAACGTATGGGCGGGCAAGCTTGAACGGGAAGGTGACGCTGGCTTTCTGGATGGATCCGGGGAGGTTGATAAAGATTTTCGTGGAAGTCCATTCACGTCTCTCCAGAGCCGTCCGGGGTTTGTTGATATCCGCAAACAACGTCATGAATTTGTAGACTGGGTCAAGAGAGACCGTAAATAGCAAAGGGGATCTGATAGTGGCACCAGCCGGGAAATACTCATAGACTGAGAAGGAAGTTTTTTCTCAAGAGGCCCATCTCACAAATGACGCATAGTGCAAAGTCATGAATGTGCGGAGATCAAACGGTGCAAACAGGGGCTATGCTGAACAACACAATAAACGCACAAAGCTACGGCGCGGAAAGTTGCGATACCTGCCGTGATTTGTACTGAAGCTGAACCATGTGTTGGGTCGTACTTCATCCAGGCCGGCGAGTGGCTGCATGTAGGTACATACATAGGTAGTAACTAGATACCCCCACAGGCAGCCGGCCGTATGTACCTACCTATCTGCTCCGGACATGCAAACGGACGATGCTGATCCCTACCACCTACCTCGCCCCGACTGAACAAGACGACGCAGCCGCCGTTACAAGAAGGCAAAGACCAGAGCGAACACAAGTAAAAGATACGCGCCTCAAAGGATCGTGGAAGGCGCTGGACAGTCCCCGGTGGGGAGAACATTACACAATGTCACACTTTGACGAGGCTACGCCATCCCGAGGCAGCCCACGGTTATCAAGCGGCGATATGGGTTTGAGAGCACCACAAAGCAGGAGCTATCAGCCAGCATCGAATAACTGCATGAAAAGAGGAACAGATTCTGCGGCAAGCACGCCATTCTTCGGCTTGAGATCTGCATATCAAAATATGGCAGCAGTCCGTCAGAAGATGTCGGCCGGGTGCGAAGGGAACGTGCAGCATCATGAGGCCGAGGACTTTGATATTCAAGTCACTAATGAGACAATAATGGGCACAACGATAACAGAAGATGGCACGATGGGATGTGCGTTCTTCTCTACCCGAGACAACCGCCTACTCATCGCACAGGATGCGCCACTCGGCGATGTGTCAGTTGTACAGCATTTCCTGGAATATATACAGCCATCCTGCATAATAGTATCGGAGAAGTTTCCGAATAACATGGCCGAAGCTCTCGATGCTTACGTTGACAGCGTATACCAAGGTCAGGACCACGGAAAATCGACGAGCCAAGTCGCAGCTAACGGATGAACAGAACAAGCTGCGCATCCCCACATACTTACGATTGCAAATTCTGAGTTCTCAATGTCAGCTTCCAAAGACCGACTCCTTAGCATCTTCTCGAACATCGATACCGAAAACCGTGCCATATTGCACCCGCCGGAAGGTGTTCAAATCACAGACAGCAATGCAGGAAAGATTCTACCGGACAGTGGATCCTCGGACATACAATATCTGAGACTAGGTGGTATTTTGGGCTCTGGGAATTCTACATCTGTAAGAGCTGTACCCCAAGCACTTGAAACAGAAATGCTAATCGTTAGATCATCTGCGCCGGTGTGGTCGTCGCTGAAGTCAATAAACACAGAGCTGCACAATCGCAGTGCGAACTTGACCTTTACGAAATACGAAACATAGAGTTGTTCCATCTGTCTGAATATTTATATATCAATACCGCTGCACTGTCTAGTTTGGAGATACTACATGGTGAAATACACCCGAATTCACAGATGTGGCATACAACCTCCGGGGTTGCGAATCAAAAAGAAGGACTATCTCTATACGGAATGTTTCATAACTTGGCATCAACTTCACAGGGCCGTGTACAGCTGAAAAGGCTCTTCTTGCGGCCCAGTACAGACGTTTCTACGATCCTGGCAAGACAGCAAACTATCTCAACGCTCCTGAAACCACAGAACTTCGGCGAATTGAAACAGATGGTTCACGCCCTCCGAAAAGTCCCAAATATGAAGGGAATTATATCGAAACTCGGTAAAGGCATCGATTTTACATCAATAGGCCAATCAGTACGCGGTGGACTGTGGGCAGCCCTGGAGAAGTTTAGCAGAAATATTGTTGAGGTTCAAAGGCTTGCCGGCTCATTTATAGAATGCGACTATGCACCTGTTCTGAAAAAGGTAAGGAGACATGCTGGAAGGTCGACATCTGCTGATACATGAACCGAGTCTAGTTTCGCGAGACCGTTGAAGTTGGAGCCATCGTCAGTGTTGGATTACTGGTCGAAAAAACTATCGACTTTGAACAATCTAGGTTGCGTGAGCGCTACTCTATACAAAGCGGAGTTGACACAGATCTCGATCGTCTCAAACGGCGATACGACGGCATGGAAAGTTTCCTGACTAAGGTTGTCGACGACATCATTAAAACGTCCGCTTCGTGGGCCCGACAATATATTAAATCTTGCATCTTTCTACCCCAGCTTGGATTTTTACTAGTCGTTGAGCTGGATGAACTGACCGGGAACGGAAAGTATTCCGGCGAAGGGCAACCGCTTGATATATGGGATAAGATATTTATTGCGGATGGCTCAGTCTGCTATAAAACCAAGCAAATGAAAGTGCTCGATGAAGCCTACGGGGATGTTTATTGCCAAATAGGAGGTGAGACAAGTTTCCAGCGGACCACATCAACAATTAACCGCTTTATAGACAGAGAGGTCGAGTTGTTGCAAAAGCTGGCTGCAAGTGTCTTGGAATACAGCTCTGAGCTGATGCATGCGTCTCAGTTAAGTGGTGAGCTGGATGCAATCCTTGCACTTGCCCTTGGGGCCCAAAAGTATGGATGGAATCAACCGGGAATTGCCAAGAGTGGGAGTTCCCACATCATAGGAGGGCGGCACCCTCTGCACGAGGCATTCATGCAGCACTTCATACCAAACGATTTCGGCGCTCCCAACGATCCAGAAGGGCTAAACCCGGACTCCGGACGTATAATGGTCGTTACAGGACCAAATAATTCTGGGAAGTCTGTCTATTTAAAACAAGTGGCCCTCATTACTTACCTGGCTCACATTGGGAGCTTCGTTCCCGCCGACAAAGCTACCATTGCAATTACCGACAAAATATTGGTGTGCATGCCAGCCCAAGAGAGCGCGTCGTCGAATGAAAGCGCACTCGCTACGGATCTAAGAGAAATGTCACACTCTGCAAAGCAAGCAACAGATAAAAGCTTGGTACTCGTCGATGAATTTGGCAAAGGTACCTGCCCTATCAATGGCGCAGGATTGGCAGCAGGCCTGTTGGATCATTTTGTTTCACTCGGCATCAAACGCTGCCCTCAAATTATCATTGCGACACATTTTCACGAAATATTTGAGTTCGAGTCTTTCGGTACCATCGGATTCTTGAACTTTGCTCACATGAAAGTGGAAATCAACTTGGACAATGGGAAAGAGGAGGACCCGATAGTCTATCTATTCATGCTGCAAAATGGTAGAAGCTCTTCTAGCTTCGGGGAACAATGCGCAACAATGAACGGCGTACCGAGCGTCGTTGTCGACCGTGCAGGAGCGATTTCTTCAATCATTAACCGGGATGAGGATCTTGCAGCCACTTGTGCAGCATTGTCGCATGCGGAACAAGCCCGACTGGAAATCGCGGAAGAAGTCGCAAGAAAGTTCCTATCTTTTGAATTGGGAGATGTGAAGCCAACGGAATCAACTCTGAGAGCCATTGATATACTTGACAGTTTGCTATCGTAAAACTTCTTCGTTTCCCAAGGCGATTAGTTTGCTACTAGGAGAGAAGACAAGCCCGATCTAGCAGATAATCGTACATAGACGTAGTCTATAATTATGTAAAGTTATGCGCATTGCGTGTGTGCTATTGAGGACCCTCGTTAAGCTAGGCTTGACATTGTATTATGGCCACAAGAGAGATGTGGCCTACCTGAATGCAATGGGATTATCGAAACCAACAGCTCCAGAACGCCATTTAGTCAAGGAAATTCTACTCATGTCGTAATATTCGTGAAACTGTGGCAAGGCCATGCATCTACCACACTAGAATCGCGCCTAGAAGCATCACGACTAGAAATGATGACAATCCTGGAGCACCTTTCCTTGCACTTGAATTTTGACCAAAGGATGCACAGGTAGCCGCGCTGAGGGAACCACAAGCTATGGAGCTCAAG